ATAGGAGGCAGCAAGGTCTCATTGGCTTCCTTGCAGACATCTCAGGCATAAGCTCATAACTCTTTGCAGTATTTGTCTATAAGACTAGTCTCAGGTCCAGATTGACTTAGTTTGAGTACTTGGGTCTGTGATCCATGTATTGGCAATGGGTCAATACTCCTAATCTTGATCTCTGGGTTCTTGATAAGACAACTCAACAGTGGTGTTAGCTTTAACAACACTCCATGATCCCAAAACAGCCAATTGCAGGGGTATGAGTTTTTCCAAGATGGAGTATCTAAGCTTGAGCTGATCAACAATCGTGGTCAAAAGGAAATCTGTCAATGAGCCTGAATCTAGGAGGGCTCTGCAGGGCTTGCCGTTCACAAGGACTATAACTATGATGGACCACGGAAGAATCCTTGAGGTAGATTTTGGTCTAGCAGATTGTCACTGGAGGGTTCTCAAATCTGGAAGATCAGCATACTTACTGCTGCTCGTGCAGTATAGAGAGTTAGTGGTAGTGCATTCTTCATCCTCTGACATCTCACATTCTAACAAAGGGGGTAATTCATCATCTTCATCCTGAGGCAAGGGGGATAAGAATTCTTGATCATCATGCTCATTTGGGCTTGGCAGTGAGTTGACTGCGATGTCAACAGACAGGTGGTCAGTTGATGATGTGGTCATTGCCAGTGGTGAGTAGGGTGTTTCATTCCAGGGTGGTCTGAAAGATGCCTTGGTGTGGATAAGGTCATTGAAGTTCTGAGTTCTTTGATGCATCAATAGAGGTAGTTGACATCTTTTGTTCTTTTAATGGAAGGTGGTAAGGGATAGGTGTGGGAAGGGTTGTTGGCTTGGAGGGTGATCAATCCTTGTCAATTGGCAGCCGTAGAGTAAAGAGATAGATAGAGCTTTAGAATTTGAGTTTAAAAATATGTGGCGTTCTTGGAACGTACACATGAGAATCAAGTTGACTTGTGAGAAACTTAGGGTTCGAACAGGAGTAAACTGGCCAAACTAAGCTTTATTTTTTGGGGGAAGGATCAACTGCCTATCCTGCACTAAGTATGCTAGTTTATATAGGGTAAGGAGGATTAGGAAAAGTAGGAATAAAGAAATAAGGGAGGGAATAAACGGGGTGAAGCAATAAGAGTGAATATATCAAGGCTGATTGATATACTAATTGGTAACCATCTAGACATTGGACACCTAAGTCTTTTAACAAACATCACATCAAGGCTGCTGGTCACTTGTGCATCTTCTTGCCAAAATACCACTGCGAGCTCAACTTGATCAAGTTTTTTTGGGGGGCAGTAAAGAGGTATCTGCATGAGAACTGTGATTACACCTTCGAAACACTCAAGACCAACTTGCCGAAGGCTATGGCTTCTGTATGTCTCAGTACAATCTGGTTATGGGAGCATCGGATGCACAGGTGGATGAATGCTTACCGGTCAGGTCTAGAGATGAAAAAGTGCAGTTGCAGGTCAAGGAGTTCAGCTCGAGGAAGTACAAATTTCATAGACGTGTTCCAGAGACTGTAGCATGTCTTTTTGACTAGTTTTACCAGTATCTTAGCCTCACCACCAATTTGGGTCATGTCCAAAAATTTATCTTGCTCAAATTTAATGCTATGTAAAATTGCTCTCGACAAAATGTTCCTATCATTAATCTAAGCCTTTTTACAAGACAGAAAGTTCCTGGGACTTGTTCTCACAATGACAGAAAATTTGCACAAATGTAGCGGCACATATGTGAACTGCACCATAGCTATTGCATGGATGCTACACCCTCCAACAACATGCAGCGAGTACACGAGCTGCAGGAGCCATTAGCTAGATGTAAGTAGTATGGATAATCTGTACTGACCTCAGTGGACTTGGTAGAAGTCACTGAGGAAGTTCTGTGTGCAAATGAAGGTAAAACAAAGGTGCTTATGTAACATAGGTATAATGGACATAGCGAGCATTATAATGTGTAACACTCCCCCTCAAACCGAGCGGAGTCCAAGAGTGGTAGCGAAATGTTTGGCTTTGAGACTAGGAAGGGGTTTGGTGAGAGTATCTGCAATCATATTGTCTGTAGGACAATATTCGAGTAAGATAGAACCTTTGTCAATAGAGAAACAAATAAAATGATAATGAATGTCTATATGCTTGGTGTGCGCTGTGGGTTTTGGTTGCTACTGTGTTATCAGCGCAACTGCGGCCAATTCAAGTGTGTTCGACCCTATAGGGGAAGCAGTGCAATGCAAACCACGAACAACAAGTCGTATTGTCTGACCTGATAGTTGATGTTGAAGCCAATGCCAATGCCGACTCGGCCGAGTGATAAATGAGTGGAATTGAGGAGGTGTGTGTGTAGTGCAATGAGCAAACATTTAAGAGAGTTGGCTGACGACTCAATGAGAAATCACACAAGAAATTGTTCCAAGTGAGAATTTGCTAGAGAAACTACTAAGAACATGGGTGGAATATATAGTAAATGAGACTAAGCGATGAAGGGGAACTCTGGGTCACTTTAGATGCCTCATGGGTCGCTAAATACTTGTTTCTCTGTGTCCATGTAATAAGGTGTGAGGTGGGGCGATAAAAGGCCGATAGGCAGTCCAATTATGCAAATGGGGATGGAAAGCAATCAAAGTAAGAGATATATGTACCAGTAGATGACGGGCCAATGACATGAGACGATGGACAGTGACCGATTGCATGTGCAGACAATGTCTGACTTAGATCGATCATGACCAACTGGGCTGATCATCGGCTGACGTTGATGTGGAGCGGCAGTGCAGGAAAGTGGGTCGGAAAGGATTGGAAAGATAGGGGATACTAGCTCAGTAGCGATCAGCTTCCTACAGTGCGTGAAACATGCCGGAGTTAGCAAGTGTGATAGCAGATTGATTATCACAATGAAGAGTGGTTGGTTGAGTAAGCAGGCAAAAAATCTCTGTGAGAAAACGGCGAAGCCAGATGGCTTCTTTTGCTGTGTGCATGGCTGCAACATACTCGGCTTCTGTTGTAGAGAGTGTGACTAACTCTTGCTTCTTCAAACTCCAGGTGACAGCCCCTCCATCTAATATGAATGTGTACCCAGAGATAGTGTGTTGATGTTCTTGCGAGGCACTGTCTGCATCTGCGAAACCCTTGAGTCCAGGTTTGCCATTACCAAAGGTGAGCATGAGTTTCTTGGTTCCAGCTAGGTACCGGTAGATTTTCTTGACAGCTTCCCAGTGGATCATGCTGTCATATACCTGATCCAACCGCTCTAATATCAATATCCACTCCGCTTTCCAACCACCTCCGCTCCATCCATTCTCTGCTCCATCCAATCATCGTCCGCATTCGCCCCTACGCTTCCACTCAACCAGTCCCCTTCCATAATGTCTCCATTCAACTGGACCTCTTTCCCCTTTTAGATATATACTTTCCCCTTTGGTACATAGACCCTTACTTCCAGATCACCAGGTAACTCCTTTTACCGCTCGATCACTGATCCGACGCGTACATATTGATATCCACTCTGACTTATGTCTTCACCTGTGTAAGTACTTACAAATTATATCCTTGGTACATAGCTTTACAACATAGTTATCCTGATCACTGCCTCATACATAGAAGTATATAACATATCATGTACTTAGATATTTTCGTCAGTCTTAATATTACTTGTCTTCTTGCAGTTACTACTTGTGAGAATTCTCAGTAGGACCTTGCCTCCTCTGGACACAAGTCTCAACTTGTTGTCGCCTCCAACCCTCCGACCCTCCTGCTCCAACTTAGAGCTGTGCTCTAAGTCTCCCCCTTATTTCTCTGCCCCTTTCAATATTCCCCTCTGACCCTTTTCCATCCTCTGCATTATCCTCTGCCTTCCCCACTCCTACCAAACATTCCCCCTGCTCCTATCCACCCTCCGCATCACTCCCCGCCTTCTCCACTCCACTCCTAGTCGGCCCGCCACTAGTAGCTCTTACCTCTCGATCCTCAAAGCAGACCTAAGCGGTCCACTCGTCCTATCGTCAGACAATGTCGGACCCGCTCCAAATTTGGGGCACGTACTTGGCTAAGGGCGCAGCACAAGAGCTGAAGCCAAGCCCCGACCCCTCTGCTTCCTGAGCCGGCACGGTACCTAACACATGCTGGGATTTGCACTGTATTGGGCAATGATCAACACAGTAAACGCGATATTGAGGTGCATGCCAACTGCAAGATGCATCAGTGAGCTGACAGGCCTTGCTGATAAGGAATGTTTTTCATTAGCATGGATTCAGCTGGGGTCTTGGGACATTGGGATAGAGCAAGGCCTCAAGTCCACGAAGTTGTACTTTGTGAAGATGCTCTCAATATAACTTTTGTGTGAGAAGGAGATGGTGTGCAGTGTCACAGTCACGCGTGACCTTCATACCAAGGAGTGAAGTAATAGGTTCAAGGTCCATCAACTTGTAGCATGCAGCTACATCATGTTTTAGCTCTCCAATTAGCTTGGCGTTGCTACCGGTTACTGTGCAATCAGTCAATGTGGGCTGTGAGAATGAGAATATTGATGCCAATGTGTTTGTGGAATACTCCCCAATCAGATTCTGACCTATTCATCCCCAGGCTTTTGAGGAGGCAGCACAGTTCTTGGTACCACTTGAGAGCACCTTGCTTGGATCCATATAGTGCGACGTGGAGATGAGTGACGGGGTGTTTGAACTTGGTGTCAACATTGAGACCAGCTGGTAATTCCATGTAGATTACCTCATCAGTGTCTAACTTCCCATTTAGGAATGCACTGTGGAAGTCGAAAATGTCGATGTCCCATCGTTTCATGCTGTGATAGCCAGAATTGTGCGAAGGGATGTGAGGCGTGCTACAGGGGCATACATGTTCTCAATTTCCCAATCAGCATTCCTCTTTATTCGAAATACCCACTTGCACCCAACAATGTTGATGTTTTCTGGTCATTCAACAATGGACCAGGTATGTGCTTCTTCCAGCACAGTTAATTCCTTGTTGATTGCACCTTCCCATTTAGGCCAATCAGTCTGTGCAGCTAGCTTCTTTGACCATGGTGGGATCCACTCCCTCCACTGCCGCTACTCCAGCAACCATCGCAAAAACTTCATTGTTGTCTTCGTCAATCTCGCCATACTCCCCCACCATTCCTAGCTCAGCAGCCAGGTTAATGGATTCCCCCACAGGCTGCATCCCGCGAGGTAAGTCTGTACTGTGGCCATCAGTGGTACCTGTGCCATCGTGCAGGCTCTTGATGTATGCTGACTCAATTCTCACTCTTTCAGAGCGACGTGGTGGGGTGGCTGCCTCGAATTGCGGCCCTAGGTGGTCTTGGGAAGAAGGATTGGTAGGTGCTGGACCTACATCATCGCCTCATACCATGCGGTTGATTGCTGGACCGACATCATTGCCTTGTACCGTGCAGTTGTCAAGGTCCACAGGTATGCTAACCTCTGCCACATTGAATCTGATGCTCCTCTCTACAGCTATTCTCCAGGTGTCTGGGAGGTAGACTCGGTGGCCATTGCTGTCATGGTCAAACCCCACCCATCTTCCATCAATCACTCGCATATTGAGCTTTGAGCCATTAGTCGAGTGTACCTTGACACAGCAGCCCCAAACTGGTACATCTTTGAGGTTGGGCTTCATTTTGAATAACAACTCATGGGGAGTCTTGTTATCCAGTGTGTGAGTCGCCGTTCAGTTCTTCAACCAGGTTACATGCATGATGGCTTCCCCTCATAGGAATTTGGGCAATTCGCTGGCGTGCAGCAGCGCACGTGTTTGTTCGACGACGGTTCAATTAAGTCATTCTGCAACTCCATTGTGTTCTGGTGTGTCGTGCACAGTAATTTTGCATTCTGTGCCTTTGCTGTTGAGATGACAAGTAAACTCATCTCCAGTAAACTCTCCTCCACAATTGGAATGGAAGTGTTTGATCTTTGTGTTGAACTGCGTGTTCGCCCAGGCCTCATAGGACTTGTACACATTGAAGGCTTCGTCCTTCAGTGTGTAACAGACACAGGTGAGAGAATCTCATGAAGTCATCAGTAAATGACACAAAGTATTCTTTGTGTCCAGGAGTTCGAACAGGTGATGGGACCCCAAAGGTCGCTGTGGACTTTGTCACCAAACTTCTCATGTCTAGGAGGGTCTCAAATTTTGCCAATTCGGTTTGCGTGTGGCTTTTGCATACTTGCACGAGTCGCATTTGTCCATTGTGGCATCAGGAGGGGTCCAACATGATTCCAGTGATGACGCCATCCTTGATCATTTGTTTGATGCTCTCTCAGGCTGGGGCAATGTGCCTGAGCCTGGCATGGATCTCTCACATGGTGAGTTGCTCATCTGTCTTTGCAACTCCGGCAAATGGTTTCTTAGGACCCTTGATGCAGTACAGGCCCTTGTTCACTGGGATCTCCCCCAACAGCTTCTTCTTCTCATTGAAGATCTTGCACAAGTCTGCGCAAAATAACACTGCATATCCAGCTGCTGTCAGACGGCTAATGGAGACAAGTGTCACACCCATCTTGGGTGCATAGAGGACATCTTTGAGGAGAACTCAAGTTCTCGACTCACCATTCAGTAGGGTGATGAGGATGTTCCCCTTGCCAGTGGCCTTGAAGGTGTGTTTATCGGCTGTGTCATATACCTGATCTGACCGCTCTGATATCAATATCTGCTCCGCCTTCCGACCACCTCTGCTCCATCCATCCTCTGCTCCGTCCAATCACAGTCCACATCCGCTCCTATGCTTCCGCTCAACTGCCTGACCGGTCACCTTCTAGAACGTCTCCACTCAACTGGAACCTCTTTCCCCTTTTAGATATATACTTTCCCCTTTGGTACATAGACCCTTACTTCTGGATCACCGGTAACTCCTCTTACCGCTCAATCACTGATCCGACGCGTACATATTGATATCCACTCCGACTTATGTCTTCACCTGTGTAAGTACTTACAAACTATATCCTTGGTACATAGCTTTACAACATAAGTCTCCTAATCACTGCCTCACACTTAGAAGTATATAACATATCCTGTACTTAGATATTTTCCCCAGTCTTAATATTACTTGTCTTCTTGCAGTTTCTACTTGTGAGAATTCTCAGTAGGACCTTGCCTCCTCTGGACACAAGTTTCATCTTGTTGTCACCTCCGACTTTCTGCTCCAACTTAGAGCTGTGCTCTAAGTCTCCCCCTTTACTTCTCCGCCCCTATCAATCATCCCCCTCTGCTCCTATCCACCCTCCACACTATCCTTCACCTTCTCCGCTCCGCTCCTAGTTGGCCTGCCGCTAGTAGCACTTACCTCCCGACCCTCAAAGCGGACCAAAGCAGACCACTCATCCTAGCATCGGACAACATTGGACCCGCTCCAAATTCAGGGCACGTACTCGGCAGCTAAGGGCAGCAGCACAAGAGCTGAAGCCAAGCCCCAACCCCTCCACTTCTTGAGCCCAGTACGGTACCTAACAGGCTGTTGTGATTGGTTTCAGTGTGATGTTGACAAAGTCTTGGAACAGATCGTGGTAGGATGACATGTGCCTCAATGCACTGGAGTCAAATAACTCGGTTCAAGATTTGTGCTGGGAGTTGGAGCTGGCTAGTGTCACGTATGTGAGCGATGTTTGTTCTTCTCCTGCCTCATCTGTATCATCCATTAACCAAACACCTTCAGGCTCCTCATCATTGTCCTTGTCCTTGGCGCTGGCCACAGTCTCGGACTTCTTGTCCTTCCCTTTGCCATCAGATTTCTCGCCTCCCTTGCCTCCAGCACCACCTCCACCTGCTCCATGACAGTCTCGTTGCGTGTGACTGTACTTGCCGCAGTTGTGACAGTTGCCCTTGATCCATTGGGTCCGTTTGCCTGTGTTGGCATTATACGCTGCACATCGTTGTTTGACAAGCCAGTTCTTCTTTATCTTCGAAGCATGACGGTCATACTTGTCTATGACGGTTGATATCAGAACGTCCACGGTGAGTTGGACACTCAAGACTTTTGCAGATGCTGTCAGTGCTGATAGATGGGGATTTTAGGATGCTGGCAACGAGCTCATGATTATAGCTGTGAAGCTCTCATCTGTCAGGGCATGGCCGAGCGAGGACAGTTGCTCTCTGATGACTCACATTTTGTCAAAATGCTCTCGGATGTTGCCCTTCTCAGGACACTTCTGGTCCTGCAGCTTTTGCAATAGCTTGACGGACATAACTTGAGAACACTTCTCGAAGGGGTTGGGTAGGTACATAAAGATCTCTCCTGCTGTCACCAAGTTCTTGACTTGTATGAACAGGGAATCAGGGATCGTTCCAGCAATTTGCTGCGTCAATATTGCCTCGCCCATGCACCATTCCTTCATAGCAGTCCTGTACACTGAGAGCTCTCTTATCTCGTCTGGCGTGGTTGGTATCCATGATGCTCCTCTTCCTGACAACATCAAGGGATCTACTGGTTTCTTCTCAGTCCCTTCTAGGTGACCGAGCAACCCACGAGCATCAACAGACCACGACAACCTATCCTTATAGGTCATCCAGTTTTCTCTGTCTGCGATGAGTTTTGGGATGCGGAGAAAATCATCTCCGAGTTTGGTGCTTGAGCTGGACATGGTGGCAGGCTTGTTTTTGTGTACTGTAGTCTAGTTTTAATTAACGAGTGCAGGGCTCATAACCTGCAGCGAGTACATGAGCTCAGTGGACTTGGTAGAAGTCACTATATTGAATGTATATATCTGCAGCGAGTACACGAGCTGTGGGAGCCATTAGGGACGCTCAAAGTTGGGCGCACACATCACACACCGCACACCTGCACACACACACGACCCCCTCGCACATGCACCCCTACCCAAAATGGTAACCTTAGATAATTGTCGGACTTTAGACTAAATCTTGCAGCGCACAGTGCCGAACAATACTCTACAGTACTTGTCGTGAATGGTCTATAGCTAAAGCAGCGTTCTTAAACCTTGCCCAAACCAGTTCCAAACCTCGTCATCCCTAAACCCCAGTGAAAAACGGTCCTAGCCATATCTATGGCAAACAACGGAAATATTAGTTTTATTCTAAGAATATTGTGATAACTACACAAATCGATAAATGTAAACTTACGTCAACAACGCTAGATCACTGCGCTGAGTAAATGTGTTCGATCTGCTCATGTTCTGACATTTTGCATACTCAATCGTACACTAATCAATTGATCACACAAATTGTGCAACGATTCGATTACAATCACACACTCATTTTTTGTACACAAGTACTTGATTATTTTATGTAATCAATTCAAAGTCGTATTTCAAGTGATCACGTGATGTATAATATATGAAAAGGCACAACATGGTATATACTGAACAATACACTGTGTGGAAAGGGTTTAGAAGGTTTTAAAAGGACTGGTCAAGTACAGAGGTTGAGGCAGGGTTGTGGATGTTGGACCTAGTGGTTGGCTGATGAGCTCGACTTGGAAAGACCCGAAATGTTATCTAAGTTGCCGGTTTGGGGACAAAGTCTAGGCCAAACATGGCAAGGGTTACAATGGCCCGTAAGGTTTAGGGATGACGAGGTTTGGAACTGGTTCGGGCAAGGTTTAAGAACGCTGCTTTAGCTATAGACCATTCACGACAAGTACTGTAGAGTATTGTTCGGCGCTGCGCGCCGCAAGATTTAGTCTAAAGTCCGACGATTATCTAAGGTTACCGTTTTGGGTAGGGGTGCATGTGCGAGGGGGTCGTGTGCGTGTGCGGTGTGCGGTGTGCGACGTGTGCGCCCAACTTTGAGCGTCCCTATTAGCTAGATGTAAGTAGTATGGATAATCTGTACCGACCTCAGTGGACTTGGTAGAAGTCACTGAGGAAGTTCTGCGTGCGAACGAAGGTAAAACGAAGGTGCTTATGTAACGTAGGTATAACATTATGGACATAGCGAACGTTATAATGTGCAACACGACAACAGTGTGTCGATGTTCCAGACTGCCTCCGTGCCTTGTGACCCATGGCCAATCACATCAATCTCTTCGATAAATCCCGCAGGTGTGATTCCTTTATCAACCTTCTCCAGCTCATCGGCACCCCACAGAAGTCGGGGATAGTACCTTACCTTACCAACTTCTCCGAAAATATGAATTGTGGGCCGAAGAAGGGGAACCCGATACTGTGCCGAACTAGTCAAGAACTAACAGCAGTATTACGGCGTTGCAGATTCTAGAACCATGTTATCAGACTGCGATCAGACTGGCATGGCTTTCATGAACGGCAAATCTCAGGCCTCACACTCCACCCATCATGTCACTGTCCCAAGTATGTGGAATCGGAATCCTCTCGATTGCTCTATGGAAGATATTTGGAAGGCTATCGAGAAAACCCAAAATTGATCTTGATGGTCCCAAGAATGACCGCTGGCTGACAGGTTCTTGGCTGAAGCTTGAGATCACACTCATTTATCTGACGTGCGAATGCCAGGCAACATGCCGAAGGTGTTTCAAGAAGGCCTTGACTACTGTCTAGGACTGGCTGAAAATTACGGTGGAGCAGTCAAATTACAAAGTGTATTTGGAGTAAGTTCAAGTGTGAAGTGCCATCACTCTGAAGAACCCTTGCGAATGTTGTTCTCCCCAGGAAGCCCTGTATATATCTGATCCACTGGCGTTGTATCATGTTGTGGTGAAAGACCAACATATCTTTGAGGCAGCCGATGTCTTCATCATGTCAGGATTTGTTGCTCGTTTATTATGTTGCCGCATAGATTGACTTCATGTTATAAAGGAACAACAAGGTAATCTTCGGAGACGGTCTAATAGCCACTGTCGGTACGAGGCATCACGGTAGGGGGTTCATGAGAGGTATCTGACAACATCGTCTAGGAGAGCAGCATCGGAGGCAACGCAAGCTACTTAACCCTGTCTTCTCGACTTCCAATATGCGAGAATTACTACCCACATTGCAGCTCCTTGCACATAAGCTAACCTCTATCCTCGTAACTAAGCTTCCGGATGATGGGTGTAAGTAGTTTCACACTCATCGATAATATGCATCAATATGGGCGGTTTGATTTGACATTTGAAACAGCATGCACAGAGATCGATGTACTGCCTTGGCTATCTCGCAGTGCCCTTGATAGCGTCTGCCAGGCGATCCTTGGTCATCCAAGCAATACTCTAGAGGCTGTAGAAAACGACGAGTATACTGAAGCACTCCGGATGATAAGGTACGTGATACGAGTTACAGCCCCTTTTTATGACCGTAAGATTGTTCACTCGACGTTGTAGCCCCATGGTATCAAAGCTCATGCAGCTGCGGCCATTCGTGCCAATGGTTATGCACAACTTCTCACCATACTGGACAAGGAAGCTTGTGGATTGGATCACGGCGCCTTGGATACCCACCCAAATGATGAATGATGTGCGAAATATGCGACGAATCGTTGAACTTATGGACAACGGTAGCAAGAAAGCCTTCGCAGAGAAAAAGGCAGCACTGGAGACTTCAACTACTTTATCTCCTGCTGATACCAATCCTGAAGTCGGTGATCTCGAGCCAGGTCGGGGGAAAGATATGATGAACATCATGCGTCAGTTCCGTGAACGTTCTAGTCCGCATTTTCACTAAGCTATAGTCCAGTCAAGGCAAACTCTGCGTCTTCTAGTTCAGAGCAGCTCACCGATGCTGAGCTGTTGGGACAAATGAAGTAAGCTATCCACTCATCATAAGCAGGGAAAATTTAACCTGTTGCAGCGTCATGGTATTCGCTGGCTTAGATTCGACCACCTCTGCTCTGTCTCATTGCGTTTACTTGCTCGCCAAGAATCCACTGGCCCAAGCTCGATTGAGAAGCGAAATCCGTGATGCTATCGGGAGTGTGTCTCTCACACAGGACGGTTCTTCGTTTTTCGAGCAAGAAAATCCACTTCTTAATCTGTCCTATGATGCGCTGACGAATCTTCCATTCCTTGACGGAGTTGTCAGAGAGACATTGAGGCTTTATCCTTCTTTTCCACACATGCCCCGACAGTATGTCGTTCATCTTCACCAGGACCACTAATTGAGTACTTCGACAGAGTGAGGAAGGCAACTACGCTTCCACTTCAATTCCCGGTTCGCTCGTCATCCGGAGCCGAAGTATCCGCTATTGCAGTGCCTGAGAAATCATTTGTCATCATCTCAATTTTGGCTGCAAACCGCAATCGAAAGATATGGGGTGATGATGCGAATGAATGGAAACCTGAGCGATGGCTTTCTTCTTCGGGGAGAAAAGATGCTCCAGGGACGGATGATCCCTTCGATGGTGCCGAGGTGCTGCCATCGAAGCCATCCATCGGGGTCAAAGACGGCATCAGGTATCCTGGTGTTTACTCCAACATGTCAGTCTTTACCTATTAGGTCATGGTATTATGTTCATTGACCATACGCAGGATGACTTTCCTCGGCGGTAGTCGTTCCTGCATGTCAGTCAGACACGCAACATAACATGACCATCTGTACAACTAACGTCATATCTTACAGCGGGTTCAAGTTTGCCGAAATGGAAATGAGTAAGTCCCAATCGCACGTTGTGTATGATTGTTGAGTCTAATCAGTCTTGACTCATCAGAGGAAATCCTCGCGGCGCTTATGCTTCGTATGCATTTTGAGCTGCCAACTGATCAGGATGCCAACGGACATACCAAAGAAATTCAGTGGAAGTTGGAGGCATTCTTCACACCTGTCGTGAAGACACCAGCTGGAGATGGGGTCACGCCGCAGGTCCCACTGAATGTTCGACTGGTGCGAGAGGAAGACTTTACATGGTAGGAGTATGCTGGGAATCGTGGTGTAAATTATGTCTCACAAAGATAACCGTGTGTGGTTAGTGGTTGGTTTCACTCTACCGTGAGGCGGTCGATATGAAGATCGAATTGAAACGCGAGTATGTAACACATAGTTATCAAACCTTCCTCGCAATTGCGGAGATGATTGAGGTTGAGGTCAACAAACGCACCGAGGTTGTCCATCAACTTGACTACTATCAATGGTGATGATGTTCGCACGTATATCGCCTCCTATTAGGTGAGAACCTATTTGGGCTTCGACACGTTGTCCGACGTTTTCCGGTTTACTCAACAGCTTAGACTTGTTTCCTATCATCTTAATTTTTTTTTTGGATTTTTGGTCTACGGGTTGAGCCCAGCTCAACGCAGGTATTTCTCGTCATAGGTTCCGTGCTTTGGACACCCGTAATCCTCGAATCATGCAACTCTCCGCAGCTGAACTCCAGGTCAGTCTGTTTCTCCGTACGTACACGACAAACTAGCCTGACGAAGGGTATTTGCAATCTTAGAAGAGACACGAACTCGAAGGAGCTCCCGATCCATTCCCATCTCTCGGCGAGGCGACACCCATTAAGCCCAGACGTGGCGTTCAGGACTCTGCTGACGCAGACTCGGATTTCCCAACTCTCGCCCCTTCCGCACCTGCCACCGCTTTACCTGGCAAGTCTGCTTGGGGCTCTGATGCTGGCCCTCGCATCAAGGCTACCATCAAGGCTACACCAGTCATTACAGATTCTTTCACGATCACTCAAGTCGAACTTCCTGTCAAGGATGGCAAACAGACTTCGCTCGGTGAAGTCATGAAGCAGGTCCTTACAATGTTTAAGGTCAAAATAGAGGCATCGACAAATCAGAGTCGGCAGACTACCTTCCACATGAAGGCTGAGGTTCAAAAGGAGATTGACAAGGCTAAGCGTCACCTGCTGGCCACTTTGAGCCCCATGGTACATCCCCCATTTTCTAAGCCGCCTCTTTCTGCATTTGAACTGTGTTACTAGGTGACTTTGACTTTGAATGCCCCCGCATCCACCATTCCTGCTATAATCGGTCTCAAAGGTAGGATTTTTCATTCCGTAACTTTCCGTGAATTTATCGTTCATACTTATAGGCGCTACTCTCAACAAGGTTCGCGAGGCTACAGGTGTCAAGGTCGATATTCCTCGGAGGGACGGTACAGCCAACGGACATGCAAGCGGAACAACAAACGGAACTACTACCCCCATCCCAGGCGATGAGGAAGAGGAGGTTATGATACCCATCACTATCGTCGGCGCGCACCCGCTTGCCTTGGAAGCTCAGGCAACGTTTAAGGAGATCATCGCTTCTCGGACTTCGAAGATTACCCAAAGGGTTCGAGACATTCCGGCTCATATTCTACCTTTCGTCCTTTATCGCCGCAGCCTCTTCATCGAGTCAGCGCAAGGTCTCGATGTTAATCTCGCCTTAAACCAATCTGAACGGGAGATCACTGTCAGTGGAGATCGCGAGGGCGTCATTCGTGTTGTCGAGACCATCAAAGCTACCATCGAAGCATTCAGGACGAGCATAACTAGTCTTAAGATGTCTTTACCCAAGCGCCAGCATCGTCTTCTTGCTGGTAAAGCAGTCGACGAAATCATGGTGCAGAGCAAATGTTTGGTTATCGTTGCTTCCCCCGAGGATCCTGGCGACGAGGTCACGGTGTGGGGCATGGCAGATGATCTTCCTACTGGTTTGAGTGCTGTCATGACCAAGGCGAATTCGCAATTCATTCACGAGTTCCCTCTACCTGGTCCCCTGACGGTTTCAAAACAACTCCTCGCATATATGACACGTATCAACTACTCAAAGACCTTGGCTAATGCACATCCTGATGCCTCGATCTTTACACCATCCCCTGCTACCATTGCTCAAGCATCAGTTCTCAACATCGACATTGTTGGTGAGAAACCGGTGGTGGACGCGGTGGTTAGGCAGATCTCAGAGTTGATTGGCAAACTCATTGGTGCAACGAAGGAAGTTTCTATTGATTGGCTCATCCACCGCGTTATCCAGGGTAAAAATGCTAAGAAGTGCGTATGATCTGCGATATGGCTGAAGGACGAAGCTTATCCGATATGACTAGATTAAAGCAGTTCCACGAGGGGCACAATGTTCAGGTTTTCTTCCCTCTGGAGTCTGCCGAGGAATCTCAGGTTCTATTGGTTTACGATCCCCTTTCTCCTTCGGCGTCGCCCTCGCCTGTGGAGAAAGAGAAGCATTTAGATGATGTCGCGAAAGAGCTCCTCAAGATGGCCAAAGAAGTTGCGGATGTGAAAAGCCAGACCATCTCGGTCGAAAAACGCTGGCACGAAGCTGTCGTTGGTCAAGGAGGCACGACTTTGAATGCGTGAGTTCGTCATTTCATGGGACGAGCACATTAACGAACGTGTTCCAGTATCATCGGTGAGGACAAGACACTCTCTATCAAGGTTGGTGCACAAGTTGGCGACGCATCCGGCGAAGATGTTATCCTTGTCCGCGGCGCCAGCACCGATGTCGATCGTGTCATCAAAGAGATCCTGCAGGTCGTCGAGGATGCTAAGAATGATGCCATTGTCAGCAGCTATGTAAGTTTGGGATTTTGTAGCTATTGCTCTGGCTGATTTATTCTGCAACGTAGTCCACCGAATTTGACATTGATCGGGAGTATGCTGGCCACGTCGTGGGCGCACAGGGCTCAGGCATCAACAGGCTTCGCGATATTCTCGGTGTGAAGGTTGATGTCTCGAACGAATCTGATGAGAAGGAAAAAGAGGCAGGCAAGAAAAAGAAGGCCGCTCATCAGAAATCCAAGGTCAAGGTAGCCGCCTTACTTACCTTTCTTTCCTTTCCCCCTTTCTCACTTCATTTGCAAACAGATTACTGGTCGTAAGGAAAACGTAGAGGAAGCCAAAAAACGGATCTTGTCGCAAGTTGAGAGGCTTGTAAGTTATGGCATAACTTGATAGTCCCGTTTTTAACACTCCCCCAGGCCGACGAGACTTCTGAAGTTTTGAAAATCCCTAACCAGTACCACGCCCAGCTCATTGGTCAGAGTGGCAGGTACGCCATTCGGCTGGAGGAGAAGTACAGTGTCAAGATCACATTCCCTCGTTCATTCACCGACAACGGGGAGGGTAAGACCAGGGAGCAACTCAAGCCTGATGAGGTCCTTATCAAGGGTGGCAAGAAGGGCGTTGCTGGTGCAAAGTCCGAGTTACTTGACGCTCTGGAGTTTGAGAAAGAATCTAACAAAGTTCTCAAATTCGATGTCCCCATTCGTGCCGTCTCCCGTATCCTTGGCAAAGGCGGTGTCACCATCAACGAGATCAAGGATGACACTGGCGCCCAAATTGATGTCGATAAAACTAACGATGGGAATGGTACTGTCACGCAGATCACGGTCCGTGGCACAAAGGAAGCAATCAATGCCGCAAAGAGCGCCATCTTGGCTATAGCTGATCAAGTCGGCGAGGAAACCACAGCATCCCTGGTCATCGAAACCAAGTTCCACCGTACCATTATTGGTGCTGGTGGGCAGGGTTTGAAAGATCTCATCATCCGGTGTGGTGGTCCTTCTGACACCAAACTCCAAGCTGGGCTTGTCCGGTTGTATGTTTGTCCTAGTTGTATCTTGGCGTTTTGCTAACGTTTTTGTCAGCCCTCGCCAGGGTGAAACTTCTGATGATGTTCGCCTCCGCGGAGAGCCCAACTTGGTTAACAGGGTCAAAGAAGAACTTGAGAAAATGGTGGCCACTTTCCGTGACCGTGTTGTTCTGGCTGTGGAGATTCCGGCGTCGCAGCACCGTACATTGATCGGCAGAGGTGGCCAACATCTGAATGACCTTCAGAACCGATTTGGAGTTCAAGTGCAGTTCCCTGGGTCGCGTTCATATAATCAACTCGACGGCCCCGAAAATGCAAGTGATGTGGCGGACACTGATCCAGCCGACGTCGTCAAGGTTTCTGGTCCTCACAAAGCCTGTGAGGCGGCAATTGCCGAGCTCAAGGTATGCAACACCTCTTTTGTTTGCCATTTTCTCGTTCTTATATTCCCTGCAGACCCAGGTGAAGCCTGCTGCTCCCGAGAGCGTGACGGCGATCGTCTCAGTACCACTGAAGTACCACCACGCCATTTCACAGCAGGGCCACTTCTTCCGTACTTTGCGCAACTTCGGGGTTTCCGTCGAGCAATCTGCCAAGCCTCAGAAGCCAGCAGTCCCTACTGCTCCCCCTCAAAATGGCTCTACGACCGCCCGTATTGATGATACTGAGGATGTGCCATCCGTCGAAATTCACTGGCACGTCGCTGAAAACTATCTAGACGCTGAGGAAGGCGACTCTGAGTGGACTTTGAAGGGCAGTGACGCTGCTGGTCTGGAGCGGGCCCAGAGCCTCATCCAGGAAGCTATTGAGCAGGCTGCAGCCATGACATGTGTGGGCTTTTTGACCCTCCCTGACCGCTCTGCGTTCCCGAGAATTGTAGGTTCAAAGGGTTCCAACGTCTCTCGCCTTCGAAACGAGACCGGAGCTGACATTACGGTCGGGAGAGACAACAGTACTATTGTCATCATTGGTAAGTCGGTTCACCTATGCGAGATCACTGTTTGACGTGGTACTTCAGGTTCTGAGTCTGCTGTTGATGCTGCCAAAGAAGCAATCTTGAAGCAAACATCTTCGTCTGGCCGCCACTGAGATGTTTACCATGTTGTTAGGTTAGGTGTACTTCATACTGTTGTCTTGAAAATCATTAGCGGACCGGACCACACACTATCTAGTCACACTATTCTCTGCAATACAATCGGGCGGATATTGAAATATTCAATCCATCAAAGAGGGACACCATCGACATCATCTGCATCCATAGACATTCCGTCCAGGTCTTCCATCGGCTCGCCGTCGACGTCAGGGTCCTCGCTATGATCCAGGGGAACACCGTCAACGTCATCATCAAGGGGTGCACCATCCACATCTACATCTATTGGCTCTCCATCCACATCCATATCTTCGATCGGTGCGCCGTCGAGATCATCGGTGTCGTCTGCAGAACCAGGGGCTGCCACATCCTGTGCAGGCTGGAAAGACTTCGCTTTGAACTTGGAAACATATGAAGATTGCGCCTCAGCTGCAGCAATGCCAACGTCCTCTGCCTTTGGCTGGTTCAAATCAGCCTGCGTGGCGCCGTCCAGCCTAGCACGCAGTTCCGCAGTAAAGTCTGGAGGAAAGACAATCCAGTCCTCCCAGATGTCGACTACTGCAGTGATCTGGTTCTTGAACGTTTCCGCGGTGATCCGACCAGGAAAAGAGTGATAAATGGTGGCGAAATGATCGAACACTACTCCCAAGCGAGACTGGAATTCCTGGCGAAACTTCCATGCGCTTGGTACTGGGGCTGCTGAGTTGTGCAAAATGTCACAGATGAGATGCAACCGAGCAATCTTGCGCGGCACAGGCGTCCCATCCACCAAGAGTGAAGAGATAATTATATCAGATACCTAACATGGTTAGAATGGAGCTTTCTTTTGGAGAATGTAACTGTACCTCACGAGCGGCTTCCGCGTGCTCCAAACTAAATGTCATACAGCGAGCGAGCTCGCCTCTCTTGCCAGTAACACCGCGAAGCATTGCCTCGAACCGTTTGCGAGCTAGCTTGCCTAGAACAGCTTTGCGAGTTCGCTCTTGCTCTGACTCTTCCGCAGAATCGGTCGAGTAAGTCGAATTATATCCCTGGCAAATGTTTAGCATGGTTTACTACGCAAAAGCTATGCGCACACCTCGTCATCAAATTCTGCGCCTGTAAAATCGTCTCGCTCGACTAGACCTTTGTAGAATGCGTGCCGCCGGTGCTTTGCGCACAGTCCGTCAACATCCTCATGGAAGAAATAATTTGGCATACCTTGCGCTGCGTCATGAAAGAGTACCTGGGGTTGTTCCTTTCCCATTCACGGAGATTCTCTTCGTACTCGGGTCCATGGCCTTTGACCTCAGCGGCCACAGCACGAATAAATGTGTCGGTGACAGCAGCGGCCTCATCTTCCGAGTCGTACCTTCTCGAGGGGCTGGGCGACCGCCTGCGTGGACTGCGGCTGTCATAGCGTGAACGACTGTATGAGTGCCGCCGCCGGGGTGAGCGACTATCATCTGGGGAACGACTACGAGAACGTCTAGAGGACCGATAGCGTCCCGTAGAGCGAGACCGTGAGTGACGCCTTGGCGAATGTGACCTGCTCCTCCCCCTACGTTCCTGTCCACGCGATCTCGATCTCGACCTCGACCTGGATGTCTTGCTCGGTACTATAAAACGCATGAAAAAAACGCCTCAAAGCAAATGCTATGATCTCTACCATAAAGAGCCTTTGCAGCCATAGGCACAGCTTTGCTCCATCCCACACGAAGAACCGAGCCCCCCCAATCAAGGCCATCGACCTCCCTCAGAGCAGCTTCTGCATCTTTACGCTTCATAAAGGACACGAAGCCGCTTAACCCGGCATTTCTGTTGCGGCGTGAAGCAGTCATGTCACCACCAGGACCAGAAACAACATCTCCTCGTGGCCACATGATTTTTACCGAACCAACGGGACCATGACGGGCAAAAAATGTCCCAAGAGATTGCTCGGTAACACTAGAGGGTAAATTGGCCACAAAAAGATTGGAAGTCTGCGAATGAAATCATTGAAAAATGAGAAAACAAAAATTTGTGAAGTCAACACTCACCTCAGGATCACCGCGGTCTTTGCTACCACTCTGCCCTTCATATGCTGTAATGCAAAAACATTTGACTTGATTGTGATAAGAGCAGATGAAAACTCACCTGCTAAAGCAGTCACTGACCGTCCATGGGCAGAACGGGAATACCTGGCCTCTCGCATAGCTTGCTCCCTGAAAGAATGGTGAATAAACGCGCTTGAGAGCAAGAACTTAGTTACCTCTTGATCTCTTCAAGAAATGAGTCCATGGCTCGTTTACCTTTCGGTTTCGGAGCATTACTTGATGCAGTGGACTAGTCAAGAACATAAGCACAACTGAAGGTTGCTCGCATAAAGCAGTCCACCTACGTCATCTTCATTGGATAAAACTGGCCTGGTGCGTGACGAAGACTCCGCAGAACCTCTGACTGGCGGTTGGTAAGACACTTTCGTACCGTCCGATGCGCGAACGAATCCTGAACCAGCCTTCCGCTTGTCTACACTTTCCCCCTCAAACGCATCAATGAAATCAGCATATGCCTTTGCAGCACTCTCTTCCTCCTCTCGTTTTTTTGCATCGGCAGCCTCCTTCTCCTTTTCTCGGCGGGACTTGCGAACAGTGCCTTGCGCGTATTGCGATAACTTCATGTCGTCGACGGTCTTTTGCTAATGTATGAAGCGATTGGTAAGTGTTTCAAGGACATAAATAATGCCTATTCGTCGCACTGGGAACGAGGAATCTTCGTCGTCGTCGAAGAACGCGGCCAGTCTTGATTTTGTCTTGTCCATTGCACTTCACAAGTCTTAAAGTCACCAAGTAGAAGAGTTAAATATGATACTTAAGCGTAACTGGCGACTGGTAACTACAGGTAGTAAGATTCCCACGCGCCCTTGCCCATTACAACATCTAATAAGTACACCTAAATGCCAGCATGCGAGATTCATCACGAAGATCTACATCATCAAGCTTGCCAGACCGCCTTGTGCGTATGCCATCGGTTTCATTGGCGGATGAGGTGTAGCTTCGAATTGGAAGTACTTTTGTTCTCCTTCTGCATCTATTCGTATCTAGCAAGGGTGTGAGTATTCGAAATCTTGACGAACAGTATACAGACATACAAATGCTCCCTTGTTTCCCACTTGATCCACGTAGTTTGGGGCTGAAAAGACGGTTGTGCAGAGGCCATCATGCTCTACGGCGTACCCGTCTGCGGAACCAAAATTGGCGTCAAGGTCCTTGAAAGCAACAGAAACACTCACCCTGACGAACTTCATGGCTCCGAATGATGCAAGTAATGCCATTTAGTAAACACCACCTCTTCGTAACGTCGGGACCGAACGCAATGCCGACACCCTGGAAAGGGAATTGTGAGCTTCGCGGCGATCGGACAGCTAACTAACGACATACGCGTTTGCTGGGGCCGCGACCAGGAAAGCGTTTGGGGATCAGTCCAGAGAAGCTGAAATGAACTTTAAGTGCATGCATGCATGAGTACAACATCAATACAGACATCGGCTAGGAGGCATGTCAGCAAGGACTGATTGGAAGAGCGGGAGGGTACGCACACATTAAGCCTTCTTGACCTGGCTGCCGTCCAATTCGAGGGATTTTGCGAACTTCATCTAGGGTGACACCATCTTTGCTGAATAGTCCGCCATGCACGACGAAGTATCTCTTGCGCCCTTCTGGTGACAGAATCGTTGTAGCACTTGTTGTGGCGGGTGCTTTCGTGGCGCTCACAAGCGTTGCCAATGGTACTGAAGAGCCCACGATCATTCAGCTGAGCTGAACAGACCCACACATACTTACAAGTGGTGAAAACGTGAGCGAATAACTGTTAAAGAAGTTGTAAGTACTTCAAATAAAAGAAGAACGGAGGCGATGGACCTTGTATGTCTGCTCTCCGTGTTTATGCTTTGCCTCGCCTTCGAAGCCATATGTTCGGTTCATGTCTTTTGCTTCGTGATTACCTCTATTGATGAACATGCGTGTAGGGTATAACCCTTGCGTGACTTCAGTATTGAAGCCCTTCATATAGTTACTGTGCTCACATTTGTATGCGAAAGCGGTAAGAATAACCTCAATGGACCACGATCCCCGATCAACAAGATCACCATTCATAAGAAGACAATGCTTCTCGGTGGGTGTACCCGTCAACGAGTATAGATGCAATAAATCATAGAATTGACCTAGAATAAACACAGTTAGCAAAAACCAAGATCAAGTGCTGCAGCGCTCAGACCGACCGTGAACATCTCCAATGACGTCGCACGTCATGCCCTCTTCCACGTCTAAGTTTACAAGACTTTCGTCTTTCACAAAATGCGAACATGCTCCAAGAATGATTTCCCATGCGTACCGTCTTGGAAGATTTTTGCCCGACTTGAACCATTCGATCATTCCTTGGATAAACTCCTCCGTCATCACATATTTTCCGTCATCCCCAATGCTCAACCGTGGACCGACATATGTTTTTTCGACCTCACAGCCGCCTGAAAATAATGAAAAGGCAGATGTTATGGTCATTAAAATCGCTGACCTTCTGCAATAATCTCGTGACATCTTTCTACAGGGTTTTTCTCCCCTTCTACTTCGATTGCCTGCCCAGAAGATCAGCCACGAAACTAGCTAGAAGTACAGAACATACCTTCTCAAATTCTATCCTGCGTACGAGCTTTTGGGTAGCTGTGAGCTGTGATTGGACAACTTTATTTCCTGGCTCTAGCACGACGACTTTCTTGAAATCCGCGATCGCTAGCTGAGGTTTCGCAATTTGTAGATAGCATGTTGCACGGCTAAGGATGAGCGCTTAACGCTTAGATTATTTTGCACCCACAACCTGCCACATACCGATAATAGGCCTTGGCATATTTAGGATCGACTTCGATGGCCTTTGCTGTAGTCCCGTAAGATGCCAAAACACCTGGAGCGATTCATACAGGAACTTACAAGCATCCGCAAGCGCGAACCCATATTCTTCTAATTTTGTTCGAGCTGCAGCGCGATTGCACCAATACGTTGCATCCAACGGGTTCAGCTCTATGGCCAGGGAGTAGAGTCTGATAGCCTCTACGAAGTCATGACCTGTCGAGCAGATCGCCCCAACCTTCAAGATCAGCGCGAATTTACAGTGTCGATATTCAACACGCACTTGCGAACGCCTGATTTGCCTCTGCCTTGATCTTTGCGGCCTGTGCCCGATCCTCGTCAGTCACATCTTTTAGACTGAGGGATTGGATCTCCGGAGAGGGGAGAGATGATAGCGCCGTTGATGCCCGAGACAAAGGCGCAGAAGACGATGAATCACTCATATGATGAAGAGCTCACTAGGAAGTGTATATCGTGATCTGCAGCCCAGTGGTCATTAATGTACCTCAACCTCTGAAATTTTCTGAGAAAGGAAATTCTCGTCGGTGGCTTTATATCAACAGGCTAGAGCCTTAGACTGCCTTAGACAGTTGAGGTTAGGGATGTTCGATGAAGACTAAGATTCGCACACAAAGGAGCTCTATACTAACCAGAAAAAATAAGTACAATAACAGGACAGACAGCGTCACTATAAAGCAGGTATAAGGGTATGTGGTATCAGGATCGTTTCAAACTCTCGCTTAATGCTAATAAATGTGTCTAAAATAGAGTGCCAGTGAAAATGGTTGCGATGGGAGCGAATGTCGCTTATTGGCAGACGTTCAGGTTGAAGTACTTCCCAAGAGGAGGGTTGTGCTGGTAGGCATTGACATCCTGGCACCACCCGTTCAAGAATTGGTGCAAACTATGGACACGTAGGATTAGATCGCAACACCCCAAGAAACATAAAGACATACTAGTCGAGGTTGTTCTGCTCCCTGCAGTTACCGCCGTGGGCAGCAGCGGTTGCGTCGTCCTGTACAATTATCATCAACACCGGGATTCATAAAGTATGGCGATAAAATAAATACATAAGTCATCCCCTTGAACCAGCCATTATAATGACCAATGCAGGTGAGAAGGTCGCCGTCGTTGTCATTGAGCAGCTGTGAGAAGAACTTGGCACCAGCACCGATGTTGAAATCCTGGGCAGAAGTATGGAAATGATCAAGACGATGCATCTGAAATGATAGCGACATGACTTACAACGTCCTTGCAATCACCATTTGGAGCACCAACGCACTTGTCACTGGTGAGCTGCATTAAACCTTGCTCGCCAGCTCCACCGACGGTGCTCGGAATACACGAACTCTCCTGCATGGCAAAAGATGCGATGAGAATAGCAGGGACTATCGCTCAATGTCAGATGGAAACATAACAAGGACTTGATGAATGACACCGACTTCCATACTGGCTACCGTATTTCTCAAATATCGGAACGAAGTCCTTGCAATTTGTGAATGCAGAACCATCTTGGTATGCGACTGCTGACAAGTCAGCAGTAACGATATTCTGGATTGTCAGCACAGGTGGCTCCCATCCGCCACTATTAATCCCGCAGGTCAGGAAATCAATATGGCCATTCGGACCGCTCAATGCAGTGATTTCCTCTAGCAAAGATGTGTCATCAGCAACCATCCCTCCGTCACTTGCAATTCAGGAAAGTCGCACTTGTTGCACCGCTAGATCCACAACCGTTGGAAGAGACGACTTGGACAAGTCCACCTCCAGAGTTGTTGTTACCAGATCCGTTATCAGATGTCGGGGGCTGAGGAGCTGGTGAAGTTGGGGGTGGAGTCGGAGTCGATGTTGCAGTCAGAGTCGATGTTGCAGTCGGAGTCGATGTTGCAGTCGGAGCCGATGTTGCCGTCGAACCTGAAGCTGAGGTTGAATTTGCAAACGATGCAGGAGCTGACGGTGTAGGAGTTTCCGAGCTGACCTATACAGTGCGGTACAATAGCACGGGTGCAAAGAATTCCTAATAAGCTTCTCCGCAGACAACATTCAAATTCAAAACACGACTGACGGGTCTCGGCCTGCAGGTTTTGTTCCTCCGTAGCTTGGGTGCGTTAATACCAAACGCACCCTTGTTTCGAGCAGCAAGAGTGGCATGTCTACCCAGCACAGAAGGCTTCTCGAAGCTGTGTCCAGCTTGGACGGCGACGGCGACGGCGACGGTGGTGAGCACAGCAAGAAGTGACGCGGTGAGTTTCATTGCGCAGACTGACAGGAATAAACGAGTGGACTGTTTTAATGATAGGCAGAGATGAAAGGCGGCAGAACCAGTTCAACCGAGAAGATGAGTGAAGAGAAAGATGAGACAAACTTGAGTGAGCGGAAGACAAAAGAATATGTGACTATGTTGTATCACACATTATTACATATAGCTCGGCAAGCGAAGTGTTTGTGCTTCTGGGCCTTGTGGCGTAGTTTGGACCATCGCTCGGGACTAGCTTCGGGTGAGCAGGTGACCCTCATTGTTATTGTCGTTCTTCAGCAAAATTTGGCGGCGCTACATTCTGATTGCGTTCCGGTATTTAGAATCGCCCGACGACGATCTTGTATATATAGTATTAGCCCGACATGAGTCCCGGAGGCAACAGATACTCACATCGCAGGTCTTAGGTCTCCCAAGCTCAGTGACGCCGTCTTGGGTCTTGGAAGTGGTTCAACAGACCGGCTTAGAATCATGCGTTCCACCCTAGTAGGTGCGAAACAGAACATCTATTACGTGAAGGTGCGAGGCAATTCAAGACAACACACTGCACTGTTTTCGTAGGTAAGCTGAGCGCGTATTCAAGAATCAACAATTGTAACAGTTAACTTACAGCGCCGATTTTCGTTGCCTAAGAGGGACTCTGCTTCTCGTCACTTAATGCATGTCCATCGACATGGTACATCTCCATCTCAAGTTGTCTGGATTCCTCTTAGAGACGGTTGATGACTACTTATATATGACTCGAGTTCGAGCGCCTTTGCGCCACTATCTGTGGCTATGGTTTCTGATGTTCACTAGCACTGCTTGCCAACAGTTTCGACTGTCTGACTGTCGAGCCTAGTACGGTTCGGGTGCCTATGGCGGGACTGCTACTTATCTTTCACAGCAACCACTCGGTGCGATTTGATTGGTCGCATTCCGTGCACCCCATTTCCTATCTACACAGATGGTTTTCTACATCCTTCTGTGTGAGAGATCTCACGGCTTTGGATGGGTTCGTGCAACCTCATGGTGGGAGTTTCCAGTTTGATTTAGACATGTTCCTGATAATGGTTTGTTTCCACTGCTGACATCCATGTAGGCTCACATAGTATCCCTCAAGTGGAGCTCCTCTGTCGCCCATACAAGTCCTACCGTTGCTCTCGTGATCTCATCAGACTACTCCTTGGCAAGTGAGTTACTTCCCTGCCCAAGCAGGTTCTTGTGCTCCCGAACAGGGGTATTTTGCATCCCAGTGAATGAGGTGTTAGTTATAATTTGCTGCCCGGTACAGTGTATTCAAACTCGCACCTAATACACGCATCGTGTATAGCGTTTTTGTCCACTTCAGGTCGGTGCAACTCTCTCCACTCTATCTTGAACCGGATTCCGCGTGCTGTCGGAGCCTCGGAAAGGATCCTGGTGCTACAAGCAGTTTTGGCTTTGTTGCGTTCAGAGACACGAGAGAATATTACGTGGAAGGGTGTGGAGTTGAACAACCAGTGTTCAAACCCTTTTAAAACCCTCCGTCATAGTATTGGCCAGTGTGACTCCAACTAGATGCTGACAAAGGTGAGTGACAGAACCTTTGTTGAAAGCAATTTAAAATCTGACGCCAGAAAGCCGTCTCATCTCAAGGTGGTCTGACCTGGCAGGGAAGTTAATATATCGTACGTACATATTACGATTCGACAAGCACAAGTCAACGTTCTTGAAGTCTGGCTCATAACAACCAGGCCCCGAAACCCTGAGGGCATAAGTAATGACTTTCAGGTTCGTAGGGTAAACAACTGACCCAACCAGACGAGTCTTCCGTGCAGGCTCTCGGCGAATCAACCAGTTTAACAAGGTAACATCCCATTAGTGTACTATGTATGTAGGGCAATTCTATCTATGTAGTCTAGGGGGCCTGCCACACCTTTGAAATTGCGAATGCCCCAATTTGGGGGAGTTCCCCGTTGAATTGCCATTCTCGCCGGGTATTTTAGACGCACTTTCAGCGAAGATGGGAGACTGCTCTCCGTGGTGTGGATATAATCTCGTGAGGTGTCAACTGAAGGTCGTACTGAGGTAACGTTTTACACGTTATTGGGAGTTGTAGTACCTGTTTGATCAGAGGATGCGCGACGATAGGAATCATTTACCTGTAGAAGGACCACGTACATCATCAACTAAAACCACGTACTCGGAGCACCACCACCACAGGATAATGGAGCACTGCGATGGTCGCGGGACAACATGCCGACTCAATGTTGACTACGATATCGGCGGAAATTTTCTGCGATCATTGGATTATTGGCACGTTGACTCCACGTGTATTGTAAATGCACAGCTAGTACTAGTCATGTATGCACTAATTTTATTGCTCATGACAAGTTCTGGGGTCAGAAAACACATGGCGGACTAATGAAGCAGTACGCCGAGATCTACTGAGACCTCCGTGACGTAGATGGGCATTCGAGGAAGGGTGACTTGATAATTTCGACGGGCTGGCTGTATAGGACTGAGGAGTTGCGCAACTTGGAAGGCTTCCCCAATGGGACATTACAGGCCATGATGCATCAAGCCACTCTGGCAGGTGTCCGGTCTTAAGAGTCAAGGAGAGTCATGAGTCATGGAAATGACTGCGAGAAATTTGCTGCTTTGAGAAAATTAAGGATGAACTAATAAGACACATAGGGGCGCTATAGGAGGTCAGCTTCGTCGCTCAGGCCTCAGGATCCGATACAATAATAAGGAGACGAACAAGTCATCTTATCACGAGAATAACCCTGTGAATTCGGAGATCAGTTGAGTGTGAATTGTTTGACGTGGCATAACGAAACGGGCGGAGTGGGCGGACAAGGCGTTGTCTGTGTGGGTGAGGAAGAGCGGCGAATTTGAGTTACAGAATGGTAGGCAGCGCAGGAATTTCACTGCAGGGCAGTACTACCGGTGCGCAGTAATAGTATGAAAAACAACAACAAGTACTGCCACCGCCCCGATGACTCCATTGGGGATGGCGCAATCCCGACGATGAGGAAGGCGGGAAGCGTAGACCATAAACAGTGCTGTGGGAATACTAGTAGTTCTCAAGGTACAGGGAAATAAATTGCCCATTTACACACAGGTCTACAGCGAGCACATTCGGGTTTTGAAGATCTTCTAGGATATATACACAGGAACTAGAGAAGTACACTGGAGTGAGTACTGAAAGTCGAGGATAGGGAGACGGTGATTTCAGAAGTAACGGAAACTTGCGGATATGTAGCAAATATTGGGCGCGAACCTGATATGATATCTGAACACATGTTCATAGCAATTTTAGATCAACCAGGAGCTCAAGGATCCGGAGCTCGTCAGTAATAATTGTAGCTCGGACCATGTAGACAAATGTGAGTCAGTTATTGAGGCAGTGAGTCAGGGATTGGAGTCGGGAGTCGGGCAATGGAGTCGGGGAGTCGGGTACACGACGTGTCAAAGACCCCGAATGTAGGGTGTTCAGGGTCCTGATATACCCAGTGACTCCTTCAGCTTATAACGCCCGGCTCAAGCCTAAAACCATTCATCCTTCTCTGATTCTGAGTACTGCCAGGTACTGCCTCTCAACGACTATATCTAAGCTTTCCTCCAAATCTCCCGGATTCACCTACATTCACCTCATTTTTTGTGTTGTGTAGCCTTTTCGACAAGGCTATATAACTATCAGGATAGTCTAAAGTCACTTTAAGACTTTAGGCGTACTCCTGACTTTCAAGGAGTCACGATGTGCTCCTCAGTAATTCCGCGTCTTACCAGCCCGATCTCCGTAACCGTCTCTCAAGTCTGCAAACTTACTTTCAACTTCAAATTATCATCTGTAAACTCCATTAATGCTATCGCCAAGTCCTTCTAGATAATCCCGCTCAAGCTCGTTCTATCTGGCCTTCTAATATTTGCTCTCTCGTCTCGTGTCTTTAACTCTACTCAATTCTATGGTTCGCGCCGTCGCTCACTCATTGGCCCATCGAGGGCCACCAACAACAACGTCACATTCGCACACTCGGGTTCGCTGGCAACCCTATTATGCCAACATTTCCTCAGTTTCTTCCCGCCCCTCTCCTTCATATCTCATTACACCGGCTTCATCTGTATCTTCAATATCCCCTTCACCTCTATCAGTCTACGAGCAAGAACGCCCGCGAAATATTCAATTTCATCCTAGGGAATGCCAACTCCGCGACTCTCAGAAAACAAAATATGTAACTGGTTTAGTCGGTATGTTTAATTTCAGCTCCCATTTTTGGCTTCCAATCTGAATTTCGGCGTCCGTATCCGTCAATAGATCAAGCTGTAAAATCAATATGCGAAATATGGCATCCTCAAGACATCCCTTTCGTTTTCTTGACGTCTTCTCGTCCGACTGTTGCGACCCCTTCTACCGACTCCGTTATTGCATCCCTTCCAAGTACTTCACTGCGTAGGCGTAACACTCAACTCCCCTCTCCCATATCTCCAACGACACAGCCATCTCCCACGCCCGCCCCATGCATTCCAAATTCGTACTCACTCCATTCGCCCGAGATCCCCCTGACGCCCGGTTCGGGCGATCACACGCCGCGGTGCGACGTTGCGCCCATGAAAGGGTTTGTACACGAGGTGCTTCGTCGCTCTCGCACGTCAGGCAGCGTTCTGCAGACCGCGCTTTGTTACCTGGAAGCTATCCGCGCAAGGGTTCCAGAGCTAGTCACGCAGGAGAAGGAGCACTCTGGGTCTACTTGCGAAAAGGTGTCGGTTGAACGTATCGTTCAAGGTGAGGTCAGCGCTTTTAGCGCTGGCCTTGATGGACCTACCTCTTCCTCGGAAACATCGGCGGGCGATGACTTGCTCGATACTATCCGCATCAATCCTATTACACTCGAGGTCGAATCTTCGTTTTCAGAGCTGGGATTAGATGCTGACAAGGTTTCTCTGCACAAGCCTAAGCAGAGTAGCGGCTGTTTGACGCCTCTTCCTCCACTTCCCTCACCGCTTTTGTGCCCCCGCCGTACTTTCCTCGCGTCACTCATTCTTGCATCGAAGTTCATGCAAGATCGCTGTTACTCGAATCGTGCATGGGCTAAACTTTCGGGTCTTCCGCCACGAGAGATTGGCCGTTGCGAACGTGCGCTGGGTGAAGCGCTTGAGTGGCGCCTCTGGGTCGGCAAGTTGCCGGCAGCGCCAGCCGCTACCGGACGCGCTCTCACAAAGTGCAAGAGTGAAAGTAACATACTGCTTAGGAGCAATCCGAGAACGCAGTCCCTTACGGAGACTAGCCCCGTTGCATCACCACCGCCTTGCGCAGTGGGTTCACCTCTGGTAACAAGGCCTCGTGTGGGTCTCAGGCGGCACGCCACGCTACCCACACATGCATTCTATCGCGAGGACTCATGTATGGCGACAATTTCGTCTGCCGCTGAGACTTCGCTATGGATGCCAACTGCCGAACCGAGTCTGGGAATGGATAGCAGTCCAGCAAACTCCGAGATCAGTCCACCTACGCCTGGTCTCAGCTACTCGCCCACGCCCACAGAGTCATCGCTTGGAGATCGCACTATTCAGATGTCAAGTTTCATGGATATTTCGACGCCGCCGCCGCCGTCCTGTCAGTTCGCCGCTTTCTCGAGCGCGCAGAACGGCAAGATGTTGCAGCCGGCACCGATTCCGCTCATGTACTCGATGACGAACGATGCGTGCCAGAGTCACGACGTGGATCAGCCGTTTTTTGCAGCGGGTCTGTCGGCATCGAGCAACCAATCCTGGTCTTCAGTGTATGCTTTTTGACTGCTATCGCCAATGGACGCCCGTGTTCCCCGTACTAACCACTTCGGTCGATGCTTCTTATGCCTATGCTCTCTATCTTTCTGTTTTGTTCATACTACTTCTGTACATATAGTTTATCTGTCGCGTGTCCGAGTATGTGCTATGTCTTGTCGGTTTGAGAGCGCAGCGGCATTTGCTTAACTATGAACAATCTCGACCGTCCTCTTGTCTTCTTGTGTACTATTATAAACATACCCAATAGACTTGCTTTGAGCATCAACGGTTTCCGGACAAACTCTCGGTAACAGACTTGCTCGAGGGTGCAGCACTCGCCTCGACCCCAGGCGTCAAATGTAAGGAGCGATTACGAGTCTATTTCACCAGGCAATGTGACAGACTGACAGGTCAATTGAATTCGGCGATAACAGGACAGGGACATCTTACTTGCGGATGGACACCTGAGGGCTACTAGTAATCAATCACACGTAACTGTCGCAGGGAGATGTATATAAAACACGACATGGCTCCGCGGACGTCACAACAGAATATCGTACAACTTGATGTATCATCACACACTTCTTTCTTTGTCCCTGATAATGCCGCAATTCACCGATGGGAAGGACGTTGTGGCGCCTCGTGAAGCTCGGAATGATACTCGAAAAACTCCAACAGGTAGTCATCAGGATGGATGGCACGCCATGCATGTGGATGGCCGTCATTGTCAAAGGACGTTGTAAGATGATGGATAGCATGTAGCTTCCATCCAGATGATCCCTGACGATCAACATTAAAGGGGCAATGAATCAGGTCAATGTATGGCTCACCTCGTGGTGGATCCTGCCACAAAGGAAGCCGTAAGTCAGTGCAAACCCCAAGACGCAAAATTCCGAGCTATAATAGAATAGCACCGCACCTGACATGAATAAATCCCTCGCCCAGCTCATCATTAATAGCAGGAAGCCTCAGCTTCCCGAAGATAATGTGTCCGTAGCTTGCTTGTCCATTTCGGACTTGCGCGAGATCATCTCTCGAGAAACTGGTGAGTTCCTCGTCGCTTAGCCCCGCTGCTCTAGCCCACATTGAAGACTCATGGTGGATTTTCCAAGAGCGGCGTGACTTCTTGATCGACTCTTTGATCGCCTCGGCTACTTCATAAAGGGCGTTTTTTGCGTCTTCGCCAGGGGCGTGCGCGTCATCCAGAACGACTTGTTCTGCAGAAGCTGGCAAGAATTTGTAAGATGATTCAATTTTTTAATACTGAAAGTTAATCTACCCATCACAAGAAACGGCCACTTGAATGCAAGATGTGTGCGCTGCAAAGGTTTGACACGGAGCGGGACAGGAGTCTCAGTTCCACGTGGTTACTTGAGCTGGGGGAACGCCACGATTCCCACAAGACGGACAGTTTGACTTTCACGACCGGGGTTTGCCGTTTTGGCTTTGTCCGGGTGCATAAGTTAAGAACTGATCCGTGTTTCGTGTGTATTGTATGGGCAATGGGCGTCGGATTGTTCGGGGACATTAGATATAATGTTATATTCGTTTATCTAAAATTATAAGGACGGTGGGGTGTTACGAAGCGCGGAGATCAGCGCTCGCGCTCCCAAGAGCAGAAACTCGGGCTTCCTCCGTGACGGGATGACGAGGTCAGCCGACTAACAACTCAAAAGTCTCCCATGGATCTTTCGTCAGTGCCTGGTTGTCCTGAATGACGCCACGAATGAGATCAGGGGTAAGCGCCCCCGTCATCAATCTCTATCCCGACGTCTTCGAGCCTTAGTAGCGTCAACAGATCGCCTGTGCGACCGGATGCAACGTCCCGGTAGATGTCCGCAGTGCCCGCATATTCCCCCTCACGCACAACCGGTTGGAGCTGCCTTCTCAGCGGTAATTATCTAGAATTTCAGCTTCTTGGGGGGTTGAGGTAAGGCGGAAGACAATGTACCCCTGCCGAGAGGATGCTCCCGTGTTGGACGATTAATTCAAGATCCTTGCTTTCAAGACCATAATGTTTTATAAAATGAAAGTTGACAGCGAAGCCCATTTTTTCCATACAAGTGTGGTGGGACAACTGTCTCGAAGGCCCTGAGGTGAAAAGTTACACTGTGGCTACGTTATAGAGCGGCACGTACAAGATCTTCATCGTATTCTGCAGCTTCTAAGCTAAAGACCCTAGAAAGAACTCCGCCTGTAGTAACAACATCGCATTCTTACATAGGCGACGGTCAGTGCAGTGCCAATAAAAGACAAGTTGACAGAGATCGGTATCATGAGCCCCTCGGTGCTCGGAGAAGGCGAACCAGTGTCCGGAAGTGAATTGGGAGCCGAGTTCGTGCAACGTCGAATGTCGCGTAACATGGGTCCTGCCAGTGGTCTGACCGCCAAGATCGTCGTCATATTTCTTCGATAAATTGTCTCTTGCTGTATCCATTTAGCCCAATCCATACTAACAAAGCCCGTTTTGAGACTAGAAGTTGCCCGTGCGATGGGTACCCGCGACAGCTCCAACCGCCAGTACAGTCAAAAAAAATCTTGCACAGTTGATCGAGTCTGCCAGAGAAAGGAATGTGGATGCTACACCGGAATACTAGTCAGAAGGCAGTAGCATGGTGAAGCAACATAAGGGCAACCGCGACGGTCCCACCGTGAAGAACACCGATGTGTTTAATCGCAATGCACATAAGCTTCTGCGAAGCTTGAGTGGACCATATACTGTAGGCGCGTCAAAGGCTCGAGTGAGCCCGTCAAGCCAGGACCCTGTGATGCTCTCGGGGGATATTGTACACCGGTGGATATTTGATATTGTGAATTGAGACAGTGCGGCGACTGACATGAATGCCACTGTCAGGATGTGCATGACCCTGCAAAGTTCAAACACGAGTGTGGGCTTCTGATCGGTCCCGAGACGGCCCCAAAAGACGGAAGTGTACATGTCATGTCGCAAGTACCGCGGCATTGGCATCCAGACTCGCTGAGGTAAATGGATCAAATATGAACTGAAGAGACCTCGGCGACAGCAAAGTTCTCGGACTCGGACTTGACGTCAGGAATGACAGGGACAGGAAGGAGCTCCTTATACACGAGGTGGTACAACAGGATTTCTCGGACTTCCTTATCAGCCTCGGCCTTGGCAAGGTAAGTGATATGGCCCTCTTGCCACAGGAATTCATGAGTGCGAAGAATTGACAGTTATGAGGAAAATTAAAAAACGAGGAACCGACTCAAGCGGATGTTTGAAGTTGATCTCCCACCGGACGTCAATTTAAGTCTCTCGACTCTTGATGCGTCTAGCACAGTCTGCGAGCAAATACAGAGATAACGAGGACGGTAGAAGATAAAGCTTACAATAATACACAACGTTTTAGGTGTCGGGCAGACTCGATAGCGTGCAAGTGAGTACAAGACGCTGATGGGACATATCTTATAAGCGCTCACTCGCTTATACTTAAGCTCTAGGTTGAGTTTTATTAGGCTCAGAAGTACTCAAAGATGAAAGACAAATTGAAGGCAAAGCCAAAATTATTACCGGGAAACTCCGGTAGGTTAAATTAGTTTAGAACTCCGGTAGGATCCTCACAGGATCGCGACCCACGCCAACAGGCATCAAGGACACATAGCGAACACTCACTTTTTGTTCAGCGCTTATAGTCAAGTGTCCCAGCGATCCCTAGCAATTGTCAAATCAAAGGTACGTAATATTGTGGCAGTACTTACTGCAAGGTACGAATATTCCTAGTAATGCAAACTCAAATGTTGATGCTTAGTACACCAGAAAAAAGCATATTCATCCTCGAGTGCTCCGCCACTGTCCACAATCGACCATTCGACATTGTTGTCGAAATATATCATGCAGCCACCACCACTGGTGGTGCAGTACGTGTTCTCAGATCAGTGTCCCAAGCTGCATCGCATTTTAAAACTATCCCGCCTTATCCGCGACCTGCGTACAATACCCCTCGAAATAATCGCCCTGCTGGTCGGACCTGGTCCACAGTTGTCAGTCACTAATGACGGCAAAATGTCATGATTTTCGTTTTAGGTGAACTCAGTATCGACGAATTTCGAACCTTACGATGCCCTACTATGCCTCGGTGTGTGTTGCCTTGGCGAATCGAGAAGGGGACAATCGCCAGGACCCATCTTCCGCCACCTCCAACGATACTGACATGACCGCGGAGTTACAGAGGAATGTCAGTGCTGGTGTGAAAAATACTTCAAGTTCTCCCAGCCCGCGGTGGCGGAAATGGAGATGATTCCACACATCCTTACGGAGAGCGTACGGAAAGCCAGTAGGTAAAGAATGATCTTCAGTTACTTCTATCATTTCACGTAGTATGACCGAGAGTGCGCACATGATAATTTCAGAACTCTTAAAGTTAATGCCCATTACTTATGTAATAGTGGATCAGTAGTTCCAGGACTCAGATCAAAGAGACTATGTCGTTGTGCACGTGTACCCGAAATTGCTGTGCGCTTTCTGTAGACAAGCGTCTATATCAATGTTTACGCCTTCAGTGACCATCAAAACGACGGGCGCAACCCTCTCTTCCCCCCACGCCGTTGTCACCGCCGGGATCTCCAACCTTACACAACCTTAAATTCGACGTGAGTCTGTGTTGTTGATCAAGAGTCTAATAATACCCGATCTATCCATCAGTTGAGGGCCTGGGAGACAGATCCTCTGTGGACCGCCGAATCTTTTGCGTGGACTCTAAGTGACAGTGTGGGCAATGGGAGAATAGAAATTATCAACAATTGTACGTGATCTGTATACCTATGAGAAGGGAGGGCATAACACTGCCCCTTGCCTGAGAATCCTCGTTGAACGACTTGGGTGTTCAGTGATGATATTCTTGGGCAACTGTCATTCCACGTCGACGATTACTGGTGCGGACACTTGGGGGGGCGCAGTAACAGCACCTCCGACTTGAGTTTCTCGGTACCTTATTTTGATACCAAGATCGGTATTCAGCCTCATTTTGATGTGATGTCAGGTCTTTAATTGGATGGTAGGTTTCAGCGTCTTTATTATTATCATATCTGGAAGATCATGCAATCATGCGAGCTATTCAATTGTTTTGGTCACCCCGAAATTGAGCGGTGTTTGCTTCATTGATTGAGTATTACTATGATGTTCCACATTCGTGCTTCTGATATATGACATCCTGGACCACATGTATTGACCCCCGTCCCGTGAACGGTCAATCATGCCATGTGTTGTTGAAACGTGTTGTCCTGAAAGGCAACGATCGGGTGCGCCGTCAGCATAAGTTTCTGGGCTTTAGTAATTGAGCAGCAGTCTGCCCTTTACGGCCCGTAGAAAAGTGTCAAGATAGTGTCACAGTGCGCAGTTTGGCACCTGGTCTGCTTAACACTGTGCAAGAAAACCAATGGTGCTGTACTTTGAGGAGCGCCGGTGTTCTGCACTTCATCGGACACATGCTTCAAAGCCGCGGGAGCGGTGGAGATTAGAAACAGGACGGGAAATGCTGGAATAGACAACACATGTACGTGAAGGGTCAGAAATGTCGACTTGCGGGGACCTGGCAGACGTTTACAGTATAAGGTGTGGAACTTTACATACAGTTATAGGTCATAGAAAGCAGTTGGACGGGTTGTCATTCACATGTAGAATTCCTCATTACGGTATGGTGAGGACGTTGTACGGAGACTGGAAAGAATTTAAGTGATAAAATGGGCTGGATTAACTCAAAGTTTATGCTCAGTCTTACCACGCGATGTGTCACTTGGATATAACTACCTTGATGGAATAGAAGTATTTAAAAGGATCGACCACATGTTTAGAATGTATCCGGTTGTGATGGCCGACGAATTTCCTTAAATGGAGTAGCGCATCAATCAAATTTGGAGTTGCAAGCAGTTGTCGAGGTGCATAACAAGCGCCTTGCGGTCATTTGAACAAAGAGATCAATATCCAATTCAGGTAATTGGATCGTCGAATTTGTAGTAAAAAAATGACCGGTACCTCTAAGGTTTAGGGCCGACTGAAGACTTCGGCCATGAATTGAATTCTTTAATTCCTGAAATCGCGGCCAAGACACGGCCTCAAAATTATTGTTTATCAATGCACCCTTGCAGCGTGGTCTATAGTGTATTCGAAGAGATCGCCCGCTCCCCCAATCTGCTCCTCGTTTTTTTTTCTGATTTTTCCCACCTATTTACAACAACACGCAAAGAAACATGATGCGCAAGTGATGTGTGGAAATTGATTAAAAAATCCCCACCTTCCCTATACGAAATTTGTTATGGCAGTCTCAAAAATGCAGTTACGACGCACCACGACCCTTAGATCAGAATTTAGTGATTTAGGCCGATTTCCCGGGTCCGTGACAATGCTGTCGTCCCCGTCCATTTTCCACCCCTTCAACCTTCTCTGCTTCTTACTTCGAACGAGATTCAGTTATATAAAGCGATGAAGGATCTTCCTCACGAAAATCTACCTCCCATACTTCCTATTCATCGTATGGCGGAAAGCATCGCGTAGTCAGTTCAATTCTTATATTATATTTCGGTACTCAACCTAACATCTTTTTACAGCTCCTCCACCCCTAACGCTTACATCCCCCCCGCCTCTTATTATCCTCCTACCGCTCACGCTCCTAGCCATGGTCACGTTGTAGTACCCCAGCCACGCCAAGAGCCCCAGCAAAGGAAGCGGCCCAAGTATACAAGGAGCAAGACTGGTTGCATGACATGTCGAGTCAAAAAAATAAAGGTATGCCACTCCATACATCATCCAAATCGAACAAGTATTAAATGCATCATTGCCCAACTCAGTGTGACGAGGCAAAGCCTAATTGCATGCGATGCACTCATGGGCAGCGTGACGTGAGCCTCGTTCTGTAGTCCGAAAAATAAATCTAACAGTATTGCAGTGCACATGGCCAGAAGGTGTTCCTGCCCGCAAGAAATCAACGTCCCGGAAAGATAGTATCGACGGGCGCCCATCCACTGCCGACTCGTCAGGATTATCAGAGACCTCAACACCTCCCACTCGAGACAGCACGCCTCCGAAACCTCGCGTATCTAACGACTACAACCAACCTCCAATGTCCCGTCGCCACAGGCATGTGCATCGCTCGTGATAGATATTATTTAATGACCATAAATCTCTTTCAGTGATGTTTTCGCTCCATTACCTCAAGTAAAATACGAGGAGGACCCGAATCTCAGGCTCGCGCCAGAGCCCACTTCTGCGCGACGGCAGTTGTAAGTCTGGAAGTTGTTATTGATTCCGTTCTGTCGTAACAAATATACAGGGCTCCCCAAGGTTATCCTGTGCATCCAAATCAGAATTCCAATGTTTTATCTATGATATCCGAGATGCACCCATACCCTCCTCAACGATACGACTCTGCTTACGTTAATCAAGCCTCTCATTTACATCCAGCAGCTCCCTCACGACTCATTCCCCATCATCACTCTCAGCACCATGTTAATATGCGTTCGATGAACCAGCAACCAGCAAACCCTCAGCACTGGAACCAACCTCACATGATGACAAGTGTAAACCCCATGGATTCTTTTGTAGGCGTCCCTCCGAAATGCTACTCTTATTATACTGACCAGATGTCTGGTTCAGTTCCCACACCCCCAGGAGAGGAACTTGGTGGCGCCTTCGTCTAACGATCATCACCCTAGATACCCATAAGATTGATGTTTTTTCCCTTTATTTTTCTTAAAGATCCGTCATGACTTTCATATTTGAGCATCATTATGACATATGGTCATCCCCGCTGAGAACCCAATTGTCACTTCTAATATTCTGCTTGTTTTGGACTGGCCTCTAGGATCTGATCCTGCGATCGATGTTCGTCAGTCTTAGAATGATGTGAGGCAGCGAGGACTTGAGGACTTGCGCGCACTCGTACTAAATGGATTCGGGGCAGTCGCTGGCACAAACCTGCACGACCTCTCGAGGCGCAGAGAGCGGCGCTTCATTGACCGCTTCCTGAGCTATGTCACTGATAGCCGTGAGTGATATGATTGAACGATGAATGATTTTAATTGCTAAACCGTTCGATCGTCTTATGTCATTGACTCGGAAGCAGAGTTTTTGGAGGGCGAAACTTGGCAATATATATAAGTATACTAACACTCCGCCGTTGGCTTCGATGACTGTAACTTCATCGTGAGGTATGCATGATGATCCTGAAGAGGTTATACTCTGTACTTGGCCATCAAGGCAGGCTATGTCCCACGCCGAAGTCTCCGCATGTCGTCACGGTTGTGCGCATGGCACTTGTCGTAGGTCAACATTTCGATCCATCACATTCTTACCCAGCGTTCAGCACCAAAATCTGTTGGCTGGCAGGGCATCTCTACTACCCCTTGTATCGCATTGAAAATTCCACGTCCTGTGCTAGCCCATAATTTGCTTGTGAATGAAAAAGGCATTATCGTCTCCCTCGCGGCGCCAGTTACACCTTTGACATCATATACCTCACCCAAACGAAGCCGCAAGTAACCGTCAGACTGAAAATTACACGCTTCGCAATACACCAACGCGGATGACGAGAGCAACATCGTACTTGTACCATGATTGCGGTGAGCACCGTGAAGAGACTTTGGGCTGCGAAGGGTTAGTCTCAGAAATCACAGCATCTTGTGGTCGTAACTTGCAACAGGAGGTGGCAGCATGTACTAACCAGCTTTCGAGGAGTCTGTTGCAAACCCCTAGTCTGTAGCCGAAGTTGTTTGGCTGTGTAAGTATTATATTAATGTCGATACATTTTGCTCAATACATTTGCCTTGTGTCAGCGAGAACACTTTCTTGGGTTTCGACCAGGTCATCATTTGCCCAGCGAATGCGTCGCGACGTTGTTGAAGTGCAGAACGTCAGCACAGCACGGCGTTACGGTGCAAAGCGGGTCAATTTACATGTTGCCCGACGCGCGCGCCCACATTGAATCATTTGATTAAAGTGGCGCAAATCGCGCCTAGGTCTTCCATCCCGATCAGGCATGGGCGAACATAAATTCTGCAGAACATTTGCCAGCAAGAAACTTTAATCAGATTCATAAAGAAATGGGGGTCGCATCAGTCAAACTAATGACGGCGTTGATTTCCCTTGAAGTGACCTCAAATTCAGGGAGCACCCTGATCCCTTTGCAAGCGACTTGGTATCTACACAGATTTTCAGGGTCTCCTTATGCTTCCAGCACAGTCCAGTCGAAAAATTATGGGAGTTGCGGGTAGGCTGAAGCACCTTAGACATGCTTTGATGGAAAACACGCTACTTGAATCACTGCTGAAGACGTCAACATGACACACGATTTGACAACTTAATATGACTATAAACCCTGATCAAGTTCACGAACCTCAGGGCTGTATCACCCGTTAGGTCTCCGGACGCGACCGCGAACCAGTGTACATTTCGTCATCGACGTCACAGCATCTGACCAGAAATGTATCTAGTGGGGGGACAGTGCGATAAACAGAAAACAAACGGACCAAGGTTTAATTATTTCCACTGTACCAGGTTTGCTGGTTCAATGGTGCGTGGTGCGATCTAACGGCGTCACTAGCTCAGCACGTTCAGTTCCGGGCTTTCATGACAATACGTCAGTGTGTCCCAGGTGAACCTTGTTCAAATCACTTCTACCTATGTCAGGATTCCTTATATCATCCTCTTGACAATTAAATTCATGCACTAACCAGAAGAACGTTCCGACGTGGTATATCAAAGCAGAATGAAATCAGCTTTTATCTCTGAGCTCTTGCGCAAGCACAGTAATTGATGGTGCCCACATTGGTTCTGCGATGATTGTTATAAAAGGCCAACTGCGAATCTGTCTTACTTGACTGTTTCTTGCGACAAAGCGGAGACACTCTGTACTCGTACGACTGTTCTACACTCCAAAACAGCAGGACTGAACCAGCCAATCTGTCGGAAGATGCTTCGAAGATGCCGTGTAAATGCAGGATCGGACGTAGTTACACGAGGCCGTTCCCGTTGTATTTGATAGGTACTAACCTGAACAGTTGATACGCACTATTGCTATAACGGCTCGCTGTGAAATACCTTCACGAGTCCACCAACGTTCTGATAATTGATGAAATTCATGACATTTGGATGTTATACCCAGCGAGAAAGATTCAGTGCCCCCATCGACTTATGAGATCCACGTACCTCCATTAGGGCGCGAAGAACGAACGAGATGACCTGGGCAAAGGTAAATATCAATGACCCTCGAACGTGGGTAACGACGGAGTGGATACTCGGGTTTGCAGTGGAACAAACACACGAGACACCCCAATACTTGTTCAATGTATGTGAGAGACTGCGCCTTCGGATGTATCGAGACCGCACCATAGAATCTCTACCACTACGTGCAGTTGTGACTAGTACAAAGGCATGCCACCACTCAATCTGAGGAACCATGCAAGATGGTCGTTTCTTTGCTGCTGCCTGGGCTATACACTGCGGAAGGGTTTGGTTCTAGTAAATTCTGGGCTGCGGCGGGGCTTACCTGCAATAGCAAACTGCTAGAAACCCCAGTAGCAGGTGTAGCTTTCGGCTCTGACCCATTGAACTGTGGTTCGTTATTTGCGAAAGGAGCGTCGAAGGTCCTATACTAAAGTAATTCGGTCACGTGCTTTTGACAAATTATATAAGCAAACCAATCAAGCTTGCCATCACTAATGCATTCTCGCAACACAGGCGTGGGGCGCAGGCTGCGCAGCTGTATTTGTCTCCAGTGATAAAGCTATATGGGGTATGATCAAACCCAGCTTGATGCTCCAGCGCTCGGGCTTCATGGATCTTTAAGTTCACGCACGTGAATCTTCCAATGTCGTATGTTCACAATCTCCATCGAAACTGACTACATATAAATCCTGTGCATGCAGCTTTCCGACCAGCCTTGTCCGAGTCAAGGATCATTCGACCACGACGCCTTTCAGGTAATATAGCTCCTTATCCCGTTGCGTCAGTGTAATTCGAGGCTAACATATGTTTTATCAAACAAGGACAAATTTGTTCCTGCAATGCGTGCCTGCAACGGAATTCACAGAGAATGGCACGTTTGCATTTCACAGAACCCTCCTCCACACTCCGGGGACCGTGGGAGTCGGGGAAGAAGGAACGACTCTCGTAGCATAGTCAGCCAATCAAAATCGTTCCTTCTATATGGTCTGACTAGGGGGGCGGGAGACTAGTGCGTCTAGCACGTTAGGTGGCGCACCCACATACGCAAAAAGCCGAGCAAGGTTTGAAACATGTAGCAAATGTGCTTTATTTATAAGCAATCATTGTCTCCCAGACTCCCCCACCCTAGAACGTCCCGTACACTTTCAACGCTGAAAAGCATCAGGCGCACATTGTATATCAAGCATGAGCTGTCCTGGACTGTAACAGTGGATCGATCCTGGAAGGCAAGCCTACGGGCTCGTTCGCCGAGATTGATGGCATCAGGGCCTATTTGGCCTCCAGCACGGAGAATGCCAACGGGCGTCAGGGTGGTCGCGCGATCATCCTCCTTAGCGATGCTTTTGGCTTACCGCTCGTAAACTCACATCTCTTAGCGGACAAATTTTCGAAGGAACTCTCTTGTGACGTCTGGATCCCGGACCTTTTTAATGGTACTTAATTTCTATTTGCAGAGCGTCATAAGTTTCCTAACAGAACGTATTAAGGAAAGCCGCTTTTTGACGTGGATGGGATGGCAGAGGACCTCATGCCGAAGCAGCCCCGCACATGGCCTCTCTGGGACAAGATAAGGTTCCTCTTCACGATTCTACTGCCGCGCAGTGGAGTTATGTTTCGGAGTCGACCGTCAGTTGTTGATCCGAGAACCACTGCTGTGAGGATACTACGGTTTTTATTGACAGGGCCGTCCTGATTTCTTCGCAGTTCATCAAGAGGGTTCGCGAGCAGCGGAAATATGACAAAGTTGGTGCTGTCGGGTAAGTGTCGCTGCTTTTGAACGAGGTATCTCATATTACTCAAGAAAATACCAAGATATTGTTTTGGAGGATCTCTCGGTGTGAGACTGGCCCCACTCAATATTTTTGATAGCTTAGTAGTTTGCCACCCTGGAGCGGTCTCTGAGGCCGAGATTAAGGCAATCAATGTGGGACCCTCGGTTTTTCCCTTTCATGGTGAGAGCTGACATAGATTCCATCCCCAGATCCCGACTTCCTGGGTGTGTGCCGAAGGTCGGAGCATGTTTGGAGAAAGAGAGGCGTTACGCTAATTCCGTGATTCTACTATGACAGATGACATGGCTTTTGTTCCTGCTATCCGCAACAAGGCTGAAGCGCTGTTCGTGGCTCGTAAAGGGAAGGATGATTTCGTCGATTATGAGTTCATCGATTATAAAGGTTTGCACTGTTCAATTTACGGCTGCTGTACAGTCCTTCTCACCTTGCTTTATCAGGTACCGTTCACGGATTTGCCTGTCGGCCTCGTTTAGACTTCCCCGATGTCAAGGAGGCCTTTGAGGGGTCTATCGATCAGACCCTGAAGTGGTTTGAGCAAACACTTGTGGTGACCTAGGAGGCCTCAACAGTGACATGATGTTCTACGATTTCCTGCTCAGAGTTTCGCACTTATACCCCCTTAGCGTTGTCGTCTTCCGAATCCGAGTCATGTCACTATCTTGTCGCTATCCCTTCTTTAAGTGAAGTGACAATATAATGAGACAAAAATGATTGAGGAGATTCTAGAGTCCTAGCGATATGTATTAGAATACTCTCAACAATTGAGACGGTCAATCGTGGGTTCCCCTTCTGTGACGTTTCGATTAGCCTGAGGTGCCTCTCTACTCTGGGACCTTGGTTAAGTCCAACTAATATCCACAATGCCATGATAGTGTTTCCCGCAGTGGGACCACTTCTGCGCTAGGGTCTGCCAGGTACCATAATGGCGAGTCCGAATGGTACGGTATTACGCAACGTTCGAAGCTACCAGTGAAAGCAGGCCCTAGGAACGACTGTCTTCCTTCTATTATTGAGTCTGTCAACGGGAAACCACTTACCCCTCCCCCAAAGCGCTCGGCTCGCCCGGTAAACCATGACCTCCAGAATTATTATTATTCTCATTACCCCTGGATTTACCTAGTGACCTAGTTTTCCCTTCCCCGCTGTCCTCCACAACGAGATCCTAATGGGCATACCCGGTAGTGACCGCACTGTCTGGGTGCGTCCTTTGGCCTTAGCACCTGCATGCATATGGTAGATCTGATCATCGTGACAATTATTATTATTGCAGACCTTGCAAATTCCACCTTCGACTGCTTCTTGAAAGTTGTTCACTAACTTTTAAACTAGGTGCTTAAGACGCGGCAGCACCAAACTATAAAGCAAGCTACAACGTGCACACGAGTTAATAGGACCAGATATACAACATCAATCAAGCATATAATCGGAGTCCATTCCTTTCTGTGCTGTGCGATGGTATAGTAACTGTATGATGGTAAAGATGTACAGAGGGAGGTGTGAGTGAGTGCAAAAGAAGCACAGTAACAAAGGGGATGCAATGAAGAAACAAGATATATCACGATGGCGACGAAGCACTTTAAGCGAACATTGAAAACAAGCAGATGAATCTATGGCGTTCTGTCAACGGCACCGCGACTTGAAGGTGGTCTCGAATTTCTGATAAAGATAAGTTTCAGTAATCATTGATACCTAGGTCGAACGATCTTACGCTTCCCTGGTGGGTTTGGGCCAGTCCCAGACTTCACTGATCCAGCGAGCCATAGGGACTTCTCGCTTCATGGCGGTGGTGATCCAGGGATGAGATAGCATTCCTCCCGGTGTAGGGCGAGTTTGATGGTCAATAATCAAGCTGCGGTAAACATAAATATGACGACACGTAAAAGGAGACTGAGTGAGAGCTTACGTCTGTCGAATAAAATCTTTCATGTCATCACTCCATACAATGCCATGGGAACCTTCTTCGTCGGTCAGCTGAGGTGGCTGGAGAGCGATTCTGATTTAAGCAAGATTCAAATGCAAGTTCCAAGTACTGACCTGTCCCTGGGTGATATAGACAATTAATTCGATAGAGGTGAGGTCATCAGGGAATGGGTATCGATTTTGTACAAGTTCCAAGAGAGTGATTCCGGTGGACCAGACGTCAGCTCGAATACTATATTCCTTTCCGCTAATGCGTTCCGGCTACAAGGATCATCAGAGATGATGGATGCGTGATCAAGTAACGAACGTACAGCCATATAGAAACTTGTGCCCGTAAAGGTTCCGGCCATAGAGCGAACAAGCTCTCCGGAGACACCAAAATCACAGAGACGAACGACACCTTCACCAGTTAGCAGAATATTGGACGGTTTGATGTCTCGATGGATGGTTTTGAGCGAATGAAGATAGCTCAGGCCTTGCAAAACCTGGTGAATACATGAATATGACTAAAATAAAAAGAAACTTCAATAATTACCCCCTCGGCTATACGTCCAGCCACTCTTTCACTGACACGCGCGTTCTTATCTTTGATGCGCTTTCCAATGGCTTCTAAGCTACCGCCAGCGCATAGTTCCATCATGACTTTGACTTCACTAGACGATGGAGACATATAAGCGCCATAGAAACGGATTATGTTGTGGTGTTTGGATGTCGCAGAGATTGACAACTCGCGTTCGAGCTGTTTTAAAGGCGCCTCGCGAGTGGTAATTGTCTTGCGGGCCAAGATGAAGTTGTTACGTCGATCTCTGACTTTATGAACAGCTCCACCCTGACCTTCGCCAAGTCGCGAAAGTTCTTCTAAAACAGCGTCCGACCATTTAGTAGAGCTATAAATGGTCGAAGTCTCTTCCGTAGGTGTATAGGACTCGATAGTGGTCCTGTCAAATTCAGCAATTAGCTGAGCAATGCTGTTGTCGCTACCATCGGGCTCGGGAGCACGTGGTGTTTGCAAAGTCAAGAAAGGCCGGACGGTTGCGTTGCCTGGGTTTTCACCATCCAATCCAGGCGGGATAGATGCAGGACCTTCATAATAAGCTGCACTGCTGCTACCACCATCGAGAGCGATTGGCAGATAAAGCTTGGGTCTGGATTGATTTGGCCTTGAAGTTGCTCCAGGAAGCTGGGGACGCGATGGACCTGGAGAAGAGCCCAATGGGGGAGATGATGAAGTAGATGTAGGGTGTAAAGATGACAGATCTTGGGGTATTTTACGAATTGCTAGTGGACGAGTCTCTGGTAGGATGAGCGGTGGTAATGGCGACTGTGAGCGGGGAGCCTTGCGTGGTCCCAAAGGACGAGAATGAGTTTGATGCATTGCTGAGTGACGATAAACGCACGCGAACAAAGCGTAGTCAGTGAGAGAAGAGGAGGACTGCCCATTACAACTCTTTCATTCAGTTCGAAATGATATATTCATAGTTTACTCAAAACACAACGGCACTGTAGCCAAGTGGTTACGGCGTTACGTTTAGGTCAAAGAGCCAATCCGTAATGGGAAACCTCGCGAGTTCGAATCTCGTCAGTGTCATTTTTTTTTCACTTGCATTTTTCATTTACGGTTGTTGTGGTCTTCGATCAATCGGTCGATCACTTGTGGACACATATGCCACCGTCTACAGCAAACTAGTCCACAGCGAATGACGGTAAAAGACTTGTAAAAAGCCCAATTTTAAAATTGTACTATCTTTATGTCTCCCTCCCGTTCCGACCAAGGTACAAACCCATGCACTCCCACCCTACCATCTCCCTCGAAATCTCGCCGTCGTCCAGTGCCACTACGGCTGAATAGCATTGGAGTTGATCCAAGCCTTTTGGTCGGCAAGGTATTGATGAAACTCAGCCGTTCTTCAAAACACCCTACTTTAACCCTTGACTTCTCCGACAACACTACATTTCAAGTTCTTGTTGACGGATATGACCCTGTTCATAGGTATGTCTAACCACTTGCCCTCATATCAAGAAGTACTGAATAATGTACCCAGAGGCCTCCCAAAAGAACTTGAAATGGACTCGTCTCTAGAGCAGCTTCTCAGTACACCTACTGGGCAAGCGGTCGTAGAGTGGACAATCGAAGATTGCGCCCTCATAACCTTGACAGACAAGGCATTCGAGTCTAGAGAGAAGGAACAACGGTGGGACCAGAATCATACCGGAGTCGCATTTCGCTTCTCTAAAGACCGGATGTGGCATTGCGTCTGGGCAACATTGACTGATCATCACGACGGCACATGTGTTTTTCGCAGCTACGACGATGTCTACGTTGATCAACTACATCGTTCTCCTCGGAAACGTCGTGCACACGTACCTGACTCACCCATAAATCTTCGCTGACTTATATGTGACCACCGCATCCATGAAGTCCCCCTTAGCATGAGATTTCCAGAATCAAGGATATTTACTTCCACACATGGATCTTGCATCTGTACCACCATTGTATATCATCTATGCCATTGGACTACGCACCGTGTACAATTTCAAGGATGGTGATCATCTCATAGAGTCCAGGCCTCAGGGACGTGTGCGTGCCTAGCGCAGAAATTTTAGGAGGTAAATAAAGTGTAGTTGCCAGTGTGCACCAGAATGAAACGTCAATCACAAGGCAAGCACAGTCTCAGTGGGTGGCCATTCTCATGAGGCTATGTTCGATCTGCCATGCACACAGTTGCAAGTTGCAACTGTAGCCATACGACGGATTCTGCGCCCATGATCACACTATACCATCCGCGGCGCCTGCTGGATCATCCCCCTTGTGGAGACTGACCAATGACGTTACTGTGTGCGATAGGAACCGCTTTGTAAATATTTGAAAATTGCTATAGGCTGCATGAACCATTTTTGCTATCAGGATTAGTACCCGCTCGAAAAGTCGATCGAGCAGATACCTAAAAAGCTATCTGACCTCCACTCAGTAAGAGGGAACCGACATTCATGCGGTGACAAAATACATGACCAGTCCATGCAAACAACTGGACAAGAAGTGCGTTATCAGTAACGGACGGTACTCCCAGTTATCTCCATCATCCAGATAAGTAAAACTACCTATCATCAGGGACCGGACGAGGCAGTGTGTTAACGCCAGCAAATATATAAGTGTTGAGGTATCTCATGGACACGAGCGTAGTGGGTGCCACAAAGCGGAATGCGCGGAAATCGCTGACTTGAAAAAGGTTCCAGCGTGAAAATTACAACAAGGAACACTCATCGTGAGATGGATCGCAGAGTGATGCCAGCTTTGGGGTATAAGGTTTACCCCTGCTTTTCGGAGCACGTCATACGAGCAGTGTACTAGCAGACGCTACTGATAAGCCGGCGGCAATGTACCTGTTATACAACATCAGTTGTGTCTGGGCTTAGTGGACGTAAGGCATGGGAGCAAAACCGGAAAGACGGATGGCCACAATTAGTTGGTTGGATAGACAATATGACGAAACAGAAAGGGAACTTGAAATCGACATACTGACAGGGGAAAAGGACACTGCACTATGGAATTTCAGTAACGCCGAGGGTTCAATCGACTTATGTATCTGTGGTGGTAGCCAAACGTAGAAGTATCTGACCGCGCACTGTTTGGGCTGTGCTTCTCTAATATGCAGCTGATTCAATTCCATGACAACGACTATAGTCACAAAACGAAGGCAGTATTGAAGCCTGCGATTGCAACAGGTGGCAAGCCATGGGTGCAGAATATGGGTGACCGAATCAGTTTAAAATATTTAATTAACAATACGTACGTACGGAATGAACTTGACTCAGCTGAGTGCACAAATATACAAAATGCTTGTTCCGGCGAGGACACAAGACCATGAGACCCTGGTGAGCCCTGGCATGTTCGTAGATGTCCGGTGTCAAACAAGTGGGATGATAATTGGCCCAGATAGACCCATCGGTAATTTGTATATATGCCCAGACTGCTTGCGTGGCTCTCAGTTCGGAAATGGTATGGGGGGACCACAAGGCTACTAAGTATAACCATAATGTTTGAGAGCTTCAAGCTCTGGCTTGGCTGCTTCAAGGTTGTGGATGCATCCTAATGAGGAATATTCCCACGATTGTTGCTTTATCCAAACCACCAAACGTCTAGCCTTCTTCTAACTTAGTGGATCAAGTCTTCCAAAATAATCTGTCACTTTCATGTCAAATCCACCGGCTTCATCTTTGTCCTCACGTGTTACTTTTGCGTGCTTGACCCATAGAAACCTGGGTACGGTCAAGAAACTCAATTCGGTCTTGTTTCCCATCAAGTACAGCGACAAATTCTATCAGGACATACTAGCACCAGAGGTCGAAGACTTCTGTCAGCTCAGTCCGTCTTGTTCTTTCAAGCGTTTACCAACTAAACGTGGACTAACTTCTTTTAGTCTATTACAATGATGTCCCTGTAGGCAATGTTTGCTGCAGATTGGAAAACAAAGATCTGTATCTCATGACTATGGGCGTCCTGGCAGTAAGTTATCCCGCTGTCAGTTGTAGCACCATGTGCAGACCATTCCAAGCCCTATCGCTCCAAACAGCTTGGTTCTCAGGCCCTGATGCGTGTCATCAAGGCCGCTGCCTCTCACTCAAAGCCCAAAATCGGACGTATATACCTTCACGTACAAGTCTCGAACACTGACGCCAAGAGGTTCTACGAGAGACACGGCTTCAAAGAAGTAGGTATCAAGGAGGACTACTACAAGAAGATCACTCCCCGGGATGCGTGGATATTAGAGCGGATCATCGAATCGGAAGACAAGCAGGACCAGGAGAAGCCTCAATCGTAAACAATGTACCCACTGCTTCGATCTCTGACTATACTGTGAATGGTAACTTTCATTTAACAGATGCATAAATATGTTAACATGTTACATTGCAGTTTCACTATGCAGAACTCCTTTCAGTACAAATTCTCCTGCATCGATGTCGAATATATGATTAATATGTGAAGTAAATTGCATTCGAGCGATTGGTGATTCTATACCATCAAGTTAGCATTGCAACACGGCATGAAACAAGTTACTAACGAAAGTGCCGAAACAGTGTCATTTCAACGCGCATCTTCGTCATATCCACAATGTTTCACGAGCTGGTCAAATGAATGAGCTCATGATCTTCAAAGGGAAAAAATTCTGCGATGGTACCTGGTGCCTTTTCAGTGCATCTTTCCTTGTGAATGTCTTTCCACAGCCTCCGTTGCACAAGAACGGTTTCTCTCCCGAGTGTGTATCTCTGTGTCGCTTCAAATCATGTTGCCGGTTAAACGACAGAGCACACATGTCGCAGGAGAATGGTCGTGTTGGGGATGCTGGGTATTGCACCGTTGGCGCCATCTGCCCATCGATGACGTATGACTGCGTGGCATTCGGCAAGATAGGGCTGCGCGAAGATACCGCCGGTGGATATATCTGATTCGGCGAATGAGCCGGAGGCTGGCGCACGGGGTATTCTTGTGGTGGATGCATATGTCTTTGTTGATTGTATGGACTGACAGCAGGGTTTGGGGGATAAGGTTGTGATGGTGCAGCGGTAGAATTATTTGCTGCGTAGTGTGTACTCGATGGTACCATGCCAGTCATTGCATAAGGTGAAGATGAGGCAGGGTGCGTGGTCATATAATTGCTCGGTGCCGCCTGATAGCCATGCTGAGTTTGTTGATAGGAAGATGATTGGCGAGGGGGCTGCTGACCGTTAGGTAGCCATTGGGTACCGCGCGGAGGCGGATTAGGGAGGAATGTGTAGTTGTGGCGATCGCTCATGATGTTGATGCTTGACTGAGCAGGATTCGGAATGTGGGCGAATGTTGTAACAAACACAGGGTTCATATGCATTTTCGGAGCCACCCATGTTTGTGAGTGTACGGTATCTTTGCCGCGTCTCCGTCGGTGACAGAGGCCTAACGGCGTAATTGTGGTCCTCACAGATCTTGCTATGTCTGTCCAAACAAGATTGACGCTCTTTACGTGCCTGATAGTAAGGTTGCTGTCCTGAAGCGGCTCTCAGGCTGGCAACCAGACCCTCCGGAGATGCCTGAATGATGCCTGTCTAGCCAAACTTAGATTCACCCGGCTTTTCCAAGCTTCATTTGCGAGGTATTCCTGTTGCAGAATTTGCAGCATCAATCAGGTACACCGTCCGATCTATGGAGCTGTGGGGTCGCTCACAGACACTGTCAAGGTTGTAATTGCAACATTTGAGGACTTCCTGAATGACCTCAACCTTATTTGCTCATCGAAACCGGCGATCCATGGGAGACCGGGTCTGCTCCCGTCTGGTGTGGTCAATCCACCGTGCTTTCGGATTCGCTGATTTGAGCATTCATCAGATGTTAACAAATGTTATAGCATAGCCTTGTTCTAATCTCGACAATATTCCCAGCTCCTACTGATCGGACCGTGTTGTGCGAGAAGGTGACTTCTGCTCTCGTGATGCAAGACTCTCCGTACTCCTCAATAACATGAATTCGAGATAAATGCAAGACCCGGAAATTTGGATTTTCAACTCCGCGCGTTCATGGATGGGCCTACGTTCTAAATTTCATAGCACCATATTTACATGGCACACATCGTCTGGAGACCGCTCACCTGCAGGTTTGCTTGTGTTAAGAGAGATAATGACCAGGCACCCTTTTTTGAAAGTAGACATGAGCAAAGATGTAATAATGTGCTAATATGGCCTTTAAATTTCATCTCTCAACCACAAGGACCTCCGAATTTAGCGCATACGTGGTGACATGGTGGCGCGAAGAGGTCGGACTGCGCAGGGCCAAGTATATGGCATCATTGATTTGTTTTGACCCAAAAGTGACTGCGTACGTACCTAGGAGGCCATTTATCATTGACATAGTGGTCGTGTTATCTGAGTCTTGAAAGCAGTTAAAGGATACAGTAACCGTCTTTATTGCTCACGGAAGCCCGGTGATCGTGTGCTTGTCAGGGAGCAGTGATGACATGGGTGGGCAACAAGAGGACCTGCCGCCCATCATTGGATGCAGGGACCCATAGAAATTGTCAGGAACGACAAGGTGGGAACGATTTGTACATAACGGTAACCATATTTGGACAAATTTGTCCGTAAATTGAACACAGTGCTTGTCGTATGTCAATCGAATGTCAAACAATATTCATCCGCTATGTCTAAACGCGCCCAACCATCGCCATCAACGTCTCAGCGCAAGCGGGCAAAGCTCGCCTCAGATCAGTTATCATTGAAGACGTTTTTCGGATCTTCTCTAAGCCCCACTTCTCCAGCCAATTCTGTGGCGGGGAATGGAAAACGCAACGCAATTGGAGGGCTGGGTGTAGAACCAGTACGAGAACAATTAAATACCAAAAAGATTGCCAAGCCAGAGGTCATCGACCTGACTTCGGATTCTGAACCTACCGTCAGAGATTCTGAATCTGATAGTCTTTTTCCAGCTCCTGCTCAAGTCGACGTTGGTGGTTCGTCAGGGGGTGTCCTACCTGGCTCTAAAACACCCTCGTGGCAGCATGTTCTTGTCAAAAACAACGTCGCTGCCTTGCCAAATTATCAGCCACTAGGAGTTGATCCTCTTCTCTATGACATCCAGGAAAGTCCGTGGTCAGCTAATGAACCGGCGCCATATTCGTTCCTCGCTCATACCCTCGCCACCTTATCGGGAACACGTTCTAGGATTATCATTCTCAACACGCTTACAAATACCCTCAGGACTTTGCTCAATTGGCATCGGCCATCCTTGCTGCCATCGCTATACCTCCTTTCTAATTGCCTGTCTCCTCCGTACTCTCCAGTTGAGCTAGGTATCGGTTCCTCGGTTATATCCAAGGCGATTCAACATATTTCCGGCCTGAGCTCTTCTACGCTTAGGCGGCTTTACAACTCATCCGGTGACCCCGGTGACGTTGCTTTTGAAGCAAAGTCAAATGTTCGCACCTTAGTGCCTCATCCTTCACTACTCATCGTGACTGTGTACGAATCTCTATTGAAAATTGCCAACTCTAAGGGACAAGGCGCAGCCAAGCAGAAGCAAGCCATCGTCGAGAAACTCCTTGTAGCAGCTAAAGGAGAAGAGTCGCGTTATCTTGTCCGTACCTTATCGCTGAATCTACGTGTTGGAGCGGTCAGAACCTCCATCCTAACTGCACTGGCAAGAGCGTTAGTCTTGACTTCGCCAACTAGTCTCGGAGGTCCCCCTCGCGATGATTCGCCATACCATGCCACCTCACAATCAATATCTTCGGTTCAATCCCTCGCAGCCGCAGGAAAAAAAGGTCTTGATCCTGCTGGCGATGAACTTCATGAGAAATTCATCCAAGCTGAAGCATTGGTTAAAAAAGTGTTCGTTCAACACCCAAACTATGATCACATCGTAGCCGGTCTCTTTAACGGCGGATTAGATAGTCTCGAAGTACATGTTCCGTTGACCGTCGGTGCGCGTTTCGCTCCCTGCTCCGTAAACGACCTAAAAAAACATCGATAGGAATTCCCTTGCATCCGACCCTGGGTTCTCCCACTCGATCATTGGATGAAATATATGACCGTTTGGGGGATCTCCCCTTTGCAGCAGAATTCAAGTATGATGGTCAGCGCGCTCAGATACATGGGGTACGAGGAGCGAATGACGACAATCCTTCCATTCACATGTTCTCCCGTCATCTAGAAGATATGACCACAAAGGTGAGCTGTGCACTTTTATAGGCACAAGACTGCGATCTTATCGGCGAAAACCAGTATCCTGATATCGATCGCCTTGTTAAATGCATCTTCGAAGATCAACCGCAGCTGCGATCTTTTATTATCGACTCTGAGATTGTTGCCATAGATCCAGTTGACGGCGGCCTGAAGTCATTCCAGGAGCTCTCGAACAGGGCAAGGAAGGACGTGGAAATGAGTGATATCAAGGTTTCTGTGTGCGTGTATGCCTTTGATCTGATGTATCTTGATGGTGAGGTACGTCCGCCGGATTGTGTGTCAACGTTGTCAATCGATAGTTATTTACATCCCTCGGTAGGTCTTACTCGCCCGGCCCTTCCGAGAGAGGCGGTCGCTGCTGAGATCTCGCTTTCCGCCTTTCTTACCGAGCGACAAGGGTGCAGGGCGTCTTGACCACGTCGAAAGCTGTGACAGCGAGGCAGGCAGAGATGCTATTGAGGAGTTTTGGCAGAAGGCTATAGAGAGCCGCTCTGAGGGCCTCATGATTAAGGTGAGACAGTATCCAATGTGACGATCAGTGTTACTAATGCTTACCTAGATCTTGAATGGTGGTGCAGTGCAAGAGGATGGAACGCAGAAAGGAAATGCAAAGCGGAAACCTTTTCCCGCGACTTACGAACCCGGTGTGTATGAGCCATTTATTGGTGCTGTGCTTTTAAGAAATTTTCACAGATAAACGAACATCCGCTTGGTTGAAGCTGAAAAAGGACTACGTTGCGGGTCTCGGGGATACCCTCGATATGGTTCCTGTCGGAGCGTGGCATGGGAACGGACGAAAGGCTGGGTGGTGGAGCCCAGTTTTGCTTGCTGTTCGAGATTCCACCGATGACTGCCTTGTTGCCGTCTGCAAGTGTATGTCCGGTAAGTGACATACACCCTGATAATATGAAGATCACATCTTGAACTACCTTTTTTGCGCCAGGATTTTCGGATGCGTTTTACAAAGTTTGTTATCTAGTAGATCTTCTCAGGCTACTTACCCATAGCACCTTGCAGGAGATGGTTGCGCGTTACCCAGAGGGGTCCGATAATTGCTCTAGGCAACCCCTTTGGGAAACCAATACAGGAGGTGCGGTATCATGTTACCTATATTTGACCGCTAGGGTTCTTGGCTGATTTTTTCTCCAGGCTTCAGGCCCGACGTTTACTTCAGGCCCAATGAAGTGTGGGAGATACGAGGAGCAGAGTGAGTCTGCTAGAGTCCGGCGTTATATTTTAATATATACTCACTCCGTATGATTTTCAGTATCACTTTGAGCCCTGTATCTCTGGCAGCATTGGGCCTGGTTTCCTCATCGAGGGGCCTCAGTCTTAGGTTCCCGCGATTCATAAAGACGAGAGAAGATAAATCGTTGGAGCAAGCCAGTACTGCAAATTTCCTCGCTCAGATGTGGAAAGACCAACAGGGGAAATCCGCTCAAGGGGGCGCCGATGATGGTGATTTACTGGATGTAGAGCCAGATTCAGAGGAGGTCGTTGAGGCGGAGGAGTCGGACAGTTGACTCCGAACCAACTCCGAACCTTGAAGGTTGGACATTTATTTTTGGTCATTCTGCTCTTAATACTTGACAACTACATACACGTCAGTTTACACACAGCAATTGTAATACAATAGAGCATCTGAGCACATACGGGGCAAGCCCAAAACCTCGTACCACTAGTGCTGTCCGACATAGGATAGATTCAAATAAAAGATGGCACTATGCCAGCATATGCTTCGAAATGCTTTATTTTGAACGTAGCTGAGCATTTCCAAGCAAATCGATCGATAGGCGGTTGCCCGTCAACGTGCTGCGTTAGACTATTACTTACTTGCACAACAATCTGTTACTAAAGTTTCGGCATATTATCGGTGAAATATGATTTGCTTGGGATAATTAGATGAAGCTAGGCTTGATGGATCCCTGCTGGCCAAATTTACATAAAGTGCTTACTTTGCTCATTGCTAGGTTCTTCAAAAAACGATCTTGAACTTTGTCAAGCGGCACTCCGTGTCTCGTAAGGTCGCAAATTTGACTAACTGATGCAGTTTTTTTTTAAATCTTGTGACAGCAAAGCCATCCCAAGCTTAGAACCAACGCGCACCAGTCTAACGCTAGTCACATCCTCATCACATCCTTCATGACTCATGGTATCTATCTATGTTCACGGTTTCGCGCTTGGCGCGTCCTACTCGGACTCAATAATTGACGCCCTCCTCTAAATCAAAGCTTTTTCCTCCAATCAAAGCAAACGTGACCCATACCTTATCGTACTCATTCTACGAATCTAGCCGCTAGATGATCATGTCTAACTCTGTTGCCACGTGTGCCGGTAATTCGCGAATTCTTCCCTGCCTCAAACCGACCCCACAATATACGTCAAGGCTCCCTAAGACGTGGTAGGTGTTTGCGATCGTTGGACAGGCCAGCACGCACTTACAAGAAAAATGCTGAGATGCAAATGCTAGAAGATTCACACTAAACGTGTCTACGTGTGTCTATAGGTGTCACTGTCTATGTATGGCGTGGCTCAGAGCTTTGCCAGGGTCTGGCACAATCCCGGAAGCTATGTGTCTGCTACACTGCCATATGGTCAGGACCTTTCAGTTCCCCACCCAAATCTACAGCCAATTGTACTGGCTAAGCTGACTGGCTAGTCTTATCCGGAGGACTACAGTTGCCGATTGCAAGCCCTTGCAGGGACGCGGCATTCGCATTGGATCTACCCTCAAACACCTTTTTCGGAACGTGCCTTTCGACGCCGTGCAAATCAAAGGTCGCTGAATGCACCCCTGGTCTACCCGCGGCGACATGCATAATGGCATACGTACAGGCTGTTCCTGCCCTGCACGAACAGTTCCGGATCCGCTACATTTTGCCCCGCAGTTTGCTCACTTGTGACGTTAAGATTCGCCCGTGTATGCACTCCTAGAATTTGGGTATCCAGGTTCGCATCGTTGAACTCCTGCTAACGTTTGGGACATCTCACCCTCTTCTCTTGGTATGACTCAATCCTCGGACCGGAAACTATCGCGTACGTTCGCCCAAAACCTGACGTCTATACTGGCATACTCGCTATTAGATATTCTGGCAGTACAAATGCCTCGCATATGCTTCTTGCTTGCTATTCTTGAACGTATCGGAATGAACCCCGAATATATCATGTCCTACTGATCTATGTGCGCAAATTGCAAAGTTTTTCTTGGAAGTCCAATTTATGTTCTTCACATCCAAGTAAGAATTTAATTGCCCAGACAACCACTTCATACTTGGCCCCCGGAGTAAGTTCAGTTTCCAAGTGTTACTTGCATGCCCACTGTCATTTGTAGCTCAGCGATTTCTCTCAGAAGGGCTGGCGCCCTTGGAGCTGCAAAGTTCAAACAGCTGTAAATGATAGCCCATGAGAAAATTGGTGCCAGAGGACAAGTTATATAGTAACCGGACATTTCTCAAGAGGAATGGATCCGTCCGTCTTAGGCCGCGGATCGCAGGGATGACGACTTCGTCCTTCTGACCACAATCTATCTGCATTCATAGTATTAAGCATCGTCATGGGAGGTGTACATCATCTTATTACTGGTTTGAGTAATTTTACAATGTCATAACAGCAGGAAGATCTCACAAGATATCGCCTTACCACATAAGGATGAAATGCAAGTATCAATTCATGGCCCAGACTCTCACAAGACTAATTAGAGCATCCCTGTCTTGCTGGGCATAGCTCTCTCCGCCAAATACTGAGTTGACTAGGTCCTCGAGACGCCCTCCTGTTGCTAATTGCTGCCATTCCACGTCACGTTGTTCCGCGATCTGCTGCAGGTAGGCGTACGAGATCAGAAGTTCCTTCTTCACGATTAAAATCGCAGGGCTTGAACTGCGTCCCTTGGTCCCTGTAAGAAGGTGGACGACATCGCCGGTAGGAGGCATAGAAATCTTGCTAGCGGAAAAAGAGGCAGACGAATCGTTTGCACTGGAAGATGATAGGTTCTCCTCCCTCACAGGGGCAATGCCTCGCGCTGCTCTCACAGCTCGTGCTTGTGGCTTTGGGCGACGGGTGGATGTGTTTTTCCCGCCTGATTCATCGGAGAGGAATTTGCGGCAGAGCGCCAGTTTGAACAGTTGCGCTGAATGTGACAGATGCAAGCCTGACATGAAAGTCTGGACAATTTCTGGGGAGGCTGAATATAGTCGTGACGTGACTTGCTCCAGAAACATTTGGAAGTCAAATTCTGCTGTTAGACAGACACCGATGAGCTGCAGAGATTAGCAGGAGAATGGCTTGTAAATAGAATATATATTCACCAGCGTCATCAGGTCGAGACCCAGCTGCCGTTGCTGCGGTTGACTTTGCGAAAGACAGTAGAATACGATGTCTAGAGGTGCATCAGCTTCCCACCGAGAACCAGTACCGCTTCTCGGCGGGGGAATCTGCAACAACAATAATGGTGAATGCTTCGCTGCACATTGTCTTAGTCAAAGGAGTTACTCCGAAGGCGTGGTGGCCTCCCACCTAAAACATCTCCAGATGACAAAGATTCATCCCGCTGAAAGAGCTCAACCAGCCACCGCAAGACTAACCAAGCGTGCTCTGCAACAGGAGCGAGGATTGAATTACCGCGATTCTCCTCGACACACTCTTCAGTATCAATGATGTGTTTGCCGCGTTTCCTCTTCCCTGCCAGTAGGGACGGTGGAGAGTTCTTTATTCGCGACACGAAACCTTCCTTGAGTATTGCCCAGCAGTTCTTCGCGTCCTTAATGCACAAGGACTCCTTTGCTACAACAGAGTCATGATCACCACCATCGAATGGTAATTCGCTGCTTCTGCCATTAATACGCGGTTGTGGCAAAGCCTGAAAAAGAGATGCAGGTGTATTTGTTCTAACAAAGGATAATAACAAGCGCTGCGCGGCTTCCGATGCACTGACTGAAGGAGCAAATGTCATTTTTGGTGCCTGATGTTTCTGCTTTGTAGGAGAGCCTTTTGATGGCGAAGCGGGATCGAGATCGCGCTCTTCCCCACAATGGAGGGATGGGGGTGGGGGGTACAATGCGATGTAGAAGAGTTGACGGATGAGAGACCTAGGTATCCCTACTTTCAATGCTCCTCGGGAAAAGAAGAACGCAGATGGTCTTACACGGGTGGCTTAAAGTTTTCGGATCTTAGTTGTTCGAGCACCGCGATGCCAGACTCGTATTGACCCTCCTCAAAACACGTTTCTACTAGACCTCGTTGATTGCGGGTCATCTCACATTCTTGAAGGTTTCGATGTGAGGAGGGGGGCGAGACCATGGCAAGGTAAAGTAAGTACAGTTGTAAGTGAAGACGTGACAGCGCGTAGAGGAACTTAAGTAGTCACTGTGTCTAGTACGCGTTGATATAGATAACGTGACTTTTAAGGCACGCCGGTTTTCTTTGAAACTTGTATGTGCTCCTAGTACTGTATAGATTCGACCTTGGGTTCGTCACAGCGTCGCCGACACCCCGAACTGAACCTATTTCATGTGACAGTCGCGAGCATCTGGCGAGGACGAACCTAGAATTGTGACATCTGGTTCTTCTCGTATTTTTCTGCGAGATAAAACAAATTCTAACTAGTGCGCATCATAATCTCCGTATTGCGTGTTTGCAATGTGCCGTTGCTTTCCTCTGCCGGCCTCACTAGGGGAAATCACCTCATGATGCTTGTCGGCAGCACCGTCCACTATCAGAGACCCATCCGCGTCCATGTTATATCCTTCTGGCACATAGGTCTTGCCAGACATGATATGTTCGAGCACCACCTCCAATGGGGCCTCGTCATCGACTCCATCGCTCTCGACCACATCATCTTCTGGTAAGGATACTTCGATACTATCCGCTGAGTCATCGTTGCTGCTGGTTGCAGCGGTGGTGCTGCGGGGGGGATATTCAGACCAGACAAATAAACTTACTAGATGATATCAATGTACCCTCGCGTTCAATATCCTGCTGAGACACTACAGAAAGGGAGAAAGAAGTCGGATATGTAGCAATCTCCGTCGTCGACTGGGGATCGATTGAGCGAGCATAGAGTCAATCTGACTCGGAGACTCGGAGTCCTTCAGTGTAGTCCGGCCACTTCGGCGAACCTAAGTTCGTCACAGGTCACAGCGGTGAACGAACATGCGAACCTACCATTATGTCATGTCACACCACGACCCCCACGAACCTAAGGTCGAATGTATACAGTACTCTAGCTGGTGAACAGACCTGACAATAAAATATATCCACGGCAGGTGCTAAGGCAGAGTCACAGCCTTCGAAACGGATGCTACGTCACTGGAAAGACGATGAATACCGTTGAGTGATGTATCCGAGTATTCTGTTGCAAGGACACCCGGACAGTAAAACGAATGCGGCGGTTCCTGTCCAATAAAATGTTTTTTCGGAGATTCGTGACGTGTACGCTCACTTACTTATGCTTGAGCTGATGTGACTGGTTCACCGGTCCCGGTCAAATGCGACCATCGCTCACTTCACCTGTTTCTTGATCGATTGATAACTATTTACTGTTCAAATGTTGGGACCTCGCAGTCATTAGGGACCGGTGTCAGTCACTACCAATTCTGCATGCGTACCTATGGGTAACATGACTTTCCTAAGAAAGTTAATGGGGAATCTGGTCGTCAATTGGACTCACCGGTTCTCTGATGCTGAACGGCTGTGAGATCTTTGAACAGTCATGCTGACAGACTTTTTTTAGCCCGTGTACCGCAATGTACGTGTTCATCATTATGCAAAAAGAGGAACGGTTAGCAATAGCAGGCAATGGCCTACGCGATTTGTGAAGACTAAAAGCTCAGATGCATCATTGGGGTGAGGATTCGATCATTTTGGCTGTACATACTTGTTTGTAGACCTGACACCATTTCATACAATTCACACAGCTGACTCTTGCTGACCAACATTACCACCTGCGTTTTTATCATCATCTGCCTTTCTGTCAAGGCTTGCTCCGAGTCTAGTGGTGAGTGCCCGTCAGCATCAGCGCAGCTCTGATTGCATTCTCAGCATGGCAGCCAGCAGGTTTATGTTCTGGGTAACACGCAGCCTTCGCATTGCTCTGCGGCAGAGTTGGAATCCTTCACGTGCCATGGCCTCAGACGCAACAGTGGGATCTCCAGGTCCAGTAGAAAATATCATGCGAGAAAAGGTAAGGCAGCAAAGGTTACCCGCGAAGATCGATCCGGCTCCTGAGCAATCATGAAATTATGCCACAGCTCACGACCTTGCTTCAACCGTCTAAACTAATCATTACGAACGAATCGCAGTTGCATAGACATCACGCCGCAATGCGCTCTCAAGGTGGCGGGAATGGAGAAACACGTAAGTGTCCTCTCTACCCCCCCCAAAGGACGCTGTTCATTGACGACGCGGGCGTAGATTTTGCCGTGCAAGTAATCTCAGATGCTTTCCAAGGGAAGGTGCGTGTACTATCGAATCTCGGTGCATTTGTACTATATTCCTTCACAGAACACGGTGCAACGCCATCGCCTCATCTACTCTGCCCTTTCGGATGAATTTGCTCAAGGGTTGCACGCACTATCGCTAAACACGAAGACAGCAGAGGAAGCGCAGAGATTCCAAGCTGGAAACTGACACGGTAGAGAACGAATACAATATTGTTCAAGTGGTCGTGCATATGTAGGAGCGCTCCGAATTGTGGTAAGCTCCCTGACTCAAACCGTCGACATCAGCGACGGCTACTCATAAATAACATGTAAGCTTCACAGTGAGACACGTCAGGAATGCACCATGGGCCTAGACTGGTTTCAGCGCACTGCCTGCCCTATGCAAAGATGTTAACATTGAAGTTCACGGTGTGAGGACAATTTTAGGCCAATGTTGCCGAAAACCGACGAGGATTTTTGGTATTCAGCCACAAACGATAGATCTTTCAGTGGGGGTTGCTCGGAGAGACACGGCGGGTGCAATAGAGTGATCCGCTGTAGCTGATCTGAGATGCGGCAAGTGCAAGATATATACTAACAGCACATCCCCCGTGGATGATGCGCGGCCTTCGCGCCCCTTAGTGTGTGACATTGCGGTGCTCTATCTCCAACCCTGGCATCGTTCAATGGCTCCTTTCGTCCATCATGAGACTCCCACAAACTGCGTTGTGACTGAGTGCGCAGCAGCTTCAGCAGCGACAATCACCACGGTTGCCTTTACGGTAACCGAGTGGTAACCATATTGAATGTAACGGAGGTGCGCCCTCGAGGTGCTATTCGTGTGGTGGAATAGACCCGGTCACGTTTCTTCATGCAAGTACTTTCGAAACCGCATCACGATCGGCGTGCAACGGTATCCTGCCGTTAGCGCGGTTTGAGGCGATCATCACCATATAAGATTCCCCGACAATCCACTTCAATTCAACCCGTCCTCCTCTCATTTACTTTCCCTTGTATCTCATACCATAGAATGTCTGACCGCTCATTCCAGGAGAGTGATGCCTATCGCGAAGCTCCTCGGCCAACCCTTCCTTCTGTTCGCGAACTTTTCCCAGGTTAGTCAAGCTTCTGTAGCTCTCCACATTCGTGTATTTTACCTTTAGGCTTCAGAATTATCTCGTACTCCAAGACCTTCCGTAATACATCCTTCTTCTTGGGCGGGTTCCAATGCCAGCCACGACTCATACTCTACACCACATATGGGCCAGTCAGATGGTGTTCTATCAGGGCCAGGTTTGCAGGTTAGTCGTTGTTTTATGACTAGATCAAACCTTAATAATGATCACTCTTTCAGAGACATCCTTCGACTTCTTACCACCCTATTTCGCGTGGTTCACGACACGAAACGCATGCAACACACCTTCACCCAACTCATGAACATCCACCACATTCATTGTATCATTCTCAACATCCACCAAACCAATATTCTCGACCGTCCACTGACAATGTCCAGGGACGACCAGCCTACGACTATACTAACCACCCAGGACCAAGCTCATATCTTGATTATTCAAGGCAGCATTATCCTGGACAGATGATCGAGCCCTCTGGATCCACACCTTACGCTCCACGCTACCCTGACGTACGGGCTCAGCATTACCGGAGAGACTCGCAGGAGACTGCATCTAGTTTAGAAGACTCCGTTCCTCCTGCCAACACTTCATCACTGAAATACGAGTGCGACTACTGCGGCAAGGGTTTCACTCGCCCCAGTAGTTTAAAGGTGTGTCATTCGATATCCTGTATGCCATACCTTGGGCTAAAGAAGACTGCCAACCGAAGATACACCTGAACAGTCATACTGGCGAAAAGCGTGAGTGTCCGTTTATAGGGTTTCGCATCATCATACCGACCTCTCGTCTCTAGCATTTACGTGCACTTTTGAAGGCTGTGGTCGCAGTTTCAGCGTGCTCAGCAACATGCGTCGGCACGCTCGTGTGCATGCCGATGCCTCAGGACGTTATCATGAGGAGTCCAGCGACGAGTCGAACGACGCACATTCACGTTCAGGGCGTTAGAAAAACACGCATTGTCCTCGCGGACGCGTACCCGGCGCATGTAATCGCTCCTATCCGCATCTCATGATCTTCGTTGCATTTTTAGGACATTGCATCGGTCGTTCATGATGAATGATGAGCGGCGTATTTATAGCAATTCACGCGCATTACTTATTCCATCTATCGCATGCAACCGATGATATTTATTACTCACGTATTTATTCCATACAGTCATTGTTGTTAGTACTAGTACTCATCGCCTGGTGTATCCATTCCCTTTTAATTAATAGTGGTCTCCGGCATTAAAATGTATTTCTTCGAGTTCTGCATGTAGCAAGAAATAATTCACCAACTTGCGTGGCCCTCTTGCTTGAAGGGGAACTCCATCCACTAAGAGTAACGGCAACCGCAGATCTGGAGAATTGCGGTGGCGGCGGCGGAGGCGGCGCAACAGCGGCGCACAGCAAGGAAACAAGGGTATAGCATAGGAATCAAGTACAGTGGATAGTCACATCATGAAGTAATTGCACGTCTGAGCGTCATGTCCGTAGATTATGTGTCGTCATATCCTCGACGATGCCGCAAGGCATGATAGCGTCATGGCATGGCCACAGCAGCATCTCAGCCACACAGCCACCCTCTCAGGGTCTCCAAACGTGCACTGGCATTAAAGCGATATAGCCCGGCCTGTGGCAGCCTCGTGTACACTACGAAACTGTGAACGACCCCGTTCGACCACCCGTTCTGGGCCTGGAATGTCCGCTTGTACATCAAATGCACGATCAGCACGAGCGTAACTGATCGCTCGAGGACTCTTGTGCGTGAACCCCGCAAATGCGAGGGCCTTGCGGACGTTCAGAATCTCTTCCCCGTGGACCCTGTCCCTGAGCAGAGGATCTTTTGTCGCGTCTGCCGGTGCCCCGTTAGCCGGAGCCAAAGGCTGGGTACAATTTAAATGCCTGACACGACGAAACATCTCGGAAGACTCACCTCTGGTGGGATGTCGGAGTCAAAGTGTCGCGTATCTTCTGGGCTCTGCAAATCCGGGCGATATGGTGCAGGATGATGGTGTATATTTTCCCAATCTATGCCTCGGAACCAGGGATGCGCCTTCAAGCCTGCACGTCAGCAATTGAAATGCGAACGGAAGCTCAAGTGGCGCCAGACCTTGATTGCATCTGCGCCATCAACACTGCCAGACGTCGACCCTGGCAAGATGAACCCGCTGCGTCGTGCGTGAACAGCGAGGGAATCTGGCCGCGACACAGATGCCGGAACCTGACTTCCAAGACGATCCTCCGGCTCACAAAGGAGCTGTTGCATCAGATTCACGCCCTCACCCGAGACATGAGGGCGAGAGGGGAATTTGAGGGATTGCCTCCAGTTCAGAATCTTCTGGCGAGTTACGTGTCGCTGCCCGCGCAGTCAGCCACAGATAAACTGGGGTGCGAAAAGCTTACGGAGTTGCTAACGAATGGGGGGTATCTGGGCGAAATGTATTCATAAACATGCGGTACACCGGATATACAATGCACCGAAGCTTACCCATACAGGCATTCAAACATGATGACACCCAAGCTCCACCAGTCACAAGAAAACGAGTAGCCAAGGCCCCTAATGACTTCTGGAGACACTAGATAGAAGGCGTAAGCATAGCAACATAGGGTAAATAACACGGACAAAGCGGCCACATACTGTAAGAATTTGTCCCGCAGCTATGGGTCCGAAGAATGGACGTTCAGAATCACGTTGTATACTACGAGTCCATTGCTTACACAGAGTAGGCTAGCTACAGCATGACAGCCAGGGTGAGGCACAAGACGGAAATATAATGGACAATCGTACCTTCCTGCGATTTTTCTCCCGCCAAGTAAATATGCCACTTTGCCCGTTTCCGTCTCCCATCAGTAATTCGACGTCCTTGCGGTCCATACGCTTGGTTCTAGTGCCATCCCCTATGCCGTTGCTGTCCTCAAGATCTATCCCGTGCTTGTGCAGCAACTGACGCCGCTGTTGTTCGTAATCTACGGCCATCCGTATCAATGACATGTTCCGTAAACCCAGTGTGTTCCGCACTGACAGGAAGTATCATGGGCCCAGTGCAAATCAGTCCTGCGGAGTCAGTACATATTTAGCACTCAGAAACGAGGACGGGGAAGTGAGTCAGTTCCGCTAATATTCCTCCTACTCACGCAAGACCGAAATCACTCAGACGAATATGTCCTTCCGGATCAAACAGGAAGTTCTGTCAGAAGGAAATGGATAGCCATGTTATCAATCTACAGCGGACCTTAATCTTTAAAAAAAATCATACTCACATCAGGTTTAATGTCACGATGAATGAAGCCGTGTTTATGACAGGTTTCAATGGCTAAAATCATCTGGGGTAAATGTGCCTGTGGTTCAACAAAGTGTGCTATGAGAAAAAGAAGATGCCAACCTCAGCGACATAGAAACGAGCGAAGTCTTCCTCGAAAACGTCTCTCTCGATCAAAAGATTCAGGAGATCTCCACCGCCCATAAATTCCAATACCTATTATTATTGTTCGAGATATGAAATACAAATGAAATCAGTGAGTCATGGTTGTCTGATTTTTAGGACGATGGCGGAAATCGGGGTTAGAGCTACTGACCAAGTACAAATTATCGCGGTCCTGGAAGCTATAGTGCAGCTTCACAATCCACTCCGCGCCACCGGGAGAAGTGACCAGCGACGCAGATTTCAGGATATCACGTTCTGCACGGACGTGACCTTCTTGCCCTTTGCGAAGCATATCGCTCTTCCTGAGCTAGTGATAGTGAAATGAATAATTAATATGAATGCGGTATGGAGAGATTAAAATGGAAACAAAGAACCTGTTTCATGGCAAATAACTGTCCCGTGACTCGTTCTTTAACCAAGGACACGACCCCAAATGCACCTGATCGATAGTATGGTGTGAGAATGCTGTTTTCAGGGACATGGGTCAACCAACCATGACCGATAGTTTTCAGTTTGATGAATGCTGTTGCATCAACTTTGCTTCTGCGTTCACGAAGGTATTCAGTCTCGTTTCGGCGCCAGTGAGCACGTAAACCTTCTTTCTGATCTTCACTCAAGCGCATGCTAACCATATCCTTTTCCATGGCGATTCTCCGTTGTTCTCGAGAAGGAGGCTGCCGAAGGAGGGGAAAGTAAAGGTTCTCAAAGTAGATCCGGGCGGAGACGGCCTTCTCTAAGGTAGCCAGTGAGGGAGTAATCGGCCTTGGTGAAGGTCCAGGAAGGGTAAGGGTCAGGTCATCGTCGTATTCGCCAACTTCCGGGTGAGCCCTCAGGCCTCCGCCAAATTTTATGGTGGAATTATCTGGGCGTACGGGGAAGTCATCGACGGGTGAGAAGCGGACATTTTCACGGGCAGCTGTGGTGATGGTGGAGGAAGTAGTAGTGCTGATTCCGTTCATGACCCGAAGGGGAGGTGGCCGCCCTGCGCTATCTTGGGATGGTTTAAGGGCGTTGATAACCTCGTTAATCGCCCTTGCTTGGTTGCTCTGCCTTACTCGTGACTTTATTGGATCTGCCCAACGTGGGTCTGAGGTGCCAGGTAAGAATAGCGGAGAACATAAGTGGATAATGCGCTGATGGCTGACCTCCGAGCTTTCCCAAACCATCTGGACCCCAACGCGTCAAGAGCGCTTCTGCCTGACCGGCGTCCGAAGCGTGGACAAGATGCCTACGAATACCTTGTTGGGATGTAGTAAATGTTGAATACTAAAATATAACCTACACGAAACCGGTGGGCCTGGAGACCATAGCTTTACTGACTCTTCTGCCCTTCTTTAGGGGCGAAGAAGGATAAGATGCAGGTATGTGATGGGAGATATCCTCATGACGTTGACCTGCACTAATAAGCTCCCTGTCAGTGGGTGATCCGCCGCCACCCCAAAGAAATCGGGATGGGGATGGTGTGGGGATCATTGCGAGTAAATCATAGAAGCCTTTGTGCAGGAGAGTGCCAGCCGGCAGCATAGGTGTAGTGTCCTCATAATCATCGTGAGTCGGCAGGTACCCAGGGTATGGATATGCTGCATAAGATACTCGGGGAACAAGATCAGAAGGAATATGATCATCATCGTAGTTTCTATTGGACTTTGGAGGCTTTGATAATAAGCGAGATGATGCTGCCATTCCGATGCTCTTGGATGGCACTTGAGCTGAGCAGTGATTAACTTATGTCGTATCTATTTCCGGTAATGGTCATGTGACATAAATACATAGATCATAAATGTTCATTAAGTTGATAATATTTTTTCAATCTGAAGTAAGTATGTATTCTATCCGACTTGTAAAGCGGTCACTATTGTTACCCGCCGAGTGGGGTAAATCATTATAGATCTGAGATTATGGGTTAGTTTTCATCTCCACCAATAGACTCGCCCTTCATCCCACACAAGCCTGAGTACACAAAAAAAGCTCGATCAGGTTTAACAAAGAGTAAGCTTGTTTAGTAATGGAGTTCCTAGCCTTTTACACCTCTGCGGTATTCGGAGCTACCCGTTTGTGGGAAATAACTAGTTGGCAAAACACTTACTCAAGTGAAAGGTGTCCGCACCAGGAAAGGCCACGAGGCCATTTTTACCGATCTCGATGGCATTGATGTCAACAATGCAATTTCCGCGTTGCACAGAGAAGTACACAGCTTTTCCAACGCGTCAGTGCTTCCCTTAAGTATTACGGTCCGTCTCGACTTTGGAAACTTCGAAGCGGAAAAAAAAAATGAAAGACCGCGAAGATTAACGAATGGTTTACGAAGGGGGTTTACAATAAACCACACACGTCTTAGGAACCAAGTTCGGATGATCAACTTGACGCCCAAAGTACTACTAAGTACTTTTACTCCGATTTCAAGCCTACTTATTAACGAGGTCCTCATTCCGCAGACTTTAAAAAAAAACACGCTTCATCCTACCTTTCTTACCAAGTTTGCACATCTACGCCTCGTGTACTTATACCTTTGCCGGTGTTCATGTTTACCTCGTTCATTCAACGGCCCTGATCGATTCATCCTAAAGTCACAGCCTTCTCGTGCCGCAGGTCTTGCTCGCTCGCTCGTCGGGCAATTGGCATGCTCAGCGCGTGTTCCTTTCATACTATATAAACAACATCGATTTCTTCTTTCATTGAACCATAATTTTCTTCACTTCCTCTTTTGCCTATCTGCTTAACTTACTATGACAAACCCGAGGGACGATCGTTTGTTCTCAAGCCTTTCAAAGGCCCGCAAAAGCCCTCCTGGAGGGGATTCTCAAAATAGTGGTTTTTTCCAGACGGGACAGGGTGGGCGAACTGTGCTCCCTCCTCTTTCTTCAGCGTTTCCAACCTCACCCTCTTCAGGTCTGTTTTTCTATCTAGTGTTCATCCAATATGCTCAACTCGCGTATAGCTCCCAACTATCCTTCATATTCCCAGCAACGTTCATCTCCTGGAAAAAGTGATCATAGCACTTCAACCTATGGTCAATGGTCCTCTAGTATGTCTACGTCACATACCCCGATCACACGCTCATCAATCTTGTTTCAAGCGGTACCAGTTGCCCCACAGCATTCAGGTTATTATGAACACTATGACCGATATCCTCCTCAAGCTTCATACTCGAGCTATCCTCCCCGCAGCTCACCGACGATCCCTGCCGATTCTCACGGTTCTCGCAAGTTGCCTCCATTAAACGTGTCCGAAAGATACCAGGGCAGTTACGGTGCAGTGGCACCTCATGTCTCCAACTATGGTGATATCCGCTCGCCCACCGCTACCTACCCTACCGAGTATTCTTCCGCTCCTTACCCACCTCAGACCTCATCATACTCATATCCTCCCGTCCCTGATCCACGTCACCACCATTCCAGTCAAATCTCATCGATGCATCACTCCCAGCAGATGTCCATCGGCATGTACCCGGGGGCCGAGCGAGGTATGCCTGTACAAGTCGAGGCGCATGGCCACTCCCCCTACGCCCGAGGCCCAATCACCAACTCAGTGCTAACCCAAGAGCCTGCTCCAATGATGGTTAATGATGAGCCTGTCATTAAGAAAAAGCGTAAGAGAGCCGACGCCGCTCAGTTGAAAGTCCTGAACGAAACTTACGCTCGCACTGCGTTTCCTTCGACTGAGGAACGAGCAGAGCTCGCCAAGAAACTAGATATGTCAGCCAGGAGCGTCCAGATCTGGTTGGTGTATATGTCTACACGATTGAAAGATCGGCGCTCATTCATTTCCATAGGTTCCAAAATAAGCGGCAGTCAATGAGACAGACTACCCGACAGTCGTCGACATCAGTGTCGACTCCCCATCAACCATTTAACATGTCATCTCAGACTGACGAAGTATCGCATACTTCATTTGGTGGCGGCAGCATCAGCCCCACGACCGTCCCTCATTCCTCATACATTTCGCGTTCAAATCAGGACGCTCGGTCCGTGGCACAGGACAGCCGGTCACCTATCCCCCATCGACGCGAAGAAGATCCTCGTAAATGGCAGCAACCCGGTCGCTACTGAGTATTGATCGTTGCCTAAACACCATGTCTTTCATTTCAGCTAGATTCATTCTCTCCTCATAACAGAAGCGTCGTCATCCTTTTGCATTCAGGACCTCGATCATTCATTATCACCGTATTAACTTACTCGCTAGCCCCTTAATACCCATTCATATTGAATTTTATATATCCATATCACCCCCACGCAAAGATCTGATGTCCTTTTCCATCCGTCTACTTGTACCTGCCTCCTTGATGCACTGTCGCCGTAGTTTTTATGTACTTATGATGTTCTTATCCACTCTCTCAGGTTTGGTTTGATCACACGTATCGCTCACGTTGTTCTTACTCGATTTTGTCGCGGAGGTCCGCGGTTAGAAGGTCGTGAATCACGGACTTTTTTTAAGTATGCAGGGAATCTCTGTTCGGTTTATCCTAGAGGCCGACCTGATAATACGTGAAACATGACAGATGCTGCCACAACACAAGTCTGATGCCGTGCGGCTGAAGGCTGATCAGCGCAAATATTGCCATCGATAAGATTGCCTGCAGTAGATTTCTCCTATAAGTGCACAAGTGCGCCGGCATGAGCGGTCCAGCAAGCACCTCCGTCATGCCGTGTCGCAGGAATATTTCCAGCTCCACGGTCAGGGTGATCTCTTGACATATTTGTGCAGCAACGATTAAGACTCGCACGAGAAGGAATCTGTGTTGTCGATCATTTGCTACTCGGGCAGCCCCTTCGCGGTCCTTCCAAAAAATTCTTCTGATGGCCCGCGGCTGAAGCTTGACGCGTAGAGCGCTGAAACTTTGCGCTATTTTAATAACTTTGGAAACAAGGATACGAACTATTCGAGATATGTATGGAGGACGAAGCTCAAGGTTTACAATATTAATTTCATCGATGCTTTCGGACACAGCCGAATAATGATTGTCACTGGCGTCAATCTAATATTATTAGTTACTCGACTTCTCGCCAACTAATCATAGGGATTTTTGCTCGAGCACATGTCCCGGTGATCGGACTGACCTCGCGAGTTTGACAACGATCATTGAAATGTAAGAGACCACCAAAACTCGACACGTTGGAATGTGATCACTGGAGAGGGCGCGGCTGATCTCATGCGTGAAGTGCCTCGTTACAAGAGGGTACAAGCCGGCCTTGCGTCGCCTACACTACGTGGCAGTGGGCCGCCGCATCTGAATATTCCGTTGAACGACTTGGCAGAACGGAAAATCTATTACTTCACAGCATGTAAAGTAGGTAATCTAAGCGAGATCTTGACAAAATGCATCCGCGGAAGTCGGCCCATCAGAATGAAATGCCCCCTGAAAAACACAACACCAGATTTCACATTGCTCGATCTCAAGGGTCAACGTCACTGTCGGTGTCCTCAGGCCGTTGGCCACCATGTGTAAGCCATGCGAGCTTTCTCAGCCTGCGGCGTTCCTCCTGAGCCTTCATCTGGTTGCGTGTAAGTTTTTTCTTCTTTTTGACAAGACCCTTTGCGGCAGCAGAATCTTCAGCCCCACTCGCTGCAGGAGTGCCATAAGTCGAAACAGCAGGACTCTGCACTCGCGAGCGAGCCGGGGTATTAGCACCGCTGCCTTTCGGGGACTTTGCATCAGCAAATGCATCCTCCACAACGGCCGCCTTTCCTTGATGTGTCATCCGTCCTGCTTCAACTTGCCAGATTTCAGGACCTGGTAATCTGCATCAGAAAAACATGCGAAACACAAGATCGGCGCGAGACTGACACAGTGCCGAGACAAATTCGTGATTGTGAGAGATGATGACCTAAGGGGTTCTAGATCAACTCATGGATCCCACTTTAGTATTTATTTTAGTGCTCACCACCGCGCCGCCCCATTCCCTGATGGCCACCGCAAGGCCGCCCAGCGCCTCACGATCTAAGAAATTACTTGGCTCGTCAAGGATACAAACCTACAAAGTATGACGTTAGCACATCATCATGACAACCGGTCGGTCAATGAACCTGGGGATTATTCCAGAGGCAGGCTGCAATGACCAACTTGATTTTTTGCCCTGTCAGAGTCTGAGGTTAGTGGGCTGAAACAAATGCAATGCTTGATAACGACCTCCCGACAATCCCGAAATTTCATTATACTGCGCGATGTCCCCATCGAGACCGATATCTTCGAGGTGTTTGCGCACAAGCTGAGCAGATGTGTCACGCGTCCCTGCACCTTCTCTCGAGGATTCCAGATCGTCGAATTGCTGCACCAACTTTCCAAATCCTTTGGCCATCAAGTCATCACGGGGCACCCAGCTATTGAACTTGTGGTCAAGACCGCGCCACTTAATCTCATACTGAAGGGTCTTCTTCAACTTTTGGCGACCCATAATAAGCTGTATAATTTTAGGATATGGCAATCAGGTCGACAAGGCAATGTGATACTAACCTCCAATTTGCGCTTAGTGCCATTCCTTCCAACCCAATCTTGATCGAGGATGGCCTTCTCTTCGTCTGTCAGAACACGAGTGGCCTTCTCCAGCAATTCGCCTGATGTGGTTACGAAAGTATATTAATGAGACGGTGGCAGAGAACCTTTAAAGACGTACGATCGTGACCGTCCTGGAAACGCCACTGAATATAGCCAATGGGCGTCTTTTCCAAGTGACGTTCTAAAGGTAGGTTAGTTTACTTAAAAAACTGTAGTGGTAGATAAGAATTTACCTATATGGTGAGTGGCGTGTTGGGAGACGTAACCAACACGAAGAGCTGGGTGCTTGTATACAATTCCCTCTTGAGGAACGGTCTCGCCCTGAAGTGAATGTGTCATTAAGGGGATACATCGATCAGATCATGATCCTTGCCGTCAGAAGTTTGATCAAAGTCGATTTGCCTGCGCCATTGGGCCCGATTATGCCTACTCGGCTGCACGACAATGAAACACGTTCAATTAGAGTGCTCGATTAGACTTGCGGAGGAAATCAGCTCACCTGGAGAGTGATAAGGCTTGAGAAGTGGAGTGCATGAGGCAATATCACAATTAGAAGCATAAATTATTACTCACCACAGGATACGTTTATTAACGAAGGTTGCGACCGGCCAGGATACGTGAATGTGCAATTTGACATCTTCAAAATGGCGCGAGTGTTACTACGAACGCCCATCAAGGAGCCAGGTGGGGGAAATGAGAATTTGACAGATGTCGCCGCCAGGGTATAGTATGATTTAGCTTCCGGGTGCTTTTCCACAAACGACGAAAGGTTCCCCGGATAATAGACGAGCTACGACGAAGGGAGTAAATCGGTCGGCGTTCAAATGTCGACCGGGGAGCACCTTACCTTTTTGGACTCGTAGTGTATGATATCAGTAGTCACATTGTCTAAAAACCTAGAGTGGAATTAGTGATTGAATCTTGGGGCAAACGTACTTACCCAGAATCGTGACTGATGATTATGCAAGTAACGTTTTTGTGAGCGATGAGATATTTCTCAAGCCATTGCACGGAGGCCCGGTCTAACTATTGAAGACGTCAGTTAATGGAGGCCGAGATAATCCGGTCACGAACGTGATTGGTGGGCTACAGTTGCAGAAAGGGTTCCAGGTCAGCTAACGCTAGAACAATAGAATATAACCTTTTCTTACCTCATCCAAAAGGAGAAGGTCGGCGTTGTAAAGCATTGCACGGGCTAACTCCAGCTTCATCTTCCAACCACCGGACAACCCACCAACTACGTCCGCCTGCCGCTCGTCATCAAATCCAACCTCCAACAATTGCTCTCGTATTTTAGAACGCGCAATTTCAGCCAGAGCTTTGTCTGCAGCAAATCAATCGCTTGCACGGAGGATAATATCGACGAATAAATGTACTGACCTGCCGCTACAAAGTCTAACACAGACAGGGACGTGTCCTCACCCTGCAAGGAGTGCTCCACCATGACGCAACGTAATTTATCTTGAGGTGGAAAATTTTCCACTTTCCCGTCTCGAAGTTGGCGCATGAGCGTCGACTTCCCTGACCCATTCGCTCCGAGGATGCCATAACGGCGCCCGCGGTACAGCCGGAGTGTTGTGTGCGAGAGAAGTAAAAGTGCACCGTATGCGAGAGAAAACAATGATTCACACAGAAGCTCGCCCTCGCCATTGTGCTCGTCATGCGCAGATTTATGTTTCACCTGGATAATGCCGGATGATGAAAAGTTTCCTCGCAGAGCAGAGCTGAACTACACACTTGATCGACCGCACGGAAATGAGCCCGTGCCGATTCCGCAAAGGTGGCAGATCCCTCTGCCCCCAGCCAGAATGTCATATACACACCTACACAGCGTTTCCATACTTCTATATCTTGAAAACGCCGATTATAGACAAGGTCAGCAACCATGGACCCCTGGAATTGCAAAGATTGGTCCAAAAGAGGATGTTTTGCAGATCGCGGCGGACCATTTGGCCCAGTTGCAGAGGGAATAACAAGGTTTGAAGGAAGCAGTGTTAATAAGATGGTAAGAATATTTGCCACCTCTTTGCTGACATCACGAGTCGGTGGCGTCCCCGACGTAGATGCACCTGCTTTGAGCAATGTATTAAGTGCCGTCTCGCCGAAGGCACGGACCTTGCAAAAGGCAAAATGAAATTCACAAAGCATGCAATAAAAAGAGTATAGCTAACCTCTGGAAACGCGGCGCCGTGGGCAATCTTCTCCTACGCCCATTACGAGAGGGCTAAGGTATCTTGCGGCGACCACGGGATTCCTGACCAGTTTGACTAAGTTATCGATAACGACAACTGTACGCCGCTGCACTTCCATGCTACGATCATTCAGTGCGCGGAGGAGTAATGGTACGAGAACGGCCAACGCTGGTGCCGTGACTTCGGCGACGAAAGTCGTTGATGATAGTGCCTTTATGCAAGCAGCCACTGCATCGGGATTGGACATACACTTAACCAGAGCGGAGATGTGAGGTGCGAGATCGGGGTTTGCGAGCGTCGTGCACAAAGAAGTGGCGCACTTGACGGCAGCAGAAGCGACCTGCAGGGATTTGGTCGGCGGAGTAAGATAGAGCAGGAGCATCCATAACACACCTCCTTTTTTGTGTCGTGCATTGCCACCTCAACCTTGGGTAGGATATGACCAAGTTCATCAGCCACTGAGTCCTTGGCGCGAGCCACAAAACTCTTGAGAGCGTCTAGGGCTGCGACTTTTGTTTGCCATTTTCCTTTCTCTAAAATATCTTCTAAAATTCCGAAAACTGTTCGTGTAGCTTCTGGGGGGAGAAGCTGAAGGATTGCCTTCGTTGCGGCCGATGAAGCAGTCCGAACGACCTCCCCTTTGTCGGACAACAAATCGAAGAGAACATGAAGACTTGGGAGAAGTAGAGGTGCACTTGGGGGACCGAGAACAGCGGCTAATGACTGGAATGCAATACCACCAGATTCTCGTTCCCATCCAGACTTCTTATTGAGTGCGAAGTCATGAAGGATATTGATTACATTTTGATCGCTGTTGAATTTTAGATGCAGCCATCTTATATAGGTCGCAAAGAAAATGGACGCACACCAAGCTTTCGATACCTGCTTTAGAAACAGCGAGGGCGAGCTTGTCGGCTGCTGCTTTGGCGTCTACACGGATTATGGTGAGCTCGTTCTCTTAAGAAAATCATGGGATATAGACCTGGGCCTGATGGTGCCGTGCGCAAAGCTTCGATGATCGAGGCAAATTCCGACTCTGAAGGAGTGGTCATTACAGCGGGAGACATCTGAGAAATTCAGGATATAGGTCCTAGGATATATTGTGCGATTAGAAGATAAATCGTAGTCAACCAGTCTATTTGAACTTGAGCACTGATGATACAAGCGAGATCGAAGTTGAATCTCCGTGTAGGATGCCTCCGATTATTGTTCAAGATCTATAAGTCGTGAAATGAGAATACAGTTGAAAGCCGAGAGGGACGGCGACCAGCCTGAGATGCGCCCACTCAAAATTTCTTGCACAGCGTGACATTGCGGTGTGATCGTGACATGATACAGGTGTTACGCGTGACTATGGAATTGAATGAAATGGTACAGTATTAATGCGTACAAAGTTCTATGAAGTGCTTGTGATGTTACAGTAATCGTCCTGGAAACAGACGTGAATCTTCTGTGTGTTGTGATGCGACCGATAAGACTAAATGGTACCACTGCGCAGGTTATCGAATTGGCTGCCCTCGTACCTCAGCCAGTTGGGGCTCAGGTCCAATGGTCCCATAGCGTTCTTGACGGTTGCAACCAAGCTCCTACCAGGCGCTGGGTCCTTTCCCCACCCACCCTCCATCCCCTCTCGCATGCTTCCTTTGTCTCCGCTAAGCTCCCAGAACATGCTTCCTCCAAGACCTTCACGACGAATCCAATCACCCTTCCAATGCCCGACCTGCTCGTTGTCAAAGCTTACCATCTCTTGCTTCTGGTAGTCGTGGGACCAGCTCGCAAGGGCCTTGTCATCTTGAAACATGTACGTGCCTGGGAGCGGAAGAGCACGATAGTCGTAGACACCCTGTTCCCAGCTGCCTGGCCCAATACCAGAAAATGGTGCTCCAGGACCGGATGTGTTCATGAAGCTTCTGCCGTACAACGGAATCCCGAGAACCATCTTGGAGCGAGGAACGCCGTTAGCGCTGTACCAGGAGATCGCCTGTGAGGCGCTGATAGGTCCACCGTAAATATTGGCTTGATGATTGGCAACAGAATCCCAGGAACCAGCTGTGGTATTTTTCTATGTAAGCCAATCGGGTTCGGGACAGAACAACGTTTCAGAACATACAGAAGTCGTACGCCATCATATTCCAAAAATCGAGGTACTGATCCATTTCACGCACGTGTAACTTTTCATACTTGTCGGGTCCGCACGGTGCAGCGATCTAAGAAAAAAAACTCAGATTGAAGCTCGGCAGATAGCTAAAGCTGAACAACATACTGTCAACAAGAATCTATGATAGATTCCCTTCATCTGAGCGTGCTGATCTAAGCCTATTCTGAGTTCCCGTAGGAGGTCAGTATAGCCACGAGCTTGATATTCATTGGAGGGATATTCATAGTCCACATCGAGACCATCGAAGCCATAATCCTCGAGTAGACGAACCGCAGACCGCACGAAGTTGGCACGAAGCGCAGGATTGACGACGATAGGATGGAATTTAGGGGAATATGTCCAGCCTCCGATTGAGAGAAGGACCTTCAAGTGTCTGTTTTGCTGTTTCAATTTATAGATGGCCTTGAGATTCCCGTAGAGGTTGTTTCCGACGTCATTCCAAGAATCACCAGGGTAATGGATATCTTTGTCCGCCCATGCGTCAGAGAGGACAACTTCGCCCGAGTCAGGTCTCAGATCAGCGAATGCATAAAGGATGTGGCTGAACGGATGGTGAGCTTGAAAATGAAAGGAAGAGGAAGACACTGCGCCTTACGTCAAATCTTGGGCAGGGATGTTCGACGGCGGGAATTTGCGACCATATATCCCCCTATAAGAGCAATCGTTGGCAAACGCCCTGTGTTTGACCGATTAAAGGACGTACCAATTTACAAAGCTGGTAAAACAGCAACAGTCAGGACTCCGGGCAGGTTGTCGTAGAAGTGGTTAACACTTACTATCCAACGCTGTACTTTCCTTGACCTTGCATTTCTAGCGTATCGCTTGGGGCTGGCGGTATGGATGAAGATGTTTGAGACTCTAATGCTTGGTCCCCTTTGATACTGTCTAGCTGAGGAGACGGTTGTTCAAGAGACCACGAAAGGAACGCTTTATACGATCCAAATGCTGCGAGGATGCAGACAAGTACAGAAATAAGAAGAGTCTTTCGGGATGGAAAACGAGAGGCGGTTTTGGCGGGTGAACTGCCTTCGTCAGAGGGAATTGGTTGATATGATGTTGTCGAAGACATGCACAAGACCCATCCATCCTATAATTAGCTCGCCACAAAGTTTGGCGCGCTGCGCATGCCGGACCGTTATTATATAGGTTCCGATTCCGTACTGCTTCGTTTCAACACTTGCCGGCAAACCATCTTAAACCCCTGCTAATCTATAACGCGGAGCGACACCAGCGTACGAAAAATATAGTAGCGGAGGAATGGCCGACGACGCCAGAATCGTGACCAGGCTTGGTAGCGTTCCCGAGCGGCGGTTTCATAATTTTCACCGGCCAGTGCTCACTGCTCGGCATCAGAGATCATCATCAAACTACGTGTTCGGTCTGCAGAAATTCCTGGATTTTGCAGTCCGAGGACCCGACACAAAGAAGTTTTGCACCATAACAGCATTCATTTCACCTGACTGAATCACGCCATCCAGTCGGACATAGTCCTGGAGGTCTAACCAAAGTCACTGCCTTTCTCCTATTTTTGCAACGGGGAGCGGAGCCCTTTGAGTGCCCACATCAAGAACGGACAGCCTTCTCGCACGGCTTCAGCGAAGAGACCCGAGGCACTTTCGCAAAGATTCGATTACCTGTGTGCAGTGCTGACTGCCAAATTCAAGCCCCCACGCCATGCCCAGCCGAAGTGGCTGCCAAGTTACCCTGAAGATGACATGCCTGAAAGCGACTCATCAGCGAAGATGAGTCTTGAGTCTTCCGACGTGTACAGGAAGATGCAACCAATCGTACCACTGGTACTTAGATTAGTCTCACCGCAGTTCATGTACACGTTTAAGGTAGTCTTCCGTAGATAGATTCTGAGCTGGAAGACAGCCGTTCCTCCTCGACTTCATGATATATTTAATGAGGCCCGGCGAGATGAGATCTACCGTTAATCGGGCAATAATATCAATTCATATAATAATGCTTCCGACGTGGTCTCGTAATCCCCCGCCATTGAAGCTTGATGTTTCCTGCCACTTTCAAGGCCTAGCATACTGGTGAGACGGTCCTGAAGCTTGCTAAATACTTGTTTGCACTAAACTTGTACTGCCGTCGCCGTTTTATATCTTAGCCCTCTTCCAGTGCCGCCCTCGCGCTCTCCACGTCCTCGATCTCGGAGTTCGCGTCAGCGACCACCAAAATGCAAAACGACATCATCGAACTCAGCGGTTCCGATTCTGATACTAATAACGAAAGTGCTCGCCAAGTGAAGCAGGAATCCACTGAAATCAAGATGAACTGAAGAATATATTGCAGCAGCTTGATGGACACACGGTTCGTGTATAGCTTCACGAGAAGCTACTCACCCAAAATACTTATTGCATCATATCCTCAAAGCTCAATAAGTCTGGCGGTGTATGGAGCACTTTTTCACCTCGATGTTGACGCTATTCTTCGGGTAGCGGATTGAGACTACCGTCGAAGCTACGCGGCATCAAGACAATGACGAAGACATGTCTGACAATTTCGCATCCCACTCTGCTATGGGTGAAGATGTTCCTCCCGAAGCAGCGCCTTTGCAACCCCAGAACTCAGGAACTTCTGGGACTAGTCCTATAATCAAACCAGAGCCTGAAGACACGAAAGACAATCGCCGTGGTTATCAAGTCAGCAGAAGGACCCGATGTGAACCTTCATGTTACGTTCGTCAAGGGTGAAGATGGGAAATTCGATATCTGGAATCTTGAGCACCTTGGTCTCGGACCTCCAGTTACCGTAGAAAACAGATTCAACGTTGGATTTACGCGCACCGTGATCAGTGACGTGAGCTAACGTCTGAGAGTTCCCCCTCTGTCAACTCATGCTAATCCCTATTATTGTTTCAGACCCTTGATAGAGGCCACCAAACAACGTATAATAACTGGCAAGGTCCTACGAAGTCAACAAAGTCTCCCTGGTGCGTATCTCCTCGGGTCTACCTAACTTACCGCTACTAAAGCTAGCCTCACGGTATAGCACTGAAGCGTTCATGGAATCCACACCTCCCACTCATCCTGGGAGAGCACGGCGTCGTATTTTGTGGAACAAGGCGTTTCAACGATGGCACGCTCATTACTGGATCAGTCAACCTTTTCGTGTCTGGGAAGGTGAATGAGTGGATATATTTCGGTTCGTACGAGACCTCTCGCCGGTGCGAAATTACGCCGCACCAACTTCACCTACTCCCACCTCTGGTCATCCAAAGTTAGGTGGAGGGAATCCTGTCGACCTTGTGGGGAAAGATTTGCGTCGAAGAAACGAATTCCGAGCTTGTGGACGATGCTGAGGAGAAGCGGGGCGAAGTTCGCTTCGTCGAATATACGAAAGATGGGTTTCGGGAGGCACTCCAAGATGGAAGGCCCGTCATTGGCTTCACCGTTATGAAATGCGTTTAATTTCGTGCGGAGTGGTTCGATCAGTTCATGCATTACCAGGCGCATCCGAAGGCTAAATCACAGAAAAGGAAGAAAGCGAACTCGGGGGGCAAAAAACCCTCTGCGAAAAGGGTGAAGGGGAGCGCGCGCCGGGAAGAGGCGTCATCCGAAAGTGACGGTGAAGATGAGTTTTCTGACACGGAAGACGAGATGAAAGCACGCTTGGGTTCAGCTGAGCCGAGTGCAAGGAAGAGTGCCCGCATTTCCGGAAGATCAAATGGAGCATCGACCCCAAGTTCTCTGACTCGAGAAGTACTCCGAGAGGTCAATCAATGTTGTACCCTCGAGATTGATACCCTCATAGTCGAACGCTTACCGTACCATATCTTCACATATCTGCAATACTTGCGAAATAGTTTTTATGACATAGACAATTCTCCCTAGGCAGATCACTTAGTAGGATCGTTCTTCATAACCGACAGGGATGGAACGCAAAGTGAAACGCGTTGGACGCTATCGCCTTAGGTCCATTACTGCAAATTACGAATGAAATACCCAAACATACAATTCCTCATGCCACACTCCAGTAGTCAGCCAAGCAAGCCGACGCTAGAAGAACGATTGTGTAATTAAATGTGACGGAGGCGAAGAGGGTGACTAGTGAATGTGAAGAACCGTGGACGCCCTCCTCTGAGTTAGGACGTCGACGAATCACAATCATGCACCCATCTGTCATAGCAGACGAGTGATCACACCAAGTCCCTGGGGGTTCCAAGGTCAGAGGTCCAGTAGTGAGTACGAGCAGCCATCAACATACCTTGGTCTTACCCTCACGGAACAGTAACTTCATTCCAACTTTGACAAACTCAGGTTGGGTGATGAATTCGAACTGAACGGTGGCGCGATCGCCAGTCCGCAGGACCCCCTCAGCGTTATCCATCGATATGATACGGACAGTTTGGCGGACAGCCTTCAGAACTGATGAGAACGACAATAGACATCAGGAGATCCCACTCACTCCGCAGTGCAGCATGGCCTATGCGTACGCTGCATCAGCATGAGCGCAAGAACAGCAAGTCATCAAGCATACCTGGTAGTTTCGTTGCATAGTAGTGTTGTGACTAAAGTTCTGCTCGAATCATTGCATTGCGAGAAAGGCGTCCTTGAGCTTACTATAATATGAGCACCTGTCCTTCGAATTGGCGTGTTGCTGTGATGTCCTAATGAGTCATCGCAAAACTAATGGCAAATGCAATAGTCACCTTTCGGGGGAATATCAGTTTTGTGCACAATGACCATGCCCTTTCTCACAGCCGCACGTTTCACTCGTTTGAGAGCAAGAGCAACGCATTGGCCAGCCTCGGCTGTCGCGACATCAGCGCTGTAAAAGTTAAATACCCATCATAAATGCTAACAGGAACTGCATATACCGTTTTCGTTGCATGCTCCTCACCATGGTCGATTGAAAGTGTCCATTGGAGTCCGGTCCATAGAGGATGGCGTCACCTGTCTTGACACTTCCGCTATTGAGAATACCATTGACGACTGTCCCCACGTATGGGACAGACCAGACATCAGTGACCGAATACTGCAGCCAAATATATCAGTTGCACGCTTAGATGTGCGCCAAGGGACGCTACTACCTCAAGCGGCTGATCAGTTGCAAATGTCTCAGTATCGGCTTCGCTGGATGGAAGGAGATTCAAGAATGTGCGCAGCTTTAATCAAGTCAGAACACTGGTGAATCCGAAAAGTGAAGACACTGACACAGTCAAGACCTTCTCCGGTGACATTAGAGATACGGAAAATAGGGCACAGTCTATGTTTTATCAGGACCAAAATTGCAAAATTGAAGACGAACAGGCTTACTTGTATTGCGCAAATGTCTGCGATGATTCAACTGCGATTTCTATTGAGTCCACAAAAACTGGAGTTTTCCTGCAAAGGTATGTCATATTGAACCGAAGGGAAGTGAGTGATATAACTCACCTGCATCCGGGGCTCTTCAGAATCTTCACTACCTGTTTCGTGGTCTCAGCAAGAATGTTAGGTGGGGTCATATCAATCTATGTAAAGCTTAGCCCAGCTGAATGGTTAGGGGGGCACCTTTTACCTTGGTAATACAGACAACCACGGGAACGCTTAAAGCCAGAGCTATCGCCAGATGCTCTTTTGACATGCCAATAAGCCCGGCGTTGGCACCAACCATAAGAATCACACACGATGGCGCCCCGGACGTCAGCCCGTACAGAGTAGTTTTCAAGTATCGCTCGTGGCCCGCAAGATCTACACAAGGGAGGTGTATACGCGACTGTTACACGGAGTCACATTGAACGGACTTACCACTGAAAGAAACTATCTTGGCTGACTGCGCTGAAATTTCGTCCCAGCCCAGCTTATCACGTCGAATCACGTCTGCGTCAGCAGATAGCGGTATATTTGGAAGCACGGGAGTTCCAGCAGTCGAGAAACCTAGAATCTGGGGGGATGTAGGATGGTGTAGGCTGGCAAGAGACATGCAGCTCACCTCCATCCCTACACTAGATGTTCGTCCAGTCTCAATTTCGTGTTTATGTCGGAATAGTGCTACACGAGCTCGGCCTCTTCCATCATCCAGAGGACCTGAGGAGAAATAAATAAACGAAATACACATGCATTTATCATACCGCGTGTTAGGACTCCTAGTGTCGTAGACTTGCCCGAATCAACGTTACCAACGACCGCACAGCGCACCTCGGGAACTAATTCAATACTGGGTGGAGGTAATCGTAGTAGCAGAGTTGCGCGTGGGTGGTGGTCGTCAGTGATTTCGAAGAGAACGGATGTCTATCAGAAATGAACTCATGCAGTCTGTATATAACTGAGACCACCCACCTTTCCACCCAGCTCTTCCACCACCTTTTTAACTGACGATTGCAACGAAGTGACTTCGGCGTCGGTTCGCGGTATCCCCGACCATCCTGTTGCTTCGTCCACGCTCTCTCCGGCAAATAGTGGTGTATGGGGTGGCCGAGAGCCAATGCGGAATATATATTCGCCTTTGCATCCAGTGATGAGTTGTGCTACGGAGGTACGTGCTCGGTCATAGTCATGGCTAGATAGTAATGCCTGAGAACGAATCAGTGGATACACGACATAATAATGGAAGGTAGAGTACAAGGACGGCCTCGACCTCATCCTCGGCACCGGCATCCCTGGATGGAGGTGGTTCACCGGTAATATTAGATTCCTCAAGCGCCTGTAGCTTCTTGGGATTTACATTCCGCAAAGCAGGAGCTCCACTAGCTTGGCCACGTTGGCGGGCGAGTTCCCGTGCATGAATTTCCTGGATTTCGGATTGAAAGCTCTTGAGAGCTGACATTATGAGTTAGTGAGCAAGTGAGGAAATATTTAGAACAGTCCTAGCTCTTTATGCGGGTGTATGTCTGTGCATGTTACTAGTCCGTTTGAGTCAGAATGGTACTTAGAGTCACGTCACCCTCGATGCCGTCACACAGGGGATGGGTACTTTGCAGGGAGCAAGCGCTAATGATGCAGGAACAACTGTTCAAAGACTCCTATAAGTTGCTGATATCCTTAAGCTTGCAATTAAAGACTGCATGGACTCGTTTCAAGATCGGCACAATTGGAAGTCGCGGTGAACGGTGAATGGTGTTGATTCACCCTTGTCGCACGTGACAATATTGTGACTTAGCTCCATTCAACTCAACTTGACCGTCGAATGCCAGTCAGGCCCCATTTAATGCGCCGCTGTATAGATTTCTTTTGATCATTTTTCTGTAGCCCTTTTTAGTAGTCCGGCTTGAATGGGCTCCCTGCCAGCTGCGACGCACCGAACTGCGGGCCCGTCTCATGCGCCACGCGTCATTCGCGGCACTGAACCCGGTCTCATCGATCCAACCCAACCTTCCCGTTTATTGCGTTCTCCAGATTCCAGGCTCTCCTTCGCCTCCTTTGATCCTCGTACCGCTCTTGCTGGCGAAGATGTCCCAGATTTGCGCAAATTGTCTATTGACGATGACCTTCCCCCTCCCAAACGCATCGTCATCGAAACAACTCCCAAAGGCACGAGCTTTTGGAGATTCGTGCCCAAAGCACGCCTGGATGAAGGTGTACGTGATGAGGGCTTCTGGCCACGAGTAGTAGAATTATGTGGGTGAGTGACATCGTCAATTTATGTCGTCCCAGTTGTTGGAACGCCACACTTTCAGTGAACACGTGTTTTGCTACCAAGAGCAGTGGGAGATTTACAAGCTGGACCCAGAATATCATTGCACCGTTCACTTTGGCTTTAAATTTACATCCATTGTGAAGGTTGATTCCGAAGCTCAGCGCTCTAGAGCTCCTCCACCGCCAGGGCCAAAGCGCCCACGCGCACGTACGCCTACTCCTGAAGCCGATACGCCACTTCCGAGCAAAAGAGCGCGTTCGCGGCGTGCTCATGTCGATGACCACAGCAGCGATAGTGAATCTGACGAGGACGAAGAAGAAGTGAAGCAAATGATTGTTGATGGCCTTCCTCGTCACAGGGCCAAGCCCCCAACGAATGTTGTGCGACCCGGAAGGGAAGAATTGAAAAAAGAGCGGGACACAAGATGGCAGAAGAACAAGGAAGCACAAGCAAAGTACAGGCAAGAATCTCGAGCTGACGGACAGCCGATGTCCATGGACGCGGAACAATTTGCATCCCAGAGCAATACTGGAACACAAGCCGAAGAGACCACGAAACGAAAAAGTCTGTCATAAATTCTGTTATTTACAGCTGTCTGACAAGGTTGTAGAAAATGGATTTGCCGCTGACACGGATGACGAACTGCCACCAGAACGCCCCTCTACCAATGGCCATACGCGAAAGCGCCAGCGAACCACATCGCCAGCTCAGGCCAAACCGGCTCTGCAACACTCAAAAGTGCAACGTGAAAAGCGGAAACAAGCGAAAATCAGGGCAATGGACGAACGCCATCAACAAGGATTTAAACAAGTGTTTGCTGATCACTACCCAATTAATATTGACGAACTACGTATGTTCCTCTTCCCTCTCTGCTTTTTCAACGGTTCATATTTTTATCTTCAGTGAGTGATCATGGAAAGCCGTCGACATGTCCTGCTTCACAAGAACAGTCCGAGTCTTGTGACAGCGAAGAGAGCGAAGAGGCCATGCGAGAAGCCGAACTCGCGGAGTCTATTCGCAAAATGCGCGAACTTGACCGCGATAGACCTCTTTGGGAGGAACAGCGAAGGAAGCGTGAGGCACATGAGCGTGCCGAAGAACAGGAACGTCAGGCCAAAGCCGAACAGCGGAGAAGAGCTGAGGCAGAAAACCAAAGGCAGCGACGTGAGGAGGCCGAATGTCAGGCACGCCAGATCCGAGCGGAAGCCGAGCAACGCGCTGCAGAAGAGGAAAGGCGACGGCAAGAACAGCGACGGCTCAGGCAACGACAGCGCTGGGACTTCGGTGTTTGGACAAGTCATCGAGCCCTGGAACGATACAAGATCCTAAGTGAGGAGTTTGACGCCGCAAAATTCACACCTGATCAGCCGATCACTTTTCTTGACGTCCCGTGGCCTGTGCTCCATCCGCCTTCTCGTCTAACAGTCGAGGATGTCGACTGGTCCGCGGTGGAGAGATTTTTTGCAACTGTCAGGACCTCTATGCGTCCTCAAGACTATAAAGACTTTGTTGAAAAAAGTCATCGGAGATTCCATCCGGATAGATGGCGCGCACGTAAGGTGTGGTCTGCTGTTCGGGACGATGTAGAACGCAGTTGCCTCGAGGTTGCCGCCAACACAGTCGCCCAAGCTATTACGCCAATTTGGAGAGAAGTAAAACCACATTGACACACATCAGTTGCGGCATACATGGATCGCGCGCATTTAATAGATACCCTCATATGAACTTATCGCTTCGCTTGACTTGGTTTACATCGATGGGCGACCATATCTGAAACTTGATCTGTGCACAGGTATAGCTCCAAAAGACACCTGTGGAGCTTCACTCTGGACGAGTATGACAACTGCGACCCGTGCCCAAGGTCCAGTTTACTCACATGAAGTTAGCTCCGCCCGGCGCCACTTCTCGCATCATGCCAGCGCTCGGTGTCTAGATGGACGCCGAAGGATGATGGGTTCAGCTCGCTGTTCTCATTTCTGGGCTGAGGGCGAGCTGACTCGTTAACCATTATCAGAAGCGAGCGTAGCAAATGAACGTTTGAGTTCTTTCCGAAAGAGTAATTTGATTGCGCTAGATGGGCCAGTCCAACCAAGGTCAGACCTGTTATCTGGTATCATCAAACCAGTTCCAAACGGCACTTCATGTTACACCCAGAGACGGGGGTAATGGCGCCCCTCTCTCGTCCCCGTGTGAGAGCCCGGGTACCTGTTTTAGTAACCATGGACATCGTGACCCTTGAATTTTCAGGGCGCGGAAACCGCAGCAGATGTTTAGTAGTGTCGGCATTAGGTCAGCAACAGCCAACTGGAGACCGACTGCAAGTCTCTGCAAGCTGGTATAGAACAACTCCACATAACTCCACATTAATTAAAGGCGGGCGAGCAGTTTGATCATTAACTGAGGGGCTCCCGCGGTGGGTACGTATAATTATTAGTTGTTAGTTGAAGGCATTTCGCATCAGTTTGCATCCGCTGAATGGTTGGATACGCATATGGACAGGAATCGCACCCCTGGCTCAGGCAGGCCCTATCTCGAAGGCACAAGCAGAGAAACGGTTGGTGTGTACACACAAATCCTCGCAACAGCCTCACTACTAGTGTTAAATCAACACACCCGATCAGAATGAAAAATGAATTGGTCGGTAAGTATTATATCACAGAGCTGATTCGAAGTTGGTGCGTGCTTCCTGCATTATTGTGTAATCGACCCTCCAATACAAAGCAAGATAAGAACACCAGCAGTACTATTACATCAATATCACGCTAGTTGCATGCATAGTACTAGTATAATCATTGATGCCGACTTTCCATATCATTTTATGCATATAGTACTATTAGTAGATCCAACTATTGTGCAGTATTGTGCTGAAGTGCTTGACCGTCTGCTTGGCACTGCAGGAACACTGAAACGGGATGTCAAATAAGGCTAACGACGGGGGAAGGGTGCAATCCGGCACAGCAGTAAGGGCCAATAAAGGTTAACACCAAACGTTGACAGGCGCTATTTTTGCCGTGATGAATTTGATACTGTGACATTCATCCCACCACCGGACTACCGTAGACTCTACGGTAAGCACTCGCATTTAACCAGGAAACAACCCAGGCTCGAGCTAACACTCCGACCTCTACGTTGTCTATTCGGTGTCCCTGGCCATTTGATAAGTCAGGCTGGCATCCTCTGGCATCTCGCTAGGTCAGAAATAGAGGGGCAAGCGAGCGGTTTGATTCTGATTCATTCAATTGTTGCCATCACGGAGCTGATACTATTGGCGAGATACGAAAATAACTTAATTCTCGTGCATGCCACATCCTGTGATCCTTACCAAACAGATCTTCATATTATGATCGTGACACAACACAATCATGAGTGTCAGGAACCTCTCTTGTCGACATATAAATGCTGCCATATTACCATCGTTTAGACTCTAGCAATCCCCTTGGATCTCAGCGGATCACATACTACCAGTACTCCAATGGACGCTTCAAGCATTCTCAAACCAGCTGAAGTTGCTGTTGCTCTGGTTGAGCAAGCTATAGCCAAGCACAACACGCGGCTTGACAAGACCTTCTTCAAGGCGGTAAGCAACGATGCGCGCATGTGTGGTTCAACATCTCAATCTTGTTATTAGTTTCTTGCTGGTGTTATGTTGTCCTTCGGTGGTCTCTTTGATCTCATCATCACTGGTGGCTCTCCAGCCCTGACAGCTTCGAACCCTGGAATTGTCAAGGTCCTCGGCGGTTTTGTATTCCCCGTTGGACTCGTTATGTAGGTGATAGCGACCTCTACCTTTGGACCATGGCTTAATCGTTGTGCCTCTCTATAGGATCGTGCTCCAGAATTTCGACCTGCTCACGAGCAATCTTATGGTAGATCGTTAATGTTTTTTGTGAATCATTTCTCACCCTTTTGCAGATCTTTCCCATGGCTGTGTTGAGAGGAGCGATTCCCTGGTGGAGCATTCCCGTCAACTGGACTATCGGTGAGTTCCGCCCGAAGGTCCTTGTTCGGATACTGAGTGATCTGTCACCCGTCAGTCACTTTCGGAAATCTTGCCGGCAGTCTATTCTTTGCAGCAATCTTCTCGAAATGTCAGTGCGCGTTCATCGGCTTGGCCTCTATCATATAGGTTGACCCGGTTATCATATTCAGACGACGGACTGATGGTATCCGATCCTTACGCCTCATATATAAGATCATTCGCAGTGTGAGTCACTTCATATGATTTGGATGTTCTACTATCTCAACAATCTCGTGCCAGCACGAAAGCTATCACACCTGACTGGTACCAAATTTTGATTCGCGGCATTGGTTGCAACTGGCTAGTTTGCGTAGCTGTTTGGGTGCGTATATCATGGTGTTGCATCGAGTTACTTACATAAGTGTCATTCAGCAAGCAACAGGGGCCAAGGAAACTTATTCGAAAGTTATCGCTATCTGGTTCCCCATCTGGGTTAGTCAAGTTGACAACAGTGCTGAACCCGACTCATCCTTATGTTCTAGATCTTCGTGGCTTGCGGATTCGACCACGGTAAGTCGCAGAACGTTCGGAGACAGACTTTTATCAATACTTTTTATCAGTTGTCGCAAACATGTTTTCACTGCCATTGAGCATTATGCTTCATTCTGAGGTACGCGCTCATGCTACCCTGCACTTGGTCTATCTCTAATTACCTCCCAGCTTACGGTCGACCTGTACATTCGCAAGTATGTACCCAGTTGTTTGTTCAGTCCATTTTAATCATTGCTTATCGCTGCCTCAGGTCGCTGATCGCGTCTTACCTTGGCAATATTATTGGAGCTCTCTTCGTGGCCTTGCCAGCCGTGTACTTCTATCTTGGTGACTGGCATGCCGATGGCATGCGTGATGCCGAGGAGGCGGCCTACAGAGAGAGCAGACTTTCGGACCCCCCTAGTGAAAAATGACAGCCGCATAGGCGGGCCAACACTGGGTCAGGTTGTTATGGACTCTTCATTTTTTCTCATGCATTGGACGACTATTTATCATGATCAACGGAAACCCCTGGAGATACACGATGTAAACTACCGGAACCGACACGCTCAATCCATTCTCAGGCGATTCTTTACGGACGAGTATACGATGGGAGTAGAGTTAGGATTTATTTGTCATGAAACATTAACATTGTACTCTTGTAGAGGAGAAGCATACGGCAGTAGTTTCGATATACTCCTTCGAGTTGGAATCGTAGCATATTGTATTGGACGGGTACCGCAAGCACTTGACGTGCTTGCGATACCTCGAACTTTTTGGATATTTTGTGTACTCCACAGGGATTATTACATGTTGCATGCACCATTGATTATCAACACACTGGCTGCTACTCAGGAATCAGAATGGTTTTGTTCTTGATATCGTCGGCAGCCTTGCGGCTTGCAAAATCAATGGACAATTTATGGGCGGGCATAGTATGCCGCTTTTGCTAATAATCTATGACATCCCGCAGGGCATTCTTCAACACCTTCTGTTGATCAACTTACATCATAAGAGGCGTAGGAACGTCGTAAGGATCTGCTTTGGGACAGCGGTACGAACGTCATTCGACGTCAATAAATCACTCGAATATTCCTGAAAGTAAAAAATAAAAATAAAAAGTATTCCAGGTCCTGACTTTAACCTACTTAGCTACCTAAATACCTAGCCCTATCACCCTATCAAATACGCCATGACTTTGGCGTGACTCGATTACAGGATATGGTACTCCTGACAGCATGTTTCAAGGTAGTAGCCGGGCGGTGCGGATGTTGTGTTAAGCCGACATAATCATGGACAACATCTTGTGCCCCGAACAACGTCACTTCTCCCTCGCCCATCTCCGCAGTAGAGCTATCATCTTCTTCTTCTAGCTTAGTGTCTGAATCTGATCTAGGGGTCTTTTAGCGGTTGAGCATCGCGAAGCCAAACCCACAGGTGTAAAGGGAAGTCTGTTTGCAATGAAGCATAAATCTGGTGTATAGATTGCCGAAACAGTCCATATGGAACGCAAGACTGAAGGAACCCAGTCGTACGAGATGCCAATAATATCCACCCGAGGTGATATGTAGGAGCAGTAGATAGATTGCCTGGGGGCATCGGGAATTCCGGTCTTGCAATCTCTCACAATCGCGAGAGCCAATGCTAAATCCCCCCTATCTCCGCTATAGGTAACAGTAGGGAAGCGCTCAGGGAAAAAAAACGTGTAAGAAGACAGGCGGTATTTCTACGCGGAATTTTCTCTCCGAGTTGAGGAGAGTGGGTCGTCTTAGGTGGAGTTCCTGACCGGCCGTACAGATACCCTGAAATGCGTTCTGGGGGTCGGTGCAAGCGCGCGGTGGTCTGCCATCTGAGAGACGGCCTAGTTTCCGTTCACATTTGAAACTTTCTTCAGCCATAAGCGTGCGCTCTCATTGGTGGAGAGGTACTTAGGCGACGCTAGGTGCTCGGCTACATACAGGCTTCCGTTGAAAACAAGATCAAAACTTGTTTTGACCGGTTCGACTTTTTTAGATGTGGGCGCGAGAGAATAGCCTACCAGTACTGCCGCATTAATCGCGATCGTATTCAATGAATCCACAAATACTTGAAGGAAAAAAGCTCATATGTACGTAACGTGGGGGCTCAACTCTAGCAGCATTGCATGCTTCTAGGACCAAGTCGATCTTAGGCGCTTTGAAGGCAGCAAGTGTCGGAGGCACCGAATGTCGTGCTAACGAGCCGGTAGCCCAGGTAAAGTCCTTTGAGGGACGCATTCAAACGCCATCGTAGGTGTCGGTGGGAGTAAAAAAAGAGATGATGATGCATATCAATGATTAACTTTTGATATCAGCTACCAGCAACGACAAGAAGCATTCTAGATCCAGATGTCCACGGGCATAGGCACCAATGAAAAATAGATCTCGCATGGGCTGAGGAAACGTTGGCCAAGATTTGTGTCGGATAAAATAGTTCACACTGATGCGCAGTGAATGTATATGCATATTTTTGCCCTGCGCCGTCCCAAAAATATGCATATACATCATTCACTGCGGAAACGAGAAAATAGATTAGCGTAGGGACAGAATCTATATGCGAGATATAAACAAATGTCGCATATTATGCGAATCCCGAAGTGTTAGACTAGAGAGAGGTTCTCGTTTCTGAGTCTAAACAGAGACCGCATAGATAAGCTGTGCGGACGTAGATTTGTTGTCCTCGGACCTAAGGCCTAAACCGACAACAGAAGTACATCAGAATTCTCAGAATCAACCTCTGCTTTGCATCTGAATATTAATCGAGGTAAAAGAGTCTGATTAAACTTGAATTAGAACTACACATGCGCTGACTCCTAGCCTAGGATTTGCTACCACCCGCTCTCGTTCTCCCTCCACCCGGACTATATGCATGTCAGCAATTTCATAATGGCGGTGGTAGCGCTATATAATCTTCCTGGTAACCAAAATCTAATGAGTGAAGAGCAGCAACTTGTGTTGATTGCGACAATCAACATACCTTCTAAGATATCCTTCTCTGCCACATGAATGCGGCCTAGAGCCCATACAAGATCAGTAACCAAAGTAGATAGTATGTGTGAGCATACCACGACAAACCTAGTACTAGTACGGATGGGCCGACGGCATCCCTCGCATCAGCTAGGTGGGGGCGGTGCGCCACGGTACAAGGAGATGGTTGTGGTTGCAAGTCAAGGCAGGGGCTGAAACTTTGAGAGACTTCAATAGAATTTCAATAGACTTAGCCGAGGTGACAAACTGAATTTTAATCCGACGGTCGAGAAGACAATTTACAGGGCTGATTAGTGGTGGAATAGCGAGTATCTGAAGTGAAGAAATAGGGGTCTGAAAAGACGTGTCAGTAAAGTTGGAAAAGTGTCTGTTTAGATGTGTTGAACGACAAAATTTTGTGACCCATCGGATTTGCGTCTGATTACGAGGTACGTACATTTAGAGTCGTGTTACACTCGTTGTCTCCCTCTGATTAGGATCTGGCTAAAATCTCGTTTCCGCAGTGATTCAACATTGAAAGGGCGGGGGTGGTGGTGCGAACGGCAACGCTGCTATTGCAAGCTAGAAAGCGAGGGGTAGGGACCGCACAAGCTACAAGAGACTGCACGCAAAATGGAACTGGATGTGAGGCATGAGTAGACAAAAAGCGGATGGATGCAAGATAACGACATGGTAGGCAAAAATTGTGCTATACTGGTTCGGGCATGTGAGAATGGGTGGCAAGGGTGCGAGACAGGCCCGCAACAAAGAAAATTTTGTTACGAAAACTCATCAAACAGAGTGGAGTACACTCACTCAGACCTTGGAGTATCCTCGAATAAGCTTGCTTGCGTTCGCTTCGAGGTGTTACCTCATAGGGGGAGAAGCTCAAAAATCACGCTAGAGTCCCTTTCGACCATCTCGACTTCTTATTGCATAGTTTAGAGTGTATATGCTTTGCTTGGAATATACTGGCGCTGAAGAAGTCAACGCGCACAATCTCAACCTGTCTGAAAATTTAAACCCACAGAAAGCAGGGATCTGAGTGTAATATGAGCTCAACAGAGTGTAGCTTATCTTCTCATGGAGAGAGGGTCATTTATGTTTGGAGGCCCAAATACGCGTCCCGCCAGGACAAAGAGAAGGTAACAGGGCTGTTGAACTCTCCTCTGCAAATGATACGCAGGACAGGCCATTCTGATTGTTCATGAAATTGTCTCGACATTCTCTGGAACATTATCCGAAAGGGCTGGGGGCCAGTCCGAGAGGGGACTCCTTGAAGTAAATTCAGTAAGGGATAAACATTCCAAAGGGCGGACATTACTTCCTCATATCCCAGATATTTTCGCTGCTCTTTCCGAGCCTTCTGTGAGCCCACCACTCGGCGCGGCGGCGGATCCAAGCGTCCCGTTTCTGTTCTGGGTGCATAAACTTTAAGCTCATGCAAAATTTGAAGTCTTCTTTTTTGACTCCACATTCTGACATTTGACCGTATCTGTATAACGATTTGACCTGAGTCCCCACAACTGAAAGTTTGATGAACACCGGCATCCTTAAGAGCTTTCGAAACATACCATGACATTGCAAAAAATCATCAAATAAAGTCATGCACCCGGGAATATCGTCCACGGTAGGATGAACCTTGCGCAGGTATTCCTCCTCTTGCTTTATCGCGGTTTCGAGGTCGACACTAGCCATATTACAAAGGGACGAACCGTTTGGTCGGCTGCCTGAGCCTGTCAATGCACGATTCAGACGTGGGAACCGAACGCGCTTTCAAACTCCGACAATTGAACGCGTCGCGACGCGTGTTTTTGTTCTTGCTATCTCCCCGCATCCATCGATAAAACTACACCATGGTGAGCATCGAGGATATAGAAACCAAACTAATTTATATTGAATGTTCAAATCACAGTCCCAGACTCCCAGAGGCGCAAAGCGTCCAAGGTCGCCTCCCCTTCCCAGCTCATCACCAGCTCCACGCCCTACTCCAAGGCGGAGAGATTCACAATCATCTCTCCCGCCGTCTTCGCCTCCGGCACCCTTCTCGGATACAGACGACAGCCTGGATGATCGTGATGGAGTGCGTGATATAGATGAGGATGAAGAAGATGATGGCGAAGGCGAAGATTTGTTTGCGGATACCGTCGAAGCGTACGTGTCAAATCCCATATTCCTCACTTCTTTCGTCGAGCTTAAAACAGAGATTACGCGCCAAATGAGCTATTGGATCACTACTCTGACCGGGACATCGACGATGAAGGAGATTTTGAGGAAATGACAGCAACGGCTCGACGAGCTGCTGAAGCAAGGATGAATCGTCGTGATCGCCTTGAGCGCGCAGGAAAGCAAGGCAGTCGCGCAGCTAATAGAGGCCGCGCACCTCAGTTCCTGGAGGATGATGACATGGACGACGAGGATGCTCTTGGTGACGATCTTGGTGTTGCGAGAATGAAGCGCCGCACAAGGCGACAATATGACGAACGTCGTGACGTAGATGATGTGGATGGCATGGATGATGTTGGTGAAAATCCTCGCGGTCAGATGGATGTCTACTCACATCTGAGTCTTTCTAGGAAATACCACTTGAGCAACTCAGTGACATCAAGGCTAAATCTATCGTCGAATGGATTGCCAATGACCGTGTTCGTCGATCAATTGTTAAACATTTCCGGCAGTTTTTGATGACCTACGTCGACGAAAACGGTGCATCGGTCTACGGTCAGCGCATTCGTAATCTTGGAGAAAGTCAGTATCATCAGTCTTCACCGAGCGAAATGACTGATGGTCTGCTGCAGCAAATGCCGAGTCACTGGAAGTATCTTATCTGCATCTAGCGATGTCCAAGCCTATCTTGGCTTACTTCTTGACAAACTCCCCGGCTGCCATGCTTACGATCTTTGACGAGGTCGCACTGAATGCTATTCTCGTGTATTACCCGTCGTACGAACGGATTCACTCGGAAGTCCATGTTCGCATTGCAGACCTTCCGTTGAGCTCGTCACTCCGTGACCTCCGGCGCTCCAACCTAAACAATTTGGTGCGAGTCTCTGGTGTTGTAACTCGACGGAGTGGTGTGTTCCCGCAGCTCAAATACGTGAAATTTGACTGCCGAAAATGTGGCGCTGTTCTTGGTCCATTCTACCAGGACGCAACCAAGGAGGTTAAAGTCAGCTTTTGCGCCAACTGTGAGAGCAAGGGCCCGTTCCCTGTTAACTCTGAGCAGGTTAGTCACATCGAAATCGTGACAACACCTGCTAAATGCTGCCCGATAGACGGTGTACCGCAATTACCAGAAAATGACATTGCAGGAGTCGCCTGGGTCAGTCCCTCCAGGTCGTCTACCAAGACATCGTGAAGTTATTCTCCTTTGGGACCTCATTGACATGGCAAAGCCCGGAGAGGAAATTGTGAGTAGCACAGGCGCTTACAATTGACCCTTGCTAAGCACGTCAGCGTAGGAAGTGACAGGGATATACAGGAACAACTTTGACGCTTCTCTCAATTCAAAGAACGGTTTCCCAGTATTCTCCACTATCATCGAGGCCAACCACATTAATAAGAAGGAGGACCTATTTGCAGCGTTCCGTCTTACCGAGGAAGATGAGAAGGAGATGCGTGCTCTCGCACGGGACGAACGTATTCGGAAGCGGATTGTCAAGTCTATCGCGCCTTCGATTTACGGACACGAGGACATCAAAACAGCCATCGCGCTCTCCCTGTTCGGTGGTGTTACGAAGGACATCAACCGAAAGCATCGCATCCGCGGTGATATCAACGTGCTGCTCCTGGGTGACCCAGGAACAGCAAAGTCGCAATTCCTGAAGTACGCGGAAAAGACGGCTCACCGGTCTGTGTTCGCAACCGGTCAGGGTGCATCGGCTGTTGGTCTGACCGCCAGCGTCCGCAAGGATCCCGTAACTCGGGAGTGGACGCTGGAGGGAGGCGCTCTTGTCCTCGCCGACAAAGGGACATGTCTCATTGACGAGTTTGACAAGATGAACGATGCGGATCGGACGTCTATTCATGAGGCTATGGAACAACAGTCCATTTCAATCTCGAAAGCTGGCATTGTCACGACGTTGCAAGCCCGTTGTGCCATCATCGCCGCTGCTAACCCTATTCGAGGAAGATACAACCCAACAATTCCCTTCCAGCAAAATGTCGAGTTGACAGAACCCATCCTATCTCGATTTGATGTGTTGTGTGTTGTCAAAGACAACGTTGATCCGGTGCAAGACGAACTACTGGCGCGATTCGTCGTTGGAAGTCACCTTCGTAGTCATCCAAAATTCGAAGCCGACAGGGATGAGATGAATGTTGGCACCACTCTTGATGCTGATGTAAGTCTTTGTTCAGTCCCTGAAGCTGTAGTCCTAATAGTCTGGCAGATTATACCCCAAGATATTCTCCGTAAATACATCATGTACGCACGAGAGAAAATACGCCCGAAGCTCTACGACATGGACCAGGATAAACTTGCACGCTTGTTCTCCGATCTTCGTCGCGAATCACTAGCAACAGGTTCATATCCCATCACCATCCGACACTTAGAGAGCATGATTCGCATGGCTGAAGCCAGTGCAAAAATGTCCCTGCGGGAGTATGTTCGTCCCGATGATATCGACATGGCCATTTCCGTTGCGGTGGGCAGCTTCGTCAGCACTCAGAAGATGTCAATCAAGAAGACTCTTGAAAGGGTAGGAGTGCCCCATGACTTAGAGGGATGGAAGAAGGCGCTTATGGTTTTACAGGGCTTTCGAAAATACCTGACAGCAAGCTCGCGATTATGAAGAGCTCTTGGCTTTCCTTCTTGGCCAGATTGTGAAGGAAAAGGCCCGCTTCCACCAGCTGCAGAGACATGAGCAACCTGAGCTCATCACTGTTAAGGTATCTGAGCTCGATGAACGGGTGAGTGGTCCCCTTGTCTGAGTTGTCAGTCAACTCACTAGTTCTCCAGGCGAAGGAGCATGACATCTATGACACATCGACCTTCCTGCACTCAAAGCTCTTTGTTGCAAACGGCTATAAATTGAAAGACCAGATCATAGAGAAGCGGTTCTCGAACTGAAGCGAGAATCATATATACCTTTGGCATAGTTTTGTATTGAATTCCATGCGCTATGTAGTGTGTCATGTAAGATGAGTGGTGAATATATGAAGGGAATAATTAACCATGATACTTCAAGTAAGATAGCGATGCTCTATGATTATGACGTGGAAACGGGTGACGAGGGATGATGGACGTGTTCCTGAGCTACGTTGTCCAGAGTTGCAGCCTCAGCCTCGGAAATCTGCACATCTGAGGACGTAGCTTGACCCTGAGATTCCTCTTCATCATCGTCGTCCATAATTTCTGTGACGAAATTAGTAAAAGATACTACCGAGTCGGAAAATAAGCTCACCCTCCCCATACACGTCAGGGTGTTCCCGGAAGCAGGTTTGCATGGCCTTGAATTTCTCCACACAATCAATGCCTTTTGGCTCCTTTTCAGAGTATACGAAACATGAAAATGCCTCTCTGAACTGTGGGCCACATGGACCGTGGGCCATTCCACCGAGGCATGGGCAGTCCCAATTAATTTCACCTGTCACCGGGTTGAAAGCACCTCCAGCTGACTCTTCTCCACCTTGTGCCTCTACTGGTGTGGCTGGTGATGTTTCATCCGCGTTCTCATCCGACGCGGGTATTGATGTCTCGGGAGACTCCTCTTCGGTCTGCACTGAAGATGGAGGGGAGTCTGCGGCGAGGACTGAGGGAGCTGCGGAGGCTGGAGGCTTCTTAGGTGCTACGAACGTGTCAGAATGGTGCTTGCTGATGATCTCGACTGAATACATACCGGATACAGGATGAGCGTCAAGTGCTATCCGCCGACTGTCCGGAGCTCAGTGACCAAGCCATGTATGCGGCCAGCGTGACAGGAAGCTCCCAGTGCAAGTCCAGACTTGGTTGAATAAATTCTGAATGCGCGCGCGCGCGAGGAGCCGGTATTCGTATGGATACATCTGCGCAGTGGCAGCCGCGTAACAGTCCGGAGCATAGTGGGATAGAGAAAGTTGAACTCCGAGAAGAAATCACTGCAAGTTACCAAAAATTGAATTTGGATGACGCGCTCGTTTACTAATCGCGTAATACCAGATATTTTTTTCACTCGACACACCTCTAGCTAGCCTGCGTATATACTGTCACAAGTCTCCGACCCCTCGCTTAGTCTGCCTCATAGAACACTAAGCAAATCGTAGATTGTAGTGCCAACACTCATTCTGCCAGGTTCGTTCCGTCACTCTCGCCATCATAATGGAGTTCTATCGTGGGCCAGACGAAGAGCCATGAACAGTGCACACTCAGTGGCCTCCGGCAGCGAGTTTCATGGTGTGCAACATTGTCCTTTCAACCTGAACCCACAGAACTCGTGCATCAGCCACTTCACAAAACTAACCCCTAGTGACGTTTGGGCGAGGTCTGGCACTACGAGCCTCGGCAGTGGTTAATATCATCACAGGCGGGATCTGAATCATGTGCATGCGCCCCAAGGCCGCCTATCATACACACGCACGCACGCACACTGTCTCGACCATGAAGTGGTACTGGTGCCGAACTTCGTAGCGCATGATAGATCACTTTGAAGCAACCTGTTGCCTCCTGTTGCTCTGGATATAGTCAGTGCCGATCCTCGGATCGTCGTCACACGAATTTAGGAGGTATGCCAGAAAGCCACTACATACTTCGACCAAAGATCAGCTGCTGATTCGCACAAGGTTCACGATTGAGAAAGACTTGGGTCTCCCACGTCACACCGGTTTCTCTACAAGCAGACTAGCCTGTACTGCCAGTGGCAGGCGCCAGCCAACAAGTACGGAAGCCCGTGAGTAGATCCTTTCGTCAATATAAATGATGTAATTGGCGCACAGATGTCATCGTGGATCATTGCACATCGTCCTTATCACTCCTTGAACCTTTCAAATTCAGGAATAATCCATTACCGTCGTGTCTCTATGGTTAATTTCCGGCTACAGCACACTTGCGGCAGCTGCCGTCCTTCCACGCCAATGTCGATAAATACTAGTGGAACCATGCGAAGGTCTGAACAACTCGCAGCGCATCAGCATGTCTTTAGATTTACTGCAGGTTCGTATGGTTAACGACTGCTCTCTGTCATCAACAACTCGTTTTTTTTTTCAGGTTTCGGCGCCAGGACCATCATACATCTGTCTTGGTGGTTTTCTAGTCTTGGTTCGTTCCAACTCCTCTTGCTTGCTAATGGCGAGCGTTCGTTATCGGGTACCATCTGGCTTGCTCCACGTTGTTATTAATATATTGCAGCGATATGCTGACTGTTGACCGTAGTTCTCGATGGTCTCACTCCTAATTAAAGAGACGGTGTGTGACTGCCATCAATCCCTGACCAATGACCCATGCCTCCCCAGCTGTATGTCAATGAAGTTGTTCTCGGAACCGGCTTCGGGATTATCATAGGGCCTTTTGTTGCCAATATCTTCGCACCCCGTTCGTGGGGTTCCATGACTAACGCCATAACACTAGAGGTCATGCGCATCGTCCTCGCGATTGGCTTGTTCGCAGCTGGAGTCGAATTACCACGTGCATATATGAAAAGTCATGCAAAGAGCTTGTTCATAATGGTCGTGCCCACCATGGCCTTTGGCTGGATTGTGGTAGCTGGTACGCCGAGGTTCCGCGGATGCAATTGTGCATCCCCTGACCACCATTATAGCGATTGTCCACGTATTATTCCCGAAGCTCAATTACATTTCGTCCCTTTGCATCGCTGCTTGTTTGACCCCTACGGACCCTGTGACATGTGCTGCCATCACGCGTCAGTTCTACCGTTCATGAACTATTTGTATCTCTGACTTTTGCGTCTGCTTTACAGGCGGTAAATTTGCCACTAAACATGTTCCTGAAGGTATCCGCCACATCTTGTTGGCTGAGGCTGCAGCCAATGATGGTCTTGCATACCCATTCCTTGCGATATCAATATACCTCACCGTAGAGACGTCCGTTCGAACTGCTATTGGCAAGTGGTTCTTGGTTGGGTGGTTATGTTTGTACTCTTGGTTCTTGGATGCTTTGTAAGGTACTCATCATTCCTACAATAGACCAGGTCATCCTTGGCACCGTTTTGGGCGCCGTTCTAGGTCAGTAAAGTCGATTGGTCGTCTGAAGCCGTTGATTCACCGCATTTGTGATTTAGGCCTTCTGTTCTCCAAGCTCATGAAGATATCCCATAGTCAGAGCTTGATAGATCGTGAATCGTATATCGCACAATACCTGGCTCTATCCATCTTTACTATGGGAGTCGCGAGCACCATTGGTGCGGATGATCTTCTTGCAGCATTTGCAGCAGGTTTGCATTCAGTCTGAATGCTTGATCACTGAGGATCTAACGACCCCTCAAGGTTGTGCCATTTCCTGGGACGGTCACTTCCATTCACAGACAGAAGATGACATATTCTCTTCTGTAATAGATTATATCTTGAACTGTGGCTGCTTCATCTACATCGGCGCGTGGCTACCTTTTGCCGACTATAACTCTCCCGAGTATGGCATCACCCCTTGGAAGCTGGTTCTTCTTATGATCGCTATCTTGCTCTTGAGGCGAATTCCGTTCTTATTGGTGACATACAAATTTGTTCCCGAGATCACGTCCTGGAAGGAAGCTCTATTCTCTGGCCACTTCGGTGAGCAGTTCTCTTATCTATGCTGTAACTTTCTGCCTAAATTACTTTGTACGCAGGTCCAGTAAGTCGGTCTGGTGCCGTTTATCAGCGTCCACTAATGCGTCTTAGATGGGAGTCAGTGCGGTTTTCGTGTCCGTGATGGCGTCTAAACGTTTGCCCACTCCGGACAACCCGCCTGCAGACCAAGCACAGTACCTCGCCGCAACTATTCAGCCCATTGTGTCCTTCATCGTTCTTGGTTCTATTATCGTTCGTAAGTGTTGTCACGGGTAGTATCGTACTGTCGCTGATTTGGGAGGTATACATAGACGGGTTATCTATCCCGTTCTTCAACATCGGTCGACGCGTACACTCCCGCACAACTTCGCTAACTACGACGTCGACCGGACCGTACTCACGCCGCAGGAGTCGGTATGTTAGGTAGCCTGGCTGCAGATACTGGTGCCAGAAAACTTTTTTAGTGTTCGCACATAGCTACGTTCACCATCTTGCCAGCTCCACCGAGTACTTTCCACTTATGGTGAGCCTTTGGCCCCCTTGTCATTAACATACACCATCGGATGTGAGTGGTAATTACCCCTTACTTATCACCAGCCTCTCTCGCCACTTGTAACATTCCTGATGTCTCGATGCCTATTCAAACATCCACCCTATTGACAAATAACATCCAACTTGGTGACTCATAATTTGTCTGGGATACCATTGTTCCCGCCTCTCTTCGGCACTAGCACTTTCCCCCCATATTCGAGTACCGTGTTTTGCCCATGCAATATCATGTACTCCTAGAAGTGCATACGCCTTGCGCGAGCGCAGTTCTTCAAGCACGAACCTAGTTATTCGCGACCAAGCGTAAGTTGATTTAACTCATGCTCACTCCTGGTTGGCCTCGGGCACTACCAAATTAATAGTGGATTTGCTACGACATAGACATTCTATTAATGGGAACTTGAACATCCTTTGCTCCTTCATACAGAGTAATTAACGACAAAAATCAAATCCGTGGAAATATTGCGACATGCGTAAAGGTATTAGGGGTAGTTCGTTTGCGACTTCGCCAGCGTCGTGCAATGCGTTCACTCATAACATCGATCCTCGTCTAGCCTGCAGCGAACCGGCCGTGAGCGGACCGCAGCGCTAGGTTTTGACCGGGAATGGTGCTTACCACCTGGGAGGCCTTGTTGTCCTTCGTTAGAAGATCGTTCAGGCATCGAACCACGATCCCTACGCCTTCCTCGACAGCATTCCTCTCCGATTCTCGCACTCTCCCCAGCACTCTACAGAATCGATCTGGGTGCCAGCGAAGCAGAGCAGCGCGTATCCTCTCCTTCGGGGACTGCTCTGGGGAATGGGCTGAGGATAAGATGAATGCTCCGATTCTCTCAGGAGTAATTTCATCTGGAGTCAACGGAGGAACAAGTAGCGGCCACGGGATATCACGGAATTTTAGGACGATTCCGTCATATGCAGCGGATAGCGCTACCCATCGCAACTCGTACACGTTCCAGGCGTCTATCGTTGCTCGTTCAAGCCTCGCTCGTTCCCTCGTCACTCTCTCCTTCGCCTTTTCGGCTTCCCGCCTTCGCTCTTCCGCAATAATATGTCTTTCGCTGTCTCTCCGCTGGCGAACGCGGGCTTGGATTCGTCTGATTTCGGTTTGTATCAGTCGGTTCTTCTCCTCTTCGCGCTCCCGCATTCTTCGTCTCATCTCTTCTTCGTACTTCGTCCACCTATGCGCTTCCACCTCATGTTCGTATAAAAATTCATCCCTCACTTTATGCCGAAGCTCCTCCGTCTCCGTGGGCTTCATCCAGCGACGCCCCTGGTTTGGCCGACTTGCCAAATGGATCTGGTCGTTCACCCATCGCTCCGTTGGGTTTTCATGTCTAGTGTGCACGTAGTGCTCTTGCTCCTTGACGCATGCTAGCACGTGGGGATTCATGTGTTCCCACTGAACAGGACGAGCGCTCGTATAATCACGTGGGCAAGTCAAATCATCATGTCGTGGAAAGCGTAGTCGGGATGCCGGTGACGGGGAGCTTGGTAGCTCAGCCACTTTGGCGCACCTAACTTGGGCAAGTGAATCATGATGGTGAGGAGTGCTAATTGCTCTGGGGCGGATGTGATGTGTGTAGTCTGAGTCCATCATACAGTCAAGTATTGACGCAGGTTAGATTGGAAGGACGTAAAGATGAGGGTGTTGTGTTATATCTTCCTGTTCATAGTTTTAGACCTGGCGTGATAGACGCGAATGAGGGCGTGTAGAGAGCCTGCAGTATTTGAGCATGTCCTAGTACGTACGTTTGCCTCGTTGCTTTCGCCGCCTCCGGACACGTTGCCACATCATTGGCCCTGCCTGATTTGACACAATCACCGCGTTCTTGGAATCCTAATCACATTTTCCGACATGAACTCCGGGTCTTGACCCTCATAGTGACAATACAACAGCTTCCCTACAAGAGTGAGATCCATAAGTACTCCTACACAGCATAATCCCCTACTTCCTTTACATAGAGCAGAATCCAGAGTCGCTAACATACTCTGCTGAGTCTCCTTTAATTAATGTTGCCTCGAGTCTGACAAGATCTACAGATGGATTGAGAAAGAGAAGCATGGCGGAAATAAACATGCTTACTGAAATATGGATGGGCTTGAGCCTCCCGTGCTGTCAGCCGCTTCTGATGATCATATCGAAGTAATTTGTCAAGAAGGTCCAGTGCCTCTGACGTCACACACTGCTGGTTTTCAGCAGTAACAAAACGTGTCCAAGGCTGTCTTGGATAACTGGGACGAGATATCAGCATTTTAACGCGTGGTAGGCCATGCCACTAACGAGTGCAGAAGGGCGTCCATGTCTGTTTCGAATGGTATGTCATATGTCTTCAAGTATGCGTCAAAACCGTCAGACCCAAGAACTCTCATGATTTTCAAGAGTTGGTCGTTATTGTCTGAACCGCGGAAGAAGTGCTCCTTGCGAAACAGCTGCCTGATCATTAGAGCATTTAAGGAAACAGCAATTGTTTCACACACCATCGAAGCAAGCATACATCCCGTACTCCACAGATCAAGGCTATAGTCGTACAGCTTGTACCCAACGAGCAATTCGGGCGCCTTGTAGTATCTTGAACCGACGCGAATATGATATGCTGTCCCAGGATGATAAAATTCAGCCAGTCCCCAATCAATGACTCGTAGCTGTAGTTTAACTAATCAGCAATCTCATCATGATGGTGCACATGGAACACGCACCTTCCGGTGTCGGTGATCGATCATGACGTTGCCCGGTTTCACATCACGATGCATGATTCCTCGCGAATGAACGAAATCCAAAGCCTCATGAAAATAGTGTCAATAGAAGCCCACGGGCGGGTTCATGAAGTCATGGAACGTACCTTGAGGAGCTGGAAAGTATAGAACTTGATGTCTACCTCGCCAAGTATTGGGTATAAGGTTTTCCACTCCACATTATCCACGTATTCCATGATCAAGCTGTGGTATCGTGATGAAGGGTCTTGAACGACGTCAAGAAGGGCGACAACATTCGGGCCACCAGTTAGGTTTCGCAAAATCTTGATTTCACGGTTTATTTTCTTGGAGGCCACAGGCTTGAGAACCTTGATGATACAGGTCTCAGAGTTTGCGGTATCCAACCCTTGGAACACCTATCGAGTGGTTGGCTAAAAAACCATGAAATACGTCCAAAACGTTCTCACCTCGCTGTACTTCCCACCTCCTACACGATCGACGATCTCGTAGCGTTCGGGAGAACTCCACTCGATGCGGAAATTGTCTGCATAATTTCATGTAGCAGAACTGGTGAAAGGCAACCTGGAGTTTGCTCACCATAGTCATACCACGAGCGTCCCAGTTGTGCATTCGCACCGGCATAGATACGAGCCATGACCTATCCCTCGGGAGAAAGACAAGAACTGGGACTTGACACGAGGCAGTAGATGCGTTGTGCCCTACTGGGGCATCTAGTTAACTACGTAAAATGATTAAGAGTCGTGGACAGCCCTCTGGTTGCGGGAACTTTTGAAGCCGGAAAAGGCTGTTCCTTTACAGGATGCGTACTTGCAACGCTTGCGTTTGGTCATTTGCTTTTAAGTACTTTCTCCAGAATGCATCATGAATTCAAATGTAACTAAAGGATGGATAGATGCAGTAATGATAGTGGACGACATAGCAATAGTGATGTGCAGAACGGTACAGCAGAACGATTGAATATACATGAATGGGATGCGTGAAATATAGAGGGATATCTGATGAGACTGAGAGCAAGCATGAGACACTGTGACAAAGCTCAGTGGTCGGCATATATCACAAAACAAAAATCTCACCGAAACAAGACTGTCATTGTGAACCGTTAGGATCTGGTGTACTGACTTGTAGGTATGCCAGCAAAAGGGCGATGGAACTATTTTGCTGGCAGTACATTGCCAAATCCTTTCCTGACCAGTATTGATCATCCGATCTAAGCTGGGTGTCAGGATCGTCCCCACCATCATCGCTGCTCTCATGAGGAAAGCTGAGGCTATTGCTTTCCGACTCCATCTTTCCAGGACCATGGCGATGGTACACCTTGCTCCGCGACTTCGAACGCGGTGGCTCCGATGGACGGTCCGCACCGAATCGAAGGGAGGTTTTGGATTGGTCCCGGGTATGAAGGCCGGATGATGTGAGGCGCTCTAGTGCATGATCATTCTTAGAAGGACAGGGATTGGGATTGCCCAGGAGTGAGGATGGATTGAGTAGGGTATCTTGCAAGACTTTAAACGCCATGTTGTACGATGCCTTATAAAACCGACCGGTCTGCGGGGATGGCCAACTTATGCCGTAGGGGTGATCAGCAGCTGCGACAGACGCATCGATTTCCCGTTTGAGGGAAACATTCCACTCGTGACGAACGACAGGGTCAGTGACGCTGAACATGTATTTGCGCTTGGTCCCGTTATGATCCAAAAACGCCACCTGAAAGGTGTTGCGCATGAAAGCACGCTCCACTGCTATAGTATAATTCTGGGCCAGGCCAGTATACAGCAGAGCATTCGGACTTGAACGCAGCATGGACATTGTCTTCAGGCCAAATGAGCGCCCCGTCACGCGGAAGGAAGCTTCCGCGGACTTCGCAAATGACAGCACAGGTGGGTCAAACACCAGATCGTGCCCAAACAACTCAATACTGAACTGCGGGTCCGGTTGTGGGATACGGATGACGATTGGCTCTGACTGAACCCGGTAGGTGAGTCGTGCAGGAAGTGGGCGTTTGAAAGTGACGGTGATCTCCGGTGGGCCACCAGACGACGGGTTGCGCGCTTGACACAAGCGCTCGCGACGAATGGAGTCATAGACATCCCCCAATAGCTCGTCTGACAGGCGATTGTCATGACGTCGAAAAGCTTCAAGGAAGTCTCTCGCAGTAATGTTTCTTTTGGGATGCCCCATTTGACCTGGCTCATGAGCGATGGCACCGTGCAGGACGTCGTTCAGCTGCACGATGGCCCTCGCGAAGCGAGAGGCCAAATCCTTGTCATAAGAGATGTGTCCTGCGTTAGCCTCATACCATCGATTTGCGAATGACTCGAGAAGAATGTCGAGAGGACTGACACCGTGGCTACTCCGTTCCGGAATGTGAATGGACTGAAGGAACACCCGAAGGGCTTTGTCCACCCTCAGTCCAATAAACCCGAAGGCGTCAAGGTAATGCTTGAGCACAACACGACTTGTGCGCCGCGACAGGTAATCACCGAGCTGCACCCTGTCGATATGTGGAGTTTTGAACAGAAGCTGCGCAAGTGCAGCAGGATCGTCACGATGACCCAAGCTACTGAAAAGCGTCGCGACTGCGTGATCCGGGTCTGTTGAAAATTGCTCAACAAAGGCTTGCACTACGGGAGTTCTTGGTATGACCCTAGAAGACGGCTCCTCGCGCTCGCTGGTGAAGTAGAGTTGTCGTAGCAGTACAACATTCTTGACGGTGAACTTCCGGTCAGTAGGATTAGGCTTCGTCACTTCGAGGAACGTATCGGATTCTTCAGGGCGAGGTTTAGCAATAACGAGAATGTCGTTGAACAGGAAGAGGAAGCGATCCTTGCAGATATTGGAATTCACGACCTGGAAGACTGGAGAACATCGCAAAAACTTCCGTGGAGGCTCATCAATGGCAGAAAGCCATAGTGGACTTCTCGAACCTCGACCAAGCATCTCATTTAAGCGCTCCAACAGTATACCACCTTTCGCAGGGTAATTGGAATAATGCGAAGAAGTGTTGGACGAAGAAGACTCGGATGTTGTGGGATGGGGGTAGTCGGATAGTGAAGACCAGGGTTCAGGTGTGGTGGACGACGGAAGCTCAGGGGGAGAAGGGGTTGCCGGGGTGGAGGGCACCAGAGAAAGGTCTGTGGCAGAGTATGGCTGGCCGTTGGGCCTGGCGATCTTACTGGCTCGTGGTGTCTTCTGAAGATCGTCATGGACAGAGCTCCCGTTGAGACTAGTTGGGGAGAAATCACCATTTGCCTTCTTCGGCTGGCCATTGCCAATAGAACTAATTGCCACACGCGTTTTATCACGATCAACATCTACCCATTCATCGTGGAGCTCGGTATCATTCTCCTTCCGTAGTCGGAACAGGTCAGAGAGTGAGGGCTTCCTCGAGGCCACTGCAGGTTTCTGCTCGGGGGCAGGCACTGAAGGCAAGTTGCCTACTGGTGACTGTGAAGGTTGAGGGAACAGCTTCCTAGCACTGAGCCATCTCCGGACACCATCTCGGTTGGTTGGAAGGGATTTCAGCATAATGGATGATGGCGAGTGGAGACTGCCGTGCTGGTAGTGGTCATGAGAGGACGTAGAAGCAGACGCAGAAAGCGGTGGGGCTTGAGCCTTGTAGATCTGTAACAGATGGGTATCCGATGTCTGGTGCGATAGCTTTCTATCTCCATTTATCTCAGGAGAGTTAGAAGGGGTATTACTGGATGAACTCGATGGCAGCGGTATATCAGCCTCGACGTGATGCGACAGAACGATATCGGGAGTAGATGAAAATAGAGGTTGACGGTGGTTCCATTGCTCTTGCAGCTTCTTGATCCCGGGGAAAGGCATGAGTTTTTCGTGTGTATACTTTGCTAAAGGATCAGCGGAAGGAGTCATAGGGACGGGAGAAACCCCGTTGCTGGGAGGAGCAGTTTGAAGCAATGAATGTACAGAAGTTGACGCCGAGGATGGTTGACCGTGTGGGTATGTGGCTGAACTGATGCTGTCGTTCTTCTCAGTTTTCGGGCTTGGAAGACTCACACCACTCTCCCGGCTGATACTGGAGTCAGTGTGCTGTCTCCTCTCCCTTGTGGCAATCGAGTTCGTCCGAGAGCGGCGTCCACTACTTGAAGCGCTCCTCGTCAGAGTGTGGACAATCTTGCTCCATGTGCTCCCTTCGCGCCTGGATGGTGTCTCCGCCCGCGCTGTTTGGGGATCAGTCAACTCAGGCTCCGTTGCCACTGGCGACTTTTCACTGTGCATGCAAATAGCTACCGAAAGCCGCTGAGGGTACTGTGGTGAATCCGATTCATCACTGCTGCGAACTATGGAAGCGGTGTTAGGAAGGTTGACAAATGACGAGGGCGTCGGCGAAGTGAGTGCGGGTGTAGGCAAAGGAGAGGTCTCTAATTCCACAACAAGTTCCTTTGAGTCAGCAGATGCGCGAGGTGATGGTTCCTCAATCTTGGGACTATACTCTTCTCTTGGCGACTCTGGAGGCGGACGGTCATCTTCATCTTCTGTGATATGCTGGGATGGCTCCTCCTGCAGCGGTTCATCATCATCCTCTTCCTCTTCTGTCTCTTCATGCACAAGCATGGGTGTTTCTGGCACTGCCGTCAAAAGAGCGTGAGAGGCATGCTAATCAGTGAAAACAAGCGCTGACCTGGCTCTGCCACCCAACTAATTTCGCGGTTGAGACCATCATGATATGGAGACCGTCGGAAAGCTTCCGTTGGAAAAAATTCCTCATCATCCCGATCGCGTTCCTCCTCTTGGTCGGATGATAACGATATCTCCTTATGAGGTCTTGCGAAGGGACTAGATGGGAATCTGGCTTGCCGAGACGGAGTCCTCTCAAGCTGCGAGGCCAAGTATACTGGCACATTTGTGGCATCGGGAGGTGCCGAATCAGTGGAGACGTCCGAGGAATGAGGAAGGCGCGGGGAAATACTAGGAGAGGGCCGACTCGGAGCGCCCGGTAGTCCATAATACGTTGATTGTGGGGGAATCCGGTCTTCGTCATCTGGATCCTCTATCAGAACGCTCTCTCGTCGTTTCCGGGCCGCGTGATCAAAGTGAGTGGGTGGCACCGCTCGCACAGGGGTGGATTGACGGCTGGAGTTGATGGTTTCATTAAGGTTGATGCTTGGCGTTACAGGAGGAGGATATATCGGTATCGGGGGTATGGGAGTGGTGGACGATGTACGCTCTATGTTGGGAGCTAATCCCTCGGGTTGAGGTTGAGGGGTATTGGAACGGTTGGGCGTGGTATTGGAAGTCGAAAGAAGATCAGATTCGTCCGTAGTTGACGCCACTGGAGGATTGATGGACTGGCGTTTTGAACGTCTTCTCGGGCGTCGCTTTGAGGGGCTAAATGGACGAACATCTTCCTCTTCTAGATCCGTCTCTTTTATCATCCTCTTGTTCAGTTGTGCCATCATAAGCCTTCGGGCAGTGCTACGTTCGGAGGTCTCCCCTCCAGACACAGTATTGTTTCGGCCCAGTTTACTGCCCAACGGCTGAGGGGATACTGCTGGCGATGGAAATGTTGATTCCATTAATTCCGTGCCACCCGTAAGCTTTTGTAACGTGTTCTGTAGAGTTAGCATACGGGCAGCACCTGCACTATTTGATCGCTGAAGCCCTTGATGTGACACCAGAGCCTCCAGTGTGGGAAATCTTGGGACAGGAGAAGAAGCACCAGAAGGTAGAAAAGGATTCTCTGCCATTGAGAAACCAGGTAAGATGAACGGAGAAGGGGGTAACGGATGAAGATGAGAGGGTATTGGGGCGAGAATTGAGTGTGGAAGTGGAAAGTATTCAGCTCGTGAGGGTGGCGAATCATCAGGAGAAGAATCGTTGCTGGGCGTGACAGACGTTGGCAAAGGAGACTGGGGAGGTTTAAATTTTCTGAGATCCTTAGAACCCCTAGAACGTGAGCGTGAACGTGAGCGGCGTTTACGGGTAACATTGGACAGCTCAGGTGTGCCTTGGTTTTCTTCAGGCTGTACGTTCGGCTGTGAGTCAAGATTAGAGTCGCGCTCGGGGGGCGTGTCTTGCGATGGATCCTGAACGTCGTCATGCAGGGTTTTCTCCCCTTCGCTAACAACTTCATTATGCATCTGGGGTCGCCTTCCATTTTTCAGTCGTGGTAGAGATGCAGCGCGTTTGAGCTTCGCGACTGCATTGGCGCGTTGTTCAGCGACCGACCCTGGGTCATTCTCCATGCCCGAGCAGATTGCTAGAGCAGAACACTATGATAAGCATCGGTGGACATAAATTTTATGCTAATGTGACTGCGCAAATAACTCACGTAGTTTGTTGGCCGTATCCGACCCGGAAGGTTAGGGTACGCCTCAGTGGCAAGAGTATCTATTGTAGACGACAGTCTTGAGAACTAATCAAAGGGATTATCAATGAAAAAATAGAGCTAGAAACATACCTAGTACTTGAGCTGAGCGCTGAGCGCTGAATGTTGAGGAAGAACAAACGAAGAGAAAGGCTCTAAATTGCAAGAGACCGAATGTGGCGGAGTAGTTCTACACGTGGCTAAAAGCTTCCGGAGACAAGGCTGTGGAATAATATACGGACCCATATGCTACTGTCGATGATCTGTCTCAACTACTTATCTATACTAAGGAGCATCGGCTGCCTCGAGGAGTCAGGGCGACTGTCAAATGGGCTTCTTCAAAAAGAAAAGTGAGGTTAACGCGGTGAATAGTGAACCATGTGCGTAAATTTGACACATCTTCTTGTCGAATTCATCACTATTCATGGTCACCTGCCAGTGTTCTACCCGCATCTTAAGTTTTTCCCAGTTGATTTGCGCACGGAATATTGTGATCTGCATTCCAGGAAGATCGTTCACAACTTCACTCTCATCGATAAGGCACGCACATCGTGCTATGCATCATGTCTCATCTTCTGAAGCATGTAGTAGCAGTGCATTCGTGACATCACTCCACGTTGTCTTCATCTGCGTGGATGCGGCCTTGTGTTTCTAAGTTTTGATTAATCGTTCAAGGCCTGAACAGCCATTATTAGCATGTGCCTCCTGGAGTATAGACTTTGCTTCATTTCGACCTTGTACCATGGGGAAGCGTAGCTTGTTCCATCCGGTGAGAAATACATTGTCGATTATTCGGGCCAAGTTGGCCGCAAAGATCAGATCCATCAGCTGGTGCCAGGCATTCCATATCCGTGGCCCTTCTCATTGGTCGATGCTTCCGCGAAGGAACGTTGTCTTGGCATCTCATAAGCATCTTCGACACGTTTGCATCCCTCGACCTGAAAACTTCCAAATGCAAACTAATATGACTGCGGACTCATCTATCAGTGGTGGAGTACGTGCTCGTCTCCATTACAGTGCAACAGACTCCCTACTCTGACGCGCGAGACATGACTTGATCTCGTATCGCTTTCCAAGGCGACCTGGAAAGTTCGAAACCGTCTCCGATCCTTGCGTACATGGTACCGCCTAGGCGTGACACGGCGCGAAGCTTAGCGGGATCAACGGTACCGCTTGCAGTCAAAACGGACTCTCTAACATGTGCCCGCTTAATGAGGCCTAAGACCAACGTATGCGTGATCTCGCCCGAATTTGGCGGACGAATGTCATATGAATAGAACAACTGTGAAGCGGATGACATTAATAAACACGGCAAATAATCAACGATGCACATGCGTACCTCGCATTCAAGACCGATGGCACTTTCCTTCACCCATGGGGGCCGCACGTCTATCTAATTGAGGGCAAGCATCGCAGTCAATACGTACGCGAGTATGTCACATGAGCCGCAGCCACTAGCCGCGGCTGCTAAACATAAAGGACTTACGCTGGTCGATCTGGTTAAGCCGCTGACGTCCCATTCATCCACATCAGCAGGGGCGTCCACAGATGTGATATTCGCTGCTTCTATAAATGGTTCGCTCATGATGCTTACGGTAAACTGTTTTGTCGCAAGAATATTTTCCCTGGTGTCTTTTGGCTTCTGCGGAGACAAAGAGAAGGAAATGCTCAATAACGGTGGGTTGTGCGCGACCTAACAGCACAAAAAAAATCAATTTCAAGACGTTGGAGAAAATATCCGACGTACCATGGAAAAGTAGCTGTACGGTCAGGTTAGATCACACCGGCCGCCTAAAAATATGCTGAACAAGAACTCACCTGAACGGGGCAAGGTTTGACACCCCATCGGAAGAGATGCTGGACACGAGCGCGATGGGGCGAGGCACGATGCACGAAGTCAATAGAGGATACACCTCCCTGTCAACAGTCCGAGTCAGTGAGATGCAAGCATGTGATAAGGTTAGGTTCGATATAACAGCAAAAACTGCTACCACCAGTACTTGTACCGTGTCACATGAGGCCGCTTACCTCGGTGGTGTGTTTGAGAGGTTCCAAGTCCTCCAGCCTTCCTCTTCTTCTGCTTTCCACGACTTTCCAGGTTCGAGGTCCTCTGGGAGGCCCTGTCTCAGTTGCCAATTGGGGTTTGGTGGGTCTGTGATGCGAAATAAGGCAGCAGAATTGAAGGCCTGTCCAAAGTTCCCGCTGGATTCGTTGCTTCTGTTCGTGGACGAGAATAACCGCATGCTGGAGGAGCCGTAATATTTAAAGCAGAGAGTATGCCCTCTGGCCACTGGACGCGTCGCCAATGTCAGTAGTCGACGATACTTGGCTAGGTCGCTCATTGTTGCTGTCACTTAGGCTACATAGTGCTAGGTTGTGCACAAGAAAGTTCGTTGAAATCAGGCACACAAAAGATTAAAAATAGACTGTTAGTATTACCCGAGACTGTTGTTCTGAGAAGCGAGTCCGCGGAGACTTACTCGCAACTCAAAAAATCAAGATTTTTTTAATAGAATACAAGCAGCTGGATGCTGCAGGTGTGCTGTAAAGCTGTACCACAGTCGATTGTTCTATTGTCACTAGAATGACGCGCGGTGTTTGAAAATGACTAATGATCTTCTTTCTCTGGTAAGTACCAACGGTGCTTTTGAGTGTGAAGTCACATCGACGATTAAGATCGATTCTCACTGGCCATGGTCCGAAATTGGGTTCCACACGACCTCTCAAATTGAACAGATTCTCTGTGTCCAGATATCTTTCCAACGAAAGATGCGCAGGTGAGTCGGAAGCTCTGTCCTAGGCTGCGGATCTAAGACAGTAAGCATTGGACTCTGCGACTTTGTTCCTCATCTTTGAGAACCATTATGACATTCGAGATGAGTTTGCAGCTTTGTCGGAATCCTCTGCAGTGGCTGTTTTTCCAAACTACAACGTAATCTTGGTAGTCTGTCGTTTCTCATTCTCTGCACCATAGTATGCAACGAGACGATTGGCGAAGAGGTAGACAACTTACGATGCAAATCGATAACAAGATACCTTTTCCTATATCGCACCACGTAGTACGTGGGGATAAAGACAAATCTACCAATGATACTGCGATTATCAATCTTCACAGTCCCCTGAACGATACGCTTCCACAGGCCATAAACGATATTCTAGTTTTCTACCATGTCGACCGCCATGGACGCAATGCCAGCTGGGTCTTACGCATATACTGACACACTCAAGGGTGTTTACTACGGACCTAAGTGCGTCGAAACCGCACTCCCAAAACTTTTGCACACTCTTGGAGCCAAACGAGCGCTTGTCGTCACAGGAAGGTCCCTACGCGACAAAGTGAGTCGACGCCCTTCGACGAATGAACCAGCTTCAGCATTGACACAATTGCGTAGACTGACGTGGTGGCAAGGATTGAGAACATTCCTGAAGAAATATAATGTCCTATGGTGCTACTTTCTCGGAAATAGGGGAGCATACTCCGGAGGCTGGTATCGAGCAGGGCATCTTCAAACTTCGTGAAGTCGGCGCCGACATCATAGTATCTGTTGGTGGAGGCTCTCCTATCGATGCATCGAAGGCGATCATTTTCAGGCTGCAGCAACAAGAAGCACAAGAAACCCCTGGCAAAGAACCCGAGTTCTTGCCACAAATCGCAATACCAACAACCCTGAGTGCAGCAGAGTACAGGGTAAGAACTTGAAACGGGATAACTTTTTGTCTAATCTAGATATGCTAGATTGGTGCAGGATATACCAACAAGCAGGGTGACAAAGTAACTGTCAGTCATCAAGAGCTTGCTCCGGCAGGCGTCATACTAGATGCAGAGCTGACTCTTTCGACACCTGAGCAACTATGGTAGATTACCAATTCAATCACCCTCCGTGTATGCTAATTGTTTCTCAAAGGCTTTCTACTGGGTTGCGTGCGCTGGACCATGCAGTTGGTAAGAAGTCATTTATCCACAGTGTCCCGTATTTCTAACTACAAGTCTGGTACCAGAGAATCTATATAGACCCGGAGTGCCCCTACCGCTGAAGAAGCTATGTTATGCTGCGATCGCCGATCTTTTCCGCTTCCTCGTTTTATCGAAGAATGACAGCAGAGATCTGGTTTCAAGGCAGAGACTGCAAGTTGCGGCGTGGATGAGCTTATGGCCGCTGAAGGCTGAAAAACACAGGTAGGCTATTTCACGCGGGGGATTACTTACGGTTCAACTATTTTTTATGAAGCTCGATAGGATTATCACACACGCTTGGTCACAAGCTTGGAGCAACATATGGAATACCGCATGGCATCACCTCAGTCAGTAAAACTCCGGAGCCCGCACATGGTTTTTTTTACCACGATCTATTTCTAGTGCTTGACGCTTGCGTCGGTGGTCAACTTACAGGCGGAAATAGCAAGCCAAGAAGACAAGGAGTACCTTGCTGAAGCCTTATTCTATCTCAGAGAACCATCAACTGGGACTGTCGACGGAGATGTCAGGAAACTATCGTCCATGATCAACAGGCAAGTTTCTTCTGTCACCTGTCCAGAATGAGTTCTCAGTTTTCCACAGGCTTGTGCAAGAACTTGGGCTGCGGAGGACCCTGAGCCAATATGGTGTGCCAACAGGTGATATTGAACAGATCGCCGTCCGTGCAGTCGGCCAAGAGGGCGAAGAGTTGCTCTCAAAGGTGAAGATTCTTTTGGAAAGCATCTACTGATGAATTCTGCTCGTGATCGGGTATTATAGACGCCGCAATGTAAATACATGCATTAGTCCTACTCAATTCTTATGTTTACCTCTTGCGACGCCTCCTTCGAACAAAGGAATATAAATAAAGAATTGAGTGGGATACTTTTCGTTTAGACAGCTGGAGAAAGATAATCAGCGAATCAAGGAACGCAATATTTCTCTCACCCCGATTTCGACACAAACGTCTTGCAGCAGAGCAGCCCTGTCGCAGGTTCGCGCAGCTGTGTGGAAAATATGTCCATACTTGTCGAAGGAAATAGAAAGGTGCGTCAGCGGAGCTGTCCCGGCACGTACATTGTGCATGAATAATTTAGAGATAAGACTCATCGGTGGAGGAACTTGCTTCTTGATATCGGAGTATGGTTTTCCAAAGGAGGGCCCGTCAAAAATCGCCGGCTGCGGTGATTGATCCAGTATAATGATGACGTTGCTGGAGCACCTATCACTCGCCGTGATCGAGAGGCATTCTCCGACTTTTGATGAGTAGTAAGAGGTAGTCGGTAGGCAAAAACGGTAGACACGTTTTGTAGATCTATCATCTTGAACCATGATTAGCGTTTGCGGAAGAAAGAAGGGTTCTTGCTTAGCCGATATAATTATAGGACTCTGGGCGCTGATCAGCATGGTGGTTCGGCCATAAGCGGAGTCACTGGCAGTGCGTTTCTGACTATACCTGGCCTACATTCATATGTGTATCATTAGGCCGTCTCTCCCTTGCGACAAGTCCGGGCATGAAGGCAGTTGTGAACTTTGAGCGTTGCTTCAGGGCTGTTCACATTGTTCCGTACACGGCGGTAGGCGCGATTCGGATAACGGCATTTCCATACGCAAACCTTTTGCCTGTTGCCTCCCGGTATTTTGCAAAGGGGTATCTACGGAGTAGAACCTATCATTCGGACTTTTCACCAAGTCACAAGGTCCCTACTCTCTTGTTTATAGATAGTCTCAGGCGAGTAGAGACTGAACAAGGCGCATCCAGACTGACGTGTTGCCAGGTCATCTACGTATTTATCTACAAGGCACCTTGGGATGGCATACCGACGATCAAACTCGACTCAGCGGGATCCACAACGTGAAGAAATTAAACAAACCGGCGAAACCCATCACAATGATGCTCATGGCAAACATTCGCATTCGATCTTTCACTCACATTCGCATGACGAACACGACCACGGTCATGATGCAGAGCAGATAGTACAAGCGCTTCAGACTGCTGGTGAGCTGTGATTCTGTGTCAGTCGAGACGTAGCTGATTATCCCATAAGGTGACAGAGGCAGTCGAATAACACTCATAGGGCTGTTTGCTAACATAGGTTTGACTGGCGCCAAAGGGCTTGCTGGCTGGTATATGCACTCTGCCTCATTGCTAGCAGATGCCGGCCACTCCATGAGTGGTCCGTGACCCCACACCGTGGCCCGACCTTTCACACTGACATCCTTGTTAACAGATCTGCTCGGTGATCTTGTAGTCTTGTTCTGTTGGAAACTGTCAAGAAAGCCACCCTCGGGACGTTACCCATATGGATTCGCCAAGTTCGAGACTCTCGGGACAACTACTGTATCCTTACTCCTCATCGGAGGAGCACTGGGCATCGGCTTCCATTCGTACCACCTGCTCGTGGAAGCACTGGCCACAACTGTCTCCAACGTTCCCCCGGGCCAGCTTCATGACCTCCTCCAGCAAGTCACGTCTGTTGCTCATAACGTTCCTGCCATCGGGCACTCGCACGGTCATACTAGTGTCCTCGACCCCAATGCAGCCTGGTTCGCTGCGGTCGGCGTTGTAGCAAAGGAGTGGTTGTACCGAGTAACCAAGAAAGTTGCCGACGAAGAACATAGCCCAGTGCTCTACGCAAATGCTATTCATCATCGCAGTGACGCGTATTCGAGCGTTGTTGCCTTGTTTGCAATTATAGGATCGTGGTTATTCCCTGCATTACCTTTAGACCCTATAGGGGGTGAGTGATAGCAATTTTTGTCAGTTCCTTTTTCTACACCTCTCATTACCCTCTCCAGGACTCCTTGTTTCCTTTGTTATCCTCAAGCAAGGTTTAGACCTCTTTGGAGGTGCATTTGCCGAGCTTACGGATGCTGGCATCTCGGCAAACTCGCAACGAAAGCTGCTCCGCGCACTAGATCCTCTTCTTTCCTCTCCATCACCTCCATCCACCTCTTCTTCTGGCAACGGACTCCATGCAACCACTGAACTACTCGCTGTTCGACATCTGAGAGCTAAGCGTGCAGGTTCTTTGATTTATGTGGACCTCACAGCCGATGTGCCGAGCAATATGTCAGTCTTGGCCACATCACAACTAGAAGTAAAGATCTTGCGGACCTTGCAGGAGGCGCGGAAGGAGATCTCAGAAGTTCGTGTTAAATTCCACCCTATTGAGGATGCTCCTCGGAGCTGATGGAATTCGTATGCATGGACGGAAATTGTATCATCGATCTAGTTTTTTTATGACACTATCCACAACATATACTTAAGCGTGGATAGTTGCAGCTGGTTGCGTCCACCCAGACATCTTCTTCGATGGACTGGTTCCGGCTAGGGGTAAGTAGTATCGAATCATATCAATCCAGGATCCCTCACATTCGGTGTAAACGTTAATGCTCTCTCATCATTCTGGAAGGGCTGTCCTATGCAATGTTGCAGAGGAGTTGCGATGCAAGATCCTTACTTTTATTTCATACAATGAAATTATATGCTGCGCTTTATGATCTGTTTGAAGCTTGCCAAACGATTTACAACATGGTCAAAAACTCTGTTGAGCTGCAATACGCCACGACCCCCAACATGTTGCAAGAGATCCTTGATTATGCAGTAGGAGGAACTCGTGTCGTACGAAGAGTTTCCCCCCCTGGTTTTTATGGGTCTTGGATACATATGAACAACATCCCCCCGCTGTAGCATGCAGTATGGGCAAGGTAGTTCGGGAACGTACGGTGTCAGCAGACTTCACGGAGGATGTGGTAACATTCCTCTCTTACGTAGAGGTCTGTTCACCCCTGCATTTGTCCCAAATATCTTCGTATCACATTGGACGAGGAGAGGTTATTATATTCCCCACCCAGAGACACGAATGATGATGTGACTCGTGTGAGTGTATATTCGCATGTCGAGCGATCATCTCTTTGACTAGGAGCAGGAGATTGGTATGGCGATCGTTGACATGTAGTCGTTTGCGACCGGTATCTATCAGTGTTCCCTTTACAACGCCCACCTTGGGGAAACAACACGGGTGGATGAACGGAGGGGGACTGTTTATGAAATAGAGTCTCTATGGGGAGTCAAAAAAACTGTAAGCCTAGCCCATGTCGGGGGATACATATGTCCTTATATTTGGATCTTGGGTTCATTTTGTGCATGGATGTTTGGGGATCGAGTGAACGCGTGTGCGTGACTGTTGCAACATGTGCGCTGTGACAAGCGCGTCGAGTTAAGGTTTGACGCGCCTCCCATTTAATCCATACCACAATGAGCGAATTGGATCTCAGATTGTCTACAGCTACTGCTCAGGACACGGGCTCTTTCAGGCTTCTGGAACTTCCTCCAGAGTTGTGCCAAATAATCGAGTCTGCCTCTGATAAGTTTCCTAGGTCGGTGATAGCACTTCCTCTCGGCCGTGAGCTGTCTGATTTGAGATACCCAGCCTCTTCATCAAAGGGCACCCTACTGAGGACGCAGTACTATGCACATCAGACAAGACATACGCCGTCCGCTCTGTCGTCCTGTCCAACACCGTGCTGGTCGTGACACCCTCCAGATCGGATCCAGATGGGACCGTGCACATCCGAGATCAATTGCACGAAATCATGGAGCTGACGCCTGTGGTACCGAAGCTACACAAGCTTTCGATCCTGCTGAGGGACATGGAATATGACGAAGGAGATGAGGATAGACAGGTGGGTCAGCATGCGATGTACACGAGGCATATCGTCTCATCCTGTTAATAAGGCAACCATGCCAACATATAGCTATGAGCAAGCTCGTAGTGAAATACAGGCCAGCGAAGCTGAGTTTTCCCGGGGTCTGAAGGAGAGACGCATCCTCAGTCCTCGATGGTAAGAAAAGACCCCTCGTGATGGCCGTCGTCGAATTAATATCGTTCCAGGGCAACTACGGCCCATAGCCCCGGCGCATCTTAGCACCATCCTCGAACTCCTGTTAAACTACTTGATATCCCTGTCCCTCTCACACCAAGCTGCAGCAGTCGAGGAGCTGGCATCTGTACTTGCTGATGAGCATGAAGTACCCCGTGCGGTATCGAACCAAGTCATCTCCTGGTTTGGGGATGTAAAGGAAGGCCTATGGAAAATGGACGCAGATGCAGTGATCAGAGAGCTCGGAAGTAGGAATTCTCAGACATCATAGGGTCTTTTTTTTCTTTTTTGTCACTCCTGGCGGATATCTAATGCCAGACACCAGCACAACCCAATTTCTGAGCACGAGTTCCTCAAGAAATGGAAAAACGTAGTAGGGGATACTTTCGAGTCTTCCGTAAAGCTGTCCCTTCTTTCGGTGCGTTGTCCCGCCACCTCTGAGCTGAACTCCAACGACATGATACACAGGGAAACTTTCTTCGAACCGTGTCCTTGTCCGGAGATGGCATGACATTGACCTACTTCTCATCTTCCGCATTGCCAGTTGATCCAGCCGCACGATTCGTTGAGCTATTCCTCACTCGCCAACGATGGAAACACGAAGAGATCGAGCCCTTCTTATTGGACATTGCTGTCAATTCCAAGGAACGAGATAAACTGCTCCTCAAGCATGCTAGAGCACTAACAGACACCGATGGGGTATGGTACACTGCACGAGTAAGTTACAACAACTGAAATATACGCTTGTGAGTCTACGGGAGGCATGTACGATATCATAATATATACTGTAAACCTTTGTGCAGCTAAAATCATCCTTTCCATAAATCATGAGACCCCGAGACGATCACTTCCTGGCTGATGAGCGCGTTTTCGTCTTTGACCCTAGACTTTTGATGGGCGAGGGATGATAGTCTTCATCATCATCTGAACCTCTCCTCTTCCGCTTCGTGCCCGTCGACGTGGACACAAGCGCATGTAGTGGAGAGCTCATGTCCAACACTTTCAACCCAGCCGGACCAGTGATACTATCAACGTAGCTCCACATGGCCTTTCCCACAACAGTGTTGTTCCGTACATCGCGGAATTGTTCTCGTATCCGTAAACGCATATGAAGAAGGGCATTTGCCCTGTCTTCATGGGTGTGGTTTCGAAGGACGAAGAGAATGACGCCTGCAGAGCATAGGTTGAGCATATAATTCACTTGTACAAGATGGGGCACCATACCAACGAACACAAATTCAACAGGCGCGACGCGCTTGTCAACTTGAGTGAAAGCAATGTTGAGCTCTGGTTTTGTCGCGATGTACCAGAACTCCGACAGTACGTCATTAATTTGACCCATGAACGTTGATGAGGGGTTATCCACCCGCTTTAGCCACTTTTCCAGTTTCTGGGCTGTGGGGATCAGCTGCTCTGGGAGGCCATCACAGCAATAGATAAGCTGCGCGATACATTGGAAGTCTCTTCCACGTGTAGTGTCCCACTCAAGGACGCTGCCTAGTCCCCTATTGTCTTCATTTACATGACGCAGCTCGAGGTCCGCGATCCAATCAGCCCATGGCGACGAAATTGCTTGAAGTTTCTCTGAAAATGTCCGTCAGCATAAATCGCCGCGTCATTAAGGAGGCACAGCACCTGCCGCAGTCAATGTCACACCGAGCTGCACACGCTGGAAAATTTCGCGCTCGATTTCTGGAGCTAGATTATGATATTCAACTGCAGAGAAACAAAGGTGAATAAGTTCAGAGCAACGGTGTAGTCGAAACACGAACCACACGTAATTCTGGTCTCCGCAAACCGTCGTTTCCACTCCTCTGGTATTTCTAAGCGCGTGTTTCTCTGCTGCTCGGAACGAACGAACCAATAGCTCTTCTTCGTGCGTACGTCTCGATCTTTGCGTTTGACAGTTCAACATGAAGACTGGGTGACGTCAAATATTAAACTCACGAGGTATCTGTTAACGCTCGCGTAGCGTAAGATACCAATAAAAGCCTTGGTGATCAGAATGAAGCACTCACCAGGCCGTCAAGAAACTTTTGTATCGACGTCAGCCTTTGTTTTCCGTCCACACAAATACGAACAGTCTCCCCATCTTCATCTTTGGTCACGGCGAATATGACCGGAGGAATGTAGAAATTTCGGAAAATGGAGTCGATGAGCCCAATCTGCTTGCTCTCGGGCCAAACGACGTCTGTGCACCATCCAATTGTTCACTATGGTTCAATATTTGTGGTCGTTGTTTAACTTGCCTCGCTGATACACCGGGTTGAGGTCAATGTAGCCCTCGTGTATGTACCCTGAAGTCAAAGTATGTAAGAGTACGCCATGAGTTGCGTGTTAGCCGACGCACTGTGCAGCTCTTGCGCGGAGTAGCTCATCGCGGACGGCGGCGTCAATGCATCCCTTATTTTGAACGCATTGGGGTCCTCGTTATCTGACTGATAATCATCTTCAAGCTCGTCGATGTCTTTTTCTTGTGCTGCGTTCAGCTCGACCATGGTTTCCGAAAAGGAGCGTGGCGAAGTTGGCGGACTTGTGCCGGTCAACTACATAAGCTTTCAGCGAACACATATGTATATGATTCAGTCAGCCGATCAACGGAACGAATTTCGCGAAATCATATCAAAGCAATTCGTTGATTCTCGAAGCAATGCGCGAGCATTAAAAATTGTGTGCAAATGTAGTATTTCGGTAATAATGTATATCTACTATGAAGCAATTATAAACCATAATGCATGCAGGAGTCCAATGGGTATGAGGTTGTATCATGAACGGTATCCATCATTTCCACTGCCAAAACTCGTCGTCGTCGTCATCGCGGAATGGATCCTGTGGATTCTGGGCTAGCGTTGCGTCCGAGGAAATCGAACGACTGTGTTCGTGAGTTTGTTCAAAGTCCGGCTCCTCCTCATCTCGCATCAGCCCCGACCCCTCTCCTGTGACACGGCTCGTATTTCCAGCTGCGTGCACGCCTCTTGGCGTATGTCCCTTACCAGCTTGGTCGTCCTCGTCCTCGCTATCATCCCCTAATTGCCATAGTACTGCCTGATCCTCCCGTTCTTCCTCGCCTTCTTCTGTTCTTCTCAATGCTTGTTCTTCGTCGTTTTCGTCGTCCTCGCTAATACGATTAACCTTGGAAGAGGACCGAGCAGCCCTGCGAGACGACAAGCCAGACAGCGCAGCGGCAGCAGATACACGAGTTGATCGTTCAGGTTTCTTATGCGTCAAGAGGACCACACCAGAGATGAGAATCATTATTGAGGCGAAGATCAGGAAGAGTATCCAAGGCTTGTAGGAGTCGACTTGGTTATTGAACACTAACGAATCCAGAAAACTGTGTTACAAGTAAATATAGGCGTAAGTGAAATTGACCGTAGGAGAGATGGACATACCCAGTTGCAGTATAGACGCCATAGAAGACCGGGACTACCAGAGTGGAGTCGTAGACCTTAAGTCCACGGTTGAGACAGATGATTTGAAGTACAGCCGTGATCACGAGTAGAATGATCGTGAATATAGGAGCTAGGTGACCGAACTGGTTTCCGGGGTTTTCGTGCGAAAGGCTTCCAGTGAGTAGCTTAACGCTAATTCCAAGTCAGACAACGCCGAACTTGAACAAATGAACAAAGTAAACTGACGTGGCCTTGGCGAAAACCAAACACCCTCCAGCAAGTCCACCTCCACAGCACGCCCAGCCAATTCCGAGCACCCATGCAACTTGCTTATCATCCTGAGGTGCAGTCCACGTCTCTAACTTCTCCTTGACCCATAGCATCCACGCATTCCAGTTATTCTTGACTTTTCCGAGGAAAGTAGTACTCGATGTGGGAGACCTCCTTGCGCTCATGCCTGCGAAGGGTTCTGAGTCCAGGTCTGACCGCGCAGCAAGGACAGCATCGAGCGAATTTGCGAAAATGAGGACGAGAATGAGCGCAAGCGACATGCAGAAGAAGAATCCAAGCCAACCACCACGCCGCCATAAAGCGGTGAGATGGTTGACGTCCGTTTCCGTGGACAAACCACTGTTGATAGCTCCAAAGGCAACGATACCGATGACGCCCAGTACTACGATCATCGTACCCTAAGTCTGATGAGCCATGCATGCAAAGGGGGCGAGAGGGAGCTCACGTAGATATCCGTTTGTGTAACTGGTGTACCAATTAAAAATCTAGCGAACAAGAAATTAAAGATGAGAGATGTAGATCCGAGGGGGGCAACATATTCTGAGCGAGAATTCGTCAGAAAGGGGTAATCTGAGAGAAAAAGTCAACATGCCTGCCCTCATATAATCCAAGGCGAGCGTGCTCCCGATGAGCTGGGACAATATATATAAAACCATGCCTAAGAGCCATAGCGGTCGCAGCCAGTCCTGCCTGCGGGCTGACTTTGGAATGATGCTCGTGCGCACCTGCAAATTATCAAGATAAAGTTGAGTCGTGGCACGAGACCACTCACATGATCCAATTTCGTGATATTCAAACCAGCAGCATTCAGAATGGAAGCAAGCAAAATAATTGCCAGTCCTATTATGAATGCTACTACGGGACTTGCATCATTTGCAGAAACGAGGTCGCTGGTGGATGACTCTGCTGCAGCCTGGACGATAGTACTTGTGGGAGTCGGGACTGAGGTCACCAGTGAAGCAGGTACTGACTGGGCCATTAGGCGCTGAAAATAAAGGTGAACACCGGTAACGCGGTCGTGGTACTTCGAATTCGATTAATTCGTGACCTTTGTATGTATAGGCTGACCGTAGCAAGTACGACAACCCGAAATGTGCCAAGAGCGAAACCTTCCGTGTGATTGTCCTAAAATAGGTTCCCTCCGTCACGCAGCTCTGATGTAATTTCTTGGTCATTGACCACCACAATCTAGACGTCGAGCTCGTCGTCGACCAACATGGAGGTCATCATATCTAAGCTCAAAGCCAAAGCAGAGACTGTTCCAGATAATGCTTTACTTCGAGACACCATCTCATTGCTGACAGATTTACACCGCAACCCAGCAATTGCTCAGCGTATCACTTGGGATGGTCTCATCCGGGATTTCGAACGGTTACAGGATGAAGGGCTATGGGAAATATCCGAAGATAATACAAAACTTTTGCATACGCTGCGCAGTTTTGTGAATACTAGACTAGACGGACCCGCTAGTGTTATCTCTGGACCTTCTCGTCCACCGGTTCAGGGATCTTTCTCGATTGTCTATCCAGATTCTGCAAATGCACCGTCTCCTCTCATCCCCACATCCGATCCAGTAGTGCTTCCCCTAGAGCTGGTAGAAATTCTTAACCGCACATACTTCCATCATTTGCTTGCTACAGATCCAAAGCGCGTTGTCCCTCCCGGCAAGTCTCTCGTTTCAATGTTGTCTCATTCATCCAAGGAGGGAGAAAATGTTGCAAAACCTACTTTACGTGACAAGGTTGAGGATCTTGTACATAAAGCTTTCTGGGACGAGGTGCGGACCTCACCTGCTTTGCATATTTTGATGTCTGAGGGCTCTCTAGGCCATAGAATCACTCTCGAATCCAGAGCCTTCTTATCAGCTACCGCGCATTAAATTGTTGTACCACGACCTCCTCATTGCACTAAAACCTCTTCTACCACCTCGGCATCCTGTCATCATCACACTTTCCTCACCATTATCTCCGACGTCTTCCCCGTTAGATTCAGCTATTATGCATCTGCGTGAAGTTGTAGTGTCTCTGCGCGCGCGTTGCGCGCCAGTCCAGGACCGAGAGCTCGATGACCTTCTTCATTCATTGGACGAACCTCCGCCCCGGTCGTCGCGTCCTACCTCACTAGCCACGCTAGTTGCAGAGGCGGTGAAATCCATACTCAAGATCTCGGAGATGATGAAAGATCAGCTCTCCCAGTTTGTGCTTGGAAGCATGACTGAACAACAGCTCCAGTCTGCAGTGTCTAAACAGGCGAAGGTCAAAGAACGCAACATCATTTTGGATCTTTGGAAGCATTACCGGATAGAGAGTAACTGGTTGATTTGGCTTTTAAGTTGTCAACCGTCTTTTCAGGTTAGCGGCATCGCCGCTGAGCTGCGCTTCAAGTGGATTGTGCGACTTGTACAGGCGCTAGGATCATCGACCCCTATATCCTGTAGATTGCCCACTAGAACCTTGTCTACCACAAATCCCGGGCCTCACGTGGCGGAGCCTCCTGATCCCTCGCCACCGTTCATCGACAACTCCCTTCCACCGATTTTTTTCTTCTCTGTTCGTGCGCTACTAGAAATCCAGAACTATCTACAAGCACTCGTGATCGCTGCTTCTCTACGCACCTTAATTCGTGCGCCTCAAGGTGCGCAAGCGAGCGACGCGATGAGCTTCATGGAACGGATATGGATCCTGCTGAAAGCGGAAATCATAGAGGAGCCGGGTTCAGGCGACACAAAGCTCGTGCATCTCGCAGATGAGGTTGTTCGGGCCCGTCAGTTGGATGGTACCATACTCTCCGCAGAAGAAGAGACGAGGCTTCGCGCAGCAGTTGCACGCACCCTCAACCCTGATGATGCCGTGTTTATGCTACTGCAGAAACGGGTACTGAAAGCGTTGGTTGACACACTTGCGCATCAACGGTCTGAACCCAGACAAGCTGGAACACCCCCCAAAATGCAGACGGGGCACCACGTCAAACGTGCCGAAAAGCGGCCTCAGCTAATGATAGTCTTAAATCCAGAGGATTTTGATGCGGATCACAATGCGAAGACGCCTCGATTGTCAATTGGCAGGGTTCAGGGTTTTGAAGACAAGCATTTGAAGGAAGTTTTAGAGGAAGTATTTGCGAAAGTAGATCATTGCATTAGGTGGGTGGAGGGTATTTGGCAGGATGTGCTTCAGGGAGGGGTCGTCGATCGTGAGCTCGCTGTCTAGCTTTGTGGAACATAGCGACAGATATGGAGCTGAGCACTTGAGAGGTTCACCCGCGAGCAGGATGGCGATCTGGCGGAAAAGTCTCAGACCTGTTGGAAGTTTCAGCCTTCAGCTTCAACAATCGGGTATCGGCGTACGTTGCAAAAAAGATTATGCTGTTGATGGTCGCAGCTGGAGCCTTTCAAAACCTTCGAATCAGTGTGGTAAGTAAACTCTTGCAAGATTTTTGTCAAGTCCGTCACGGTTGCCGTACGCGTACGGTTCTAGTAATGTCAAACAATTCTACAGATTCTAGTCGTTAGTTCTAAAATCCTCAACCACCAGCTGCAAGGACTGCGAAACGGATCACTGAGTATTTAGTCATACTCACTGCGGTGATGGGCCTGTTATCTACCCTCCTGAAGACATTGTTCAGCAAGGTACCAGTCTTACGTTTACGTTGCACTTGTACTGAAGTACTTAGTGGCGTGCCGAATAGTCCGCGGCACCGGCATTTGCCATGACTGTAATAAGTTGGGGCCATCACATTGATGCTTGATGCAGTGTTCTAATTCAGATTATGTACTCCAAGTCTCAGATTTGTACGAAATTGTAGCGTTACCATGACATACATCATAGTACACCGCAAAACACGTAATTTATAAACCAGACACCGACCGAAAAGGATAATTGGGGTGTGCGGCAGATACGAGCTTCGGTTAATCTGAGCAAATCCCGCACAAAATAAAAATATATGCGTCATGCACCACTTTATGGGTCCCGTTTCATGGTCGCAAAAAAATCGTGAGTAAGAGGTCGTGGCAACATCAAAATTAGTTAATCTAGAGATGATAGACGTGTCGACCCCTGGTTGTTAGTTATGTGTAATGGCACTTGTAATGCTGATATCTTGAGACATATGTCGGTTGGATGTGAGCTTTATGTATTCACGATGTTTCTGCAATGTATGTTGTATATGCTAGGAAGAAGAAAACCCTTATAAGCAAGAAATGATCACTATCAAATTACACCAGGATCGAGGCAAGGCAGCCATGAAGACACGATAAACAAGCGTGATGTTAAAACAACATTGAATTAGGAGTATTCACAACAACATATCCTATGTAACCACGGCCGAGTCTAGCATTACGACTTGAACATGATATGCAGTTTACGCTACGTCAATCAATACCAAAGGTTCGGGATGAAAGAGCATGGCGTGAGTACAAAAGTCGGACCATATCTGTGCCAGTAAGTCTTCCCTACTTTGATCGAGTCCACCCACAGCTCCACCCTCGAGCCAGTGCTCTATGAACTGGCCCTCAAGGGGAATCCTTGCGTCCCATTTCGGCCACCTGCCATTTGGAAAATCAGGGCAAGCACCAATAAAGGCCAACCAGAAGGCGTCACGGCCCCATGTCCAATATTGTGAATCCTCCGGTATAGTAACCAACCAGAGCTGGATCTGCTCCGACAGCTGGGACCAATGATATGAATCTGTGGGATTGAAATTGTGCGGCAACGGAAGAAATGGGATGGGTATATCAATGTTGTCGCAGGATAGCGCGTTTCCACTGTCGCTCAAAACATTAGAGACCTGAAATTATAATTATTGAAGTTGTTCAATAAATAAAAACAAGAGAAGGTCGTGCTCTCACGTCGTCAAAAGATAAGGAACACCCAGAGTGAGGGTATCCATCCACAGAAAGAGCTTCTAAGACTGGCATCGTGAACGATCTATACTCCTCAGCAATCGAAACAGATATCTGGATGGGCTAGAAAAATAAGAATCATCAGCAATTAGTTTGAAAGGGGCAGGAAAGCGAAATACAATGACACTGCGAATGAGGTGCCTTGGAAGTGCACCGGAAAAGCATACACCGATACACAAAGGCTGGAGGGACACATCTTGCATGTCCCGCGTGCGGATTGGAGGGTAAAAGGTTGAAGTTTGAACCGTGCAAGGTGTCATGGCACAGTTGGTCGCACTTAGAGATTGATAGGGATTTGAATTGATATTGGAGGACGAAGGTCAATGTGACATGGTTCGTTGAATTGTGCATCAGCACGTGATCAAAGATCAACACGTGATCAGTGGACTTGTCGATCGTGCAATGTGCGTCAATCAGACGCTCACCGACATCGACCAGCAACTGCCAGTATGGATAAATCACTTGTTGATGGGACAAGTAAGTGTTTCAAGATTTTATCAAATGAGCTTCACTTACATTTACAGCTGTGAAATATGTCAACACAGAACGGTCTCGTGTCATGTGCATGGTCTGCCCTCAGTATAAAGGCACATTCTGGACAATGGACCGGAGCCATCTCAAATCTCACTGCGAGGCTGCTAGACACCGCCGACATGCTGCGCTTCAACATTCTGGGAGAACGTGTATATCTAAACCGTTTCCTTCCATACGCACACATACAGCCCAGGATACTATCAATACCTTCGACATGGATGTCGTACACAGACCTTTTCAGGGTGAAACAGATGACGGCCGACATGACCCAGAGGACACCTACCATGACACTAACAGCGGGCAGCCGGTAGCAATGTCCGTTGAAGAAGAAGTCCCGCTGTCAACACTTTGGGATATGGAATGGGACCGTGGTATTTATGAGATCAGTGGCGGACAAGATCTTTTTGAAGAATTGAAGACTTCACTCATCGAGGGCAATAACCTCTTTGCAACGCCTCTTGCGGCTCTCAAGGACGAGATTGGCACTCTGGATGATGGCATTGATTTTGGAATTGAGCTGTCAGGTGAGTCGTTAGTATAACTAGGCTCCTTCGTGCTATTAACACAATCATAGACGAAATTCCTGCCGTGTATACCCCTACAGTTAAACCGGGGAGTCCATACTATCCTTGGCCGTCAAAGGCAGTAAGTTTCATCCTGTGATTCTTTCAGAATTTGAGGATGCTCACTATGCTTCAAAGCACTTCTTAACCTCACTGTTGTTCAGCTCTGCACGTCTACCCTTTTCGGACGCACAGAAGAGAGCTGCACTCAGCTGGGCCAAGGAACTCAGTGCACGCGACGTCCCATCTCTCTGGTCTGTCAAGCAATCAAACAACCGTATATCTGAACTTGTCGGAAATCCGACGTGCAAAGTTACATCGTCATCCGGCAATATCTTTTACATCAATGATATTGGACACGCGATAGCCAAGGTAAAACTACATAGGCCTCGACTATCCTGTGCTAATCATACCCTTAGGACTACGCCAATCCACTCACCCGCTTTTCCATGCTGGATTATCCGGAGGATGGAGGAGTTGGAATGTCGCAAGTTTGTCACGGGCAGAAAATGATGTTAGAAATGCTGTCACCTCCAGCGGCTCGTGTTGGTGGTAAAATCTACTTTATCAACGAACTTCTGCGGGAACGCTCAGGAGCCTATTTCGTCCCCGAGCGATTTTTCAATGCCTCATATGGATCATCAGATCAAAGGGACTCGCAAGATCTACGACAGGAGAAAGAATTGTATGCTATGGGTCGTGCGGTGCAATATACAGATGTATGTGACCTGATCTTGCAGCTGCGATGACATACTGACAAGGTAGCTAGGCCGGCTTTATCGTCAGCGATGAACAAGAGGTCGTGCCGGTATCGATTTTCAGGTGTTCTTTTGAAGATATCATGGATGAGCTCGCATGCGGCGTCACACGTAAGTCTATTTGAACCAAAGATGATTCTCTACTTAGCATGATCTCAGCGTCGTCTGAGAAATATTTGAAGCTCGTACCGCATCCACTCCGTGAGAAGGCGAAGGGTCGGATGGTTTACTCCGTCCCCCTCATCATATTTATGGACGACGTCTCCGGAAATGTCTCAAAACAATGGAATAAGCACCACACAATCTACATGTCAAATGCTAACCTACCTAGGGAGATGTTAGAAAAAGAGTTCTGTGTTCGATTTGTAACGTCGTCCCCGCATGCAGCGCCAATGGAATTGATGCACTCAATGCGCGAGTCGATCAGGTGTGTTCTCCGCTGTCTGTGACATCTCATTATCTTACGTATCGAGTAGCAAGGCAGCAGACTCGGGGATCGTTGCGTGGGACTGCAAATTCGATGAGGAAGTGATGCTTGTCCCTCAAGGTCTGTTTTTAGCGGGGGACAATCCAATGCAGGCCGAGGAGTGCAGCCACGCCGGTTTGAACTGTAATTATTTTTGTAGGACCTGCCATGTCGGCGGCACGAAAGAATACAAAGAGTCGGAGGCCGGTTATAATAGTATATTTACGGTACGTTGCATACAAAATAGCTATCAATTGATCTGACACACAACACAGGAAGGAAATCCTCGAACGCCTGAAGACACGATAGCTCAAGTCTGTCAGCAGTTCGACACGGCGCTATGCTCCGGAGCTGCTGGGAAGATTGCGGCTGCGACAGCATCAACTGGAATTCGGGATTCTACCTCGTCTTCCCTCATTAACGCGCTGGTAGAATTGGGCAAGAAGCTGCGAAAGCGCGAAGCGGGGCAGCCAGCGTCAGCGGAATCTGCAGTTCACGCTGCCCTGGAGAAACAGCTCGAGGACATGTTGCAAGGCAGGACACTCCAGGACGCGATAAACCCCCTTCTGGGAATGGACGGTGAGCATTTTCATATCGATTTTCGTGTGCCATTAAACTCATTCAGATTATATACTTTACATAGGACTAAACATTCACATGGATACTCCTATGGAGATCCTCCACACTGTTCTCCTCAGTGTTGTAAAGTATTTCTGGGGCCAGACCGTTTTCCTGCTCGAGAAAGCCAAACTACTCAATCTTTTTCAGACACGTCTCGACTCGTTGGAACGGGATGGCCTCAACGCACCATCCTTGAACGCTGAGTATATTTGCCACTATAAGGGTGGTTTGATCGGCAAACATTTCAAAAGTCTCGCTCAAATTATGCCATTTGTAGTCTATGATCTCGTTCCAAAGAGCGTTCTCGACGGATGGACCACGATCGGAGAGCTAGTCGTGCTCGTTTGGCACACGAAAATCAACGACACCGAACGCTATTTGGCAAGCCTCACTCGGACGATCAACGACTTTCTTAACATCACTGCGCAGTGTGCACCGAGCATCCTAATCAGCAAACCAAAGTTTCATTTTTTAGTACATCTCCCCACGTACATCCGACGTTTCGGACCCGCGATTGTTTTCTCAACTGAGCGCTATGAATCATTTAACCACGTCTTCCGCCTTACATGCATTTATAGTAACCGACAAGCTCCTAGTCGAGACACGTGCGCAACATTCACTTGCAACGACACCATCAAACATATCACTACAGGTGGCTATTGGTACGACGTCAATGCAGGGGGGTGGGTTCAGGGTGGCCCACTAGTTGTTGCATACCTTGAAGATCATCCAGAACAAGGCCAGCTGCTTGGGATTCCCCGCGAAAGTTTAGCTGATCCAGGTACAGTGAATCATGCAATTGCAGGTTCTGTTCGAAGACTGATCACACATAGGCACAGGTAAAATTTTGGCATCCAAGACGTCCGGGCGTGAATTCGGCCCATGGGAAGACACGCGCTGTGCAGAAATATTCAAGAGGGACAATTTGCAAAGACCGTCTCACTCTCAATACTACCAGGGGGGTTCAGTCGTGACTAGCGAGCATGAAAATGTGCAGTTAGGTGGGCACGTTATTTTTCAAGACACGGTGGAGAACAAGGTATGTTTGTACCTGCTACATTTCTCATAGCGAAATTACTAACTATTCAACAGACTCGTGTTGGACGCGTTCGCGAAATCTTGCTTTCAACATTGACACAGCGCTCAGTCACATTCGTCGCTCTTCAGATTTTTTCGTTTATGCCTGCACGCCACCATTTACTTCATCTTCCGTGCCTCCGCCTCGAGAATGAGGAGCATGTTGTGATGGGAACGGTGACATTCCCACTTCTTGTATTTATCTCACACCAACTAAACACATTGCAGGATATTATATGCGCAGTCAACTTGCAGCACAACTGCCTCGACGCGAAGTGCACAGAGTTGTCTACGAAGCATCTATGGCAGGAACGTATCCAAACCGACCGAACAACGAGCATTGTGGAACACCAACCCTCACCGGAATATCTCCTCAACACATTCTCTATCCACAACTATCAACATATACACTCCGTTCTCCCAGAATTCCTTCGTGAGACACCATTGCGTGTCGCAAATCCCAGTGCGGTCCGACAAACTGCTGTGCAGCAAATGCACGGGAAACGGCTGGTGAAAAGGTCCGGAGGAGACGTAGCGAATCTGCCCCACGACAAAGATCACAGTATGCGTCCTGCATTCGATCGTGCCAAAAAACAACCCAAGGCAAAGGCTACCACCCAGAAACGGTGTAAGTCGACGAGCGCAGGGAAGCAGCAGCAACACACCGAGAACAACCTGCAACACCCCCTTCCACACCCTCATTATCGCCCACCCCCCCCTACACAATTCTCCACATCTGTCCCTCCCCAAGCGGCTGGCCCTTCAAGTTCACCGCCCCTCCAGACCATGCTACACCAGTGGCATATCCCACCACCAGTGTTCACACCACCGACGCCAATGTTCGCACCGCCAGCGTCAATGTTTGCACCCCGCCAACGTTTGCATCACCCCCACAGATGCCTCCTTGGACGTCTCAGGTGCCTACCTTTGCTACATCCTCCAGCTACGGCCATCATACACCTATCATCCGCTCTGCTCTGCCTATTCAAGTACCTACTCGTAATCCACTGTATCCCCCAGCCTCAGAAACTGATTCCCATCAGTCAGGTTCCCATTATCGTCCTCGTTATCCTCCGTCGTAGTCTATAATAATATTGTTAATTAGCATTTGAAAATGGCGCACCGGGGGTGGGGGGGTGGTTAAAGCAAGCTCGTGTGTGGTACCCCAGCATCGCCATCACCAAACAGCCGGCGATGTGAATGCAAACATCTTGTGCTTTGATGGTGGTGGTACTGGCACGCTCGTGCTTCAGAATACCTGGCGGGGATGGTGTCAGGGAAATACGTGTGTGGTACCCCAGCATCGCCATCACCAAACAGCCGGCGATGCGAACGCGAACATCTTGTGTTTTGATGGCGGTGGTACTGGCACGCTCGTGCTTCTGAATACCTGGCGGGGATGGTGTCAGGGAAATACGGGCAGTACAATCCTCCATACCTGGGGGGATTGGTACTGGCACTGGTGGCCAGGTTTGTGTTTTGGGATACCTGGCGATGATGATGCCAGGTAAATACGGGCAGTACAGTCCTCCATACCTGGTGGGATTGGCACTGGCACTGGCAGCCAGGTTCGTGTTTTGGAATACCTGGCGATGACAATGTCAGGGGGATATGGGCAGTACAATCCTCCATACCTGAGGGGGGGGCTCATTGATGCACTCCTACTCATTTTGACCCCCTCTCTTCACCATCTCTCAGCCTCATGTGGCACAAACTATGTGCGTGGGAATTTTAGCTAACACCTGGAGCTCAACCGTTTGGTGTGTCCAGTTCTGAAAGTTGGACTCGGAGCAACGTTCAAAGGATCCCCAAGATGATGCTCAGTCGCTTTCCTCTTCGCATGACATCTGGGAGCTCCCAGAGAGCAAGTAGTATTGGTCCTGGACCACAAGGGCCCGGCTTGGCCCCACCCCAGTCTGATGTCAGACCTCGTTCTCGCTCAATGCTCGGGTCTGATGCAGGCTTGTCAACCCACTCTGGTCCTTCAAGTCGCAGGCTACCCAGCTCAAACTCTCAGCCACGGGTGACCCACAGGCACAGCAGTTCAAACCACGAACAGATTTCTGTTCCGGGAACTCCCCAGGTTTTCCCTCCGGGCCCACTGACACGCCCATCTTCTCCATCTGAATCGTCCGATCTTGACGAGTCTATCACTCTGGGTATTCGGCGCCGTAGGGACTCCAGCAACGACATAATTCAACTCACCCCCAGACGCACCAAGTGTTTGAAAACGCACGCACAGAAGCTTGCCAGTGATCGTGGAATACCATTGCAGAAGTTACTTGCATTTATTGAGGTACGTCACTCACTTTTGTTTTGCTATATTAATACGATTGGGTTCACACAGAATGGTGATTTATTTATCATGCTTCTTGAGCTGAGGGCCGGTCAGATTGAACGAGAAGAAGGGACTGAAGCAAACGCTATACAGGAACTAGAGAAACTCATTTCTTTGAAGGACTTCGAGGTGCGGTTGATTTGTTTATGTATTCATTCTTTAACTGGCTGTATGTAGAGCGCACTAAAGAGTCGTCTTACCGCCTGTATGCTGTCCCCTAACCTGACTGCATATGTGACCGACACCCAACAACATGTCATGGTAGGTTGTTTTTATTCAATCTTGCCCGATCTCACCAAAATGTTTGCATCACAGGAATTTATTCAAGGGCACACTGAACTTTTCAAGATCTCTGAGGGCCTCTTTGATGACAACGAGTTGCGTACACAATTGGGTAAATTGGTCACGCGGCTTTTGGCGACCATCCGTGGCCAGATCAAGACTGCAGTAAGTACATTTTAAATGTATGGGAGCGCTTATGGAGTTCATTATATCCTCAATAGTTAACCACATCGATCATCAAGAGATTGAGTATTATGGACGCCCTCAAGCCCCTTATACACAGTGGTATGGAAGTTGATTCTTCGCACTGGACTAGATTTGCATTTTTGGTGAGTTTCTTCAGATGTCTAATGTATTTTTACTTATCCGAGACAGCGGCGCTGTCTCCGCATTTTCTTAATCGGAGTTCATGATCATGAAAAGCTCTCCCTCCAGGATCTTTTCTCCCCCTACCTCATTGCCTCGCTTTACCCAGACCTCCAACAGCACATTGAGATAACACTCAAAGTTGATCTAGTTCAGCTGGCGCAGGAACTCCAGGATGGCACAGCCCACGCCTCTGGCAGTGGGAATCAAAATGGAACCCCTAGTGCCCACCAAGGTACCAACGACACCACCCACGAGGATGCGAGCCAAGCCAAAAGCGCAGTCGATTTAGGAGACAAATCTGTAAATCTGTTTGTGAATGCGGGTGTGGACACGGATGTGGATGGAATATCTGACAATTATGTTGATCCTGGTTGTTCGAGTTCTGGCTTCGGACTCGATGGCTCGGAGCCGAAGTGGAACAAGCAGAAGTTCTGGAATTATATTGATGCCATGCTGGAGCAGATTCGCGAGAGTGCACGAGATGTATCAGACGGTAGTTCTGCTGCGTACGAGGATGCATACCGAAAGTACGTGTATGCCCCACCGTTCATTCACCCAGCTGACTGTTGATAAACAGGGCAATGGTCGAGATTCTCCAGCTCGATCTGCAAGAATTCCCTGGTCGCCGAAAATTTATAACTCTCTCGAAAGCTGCGCAGCCTATGTGGCAGGAGACAATTCAGAAGAAGTTGTTGTGGTAAATTTCGCGCGCTTGTTCGCTCCTCTCTAGCTATAGTCGTTGTTGTGTAATCCCTCCTATCATTGAATAATATGATGTCGTGTCGTCTTTTATGCATTCTTATATACTGGCATGCTACTGGAAAACCACGAAGATACATATATATGTCATGCTTCCGCGGGATCAAACGCCTGGTCCTGACATATGGTAGATGTATTATGGACGTATATGATTATACGTGTCATAGATGTGTGTGTACAGATATAATCTATATATCTTCATGAATACACCCTGCTTACATCTTTAGGTGACTATCAAATTAACATCTGCTGCAGATATCACACCTCTGACGTCCATAGAGATAAATTTTGCACCTTGTGACAGAGATCACCTGAATAAATTATTTATATTCTACAGAAGTCACACGGACATTGAGCAAATGAACACTTATGAATATAAACAACATGGATCACGGTTATATAGTGCGGTCAGCGCCCGAAAACCATACGAATAATGTGCGTGAGATCTTAAATAGACGTTCGCTATTTTTGACATCAGAATTACAAAATCATCGACTTTCCGTGTAAGTCATCATTTCAAGAACCTAAGACCTGTTGATTTTACACTAAACCTGAACTTCATAGGTGGGTTTGGCCTTAGTTTCTGCCATGAGGCGCTACTGACATACGTCATGCAGTCCATTAATGGATATGTGGCACTGACTAACTTCAATTCAGTTACTTCGGTTTACACTTATCCATCATGTAACACGGTCATACCGCCCTTCAAATCGGACATAGTGCCGGGCGACTCGTTTAAGGTAAGTTAGTTCGAGCCGCAGTCGTCAATATTAAGACCCTTCTCAACTCCGCCACTGCAGCCCTCACTCCCCAGTATTAGTCCATCTTCCTATGTCGGACCGCGTCACGGGTGGGCTTGAAGCACTTCTTGCCGCCTTTGCCATCGGTTTTGCGCTCAAAATTTATTTTGCCAAACCGAAAGCGCCTCACGATGTTCGATATCCACCGGGTCCGACTCCGCTTCCAATCCTAGGCAATGCACTGGCAGTCGATGTGAATACCCCTTGGCTTACCTACAAGGCATGGGGCAGCAAATACGGCAAGTGGTCTCGCAGAATGTAGTCTACCCTTGGTAACTAATGTTTCTTAGGCGACATCGTATATAGCCGGCTATTTGGTCAAGATAACATCGTTATCAACTCTGAGAAAATTGCAAGAGACCTCCTCGAACATAGGTCACATAACTACTCTGACCGACCAGAGATCGCAACCAATGAACTGTAGGAATTATTGAATTATCAACCATTCTCGTCATAAGGCATGGATTTTAGATTTGGCGTCGACTTCAATACCGCATTCATGCGATACGGTGGCAGATGGCGGCTTCAGCGGAAATTTCTTCACCAGTCCTTCCGGGAAGATGTAGTAGACAATTTTCGGCCCATGCAAGTAACAAAAAGTCATGAACTCGTATTGAACCTCCTGGAGTATCCTTTGGACTACCCGAAACATTTTGATGCGTGAGTGGTTTTCTATGCGCATCTCCTGATCCTTCATATTGAACAGTTCTTTAGGCATTCAGGTTCGGTTATCATGTCTGCTGTGTACTCATACGATGCAGCACGCCGGAATGACCACATGGTTGGGCGTGCAGCCTTGGCTCTGGATATCATACTGAAAGAGATGAGACCAGAGGTAGCTGCCGTCTTCACTGCTTTTCCATTTCGTACGTCCCATCGTCCATATCTAGCAATCTCTTATTGTATAATTCACAGTTCTTTGCCTTCCCTCTTGGCTCCCTGGCATGCGCCTCAAGAGAGTTTCACCTTTAGCCAGGCAATTAGCCATAGAAAACTTGGAAAACCCATTTGCGCATACGGAGCGTGGTCTGGTACGTCTAACATAACAAGAAGCACTTTGTTCTCAAGCGCTTTTCAGGCTGCGGGATCCATCTCTTCTTGCATGGTCGCTGACCATTTACTGGAACTCGACGACAGTGACGGTGATTCAGCCTGGCAGAAGAAAGCGATAAAGGAATCTGCGTCGACCGCTTTTGGGGGTGAGCATATATCGTTCCAGTGTAATCTTGTTGGACTGAATGAGACCGTCTTGCGACCAGCTGGCACTGAGACAGTGAGCAAGAAGTAGTCGGTGGTGTGGTCCAACGCTGACCAGTACTAGACAGCGTCTGTTATGATGAACTTCATCCTTGTGATGATTCTTCACCCACACATACAAGAGAAAGCGCACGATCTTGTTAAGAGCGTGGTTGGCACGAAGCGACTGCCGACGTTCCAGGATCGTGCATCCTTACCCTACGTTGACGCCATTTTACGCGAGTGCCTGCGGTGGCACCCAGTGCTTCCTCTTTGTGCGTTGCTCACCTCAACATATCAGCACCAGATTATTGATCGATTATAGCAATCATGCATGCTGCTGTCGAAAGCGACGTTTGCGAAGGTTATTACATACCCAAAGGTATGCGAGTTCCTCCCCATCATGGAGTCTATATTCATTCGCGGCACAGGTGCTATAATCACTCCAAATGTTTGGTAAGAACAATAAATATACATTGTTGTTGCAACTTAATTCTCCTCAGGGCGATGTGCCACAACGAAGAGAAATACCCCAATGCGTCTGAATTCAATCCTGACCGTTTCCTGAACCCAGACGGTACTCTGACAGACGATACTGTAAGCGTCGTATGGGGATTTGGACGACGGATATGCCCTGGTCGTCATCTCGCCGAAGCTTCTTTATGGTCTGCCATGGTCTGCTTGCTTGCAGTTTTCAAATTTTCCAAGGCCAAAGATGAGACTGGCAGCGAGATCGAGATCGAGCCGCGGTGGCATGGGGGGATTACTGTGTACGTGTAAAATTTGGTGGGATTATTGTAGAGAGAAAACTTACTGACAGCTGTTGCTTTATCTCGTATAGGCGGCCTATGCCATTTCCTTGCAGTATCACTCCGCGAAATGCAGACATGGATATCACGGCCTTGCAGCATTTGATTAGTGTATCTGTTTAGATTGGTCTGTTCTGCTGCCCGAACCTTGTACAACATTATCTACGCTGTCTTGAGGATGTACATATCACAGCCTGACCCGATATAACACAAGTATAGTAAAAACGCTTGCCGTGCAAGTCACAGTGATACACAATTGCCACCGAGCCGCAAGGTGATGCATATTTTCGGGCCCGGCGACAGTCATACCTTTCTATTCATACATGTCTTGATCATTGTATCTTGCAAGGCTTCATTCATTTCCTCACTTCAAGAGAGGTTCCGGCTTCAGTCATGGCACCCAGGAATCGAGATGATAATATCATGGACGTGGATTCTGATTCAGACATCTCCTTACCCGGCGACCTCGAACACCGCGGGAAGGGAAAGGCAAAAGGCAAGGCCGCTGACAAGCGCAAGAAGGATAAAGGCAAGGCGAAAGCGAAGGAGGTCAGGAATGCACCGTTTTGTCATGCAGCTATATTCACATTTTTACAGCAAGCTTACACTTGGGAGGCATCCTACACGCGTTCATGGGACACTGTACAGGAAGATGAGGGTGGAAGTCTGCAAGGCGCGGTGGAGGATCTTATGGCGCGGGGGAGACGAAGGAGGTTCATCCGTTCTCCACTTATCCTGTGGTAGTGTTGCTGACCCAGTCGGCCAGGTTGCTCGCACCCGCTGCTGCTATCCGCCGTACGATCATCCGACATCTGGTGCTCCTGCTCGATCTTTCAGCAGCGATGATGGACCGCGATATGCGCCCGACTCGATTTGATCTCATGCTTCAGTTCGCAAGGGAATTTGTGGTAGAGTGGTTTGACCAGAATCCTCTGGGACAGATCGGCGTCGTTGGTATGCGTGCCGGAATAGGCGAAAGGATTGGGGAGATGTCTGGTAAGTTTCTGTGAAATAGGTCACAAAGTCAAATGTTTATTCCATCAGGTAACCCGCAGGATGTCCTCAAATGTCTCAGCGATAGAACTCGACTTGAGCCTACTGGAGAACCAAGCCTTCAAAATGCCATCGAGATGGCACGAAGCAGCATGAGGTACTTCATCTTCTTAGCACTTCCAACTTATTTTTGATCTATACAGTCACCTGCCCACTCACTCTTCACGGGAGATGCTCATTATCTTTGGTTCACTGACGACCTGCGACCCTGGAAATATTCACGACACCCTAGATGCCTGTGTAAAGAATAAAATACGCATATCTGTGGTCGCTCTGGCTGCAGAAATGAAGATTTGCAGGGATCTATGTGACAAGACTGGTGGTAAGTACACTATTTTATACAGAATATTTTGCTTCATCCATAGGGCAGGTCAATTTGGCGTGGCGATGAACGAGGGGCACTTCAAAGACATCTTGTTCGAGCTCGTTCCACCTCCTGCACAAAAAGCCGTCGCTCGCGCAGGAGGGCCAGGGGCAGCAAACCCAGCTGCCGACTTGATGATGATGGGATTTCCTACTCGACTTCCGGATTCCTCACCACCAAGTTTATGCGCCTGTCATTCGGACATGAAGAGCGAAGGCTTCCTCTGTCCAAGATGCATGGCGAAAGTGTGCGATGTCCCAACCGATTGCGACATCTGTGGACTCATGATCGTGAGCTCTCCTCACCTGGCACGAAGCTATCACCATTTGTTCCCAGTGAAACCATATGAAGCTGTGTAAGTGGCCTTTAATAGAATCATTTGTCTGATCGACGTCGCCAAATACAGAACGTCGATGGAGGGCATATCAGAGCCGGCGACTGCTTGCCATGCATGTGCCAGGGTATTTTCGACTTCGGCGTCAACTGCGGCAGCCTCCGAGGGTATCAGTCTCTGGGGTCGGTACCGCTGCGCTGATTGTGATAACAATTTTTGTGCAGAGTGCGATGTATTTGTTCACGACGTTGTCCATTGCTGCCCAGGGTGTGGCAAGTAGCATAAGTACGACAGTTTAGATTTTGTTTAGATTGTAGCAGATTGCAGCTCGTTATTGCGGCAGCAAATCGGAGCGGCGAATTCGGCTTGCCCCGACGTTATGTAAATGAAATGCATTTACAAGGTTCGCGACCTTCGAAAACCTAAGTTATTAGGTGAAGCTTTTAAATTTGATACGTGTTGTGTTCCTCCTCCTTGTCCTCGCTTTGCTCCGCTGTCATGCTTTTACTGCCACTAACGCTCTTTTTTTCTTCCTGGCATACATTCGTTTACGCTGGCAGCCAAGCCAAAGGTCAGAACTGCTCCGTCAGTAACAACCGTCTCGAAATCGGCACATATCAATTTCATAGCGACTGCGATACGCAAACATACTGCTCGTCCCAGGGAACTTGCGAACTGAAGGGCTGCAGGAAGGACCAGTATCCATTTGGGTATGCACCAGATGCCGAGCTCCCGCCAAAGTGTCCTTCTGGGCAGTTTTGTCCAGATGAGGGCGATGGATGCCAGCCATGGCTACCTGTTGGCAGTGCATGTCAATTGAATCGTGATGGTGCGTCTCGATGGAAAGTCCCGTGGTGGTGTTCGCTGACTCTGTGTTCATTGCACAGATCAATGCGAGCCACCTCCGAATTGGCAGGACTTGGACGATACTTCGAAGTACGGCCGTAACGTGAATGGTTCCGTGTGTCTGAATAACGTCTGCATGTGGGTCGGAACTTGTCATCGGATGATTGTGTGCTGACTGCAGACCTAGGTGGACAAATGTCACAGTTGGGCTGCCTTGTCAAGTCGAGAACACTGCTTACATAGCGTATGCCGGAACCAACGAGTTCGTCGATATTGTGTCAAGGTGATAACCATAAAGTATCTTTGGACCATAGTGGTGCTCATTCCCATTTTCAGAGGTAACTGTCAAGTCCACTTGTATTGCGACGCTCAGTCGCTAGTTTGCATCCAAGCAAAACAACTAGGAGAGACTTGTGACGCAGATAAAGAGTATGTCTTGAGTTCGACGTGTGCATCGTGATATTGACTGGACGTCCAGATGTTTGTCTTTCAACTGCGAGAGTAATGGTGTTTGTGGCACAGGTGCCGACTCGCCGAACCACTTTGGGATCTGGGCATATAGCATGGTTGGGTTGGGTATATTCGGAGGTACGCCGCAATGTTTTGAAGGGTTGAACTGCATCCAAGGGTTGGCTTCCTAGGCATGTTCGCCACTCTAATTACCTTGTTCTTGGTCCACCGCCGTCAACGTGACCAGGAACGTGAGAAGCGCCTGCAGTACTGGCGTGAACAAGTAAGTGCTCAGGAGTCGGTAGTTTTGGCATCGTCTCTAACGTGTTTCGTGCAGAATGCCTTCCGTCAGAGCATCATACAGATGAAGGAAATGGCTCGCACCTCAATCTTATCTCTTCCTGGGCACAACAGTAACCGGAGTACAGTATGCAGCCGCGCTGGTTCGGAAGAGCCAATGCTACAGCACTCGGTCCACAAGGCGAGCGGGCTGAGACAGCAGTACATGTCAGATGATAACGGGAGCATGTACGACGACATGATGATGCAGTCTGAACGGCAGTAGGTGTGGGCATTGTGGGCAGGCGCTGGACATTTTGATTCTCTTATATGTGGACTATTTTTTACCATGGACTGACAGATCTCTTCCCATCTTATATTCATCACATCTCATTATACTTAGAACGAACGTTAATCATTGGCCACGCCGACTAGCTATGACAGATACAAATAAGCGGTTGTTGGGCTGTGTATTACAGTATCAGGTGTGAATCTATGTGACGTGTGAGCTTCATTGCACCAACCACAGCTTTGTTTCTACTTGTCTGAGTGCTCTAGAGTGCTCTTAACGAATGCTGGGAGCTTAATTATTGTGACGAGACTGTTTACGGTTTTTGAGACTGTATCTAAGAAATTAGCAGCTGTTATCGTCATTTCTGGGCATTGCAGCCAAGAGCATTTTCTCACTCTAAGTCTTACAGCCCACGACAGGCGCGGATGCCATGGTGTCCTCTTCTTCAATTGCCCTTGACAACATGTCATCCCAGTCGCCCCCGACCCTTGAAGGGGACCTCAGTCATGCACACCTATGGTCCAAGGACGGCGAGCTAGACTCGCAGGACATTTCACCACCACGTTCAAGTACGAGCACAGAGAAGGGAAAGGCAAAGCAGCTGGACGAAGAAGCATATGATGACGAAGAAGATACCATAGAGAACCCTGGCTCAGAGGCATATCCCCCTACAACCGACGACGCAGCCGAGACGCGACGAGTCGAAGAGGTGCGCCATTTTCCCCTCGGTTCATGACTTTCATTCGTGTGCGGATTATTGAAACCCTTCCTTACATTCTGGTAGAACCTGCGTCGATGGGAGATGGCTGAGCGCGAACGACGGAGAGCCGCGCGCGAGTCTGCGCAGGCCAATGGAGGCGGCGGCGGTCCGTCTTTACTCGGAGAAGTAACACGCAGGGCAAGCGTACTCCTGTCGAAGCGACAGACAGGCAGATCATCTTCAGGAGGGCTGGGTAACCACCGAGCTCTCAAATCTAGAGACTCCGTCGACGTAGTACCGCTCGACGACATCGACCAGAGTCCGCGCACATCTGCGAATCCCTTCATACATCCATCTGAAGTGGAACCGGGGTTTGATTCCCCGTCATTGTCCCCCTTCGTCGATTCGAAGAAGCAGTCGAGCGTAATGTCCGAGTCTTGTGACCTGGACTCCCCGCGTTCACCTGATAATTTCGATTCGAATACGCACTCATTGCAGTCAGCCACAATCCCTCCAACGTCGAAGCTTGTTCCTCCCCCACAGCCGCTGGGGTTACCGCCGCCTCTAACACCACCACCTAAAGGGACCAGACCACGCATGGCTCCTATGAAATCCACACCTCCACCAACGTTGCGTCAGGAACCTATGGAACCCGAGCAGGAGGTGAGATGGTGGCACGACTGGTTATGTGGATGCAGCGAAGGACCAGACCGGGGAGGGGATAACCAAGTAGGAACGTCTCTAACTCAAGCTGTTGGTTGTACTGACGGGTTTGCTTCAGGCTGGACGCACGAATCCTTTTGAATGATCCACTTCAGTTGACATGACCCTCCCCTACGACGTACACCTTGACATACACGGTACTATACCAGTAGTTTCGCATCCAGGGACTAATCTGCGCCATTGCATAGGTACTAACTATAGTTTAGAGGTTTCATAGTGTTTGGACGGTTCGCGGCATACACACCACGTTGCATACCCGCTTTTGTTTATCTTGTTACCTTCATCCACACTTGTTGCACGGATAATTGTAGCAAAAGGGAACATCTTTGGGAACATGAACATGTCTTTATTTCCGTCACTAGGGGAAGGGACAGGGGGGAAAGTAGTAGGGAAGGTAAAGGGGGAGCAAGAGGTTCTTTGTGGGTGGTGTATCGTATGTAACATGACAAGTCGTGATAGACATACAAGTCAGTACAGTTTTTACATGCCAGTCCAGCACGGAGGCTCGTTAATTGTTATTGAACGGATGGGAAGTGAACAGTCTTAAACTGGTTATCATTTGGAGGGCTACTATCCAAATTCGCTTGTTCAGCGTGATTATTGACAGCCTCAACCTGAAGTCAGCTTGATCTTCTGATAAATCATAGGAAATAAAACACTGACCTCCACCAGTTCTGGAGAAGAGTCATCCTTACCACGAGAATGACGTTTGGTCACGGCGGAATCATGTATCCACTAGAACATCCTCGATAATCGGGACTGTTATGGCAACAACTGGGGAACAAGTCTCTGGCGTATTCGTAGAAGATCCATCGGGGTCTCCAGGAATCTTGTTGGAGCCTCGCTCTACATCTCCATCCACAGTTGACCCGTCGGGAGCACGGCGAGCCCAAAGAACCCAGTCCGGAACCGTGACACGATTACGGTTGGTCCACGTCGTGGTCAACGAAGTGGTGCGAGAGTGTACGCCACGACCCATGTTGAAGAACGGGATAGACAAGCCATCTGTATACATTCGAAATCAGCGACGAGTACGTGAATACCACCGGCCACAATACTTACGAACGATGATGGAACCGAGGACGACGAAGGACACGATAGGCTGAATAGTTGCGGCGAGGTATTGTGCTTGATCAGCAGGCGGGTGTTCCGGAGTGGGCAAACGCGTAAGCGCCAGAGCAGACACGAACACTGCGCTGACTCCCATCTAGGACGCATTAGTAAATGACGAGAAACGATGCCCAACAGACTTACTGGACCTGTACACAGAATTCAGACACTTTATGTGAAATGATAGCATAACTAAGAGAGCTGCTTACCGAAGTGGCCAGAGAACAAAGCTTCCTTCCAGGAAGCAATCTCGGGAACAAATTTGTAGAGCACCAATAAGGGTGGAATTCGCCTCAAGACCAAAATAGCGATGACAAGAACAACAAGCCTCCAAGGAGTGATGCCATACTCGGGAGAGTTATAGGCGTCGAAAGGTAGCCAAGCACCGATGTAGATGAAACAGCCACAATTCAAGACATAATCTATCACAGAGGAGAATACGTCATCTTCAGTCTGTATATTGAAGTGGCCGTCCCAAGAAATTGCAGAACCTAAGCAAATGTCAGATCCCAAGTAATCACGCATTCAGACTGGACTGACCAGCTGCAAATGCTGCAAGAAGATCATCTGCACCGATGGTGCTCGCGATTCCGATAGTGAAGATGGACAGAGCCAGGTATTGTGCGATGTAAGATTCACGGTCTATAAAGCCCTTATTGTGGGATATCCTCATGAGCTTGGAAAACAGCAGGCCTGGATCACAGACGTAATGCAATCAGATCGAAGCATTTAGACGATTAATTAACTTCGCTAACCTAGAACGGCCCCCAAAACGGTGCCAAGGATGACCTCGTCTGTTGTGGGAAATGATGAGTACTTTGCGGAGCGTCCAAGAACCGAGGGCACGAACATAGCCATCCCACCAAAAACCACTTGCCGATAGCAGTTCGAACGGATGTCTCTACGGTGAGGTATATGGATATTGCAAGGAATGGGTATGCAAGACCGTCGTTCGCTGCGGACTCTGCGGATAATATTCTACGGATATTCACAGGCACGTGTTTAGTGGCAAATTTGCCGCCTATAGAACATATTTAGACTGCATCAGATGTTGTGGTTGGTATGACTAACGAGTGATGGCGGCACATGTGACTGGGTCCGTGGGGGTCAAGCAAGCAGCGATGCACAAAGACGAAATGTAATTGAGCTGCGGGAATAATGCTTGTATGACGGCTGTCATGATGGTCAGCAAGTGGAAATTGTCACCGCGAAGATATACATACCGGCGACAACAGCCCAGCCAAAAGCCATGGTAGGGACGACCATTATGAGCAAGCTCTTGGCATGCTCTTTCATATATGCGCATGGTAATTCGACTCCCACTGCGAACAAGCCAGTGGCGAGGACGATGCGCATGACCTCTAAAGTTATGGTATTTTCCAAGGGACCCCATTCGCGGGGTGTGAATACATTGGCAACATAAGGGCCTATGATGACCCCGAAGCCGGTTCCGAGGACGACTTCATTGATATAAAGCTATGGAAGGACGGATTATTAATCCAGGATGTATGTGTGGTGTAGGACTGAATTCATCAAACCTTTTCTTTGACTAAGAGGGATATCATCGAGAACTGTGGTCAATAGTCAGCATAACATGCAGATACCACGAGTAACAGCAGTGCGGAACAAATTGGACAGTAGCGATAACAAGCTGCAAAACAGCAGATAACGCCGCAAACTGTAAAACAGCAGACGCGGTACCGGGGGCAGCGGCGAGTACATGCATTCAAAGAGAGATAGAACGAACCAACACTACAAAACCACCAAGACAGATATACGCCAATCCTGGCGCGGACACCTGAAAAACGAGTTTGTGATGATAGAGAGGAGTCAACGATAGTACGAACTTGCAGTAAATCCAGATCCATGATGACAGAATGAAATGCTTGATAGGACCTTTGGAAGAACCTTTGGAGGTGGTGAACGCAAGCTTGAGAGAGGAAATTATTTCGAGCGTCAAATGCCTCACCATGAATAATTTATCGGCAAGACCAAGCTCACCACGGACAATGCCGTGAAAGACCCTGACATGATGATCAACGCTGTGCAAGCCTTCGAGACCCTTGCTCTCGATGATGAGGCTCGTTCGTGTATGAAAGGCGCAAATACACCAGAGAGAGATGACAACCGAATCGCTGATAGATATTATGTACTATTAGTACTGCAGAAGGTTACCAGAAACGGTTCACGCAGGCGATACGCTGTAACGCTGGCGCCAATCAGTAGCGTAATGTTCTTTGACAATCTATATAGCAAGCGAATGGTCAGGCTACAACTGACCTGAGAAATCGAACTCTAGACCTACTGTAGGCGCCTAGTAGAGAAGGAACGGTTCTTCTTCGATCTCCTTACGGCTCTAGAGCTCTAACCTCCACCCATATGGCCATGTGAATGGTAAATACTAATCCGAGCACCGCATCCGAGTTCGGTACTGGCAGATTCTCCGGACCAATCACGGGTTAGCTAGGGACTTATATGCTCTTATCATGCGGGGGTTGCGCCAATAATACCGTAAAGTGGTCTATAAAGGTGGTCTACTGTCGTCGTGCTATCTCCTCTTACTACCTCCCTACTTCTTACAGCGATGGGTTCTTCTGCATCCAAGATTCCCGCTCAAGCTACGGCCGGTACTCTACAGGCCATTGATGAGAAGGGGTTTGTCCGCCCACATAACTCCACGTCATCGGCGGCCGATTCGAAGCCCTTGGCGAGCGACGGTTCAATTTCACTGTCTAATGTTGATGTCTGGGAGTCTACTGCTGCTGCGGACCCAAAGATCCAACTTGCCCGCACAATTCTTGCCCATACCAACATAAAGTCAACCCTTACCAGTCGCCCGGCGGCGGTTGCAATACCCCACGTCTTTAACCACGAGGTGGAGTTCAAATCCGGACCCGTCACAAACCAGAAATCCAGTGGTCGATGCTGGCTCTTCGCGACTACAAATGTCATCCGGTATGAGGTCATGAAGAAGCTCAATCTCAAGGAATTCCAGCTTTCCCAGGTAACCGTTTATGATCTTTGGTTCTCGCGAGCTTTTCACTCACGTAAGGCTATAGTCTTACCTGTTCTTCTGGGATAAGTTGAACAAGTCCAACTATTATCTCGAGCTCTCTATTGAGAATGCAGACAAACCTGTTGACGATCGTCTGGTAAACTTCCTCGCCAATGACCTTATCAGCGACGGTGGTCAATGGGACATGGTTGTTAACTTGCTCGAGGTACGCGTCCATTGCAGACAACAGTATATTACGTGTTTAACGTCTCCTAGACATACGGTCTCGTTCCTCAGCCCATTTACCCCGAGTCATACCATTCAAGTGCTTCAGGTCCCATCAACACGCTCCTGAAGATGAAGCTCCGAGAGCATGCTCTCACTCTTCGCACGCTCTCTTCATCACTACGGGCTGATCCCAACGTCTCGGCGGAATCTGCTATCTCAGCCCTTCGCGCGAAGAAGGAAGAGCTTATGCAGGAGGTTTATACAGTCATGAGCGCAACCCTTGGCGTTCCTCCTAAGCCTGACGCGACCTTCACTTGGGAGTACTACACCGAGGATGGCAAGTATGCGAAGTGGGAGGGTACTCCTCAACAGTTTTACAAAGCATTCACAACCAAGTTCTCGGTCAGTGCATGAGCCAACCCCGACGAATATGCATATTTACAGCTCTCCAGCCCGCAGAGTCTTTCTCTCTCATTAACGACCCTCGGAATGAGTACGGTAAGCTGTACACTGTAGATAAGCTCGGCAACATTTGGGGAGGACGACCTGTTCTGTGTAAGCCGCGTTAATCAAGTCTACATTGCATGGCCTTAACCGCTAGCAGATGTGAACACTGAGATCGATGACCTCAAGCAGGCCATAGTTCGGGTAAGCAATCCTTCGGTTGCTTGGTTTAGTTCTGAACCCGTTCACAGTCTATCAAAGCCGGCCAGCCAGTCTTCTTCGGTTGCGATGTCGGACAGTTCTCCGACTCCGGCAAGGGTGTCGGTATTATGGACGTTGACTATTTCGAATACGAAGTAAGCTTTTTCTGGCACAAAGAATAACGGCTTTTGAAATCATCTCTTTCCCCTCGCAGCAAGCATTCAACATCACGCTGGGACTTACCAAGGCCCAGCGATTGCAGACCAACGAGTCCGCCATGACTCATGCGATGGTCATCTCTGGCGTGCACGTAGATGAGAAGACTGGTCGCCCCGTCCGGTTCAAGGTGGAGAACTCTTGGGGCGATGAAAGCGGCGTCAAAGGCTTCAACGTGATGAGCGACAAGTGGTTCGACCAATTTGTGTTCCAAGTCGTCGTGCACAAGTCGTTGGCGACAAAGGAGCAAGTGAAAATCTTTGAGTCGGGGGACAGAGTAGTGTTGCCTGCTTGGGATCCCATGGTAGGACAGGATTTTTCTGCAGACACAAGATGCTGATCGTTTTATCCAGGGTGCTTTGGCATGAGTGCGAGATATACCTGTTGCATTTTTTTTTATGTCATGTACTGTTTGTTTTTACGTTTGCAGACTGATGAGTATCAGCCCAGCTCGGTGCTAGGCCGGCAAGCAATGAATGTCTGTTATACCACTTCCCCGAGCGAAGAACCAATCTATGATATGTGTGTTACATTCGGGTTGCCCGATTTCTGATTAGCGTGTCGATTCGCACGCCCAGCTTTGTCTATCGCAAAGACACTGAGAGGTTAGTTGGGCTGGGACCGCTCGGTTCGGACGCTGGTGAGATTACCGCTGGGTAGGCGGGACACTCGACAGGCGGACTGTTGAATGACTATGGAATACATCGGAGAAGCTGATTATGACAAGGGTATGCATGTACGGGTACGGGCATATGAGTAAACATGTGAGTAAACGACGTGAACACAAGATAAAGTACTGGGAGTAGCAGGCGGGCGAAAATATATAGGTTCGAGCGGTGATGGATGATGAAATGAAAGACGAGCTTGAGGCTACACAGATAGGTACTTCAGATGTAACTTCAGCTGTTCATCACTCGTCCCAATGGCAGAGTGCATTGTTTCGCTAAGGTGGGCGTTGTAAGGGCCACGATGGAACACGGATAGATACCGGTCGCAGACAACTACATGTCAATGATCGCTATATCAATCCCCTGCTCGTAGTCAAAGAGATGATCGCTTGACATGCGAAATACACCCACTTCATGATTTGTATTTATGGATGGGGAATACAATAACCTCTCTTCATCCAATGTGATACGAACAAATCGGGGACAAATGCGGAGGTTGACCACTTCCACGTAATGGAGGTAGGTTACCACATGCTCCCTGAAGCCTGCTGGTACCGTAGGTTCCCGAACTACCTTACCGATGCCGCGTGCCACGGCGGAGGGATTGAAGTCGTTCATATGCACCCAAAACTCATCAAGATCTTGGAGGGGAACTGATCGAACGACACGAGTTCGTCCTACTCCAAATTGAAAGTCCAGGCGTGACGAGTCGAAGCAGCGAGAATTTTGTGGACCCCATAACAACCATGGAACAACTCGTTCAACGTCTGAGGTCGCATCAAACCACGTCGCAGGGATATCCATGAAGAACAGACGAGCAGATATGACGCTGGTGCCTTGAGGTGCGCACGACTCCGCGCACTATGGAAAACCGATGGAAAGTAGAAGCGCTGGATCCTCCAGAAACGACCATATTGGTCCAATAATGGGCATCATAAATCTTGCCTGAAGCTGCGGTGCCTTTGACAGATCCTCGACGTTGTATAGCCCTTGACCGCGTGGTGTGAGAGTCAAGAGCTTCTCCTCGGTAAGAAAACGGACATCAACCAAGTCATAGCTTTCGTCGGACACGCAGGTGTCCTTTTTAAATGGTCAAATAAGACCTTTAAATGATAGACAGAAGAGACACCTACTAAAACAGCTGGACCGCTTTGATGCCAATTGCACACATGCAACGACCAGTATGGGTAACGTGGCCAACGGGGTGTGTCAACCACAATAGCATAGAAAGCTAGGGCATCTCCGAGGACAGTAATCATTCGATTGCAAGGCCCCCCCGGAGTTGGTTCTCCCAAAGACTAGACGGGATCCATGTGAAAAAGGATGTTCCTCGCCTGTGGAGGTCGCGTAAAAGTTTGTTTGCTACACGAAGTCGGATGCGTGGGAGTCGCTCAGCATGTTGACGGCGATCATAAGGTCCTGCGTTTCAGCAGACAGATTGCCAGGAACTGGATTCGGATCCGAATCCTTGCTCCATGCGCGGGGAGGGGCACTCACCGTTTCAGGTGTGCAGGTGTCTGAATCAACAACTTTGTATTTAAGATCGTAGTAATCCGTCAGAATCGGGGGGGTAGCAACGCAGAGTTGTCGGTGGATGATGAACCGGGGTGCTAACGAGGATGGGACACGAATTTTCTTTGTTACGTTGAGCTCAAAGGAATTCCACGCGTTCGCCTTGCCACCTTTGAGAGTGCGCAAGCAATCCGCCAAGGAGGCAGTATGTGGTCGCGGATGAACCGGAATCAATCTTTGGGCACCAAGTTCGATGGCGTATTGTAGCTCAACAGAGTTTTTGACCGTGTTGTAGATCGTTTGGCAAATCTTAAGCAGATTACATTATGTAAATAAAAGCCCCTAAGATAACTGGGAATGAATGGAACTCACCAGCGTGCAGTATATAATTTCATTATACGAAAGAAAAGTAAAGATATTGCATGGAATAGCCTTTCCGGAATGATGAGAGCGCATTGGTTCATGCCGAATATGAGGGAATGAGTTGGTAAAGGTATGGAGATTCGTAACTACCCCTAGGTAGGCCAGTCCAGCTTGAAATGTTGAATTGGTATTACGGGTTTACGTTTGTCTTCGAATGCGACGAGTCTTTGATTGATGTTTTCCGGTCCTCGATTTACATGACCACAACCTTTGAAGTTGGGCGTTGAATATCACATCCACATCTTGTATACAATTGTCCCCCAGGTCAAGTTGCTGAGGATGGCACATCAATAAAACCTCGGGCGCCTTGCAATTATATACGTATCTACGTCACTTTCCTAGCCTTGGCTCCAGCGTCAAGACGCTAGAATGAACGCAAGGACAGTGAGTGATGTTTCCCTAGTTTTCTCAAAGGCGGCACACAGTGACTAAGATAGTTCGCCGTGCAAAGGAGAATAGGAAGTGGCAGTGCACAGCGACAGACAAAGTTCTAACAGAAGGAGTCCCCGGCGGGCCTCCTTCAAGCTAAAGCTATAAAGTGGCATGCAAGTCACATATTAGCTCATGTATTAGGACAACATAACAATACAGTACCTCTCTCAAACCTCTCTTGTAGTTATATTCGAAAAAGTCAGTTGCTCTTTTCATACGCTTCTCATCGTCCCCATTTGCACGGATGTAATCATTGCCAAGTTCCTCTCACTTGGCCATAGCTGTGTGGCATACCAGAGCAAAAAAGGATACGAGTACCACAGTGCTGAAGCCTGAAGACGAATGAGAACTGGATATACCTTCTAAAGTTCGCAAAGTTTTCGAAGCCTCAAAAACTCAACCAAACACAAACACAGATCCCTTGCTGACACGTGCAACGTAACAGAATCTTGGACTGTAGAAAACTGTCTGCGTCGCAACGATTATGATACAGATCTGCTTTGGCTTTGTACCACTCACCGACTTCGTTTAGTTAAATAAACAGGTGATTTCACACCCATGATGTTGCTTATTTCGTACAACGGTTAGTTACCAACGAGAACACGTTCTTCAGCGAAGGTCAGCCTAGGTCGGCGTTTTAGTGGAGAGATCAATTGATAGAACTGCAATAGGGAATAGAGCACCTCGGTGCATTCCGATGACTCCATCAAGCTCGGCCTGGACCTTAGCTTGCTCCTCGAAGAATGATGCGGCTGCCTTCAGCATCATTCGCATCGTGCACATTGTCGCCATGGCATAGTCTAAGACCTGATTTCATAACATAACTTCGGTTAGTACCGACTTGGATGGGCACCTGCACCGCTCGAGATTCATTGGGCAAGCATATCAAATTTCTCAGTTCTCCTCCATTGATGTTCGCGTCACGTCTCATGGGACCTCACGACCTGTCGACATGCAAGCGCCAGCGTAGTTGTTTCGCGTTCTCGGAGTACACGGGTGGGCTCGTTTCAAAGGTAGAGCTCGAGAAGTCGCCCCTCCACCTTGTTTCGCGCGTAGATCGCACCCATGAAAGTTGATACCATGCTGCGATGGTACTGCGACAGTGCGACGCGTCGATTGTCATGCAGGCGTCATCTAGAGTCGAACAACTCTCGCGCGAATACAGGAGAGTTCGAAAGTTGATAATCTCGCCCAAATCCAAGGACGTGTTTCTGGAGAGATGAATACCATGGCAGCCGCCCGCCATTCCCTGCTTGGTGTGTTCGTGCAGAGAACGCGTCTCTGTGCATGACACGCCTTGTTTTAGGTTGTTGCACATCTCGTCTTTGCCAGCCACGTGAAGGTTGCTTATTTTTGCGCGGGCCTGGACGAGAAGCCACATGGGTATGTCGGACCGTGGAGACTGAAGTTCGGTCGGCACGTCGTCATATGTTGACAGAAAAGACCTCACCCTACATCAATCCATGCATATAGCGCCTGAGGCTGTGCCTCTGATAACCGTGTTTGCGTGTCCGTCGGCCAGATGTTCCAGGAGCATCGGATGAACACGGGACGTTGCGCCGGAGTTTTCTCCGTTTCCTAAAACGTCTGGTTTCGAGACTAGTCCGTGAGGAAAGAATAATTCTTGTCAAGCGCCATGTCAACTCACTTTGATTGCCCGGCAGTATAAATGAGCTGTACACAAGTGTTTGGGAGTTCTGAGACAGGCGCTGGTCGCGGAGCTCTCGTGGAAGAAGTCTTGTATCCCGAGAAATTTATTTTGAAGGCTGGAAGTGCCATGTACAAAAATCGGTTTGAAGGTGCCAGTACCTCCCCCATGACGCAGTTGCCTATGTGCATCGAATCTGGATCGATCAGCGTAAGACTGTAAGTATTCAACCGGGAAGGTACTTGCCTACGCATGACCGGACGGCGGCAAATCGAACCATCATACAAAGATCCGAGCACACCACGACCGGGGCGAAGGGGATGATGTTGTCCGCTGCCTTGGCTGGGTGCCAAAAATGACCTGATACACATCCGTCTTGTCCATGGGGTTATCGGACACTGATTCTGGTCTATCTTGATCACCACACTGTCATATAGACCAACTTGTACTGCGTCGAGCTCTGCAGACAATCGTTCATTTGCTGTGGGTTCAGGGTACTGGGTGGGGTCCTATAGTATAACGATCATGTGTCACTTGCAGCTGATCTATTGCATGGAGTTCGCAGAACCCATGTTGCTCTGTATTTGTATTGTCGTCGACTAAGCAAACATGTGAATTGTTGGTTGCCATATCATATTGCGGAGGCTCATCCGAGAGTCCGTGTTTGAGACTGACGCACATGCGACGGATCTTTGTGAATTGGCGGACAAAACAGGTTTTGCCCAGGGAGTGAGAAGCATACCATCGTCATAGATGATCGATAGATCTGCACAGTCCGCGTGGTTCGTAGTTTCCGAGAACAGCCTACAGTTGTTCTCCGTATGTCATACAGTTTGGACTCACGTCTCCGTGCACTGCGTACATTCAGTCCCGATGATCCAGTCCCGGCGCTTCTTGATAATTTGCCCCTGGACCACCGCGGGGCGCATATCTTGCGTATCTTCCAATCGCTGCTACGAACGTAGAGAATCCCAAATACGACATAGAGACAGAGCCAGTACAGTATCCTGCTCAGAGGGCGTAAGATGAGGGCACACACGAGAGCCCTCTGTCAGCTGCACAGAACCTGCCGCAATGACACCTCTGGCAGCCCTCATCGATCATCGATTATTGGCACTTGACCTCTTTTGGGTCAAGGGGTGAGTGTACCACGCGGACATTCAAAAATTCAAATGCCAAAATCATCCATGGCACATCGTTCCTTTTGCATTCTATTGCGCTCTGCCTATTCAGTGTACATCAGGAGTAGCAGGGGAGACAACACAAATCAGAAGCTGGTGATATGGTACTCACGCACGCAGACGGGATTTTTTTTCTCTACGTCAAATCAGAACACCGAAGGAAGGGTCTTGCACAGGCGGTGATCAATGCTCTTGCAAAGGCGCTGGACTTAGGCAAGGAAGACTTGCTACTTCTGTCAAAGACGATCCAGCATGTATTGGAATGACAAAAGATCGGGTTTTTCTGCTCAGTTTGAGGGTCGAAGATGGATCTGTCACCGGACATAAATGATGGTTGCAAAAGAAGAGAACAGCGCCCCGTGGCCCGGTAGAATCAAGTCTTGGTATTGATCCCTGCAGCTTACATGTGCCATCCTGCATAGAGCAGTCAAAAAAGGTTAACGCCACATTTTCGGCATGGTAATAGGCGGTTTGAAGATGAGCCGACTGTACCTCGCCAGATGCTTGGTGCGGCGTTGCCTGTTAAGCAATTCAATTGAGTTCATCCCAGAGAGTAAGAGTGTCGATGCTCGGCAGCTGAGTTTCCAGACCAGGCACAAAACCTCACCAAAAGCATTACTGATCCCATATCGATGAGGGATAGATGCTCAAAATAGCGAGATAACCGAATGAAACGTCAGGGGTTACAGTTGACTTTGCATGAAAGGGGCAAGTTTTAATATGAGCTGACCTTTGACGGCATTGAATAGGAGAATGCACCCGCAACCTTTCGATGCTTCGCTGAATTGATGATGCAGATTGTCCACACAAGTCAGGGTAACCAGACCCTCAATCAAGTATTATTTCGGTACGTAAAGGCTGCGGGGTGTCCGTGCATGAAAGTAACGTGAGACAAAATGATCCGTGGAGGCCGTCGAATCTTGAGCAGGTGGAGCACCTAAAGATGACCGACGAGGTTTGAAAATTAGGACAACGATTAACCCAAAAATAATTAGTAGGAGAAGGAAAATAATTTTCCGACGACCCGTATTCTTCTGGTATCTGTCACAAGAGAGGGTGTCAACGCGCATCGATGACTACAGGTATCTGGCTCACCGCGTTGCGTGGTTTAACTCTTTCACAGCTTCCGCCATTTCTACTGAAGTCTGTTCAATGTTATACTCGATACTGTCAAGAAGTGTCCCCTGATCTATCACAAGGACAGACAAATCCTTGAATAATTCAGCTAGAGAAGCTATCGAGTTCGCAATTTCCGTTAACTCCCGGTCACGGGCACGGAGACCATGATCTTGTATGTTATCTAGAATCTGTGCTTGCTGCAAGGAGGAATAACATTAGATATATAAGAGAGGTGGTCATGGATCGTTACTCACTGCAGCTTCTATGTCTTCATCGACAGCAGTTAAACCCTCGGATCCTCTTGAAGTAATAGTCCCTGATGCGATCAGGAGATCTTGATTCTTTATCGCGTGCCCTTGTAGTCCTGATTTGAAAGGCGAAAGTGCGGTAGTAGAAATAATCGGTTCCCGCTAAATTGATGTGTAAGGAGGAAGGACTCACGTTCCATATAGATACGCTGTTTCTTACGGAACGTTGAGCTGAGTTCTTGGACCCTCGCGGCTAGGCCTCGTTGCACATTTTTGGCCGCGAGGACCTGAAACTGAGTTTTCTGAGTAGAAGGGGGAAATGAATGACCCTGTTCAGCACTGATACGTTGAATCAAAGTATGGCATCGTCGAAAATCCTATCCATCAGAGAAAAGAAGGCAGTGACTGTGAGCACAATACGGACACGAGGAAGTCCATGGAGGATATACTTTGGTGATTTCGGTGGTCGCCGCTTCGATTTCTCGTTCCTCTGCTGTCCGGTCCGCAAAGCCGGGGAGAACATGCTTTGCATGGAGCTTCTCCAAAGTGACAACTAAGGCAAAAGCGCGGGAATGATATCATTGAACCTGCCACGGGACCAGACCAGGAACGCACTTTTGGCTTGTGTCCCGCCTAAGATCTCCTCGACTTGTTCAGAAAGATCTACCCTTTATATACACCAAGGGGGAAGAGGGGTAGCATTCAAAATGAGTAAAAACTGAAGATGGCAGGGAATGGAAGCATACCATTTGGGAGGCAACTCAACGTCGAGTGCGAGGTGTCCGGAGTTGGCATTTATGAGTGTTTCGTTTTCATCTTCAGCACGGTATGGTTCATCATAGGATGACTGCGAGCGAGAGAAACGTGTTGACGGTGCTCTTGAATCACGGTACGAGATAAAGAGTAAAGTCCTTGAGCGCGTTGTCGGCAATGACGACAAGCCCGCGGTCGACATCCCAGAGCAAGTTGGCTGCGGAATGTGTGTCGTTGTTTGGACGACTATTTCTTCTACAAATACATATAAATAAAATATGGCATAAACCAGCCACGGAGGTTTAAAGTCTATTTACTGTCTTGGTTAATTGCCGTTAGAGCGCTACGCGTCGTTGTTGATGCCGGCTGAGATAAATTCCTTGTTAGATCCGTATTTTTTTCACCCGACGATGCGGAAATGATTACGGAGGATTATACTGTCGGAACTCGGAATTTTGGATCCGGTGGAGCACATGTAACCCCGCACTTTGGTCAGAAAACAACGTTGACTAGCCTGCAGGTGTAGTTCATCTCTACTCCATCAAATCAGATTCCTAAAACCGCTTCCGCTTGGCTTCTCGCGTCATAAAATTCCGGCTTCTTTCTTCTTAAGTATTCCTGCGATTGTTACCACATCGTGCTCGATCGCCTCAGGTCTTGTGATTAGTTTCTACTTGTCATCGGTAACAACCCAATCCCTTACAGACAGCTTGCAATTCTTATAAAGTTCCCCCTTCATTTCCCTTTCAACCCCCAATTCACCCGTTCCATTGGTTTCTCTTTCAAACCCTACTACTCTACTCCCCGCAGTTACTATCTCCTTTCGATTAAGCCTACCCCACAACGGTATGCTGTTCCTGTTCTCCACTTTAATACCCCATAATAATTCACACACCCAGTAAATTTTTACCGGTCTCCTCTCTGTAACCTGTCACTTGTTATTCGCGATGTGCAATCTAGAAACGTGGGTTTCCTTGTGGCCAGGTCCAGAACTTTTGCTGATTCAGACTCTTTTTTTAGCGAAGGAACAAAATATGGATGCGGGGTAAGTGTCTCACGCAATATTTTCATCATGATCCACGCATTCTCAGTTATGCTTCGTTTAGCATTACAAGGTGGTGCGTGATTGATGTCCTTGGTACCAGAGCTATTTTCGAGCTTCTCTCAGACGCGCAAATTGAGGAAGATCGATTGCGCCAACCAGTACTGCTTCCACTCCATGTATCATCCAAAGAATTGTCCTGACTGCCATTGCGATCGGGTGAGTACTAACACTCGACGTCATAGCCCGGTGCTCAACCTTACGCCCCAAGTACTTCGGTCCCGATGCAAGAGAAACCATCACTCTCCATACACCCGAATATTGTGTTTCATGTCAGTACTGGTTCCAGGGCGGAGCCCAACATCGTCGATAACCTTGATGGTCCCCACGATTTCGGCTTAAAATTCGCCTCGTCTATCGAGTTAACGTCTATAATGCCGTTTTATTCTAATAATTATCTCTCTAGTCATGCCTTGCTTTGCACACCACGTTGCTGTGTCATTCTGTAGTTCTAGGCTTGCTTGTCGCATATTTTACTTACGCATTATTTATCTAGTCACTGTCATGTGTTGTAACTCCACGTAAAGTAAAATGGCATACACACATCACCATTTCACAGCAAGTCCAACTACCTCGCTTTCAACGGCTCGGTACTGAGTCCGAAACAGTTCACGGCGTTGTTTCTCCGCTTCTTCGTCCATGATGGAAGCCCGAGTTTCATGCAAGCTTCCCGTTTGTGTGCCGACAAAGTTCGACTATGATCTGCGCAGCAAGACGGTCTGCGCGATCGAACGGGGTGTCGAAATCCTGAGCATAAGGTCTCGGCGATGGAGGCGGTGTAGGCAAGTCATGCCAGTACACCCTTTCAACTTCCTTGGTCCACTCCTTGTTCCCCCATTTGGCGCCTTGCATCGCGCCATCATCCACTGGCACTGGCATTTGGACACCGTTTTCCTGCCAGTTTCTTGTATACCCTTCTTCATCTTCTCTCTGCCCTGCCGCCTGTACAATGGGTTTCAACTGCCCACCACCATTGACGCACCCGCCCGGACACGCCATAACTTCGACGTAGTCATACCCCTTCTCGTCCTCCCCACCACGCTTCTTTGCACGCATCCCAACTAATCGTCCAGCGGCGCCCCTCCCAACTTGCACACCAGCCTCACGACCTACCTTCCGCACGACGTTCTGAAGATTACGGAAACCATAGCATTTTGCGCCTTTAAAAAGCACCTCGCCGGTGTCCCGAGCGCGAAGGGTGAATTCTTCGTAGTCAGAAGTACGGATGGATTTTACTGTGAGGTCCACAGGGGATGAGTGGCTTGCAGTGATGTAGTTGATGAGAGACTGCAGGTAAGATCCGGAACTAGTCCCGGGGTGTGACAGGAGCTCTGGGATTTCAGCGTCGAAATTAGGAACACCTTCGTTCTCTACGGACTGCGAAAGGTCCCAGCCTTTGTCGCGCATCATAAGTTCGAGCTCCCCAGTTGTGATTACGCAGTCCACATCCCGAGTCGAGTAGAGGTCACTGTAGAAGTCCTGCCGAGAAGCCTCGAGTTTCTTGTCATAGCACGGCATAACCGACACATGGTAAATCTGATCTGGTCTATCACGCCGAATTAATCAGTACAACGAAATCGAAATAAGTAATGGGACTGACTGCACTCCCCAGCGATTTCCGAACCACGACTTGACCAGTGTTCCCATTACCTGCTGTGGACTCTTCGTCCTAGCAATAAAAGGCAACATTTCGGAATGTGCTTTCTCAGCATAGCATATCCATCCCGGACAGGCACTTGCTAGCATTGGAAGTTTCCCGTCTCCCTTCTTCCGCTCAAGAAACTCTTGCGTGTGCTCAAGCAGAGTAATATGTCGAGAAAATGTAGTGTCGTAAACATGCTCGAACCCAAGTATTCGTGTAGAGAACGCTTGTACTCTCCTCAGTATTTGACGAAGACTCACAGGGGAACCGGATGATGATGAAAGAGATGCCGCGAGCGACGCGAGGCTCTGTGGCGCAATGGAGAGCACAGGAATCTTGTGACCTGGCGTCGAAGCAGGAGGATTGGAATTCAGGAAGTTAAGAACCTCCGTGTGGGACTGTAGTGTGATTAATACAGATTCGGCCGATGTTATACAACCGCTATATTTCGGGAACATGGTCAGCAGTCGTTCTAAGGTCTGGGAATAACTACAGCAACGGACCTGCAAGCCAGACAATCGTTTAAGCTTATCTGGGCCTGCTGGAGCTTTCGCTCCGTGCCCTTGGAAGATGAATTGCCAGACACGCCGTTTGTTGAGACCTCGTAGTATGATCCACTGGAGTCAATCACAATTTCGGTCTGAGAGATGTTAGTCTGGCCGTTACATATAAATCGCTCTAGAACACACTGTAGCAGCACCTGGCTCATTGTTCTCCTGCGGCGCGTTCGTCTGCTCAATAGGCTTGATACACGCTTGAGATGGGGTTATGAAGTCATTAAGATCAGTCAAGGTCTGCTCTGCGTAAATGAGACTGATTGCATGGTTTTGGACTGTGGTGAACACGCACAAGAGCTCCAGAAAATGCCATCCAGATGAGTATTAGAGAAAGAGAAAGATGAAAGCTAATCATCCATGACATTGACAAATCATGATCTATGTATTACGTAATTTACCATCCTGGCTTTGACTCCGCAAGGCCTTGATCATGACTCGAGTCCTCCACTTGTAACCCATCCGAGCTGATAGATCGTGTCAGAACCCAAGCTCATTGCTTTGAGGCTACTAGTAGTTACCAACTTGGTACTTTGCTTGGTTGACAAGAGTACTACGTGTACCACACCAGAGGTCTCAGGTTCAATATTCATTGAATCCTCCGACTCCATCTTTTCCAGTCATGAATTCGAAGAACTGGCCTGAACCAGCCACCTCGTCTGGTCGACGTTGTCGGTATAAAGCTCACCCGATAGGGTGGTTGGTTCACGGGAGCCGGGCAGTACTTTCAATCTGATCGTCCAATGTTGAATTATCATTCATTAAGTTGCGTTGATGATTCTACATCGAACGGTCACTGCATTTTACCAATGCTAGAAATTACTATTACGACCAGCATGAAGCTCGTGCATACTAGTGTTCAGTTAATGTTACGACTCGAGAGCCTTGTGCTGAACACGAAGTCTAGGCATCAGCACCATAGATGATATCTTCGTTGTCCTGAATCATGAGGAGACTCATCATTCAATCGCATCACGAATCACGAATGTATGCGGCATTAACTCGTTGACAGCGTCAGATGACTCAGTCTGTTCGCTTCTATACTTCGGTAGCCTTTACCTTGGTCTCCAACATCATACACTAGCCATCCAATTACGATGTGTCATTAGCCAGCCAGCTGAGTGCTCCAAGTGCATGTAGAAAACACAGTGAAATTGTTATGATACAACCGAGGTAATGCATAAATATCCATGCAGCAAGTGTCCACGTCTCATCAAGGTCTATAGATAAATGAAAAGAGTGAGAAGAACTGATGTAGACAGCGTCCATCTCATGCTTCCAAACCTGCAGCGTGAGGATAGCGCAGCATTGACTGTCTGTCCAGAAAGTGAGGATGGAGAGGAGCTGCCCCACATCTGTATATTGCGGTAATAGGTATGTACAGTTTCTGGTGTCGCCCAGCTGGAGTCGTCACCTGTAAGGAAACAGTTATGCTTCAGTGTGAATGCCACAAGTATAATCAGAACCGACCTCCAAAGAACGTCCTATATTCACTCAGTCAATGGCGGTAATTTGTAATTCATGAAAACATATAACTTACGAGAAGTACAATCCCCCGATAGTGACATTGTTCACTGTCCTGAAGTACAAGTTTTGTTGTGAAAACGCTTGTACGTCATTAAAGCTGCAGCAACGATAAACTCTTACATCTGTCCACCTGAATGAAGCACTACTTACTACAAAACAATGTTGCCGTTCGCAACATCAGGGGGATTGTTCAGTTGCACGAGGATTGTGACGCGGCACCAACTGCAGTCCAGTTTTCAGCGAGTATGTTAGGGTATATAGTCTTGAGAAAATACACACTGTCCGGTCTCGAAGCCAAATGAGCCTCGATCGATGCTAACTCCGTAATCAGAGTTGCAGATCATGTTGCTATCCGAACAAATGTTGTTAGGAGTCAGCATGTATGCATAAACTACACGCAAGAGTTCAGCGCCGATACGAGAGCATTACTACATTCATACCTTCTCCTTCCGCATTTTTTCGCCACATGAGCCTGGTGCTGAAACAATTAGTGCCATTCGGTTCTGCCCCGCCAGAGCAATCATTGACATCGGGACCGCCTCTAAGCCCGGGGAGCTTTCCACCTTGGACCCAGTTGAAATTGGAATCAAAAGCAAGTTCGTAGGAGAGCATCATGCTCTGAAATTGAGACCCGTCGGTTGTATTCCACAGCGAGTACCACTGTGCGCCAGAATCACCACTTCCGTAGGTGCCAGCAGCATACGTCACTTGTAAGACTGGCCCGGAAGAATTTGAAACGGTCGCACCAGGAGCTGGAGAGTTTGGGAACGGATCGCTCACGAAGGCAACATTGCTGTCACCGTTCTGGAGATGACCCTTGCTTAATGACCACTGAGATGCAATGAATGAAGATGCGTCGGATGCGCTTTGAGTAGCAGAAGGAAAGGGCATCATGGTACTGGTGGTTAACGAGAAGGACGCAGCCGCCGACGCGAGAGGAATCTGACCAGCCGCTAAGACATGAATGCCTGATATCCAGAGAAAAAATGGTATCAGTAACAGAATGGCGGAGCTGGACATAATCACAGGGAACCCTGTGTCTGGCCCGAACGAACGAGCGTTGTACTTGGTGACTGCAACTTGACTGCAACCACGCGTATTACCCGCATCACGTGACCGCCACCTAGACTTGCTGGATTTGCCGTCGCAACTTGCAATGATCGATTATTGCCGAGTCTTGCGAGCTTGCACGCCAAAGTTCATAACGTTGAGCGTTGAAATACATGATTTTCGAATTCGCATCGTCATGTCTAGCAAACGTATGCTTACCGACGTACTAGTTGTTGAGGCTATGATTAGTCGGCCAAATAAACATCATCCATCGTTGTTCGTCAGGCGCCTCTACACGTGTAACGTACATACTAACTCGTCTCACGGTAATTGGCCTATGGACAGTAACAAATGTTTGCGGCAAATTCAAGAGCAAGAGAGGCAGCAGCAGACGGAGAGGCTAGGCAGCCTTTGCTGAATGCTTCACACGAGGATATTTCAGCGGATTCAAATCAGATTGTCTTCTCAGTAGATGACGAGGACTCGGAAAGCAACAGTGCAGAGCCATGGACGGCTGTGCGGAGAACAGAGTCAGGTGTTAGGTTTCAGGAGGAGGTGCAGGTCATTGGTCCGCCTTTACGGTCCACAGTGCAGAGCCGAGAGGCGGGTGCGTATGTTCGTGCTTATAGTTCAACACTACTTATTACTGCTTTCACAGAATATGAACTGGACTCGGACGACTTTGATGACTGCTTCACTAGCTGATATCCAGCGCGAGCAAAGGCGCTCCCGTGGGGCTCCACGGCAAGAACGTACTATGCCCCTACTGGTCGGTCTCATGGATGCTTCTGCCGCAAGGAGAACACCGGATACAACTATTCCTATGTATGAACCAAATCATCTAGAGAATGAAGGGGGTCATCGGAGCATAGACCTCGACGACCTCGCTGCAAAACAGTGGTCGGGTGGAGGCCTGCTGAACTCGGTTTCCAATATGGCGAATTCCATTCTCGGAGCTGGTAAGCACCCAGGACGTATGAGTATATCCAAGGTACTGACAAGGGATGAACAGGAATTATCGGTTTGTCAGGCTGCATTTTTACCAACGGAAGTGGCTTATAATATGATAGGTTTACCGTACGCGGTCAGTCAAGCAGGATTCTTTTTTGGCATCTTTCTTCTGCTCGTCCTTTGTTATGTCACCGATTGGACCATTCGATTAGTCGTCATCAACGCCAAGCTGAGCGGCAGAACCTCCTACATCGAAGTCATGAACAGTTGTTTTGGCCCCAGCGGTCGTGCAGCTGTTTCGTTCTTCCAGTTTTCATTTGCTTTCGGTGGTGAGTAATAATATCTATGTCGTTGTATTTACGATCGACTGTTCATTCAGGCATGTGCGCATTCGGCATTATCATTGGCAAGTGCAAGGTTTTTAGTGTGTTGTATTCCTACCTTACGTTTTCATCAGGAGATACAATACCCCACGTCATTCGTTCAATATTTCCCACTCTGGACACGATGCCCGTTCTCTCGCTTCTCACCAACCGCCAATTCATCATCGTCCTGTGTACTACATGTGTTTCCTACCCATTGTCGCTCTACCGTGACATCCACAAGCTTTCTCATGCCTCTGGGCTTGCCTTGCTCAGTATGCTCATAATCGTTTCAGCTGTTTTGATCGAGGGACCACACGTGCCGTCCACTCTCCAGGGTGATCCATCGAAACGCCTCACAGTGATTCAGCCGGGGTTCGTCCAGGCAATTGGCGTTATTAGCTTTGCATTTGTGTGCCATCACAATAGTTTACTCATCTATGGGAGCTTGAAGACCCCCACCCTAGATCGATTTGCTCGAGTGACGCATATATCGACGATAATCTCACTCGTGGCGTGCTGTACTTTGGCTATTTCAGCCTTCTGGGTTTTCACAGATAAAACACAGGGGAATATATTGAATAACTTCCCTGGGGTAAGCTTTCCTCTAATGTTTTGGATGCTCGACGTCTGATATACTTGGAACAGAACAATTCGCTGATCAATGTCGCCCGTTTCTGCTTCGGGCTGAATATGTTTACGACGTTGCCCTTGGAGCTGTTTGTTTGTAGAGAGGTACGTTAATATTGCGCACATCCACGACAAAATTCAACTCAATCCTTGCAGGTAATCGAACAATACTTCTTCTCGCACGAAAGCTATAATCCTCAGCGGCATGTCTTCTTCACCACTACTATCCTCTTCTCATCGATGCTTCGTAAGTCGTATGCCAAAATCTACGCCTAGAACTAACTCTGATCCTGAACCAGTCGCATTGATCACCTGCGATCTGGGCGTCACCTTGGAGATTACCGGCGGTGTCTCAGCAACAGCCCTGGCGTATATCTTCCCTGCTGCCTGCTACCTAAAACTGACCGACCCACACGTTCCGTGGCACTCCCGTGCAAAGCTTCCAGCCGCAGCCTGCCTTGCGTTCGGGTTGGCTGCGATGTCCTGTATCCCTCTTCCAAGTGGTCCAAAGAGCATACACGCCGTTGAGCGAGCCAAAGATGTGTATGACCTGATCTCCGGTTTAGCTATACAGCACAGGCTTGCACATTCATACATCTAAAGTAATAGATAATGCACGGATCGGACACTGGATAAAGACATTTGTTTAAAATCGATCATCGGCGCTGAATCGCTTCCCTGAGCCCTGGTATTTCGTTGAGCTGCACGACGCGAGCACCTTTGGCGACACTTTCCTGTGCAAGGAGAGGGGTGACGTTGGATTCAGTTGAAGGTGCTCCATACAGATTCAACTCGATGCAGGGGTTGTTGCTCCACCCGAAGTACCTGGTGGGCTGCAGATCAGCAGCCAGATGGCATCATATCCGCCAGCTGCATTGTTCTCAAATTTAGATATAGCCCAGCTCCTGAAGAAACGGGACTGACCGCCTGGAACACCACCGCCGATAACACCTGCCTGCTCGATTGATTGGTCGAGTAGATGGGTTTGTTGCTCAGGCTCAATCTCAACGCCAGCAAGGTCGCCCATTCTCCGCATCAGGTTGCGTATTTGCTAAACAGAACGGGGGTGTTCAACTCGACGCCCGGTGGTAAGGAATTTTCTTCACCTGGGTAGTTTGATGCAGGGCATAAAATGCCTTGGAAACACTCTCCCACTGCGATGCATAATGAGGAACAAGGACTGCAAGAAAAGGAACCCTACTTACTTCGTGCGCCGGCAGATAAGCAAGTTTTCCAACGGTCTGTTCGTATGCGTCTTTGTCCTGAACATACGACTGCGAAAGCGCGTCCAACTGCCGCGCTAGAGATTGGTTCGATTCATCGATCTGTGTCCATAGTTCCTTCGCTGCGCGAGACGGCAAGGATCAGGCATCCGACCAGCATTCATGGATCGAATAGGTACCTGTTTCACAGCTGTCTTCATGTCCTCTCCACTTTAACACCTTACCAACCAAAGAAGGAGTATCGCTTCCTGCTTCGACATCTGCCAGTACCAGTCTCGTCAACGGGGGAAGCTGGATCGGCCTGAAGCTATAATCCCAGGCGCTGGAGTTCAGAACACTCTTCAACGTGCCTGTCGCAAACTAAGAAGAATGAGCGCGCGCCGGTAGCGGAAATGCCCCAGACACGACATACATCGCCTTTCATCAGCGGGTCCAAAACAGCAGGTCCGAACCGCCTGTAAATTTGACTCCCGAACACGGCGGAAGACACGTCAAATCCGCTGCCCACCTTACCTTGGGCAAGGCAGTGTACAAATTGAGCAGCAGTTGTGGGCGAGGCGTCTGCCATCCCCCTCTAGAGTGGCAAAATCTTCCTCTGTTATGGCCGCAAAATGGATAAGCAGCGCGGAGACGAGCGAAGTGATGAGCGCTGCGGAGGAGCCCATGCCGGTTTTGTGCACATCTGTCAGTTTCACGCCATTGTGACAAAAAGGCTCAATTTGCAAGAGAGATTTGATCGTTCGAGGGAGCCCTAACGACTCCAGCTATTCCAGCGATTTGATTGCATCACTTGTCTACCATGAGTGTGACATCAGGAGTGCTTACCTGTGCACGCTGAGAGTAAAAGTCGTTATCGCCCACAGCAGCTATATCGAGACCACGGGAGAGCCTTTCTTGTACTTGGGCTACAGAATGAATCTCTGACACGAGATTCAGGGTGTGCTGGAGTGCCAGGTGGACAAATTTGTTCTTCCCCCCAACACTGATTGAGAGATACGTGAGGCGTAATCACCGTGTCAAAGAGATAGCATTTACCTGTCCTCTCGTGGGGTTACCAGAATACCCGCAGCATCATAGGTCACGGTATATCTCCACTCGGCCTGATGAAACTGGGGAGATCGGACCACGATCTGATTCGCAGAGCCCGACGAAGCCTGGATAACGGTGTAAAATCGCGAAGATGTAGAGATCACTACCCCTGGATATTGCTGGTCGAGGACAAGATATCCCCCCGCTGCTAAGACCTTTCCCGGCGCTGATACGATTGTTGTAGTAGACATGGTGTCATTCGTGCATTCAGAGACATCATACGTTTAAGTACAAGTGCTTATTGCTGAGTCAGCAACTATACTCGGGTCTGATGTTTGTTCGGGAAACGCGTTAATTGGCTCTCCAAAATCAGTCGATTCCGCTGTAAAAGTCGTTTGGCAGATAGTGCGTTCATTCGCTCTACATAGTAAGCCGAGAATGAGCTGCTAGGAACGTCCGGCACGGGCGAACCAATGTTTCTGCTGGTCACAAGTCATATTTTTACAACCCGGACACCGAAGACCCATCTGCACACTCGTGGGTCCAATAGTCCTCGTCGAGTAGTCACGCAGATGCTGCGCCGTAATATCTGCCAACGCACGAATAAAGACAGGAGATTCATTCAGTGACTCCGCGCGCTGCATCTCCATCCCCAGCTACAAAAATAGGATGCACGTAGGTGAGTTGTTCAACATCCGCTGAGACATGGCCCGACGTACCTCCCTTCCCTCTTTCATATACTCGAGATCCAGCTCATAGAGTGTCTCAATATGATCGCTCGTGAAGGCAATGGGGACTAGAATTACTTCCTTCTTTCCGAGACGAGCGAGACCCTTGATAGCCTCCCCGGTCTGCATCCCCATCCACGCAGAAGGCCCAACTTGCGACTGCCAAACCAGACGGTATGGATTTGAGTGGCCGAGTCTGTTCATGACGGCGTTTACTGATGCGGAGACCTCAAGGACATATGGGTCGCCTCGGTTCACTACCGACATAGGTAACGAGTGAGCCGAAAACAGAATAACCACGTCTGAGCGTGCTGACGGGTGAAATTTGGCCAAGGCGGCCTCGACGTTTCGTGCAACAGCCTGAACATGATCAGCACCTAGCAAAGCTGACAAGATACAACAAACAACAAACGTGCCTCGATGAATCCAGGATGAGTACCCCAGCGGTCTATCACGCTCCATTCGATGTCCCCCATCTCACCTGCCCTCCCTCGCCTGAAAAGTTCATTCAAACTGCTTCCAGTCGTACTACAGCTGTACTGTGGATACTGCGTGAATGCCACTGCCCTCTTCACACCATCTGCCTTCATCCTCTGCGCGGTCTCCTGTGTCAGCGGGTTCGCATAGCGAAACGCGACATAACTTTTGTGTGGAGCAGTCTCTGGGTGCATCTCGTCCAGGAGTTCGCACATGCCAGCGCCCTGCATCTCAGTATATTTGAGAATGGGAGAACCACCACCAATGTCAGCATACTGCTTCTCTATCTGAGGTGTCCGCCGTTTCGCAATGAGAGGAGCTAGAACGCGCTGAAAAGGCAACGGAATCAAGTCGCCATCCATAAACAGGTTTTTGAGGAAGTCATAGGTCTCGGGAACCTGTGAGAGAGGTCGTATGATGACATAGTAGGAGACAAAATACGATATCTCACGTACCGTCGAAGGTCCTCCCATGTTTAACATAACAATGGCTAAAGGAAATACTGTACGTCAAGCATGCATGAGTGGGAACGCAGTGGGATCATACCTGTAGGACTGGAATATGGCGTTAACTAATCGAATCATGGTAGATGTGACTAGCACACCTTTTCCCTGCTAATGAAGGCTTGTGCAACGTGGCCATTCGCCTGACAGAGGGTAAAACAGTGCTCGTCCTTCCAATACATAACATTGTCCGAGAGAATTCTGCCGGTATCGTAGAATGAAGAGGGGAGTCAACGACGCAATTCTAGGAACCTAAGACAGGCCGCATTCATACACTGGCACATCACATGACCTGGCGTGACATTTCGCTGAATTTACATCTGATCCATTGTACATGAAGTCTTAGTGAAATTCAGCTCATGATGTTGTGCGGAGAGTCTGCAGCAAGATACACATGTAATTTTTGCAATGCAATTTAGGGAACTGAGAAATGAGTAGGCATATATTATAATGTTTGCAATTTCAAAATGAAAGTGTCATCGGTCACAGATATGTCACAATAGTAAATTTGCAGGTGACTAAGCCTAAGCCGAGCCCCTGAATATGTAGCACTGCTTGAGCACTGCAGAGTTTGATATTGCAAGATCTACGGATACATAGATAAAATACATCAAAATTCTACCACTCTTTGAGACAGCACAATGCAAAAAACCTAGATCACAGATTCGGGGAAAGAAGGGAGATATGCGGGTATGGTCCCAGACTGTCAGAGGCTGCTGGGAACTGGGGGTGTGAGGAACTGTATGCCGGAGGCTCAGCTGCATCAGGAGACTCTAGTCCAAGACCAATGATCGGCTGCGATCGCCTCGTCCTCCGCGAAGACCGTGAGGTAGGAGATTGTGCGCTTGGAACAGCGACATCAAGAAGAGTATCAATATCGAACAAGTCATATGATGGCATCTGCTTCGCGGTAAAAATGGGGAAACCTTCACAAGTGCAGTGCGGATAGGGGGCGGAAGGGATAAGGCCCTTTCCCGAGAGGGAAAGGGCAAGGGGCGGCTGGACTTGTGGGGTATTTGGAGGTACTGTGGGTCGCAGCTCATAAGCGGGAGGACTAGCCTCAGGATCGAGAGCCGAAGGGGTGTTGAGATATGATGGAGGATATAACACCTCCATTACCTCACTTGTGGTGGCCATTGGTGTCTTATGAGGGCGGATGCGAGGATGCGAGGGTCGACTCGGCTGTCCTCTTTCCACCTCTCCATCCTGCGCAAACATTTTAAATTCCAGAATGTTTCAGCATGCTTGACAAAAGTAACTCACTGAGTCGCTATTCCTCCTACACCAGATACAACTACATCCTGGAACTTGAATTGTGTCTGCTATGGCAGATGCCCAGTGACTTTTGATGTCAGGACGAACGTGATGAATACTAGATTCAATCTGAACCTAGCCGCCGCTGAATGTCAGAGGGTTACGATTGGTGAACATATGAAAACCCACTGTTTGTCTATCAAGTAATTCGTCCTCCTCGTCTGAACCCATTAATAAGTTGTCGATCGTCTTTGTGAAATTCTCGAGCATAGTAGAACGATTATAGCGTCGGAGTGTTAGTGCGTGTTAAAATAACTGAGAAGAATAATTGAAATAAACATGACTGCGAGAAGGCTTATATCTGCGAGTCACTGGATGCGTTCGGATGAGCGGAAGTTTCGCGGAAGTTTCAAATGACCTCATCTGACTTCCGCCTTTACATAAACGTCACAGCCATTGATCAACAACCAATACTTAACCACGTGGCTTGCCGACAACTCTTTGCTTCCGCTCAGAGAGCGAGTCTGGCAGTTTGCCCTCGCTGGCCGTCACCGGTAACTTGAACGTACGGAGTACTATGGGATGAGTGCACTATTCAATTGTCCGTCGCACGCACGTTCCATTGCAGGGAGCTCTACCCCTTACACTTAGTATGAGTACATCCTCGGAAACGTCTTGTAGTAAGGATCTTTGATTCTGTCAGTGTCAATGGTCTGATAATTTTAATAACATATCACCCCAATCAATTTCGGAAATACAAGAGAAAGGCCAGTACGGCCATGACCTTGGAGGCTAATCATCTTGCAAATGACTTCAAAAGCCCATGTTGTTCTCGTTCTTTCGGGCTGGTACTATCGCGGTTCGGTAATGACAACCATCTACCTATTGGACAGCGTAGAATAAAGCGTCCACGCACTTGTGTTTCTCCAGTAATTGTTGACCGCCGGGCTCATTCAGCTCTACAAGAAGGACTGGACTCCATTTTCCTGCGCAGCATTCAATCACAAGGACATTGCTGAGATACTGGTTGAGTCAGAACAGGATACAGCAAAGTAATTTCAGGTTCTGTTCTCTGATCGTCGTCTCCGAGTATTGAGCACCGTTGAATGGAACTCAGATGGGCTCGCTAGACTAACCAATGAGAAGGAAGGTGAAGCGTTACACGGCGCACTCATCGATGGGAATTTTCGAATTCGATCCGCGGCGCCAGTGACATATGGAGATTCTGAAGCGGGAGATCTGACGCTGTCGCACTAGCATCTCGCTACATCGACGACGATTTGCGAAACCGTTCTTTGCGATGCTGCTGGAGCCTTCTCACAATAGCTAGTTCAGAGAATATCCACAATGGAACGGATTGTTGCGCAGCTTGAACTGCCTCACCTGCACTCTTATGGAGTACGATTTCATCAATGACAACAATGATATATTGTACCTTGGTACCAATGGCGAGTCATCAAATTCACTCTGCAATTCCTCCTGCATGCGCGAATAAGCCGGAGATAGATCTGCTGATATATATCCAAGCATTTCATCACTCCGTCCACCTGCGTCATTGCATGCGCTGATATATTACTTATTGCTAGTTTGGACACCACGTTTCTCGTGTCTTCCGTCTACCTACTCGTAAGACTACGATATCAGTCCACAGACCGGACCATGCGAAACATATATGTTTGACTCATCTTCACATGGCTTGAGAAGCGGTCTGCCCGCCAGGAGAAGGACTGATCACAGACATGTTGACGTTTCCTAGTCACTGCCATTAGGGTTAATGAGTTATCCAACTGTATCTCAGTTGGCATTTCTGATCCTTCAGGACTTAAGTTTACTGCTAGGGAAGAAGTTGAATATTATCGCGGTTATATACTGGTTGATTTCCTAGACACGTGACTGACGCGTCGCGATCGGGTCTGTTTATTCAACCTTAATTCGTCGGCAAGCACGCACAAACAATCTAGGGGTATAAGTATAGCGCGTCGTTGCATCTCTCAGTTCACGTTCGCCCTCGGAGATATTAAGTGTACCAGCATACCCTTACGATCTTCACCTTCAACTCATTATTGCCATTATGATTTCTACCGCGTTAACTGTCGCCTCCGGGTCGCGATCGATGGCTTCCTTATAGCCTCTTTCTTCAAAGCAGCTGTCATCGATCACACCGCTCAGGTTGTGTCCAAAGCGGACAACGTCTCTTTTGGCCTCGTTGCATTAACTGTCTGCTCGTCGACCATCGGGCTCGTTCTAGCCTCTGACGCAGTTGCCAAAGAATTCCTGAGCAACGCCAAACGTAGACCCCTTCCGAAGGACGATCCCGCCGACCCCAATCCGCCGTCCATGAACGATAAAGCCCACCCCAATTCACCATCCGTAAACGATTCCAATGACCCCATCGACTCACGATCCGCGAACGATAGCGCCGCCTCTGCTACATCCATAGTTATCAAGCCTGTCGAAAAATACCGTCAATGTCCTTCATCTCCATCTTCCTTACGTGTAATCGAATCGACGGAAACAACAACCGCTCCTGCAACCACATGCCATTCTATCCCCTGCATTCTCGCTTCCTCGAACCTCTACTCCAAACGCCTATCGATTGATTCGGACACCACTCTTGTACCTCATAGTCACAACATAGTAGTGCCTCCGCACATCTACGAGGTAAGCAGCAGCATAGCCTCAACGTACATTACCTAACCATTGTTTGGGTCTCTAGGACGATCGTTCTGATGCACACCCTAGCCTGAGGAAAGAACGTGATCCAGAACAGACTGCTACACACGCTGATCATCTCATCGACATCTCTATCGCAAAAATGGCAGCGCACACCCTCGACGATGGTCCTTCTCGTTCATCCAAGCTTCGGCCGCTCATCTTAGTCGCCAACCGCCAGACGACATCTACCGGTCCTGTCCTGTCTCTTCCTGCACCCGCCTACCCCATGGACGCATTGACGCGAAGTATGAAGGCGCTCTCCCTCTCCGATAATCTGTCTTCCGCCCGGCTGAAGCCTCTGATTCTGGTTACGAGGCGCGCCACTGGTCAATCCATGCTTCTCCCTCCTACTACTACTAGCACTGCACTTCGACTGAAGCCCCTACGATAATGCGGCGGCTTCCAGTCCCGCACACACATCTACTCAGCCAATACATTTTCGACGTCGGAGGTCCCCTACGACCACATCCGGACGACGCACCAAACCACGATGGCCTCCTTCACTGTCCCCTACGACACGGAGCTTCACCGCCCAAGAAGTCGAAGGCCACTGTCAGTCCCATCTATGCATGCACCGTGTTGCGAGTCTTCGACGCCAGAGGTCCCCTACGACCCAATCCCGATGACGCACTAAGCGGCCTCCTTCACTGTCCCCTACGACACGAAGTTAGATTCGAAGGCCGCCGCCCACGATTACGCACATGTCTATCAGAGCAAGTCGTTTTTCATCTCCTTCTCCACATGAGTGGTATTTTTGATTTGTGTTCTCTATTTTCATCATGGACTTATCTCTGGCATGTACGTTTATTATTTCTGTTTCCTTCTCTGCGTCTTCTTCGATTTATTTTCTCCTTTACTGGTACGAGACAGACATTGGACTCATTCATTTTCTTCATGGACTCATCTCTGGCATGTGCGTTTCTTCTTTTTCTGCATCTTATTCGATTTATTTTCTCCTTTACTGGTACGAAACAGACATTGGACTCATTTCCGTTTCATCACGGACTCATCTCTGGCATGCACGTTTGTTCTTTTTTCCTTCTCGACATAGAGGTCTTCTTCGATTTGTATTCTCTTTTTACTGGTACGAAATGGACTGGACTCACTTCTGGCATGTACGTTTCATTCTTTTCGTTCCCTTCTCTACATAAATGTCTCCTTCGATTTATTTTCTCCTTTACTGGTACGCGACAGACTGGTCTTAGTTTCATCTTGTGATGTATGTATGATTATTTCATTGATATCGTTTTACTAGAATCTTCATTTCTTGCATGTATATGAATGAATATCATAGAAGTAAGCACTTGAAGCTTTGACAATCAATGTTACTGACTACCTAATCAGGTTTGGTCGGCTCTTGGGCCTTCGGATAGATGCTAACATGCCCGTCACCTCAGCTTGAGACCAACCGCGAGTATGGTAGAATGTAGAGTAGGTTATAGATATCTGATGATAACACTAGTGTACTAGCCAAGCCGGACCGCGTGTCGTCCCAACGGTTTGAGTCGCGTTATGCCTTCTCTCGCGCAGCTCTTTGTGATGCTTCCCAAGCCTTGACTTCTTGTCGTCTTACGATCCATTGAAATATCGGAAGGGTGATACAAGAGATCAGAATCCACGCGAATTGGATACCGAAATTTAGTCCGACTGGGTGACAGGACGCTCGTTAGAGTCCAAAATTGACAGTGTGAGGATACATACTCTCGTTCTTGGTGTTAAAAATAACTGTCCGAACTGTGCTTGAGACGTTATAGAATGGCATCGCAAACCCATAGCGAAATACCGCTGGCAGTACTTCTATCGGATAAAAGGATACAGATACATTAGCTGCGTCATCCGGCGCGAGTCAGTGAATAGCCGAGACAAGAGAGAGAAAAGACGGACATATAATCCACAGAATAAGGAATACTGCGATGAATTTCACGGTAAGGATGGTGATCATAGATTCGAGAGCGAGCCCCCTAGTATACTGGTAAGCGTGTGGATCACTTGTTCGCTGGTTATATTCCTCACAAGGCAGTCATGCTGCACCACGACATCATCCAGTAGATGACATAGCCTGCGTGCCCAAATCTTCGAAAGATAAAAAGGTCAGTGCCCAACTCTAGTGCCGGGAAATATGACACGTACTTCCTTCCAAATGGCACGCCGAACGCCAAACTTAAGAGAGAATACATTAACTATGAATGATACATGTTAACGAATCCTCAGGAGATGAAGGAGACAGTTCATACGGATATGAAAAAGTAGAGTGTAGTCGGCCATAGCAGGCGGACAATGATGAGAGAGCGCAATTTCAAACGCCGAGCAAAGCCAGTTTCGACGCGAGCAGCCAAAAGCTGGTTCTAATGGTCATGATGCATCAGACATTTCCAGGAACCATCGTAGTAAAGGTCGTACCGTTAACACAAACTAAAATGAGAGAGTTAGACATGTTCCTGTTATCAACAACGTCGTGAACATACCGCCAAAATCAGGAGGTAAATCAATCCAACAAAGTCTACCGCGGAGGCCCTGTGAAACTAATCAACGTGGAGTGGCGAGCATCACGAACCAAAATGCATACACAGGGGCATCAAAAGGCCTTAAGTCATTAACAACGAAAGCCAGGGGTTGAATTACGAGTTGAGGCGCGGTTTGGAGGAGTGTCGAGATATCTGGCCTCGACGCTAGCCGTTGGGAGAGGGATAGTGCAAATGTATGCGAAACGTTTGTCAGTATCGAGGTTACCTAACACCACGGCTCGTCAGTGACTTCCTTGGAATGCCTAGAATTGGTGACTTGCTTGTGGGTTGATAGCGCCTCGACTGTAAATATGACACAATGAGACGTGGACAAACGCAACGGAGCGCACGACTGACTATATGTTCTCGTTACGAGCACTGGTCAGGTATGCGGTCACAGCTTGAGATGTATTATAGGATGCGTTGGTTGCATTGATCGACGCATTCAAATTAGTGGAGGCCTGGGGATTGACTACGAGAAATGGTTCCCATTCAGTAAGGGAATGACGAGCCAGAGTCGGGGATACACACTAGTCACAGCTGCCCAACATCTATGATCAAGTAGAGCCTGAACCACATCATCCGGACCATTAGGAAATCGTGTTGCATCTAGTATTAGCCAGGACACTTGTTGTGGACCATTGATGTTCTTGAATGTCTGTGTTACTGCTTGTCCTATTTCGCCTCCATCAAAGTCCTGCCAGTTATGAATGTTGGGGAGCGTAAGGTCGCGTAGGGAAGAAGGCTTACCACCACAAATCCGGATAGGTTGTGAATGTTATTGTATGACCGACCAAGAGCAGCCCAGTAAATGGGTAGAACGCCCCAAATCATAAAGCAAAGAACAACTAAACCAAGGATGCTGATTTTTAACCAGCCTTTCCTTGCAGCAGCCGTCGCTGGATCCTTGTCGAAAATTCCATGTGAGAATGGCTTGTCATCGTCGTCGGGCGTGACAGGGGTTGTGACTGGCGCTGCTACACGACGGTGCCAGGTAACGTCAGGCTCTGATTTTGTGATCGAGGGTTCTTGATAAGAGTCAGCCATACTGTAGGGAATCTTGCCATCATCATTCAATCGCGGACTGAGCTTTTATATATCTATCACGTTGGGATGATCGGACAGTTAGCAAGTTTGCATTTGTCATCTCCATGGGTCGGTTAGTAAAGCTGAGGTAAGTAACTCTTGGCCGGCCTGAAACTAGCGAGTGCCAAGTGTTGAGTCTAGCAGGACACTGTCATTAGTGTCCGCTTCTCTCGTCTATGGAGTGTCAGCTTCTCTCATCTATGTACGGGATGCTCGCCTTTCACCGGAACAAATAAAGGTATTTCGGATGCGATTCCTTTGAGACGGGCCCGTCTCAAATTTGTCGAATGTCACCGTTTTGCGGAAACGCGCAACAGGCCATCGCAAGATATGTTAGATGCAACTTGTACGCTGCTTCGTGAAGCGAAAAATATGTATCTACATACCGCACGGCACCTGCTCGTCGATGACGCGGACGATTCGACCTGGCCCAACTTGCCATTGAAGGGCCTGGCACGATTCCTAAGCTGGCGGCCGTACTACACTCGCCACCAAAATCGCGCACTTATGGTATATACCACCAGTGTTCGACTAACAGGACAGATATGGGGAGCATATCACGGGCGGTCAACCCAAAGGATACATGGACGTGACGTACGTTCGATCTTCACCTTTACCCACGGGAATGATCTCATTTGTTACACATCTTATTGCAAGACTGTTGGGTTCACGTCCCAGGAGCTGACTAGATTCTTATGTAGCCTGTGTTATAATTCTACAATTTCATCGTTCACCGCCAAGTAAAAGTCGGCCTGAAAGCTCACCGAGATCCAGAAATCAATATTGTCCAATGAATATGCAATGCAATGTATGAAATACACCGGTCCCTACGCTAGTAGATTATCACCCTTAACCGAAACCACTATATTCGCGGAAGGTAGAATATGGTTATGAGCGACGTCGCCGCCTGGAGTTCTTGGGGTCCACTTCATCCAGTTCGACAGGTCGCTGACACACCGGACATCGGCCGGATACGTCGGTTAACCAGGGATCAATGCATGTTTTCTGTCAGGATGACACATCAGTTTTACAAATGCAGTTGGGTAAGTCTGAATCCACGTACATGGAAGACGTGACCACAAGCAAGTAGTCGAAGAGGTTGCGGACCAGCTCCTGCATCTTCAAGGCGAGGGAGCCCACTTCTTTCCTCCTCAGTGATGTGTTCCACGGGTATTTCAACTTCCTCTTCACGCTGACGAGACGTGTCTGCTTCGGGCGTAACAGCAGCTCCTTCTTCTGTGTTCTCTGTCGTGGCTGTCTCCGCAACAGCGTGCAGTCGCTTTGGTTCCTCGAAATCCATCAAACAGATGGCACAGGCAGCTCGATTGCCCTCCAATCGGACAAAGGGATACTTGCATTGTTCCCAGTTGTCCTCCCAAGTTTCTTGATCTTTGGCCTCCGAGTTCATGCTCTGTTTGCCATCGTGGGTCTGAACGCCTTCTTCGGACTTATTAGTGGGCCTGCGGCGAAAGAACGCAAATCGCCTCCTTGGCGTCCTCGAGGCTGGTGGTTTGGGTGGATAGCTGTGAACAGGCTTTGGCAAAGAGATGGGTTGTGCCTTTCCATCGCCTTCTGGTGGAGGAGGGATGTAGATGACTAGAGGAATACGTTCGACAATAGCTTTGGGCAGCTTTTCAATTTCGGGCTTGATATAATGAGGGTTTTGGAGTGGGTGCCGACCCAAACAAAGTAGTATAATACTGTAGAAAAGCTGCAGAGACATATCTATCAGTATGTGAACAAAATGAAAAGGGTCTGGACTCACCATGATGAAAGGCAAAACCATGAAAACAAGAAAGCCGAAAACCAAGACTTCGAGAACCAGGAAATACATTGTGCATAGAACTCCAAACGTAAGCCACCAAACGAGAGGCGAAGAAAGTCGACATGTGTCAACAGATGTGTATTCCAAAATGTGCGCGGTTAGGAACCATGTCAATGTGAGCATGGATGAAAGGAGTGACAAGCTGACACAAATATTAATTCTGATGTTCGTGGATTGCAGAAGAAGTCAAAGCATACCGCGCGTAAAGATAAGAATATGGCGGTGTTTGCTCTTCATTGGGAGAACCACCTGAACTTGAGTTCCTGGTCCGTCTATGAGGATTCTGCCGACGACGACTTGGCTCATTGTTAGGACGAGGTGTCCCATCAGTGTCCGTTCCGGTACGATCGCCAGACTCAGCATCACCAGGTCTCGCGGAGTTCTCCCTGTTTCTATGTTATCAGGTACCGTATAGAGGGGGTCCATGCTACTCACGCCCTTCGGATTCGAACAAAATTCCAATACGCCAAGGCGGACGATAAACAAACTTTCACTATCCAAATGCAATTCCAAGCAACGAGAGGCCGCCCACAAGCATCGATCTGGTAGGTGTTAGCCTCTGTAGGGCTGGCCATTACAGAGGCCACCGCCAGGACGGCGATGATAGCTGCAATCTGCGCGAAATAATTCAGTGCGACCCTTGATTCGGGAAGAGTCGGCTAACTTGAGCGAAACTATAGGCCAACGTCCACACAACTGATACGAGAGCTTTCCTTGTTTTTGATGCATCAGGACCAATCCCAAAAAATACTTTGAATCTCGCAGTTAACGAGAGGTGTGGTTGAGAAGCGGCAGTGGATGATCTGCTTTGCTGTTGCTCTGTAGGAATTGCTGGACCAGGCGTGAACCAGGGGTTGGATGGAGTACTACAACGCGGATGAATCTCGATAAAGGATCTTTCATGCTAAGTAACATATTACTCACTCTTCGGAGGTCCCTTCGGCAATTGGTGGCGAACCAGCATGTAAAGTCCGGCCATCCTGTTCGGAGCGATTATGTGATGTTGAAAGGCGGGCTCTGGGCAGTTGGGGGATATCACCAGTAGACTGAGTTCTTCTCAGAGACTGAGCATCGACGGCGGGCGTCTCTGGCATGATGAGCGTTGTATAGCAAAGGTAAAAGGGTAACGCCTCGATGTTGAGGCCTGCAGCGTGTTGCTGGCTGGATGAGCAGTGGAGCCTGGGATGAACTCGTGGCGATTTATCAGAATACCCCAATAGTCAGCTTTGGCCAACACGACTTTAATAATAATGTAAACTCTAGCTAGACCGGGAATTGAGAGCCTCGGGGATTTATGCTTGATCGTCGTAGACAAAGGAGAGACGACATGTACCAGCTAAACGTTCCCAGCCGATGCACTAGCAGTAGCTAGCGGTGCGGTATCCCACACTCCCATAAAAGCCAAAGTCTGTTCCTCGAACACTGAAATTCATTGCTGTATGTTCTGCCGGTGCAGTGCTACGATAGCAAGATGACCATCAGGCTAGTGACGTTCGATGCCTTGCATACGCTCATAACGCCTAGGTTACCAATCTACGTCCAGTATTCGCAGACATTTGCCCCATATCTTGGTGTCCTTGAGCCAGGGCGGCTCAGACAGTCTTTTAAAGTTGGTAGGTCATCAACCAAGTTCTGTAAGACAAGCCCTTGACCTCGGGCCCCTCAGCGCTGAAACAGGTACAAAAGGATCAACCCGCGTATCAGGGTAATTCTGGCGCTGAAGGATGGTGGTCTGAAGTTATCAAGCGAACAGCCATAGGAGCTGGAGCCAACCCACAAGGTTCCACGACCCAGTCAATGTCCCTATGCAAGTCTAAATGACCACCTTCTGATAGCTGTAGATTCTTCGTTACCGCAAATCGTTCCCAGTCTGATGGAAAGATTCAGTTCTCGAGAAGGCTACAAACTCTTCCATGATTCCCTTCCAGTACGTATGTACATACGCGTGCTATTATTCGGCAGCTCGTGCTCATGGCTGTGGTTCTGCTCGCTAGTGAGGAGGCTGCGCAAGATGAATATTCGTACAGCACTGATAAGTAATACGGACACACGCATGCGTATGCCTTCTGGAAACTTCATTTCCGCGTTAGCTAAGCCGCCATGCAGGATCTGTATTGGAGGACCTTGAAATTACTCCGTACCTCGACCCAATTCTCCTCAGTGAGGAGGTGGGCATAGAGAAACCAGATGCCGAAATATTCCGTCTCGCATTCAGCACGCAATCAATTCCAATGGAGATGCAGGAGGCTGTTCACGTAGGTGACGAACTTGGAAGGTATGATCTAAGTTTCAGGCAATCATGTCGATCCGAAATTCTTTTAGTGACTATGATGGTGCTCGAGCTGCTGGAATGCATGCCCTGCTGTTGCGTAGGGCCGGACCAGAAAGCGGTGGTGAACACAAGGAGGAGGGTGAAAATCTCCAAGGTGTACAGGTGGTGAATGACCTGTGGGGAGTGTTAAAGTGGGTAGAACAATAACTATAGAAAGTTGTTAGGAGATCAGCAAACTGGCTCGTCTGTTGTGGGCTGGGTCGGAGTCTTTTTCAATAACAGGAAATTGACTCTATAAGGCGCTCTAGACTGGAGAGTGGGTAGAAACACGTCACAAGGACCAATGTGGGCCGGTACTTTTGCTCGATGATGTTAGTAAATGACGTTCCACCGTCTGCTCAGGTGAAGTGACCACGTCTTCCGCCTTCTCGCCCAACTTCAACATTGTCCATCTTATGACACGGTGATCTCTGCGCATCACTCCAGCCAATGTGCGTAGCGTGCGAGGTGAAGTATCAAAATGCATCGTCCAATAGCTAACAAAAAGCAAGGTCACCATGAGCTCAGAACAAAGTGCGGAAGGCTTACTCTCCAACGGTGTAATACTGTTTATGCCGTCGCATTCGTTGGGGAAGCGTCTGCGTTCCATTGAACTGTATATTCCGCACTACACCGCCTTCATTCATGACATGCGTTGCGGACATGGTCACAAGATCTTTTATGTGTTTCTGTTCCATAGTTGTGAGATGCAAAATCCACTAAATGTAGAACACGACTCACGTATTCCCTAAAATGACTAGCAATGCAGAACATCTGGTAGAGCGGCATCTTGACGTGGTCGTCCGAGGTCCCAGATTTTAGTAAAGCCTAAAGGTATCGTCTCAGCTGAACGTTTCGCGTCGTTCACCGTGCAAAGTCGAACGCGACGAGAAGAGCCGTGGTAAAATATTTCCATGTGTGCAAAGGCGGTCCCTGGCCGTTGTGGCACTCAACCTTCCAGAAGTCAGCGGAGAGGAAGTCATCCTCCCAATTAATGGAAAAATTAATGCATTTGAATTTTGAAAGCTTCTTTTCGGAGGGCGGGATGTTGAACGTCAGTCGATCAGACTCTCGAACGATACGTAGCCTAGATGATGGTTCAAACTTCATACAAGACATAGTACAAGCCGGAATTGAATTAATAGCTCGTCCTATATCACATCCTTTGTCAAACCATCTACACTAGTACTAGCTCCACGAAATCAGGGGTGCTACTAGTAGTTATACTGAATCGAGCATTAATGTTAACTGGGGCAAACTTGAGGCAAACTTTGAAAGCTTCCATGTACGTCAGGAAAGATGTCCAGGCAAACTCAGTCACGGAACCTTAACAAAGATCCATACCATTTAAGCAGAAATTGACGATTCGAAGTAGCTAGTTTCACCGAGGATTATCAGATTATGCGGCCGAACGAAGTATGCCAAGACTGATAGGCGCTGCACATCTACAAAGCTGTCTCACGAATTAGTGGAGCGTGAACAGATTATCTGCAGTCGCTTACCTCGAGGCGTACACAAGACCGCGCTACTTATTCGTAGACACGACATGTTTGTCCTGAAGCTCACACGTCGTATATGCGTATCGGTGTTCGCTCCCCAACCTGTCAGATATCGTTAGAACCTGTTGGTTTGATATACGCCCGCACGGGGGCTCGTGGAAGATTAATGACAGTGGAAGATGCCGATAGGGAAACGGAGGAGAGCAAGTAAGGAATGGGCCGACGACCATGATGTGCCTGTGGATGCAATAATCGTAGAGAAGAGGGTCTGATAGGAGCTGACAGGAAGAGGCTGCGTGTTGCCGTGAAGGTTTGTTGTAGGAGTTTGGCTACCACAGGCACATGCAGCCGCTGGGAACAAGTCAGAGCACTGCAAATAGCAGTCTCGCCTAGCCAGTTCTATATAGACGGTGGAAGATAGTCGTTTATCGTCCGTGGACAATACATAAGTAAGCAAACCGGCGTAGTGGGTGACTCACTAGTACTGTGAAATTACAACGACTGTCTTCCTTCTAGTCATAGGCTGCCCTCACTTCAGTCAACTAGGATTGGGATGGAAATGTAGGAAGCTTGTTTGAATGGTTGCTAAGGAGTCTGGTTTTGTGAAATGTTCTGAACTCAGAAAGAGCTCAGACAAACTCAGAGTGAAATCAAAGATTCCGAATTCCCTTGGAATTCCTCGCAAGTGTTCAAAATGTCATTGCCTAGGTTTGACAGGAATAAGAACCCTGATAAGGTCGCTGGACACTAGTGGTACGTGCATCATACTGTGTCGCCGAAAAGTCCTCATTACGCTTTGTACTCTAGGCCCCAGGGCAGAACGGTCAAATCAGGAGAACAGTGTTTCAACGTTTCCTTCACACAGACAAACGACAGGGACCTCAATTCACCCTGAACGCCCGCATCCGACATGATTGTTCGATGTTGTTGTTCTTGTACGTTGTTCTGGAGCAGTCTGTAGCCGCGTTTCCGAATTTATGATCTGGCAGTTCCTCAGCGCTTCAACAAGGACCTCTTGACTAACTAATATGAGCGTCTCGTGGGATTCATGACGTGGAGCTACCGGCCGCCCAGAGAAGACACTTTCGAAAGCTGGGGCAAGATCATCCTCTGAGTACTGAATGTGGGCATTGAATCCCACGAACTCGATATTCAACTGGGTCACCGAGTCGGAGGGTGGTCGCCGCAAGGCTGAACAACTAGATCTTGAAACTTGCGTCACTGGTCATTTGATATTCCCGCGTCATTCCGCGGACAGCGCCAATGAAGGCTTACGAGGTGATGCAGTGATGGCGCATTTCATGATTTGATGAAGGGGACTGCCTTCCTTATCAAATGACACGTCGGTTACGATGATTCAAGGGTGCAGAACAAAGTCAAGTCTCCGGAGGTAAAGGCGACTTTCTTATCCCTATTTTATCGTAAGTGGCTTGGCCACCTCAGATCCTAATGAAAAGTCACACGATTTACATCTTCCACATAGTCTTCCACGCACAAAGCTCGTAACTGTTTTCACGGAAAAGCCGCGATCGTAAAGTTCAAGCTGGAATCAGATCGGACATCGAGGCGGAGCGACATAGCCGAGAAACATTGGGGTTCAAGATCATTACAATATCACTAAGAAGGCAATGCATGTCGACACGTCTTGCCACTTTCGCAGCGGATCGTCTGTCATATTCTTTTTCTTCATTTGTTGTAGACCTGACAGAGAAGCTTTGGTCGCTGGAGGATCTTGGTTGACGCCTTCTCCGCACTGATTCCAGGTGATGCAATTTTGGTGATTGTTCCATCGCATTTGCTGTGCCTCCTGGAATTTGTTTGCCCTGCATTTTGGGTTCTTTGGATTTTTTTCTGTCTTTGTATAGCTTGCAACGCCTTTCTTTTATTCTCTTTGCGGTTATCCCGTGGAAGTACGGTGTTGCAGTCTACTCCGACCAGGTCTGGTCAAAAGCTTCCTTTTTTTCGTCGTCTCCCGCGTGAGCTTCACGGCGACTCCACGAGTCTTCTTCGACGTCTTACAATGATTCTCTGTACGTCAATCTGAACTAGTTATTATATCAAGTTTCATTTTCAGGCTACTGTTTCTCCGATTCTTCCTTTTCAATCAACTTCTCGTTTACATTTCTTATAAACGTCTATCTCCACACGAAAACAACCTTTCGAGTCTTTCTCCCCACATCCACCATGTCTCTCTTCGAGCGCACTACAAGAGAGTGCCCAACTCGCCCCCCGCGACTCCAGCCGTCGCCTTCCCTTCCAAATTTACGGTGAGCTTCGGATTTTCCTAGTAGGGTGTTCGATATTGAAATATCGCTCACTCCTTGCCAGACCAAGTCCGCGAGAGATGGTTGCCTCTCGCCACGTGGTTCCCCCGCAATCGAACTTGCGTAACTCTGCTTCCCCAATACCCCCGCAGCCCTCCAGCATCAACGATGGCAGCTCATGTCGTCCAAAGACTTATTCCAGGAAGACCCCGGCCACGAGTGACTACCTCACACCACCCCTTACGCCTTCGTCCTCCCTCCGGAGTGATAGCACCGACCATGAATCCACTGATCTCAACCTTCCCATTGCTGACTTTAAGGGTCTCACCCTCGCCGACTCCGGTCCCGAAAGCAATCAGCACAGCAGGTTTTTGATCGTAAGGACTTGTCGTAGGATTTGTGTAAAGCCATCCTGACGTTTTATATAGATCGGAAATGCGCCCAGCGATCTATCTGAGGATGTGATCGGTCAATATTTCAAGAGCCTTTCATCTCCCAGCGTCACTACCCCCAGGGCGTGGCCTACGCCCTCTACTACGCGTCGCTTTTCGACTAAACCGATACAAAATATTTTCCGTAGGAGTCCGGAAAATCGGGATTTTATAGTCGCATTTTATGACATACGCGATGCTGAACGCGCCAAGCGCATCATTGAGTCAAGGGCATCTAAATGGCTGCAAGATGATGGTACAAAAGCCGTCCCGAGCGCGCAAGCTAATGGTGTTACTTGGGAAGAGGCGTTAACATGCTGTCTTGCGGAATCGGGTCATTGCGCAGAGGTACGGCCATCTCATCACCGACGTCTGCAGTTTGCTAATTTAGCGCTTGCGGAAGCTTCTGGGTACCTTGTCTCCCGCGTTTATGACACGGACGGAGGGCACGTTTTTCATATCTGTTAATGACACTTCGCCCACTCGGGATTTTTCCGCTTCTCGTATTCGAACTCGGAGGCATTTTGCTATTCCGGTCAGAGTCAGGAGTGTGTTGGAAAAATACGGGGATGTCAAGGCCTTCAACCGCATTAACGAAGACAAAGAGAGCTCTACTCAGGCAAGTCTCTCATCATTTCACGATCATTTCACGCCTATCCCCGTTTGTTTCCCGTTATCCACTGCCTACAAGTAGCATGTAGCGTGCTTTCGGCCTAATGGATCACGGGCTTCCCCTTTGAACAACCCGTTTCAGACGTCGCCCGTTCTCGTAATTAACAGGTTATTAACCTTTTGAACATTCTAGATTTTCGTAGCGGAATATTTTGATGTCCGAGATGCGGACGCAGCTTGGGGCGAGCTGGAGGGACATGTCGTGGACAATATGAAACTTAGTCTTTTCAGCAGGTCATCCTTACGCGATAATTCCTTGGAAGTTCAGAAGGAACCCTCGTCATTTAGCAGAGAACGCGAAATCGGGGGCGAACACGCCGCGGAGCCGAAGACACCCACGGCGACCACTTATTTATCGCAAGCCACGTCTAACTCGGCTGGCATTCCATTTCCCGTCTTGAATGACGTCGGTTCAGGTGGATATTACCAAGAACGTGAGCAGCTTGTTTGCGATTCCCGTGACAGTATTGTTGGGTGCCAGGCGTTGAAGGGTAGAAACATATCCACAGCAGGGCCTCACGATCTTCACTCAGTCCATCCTTCTCACAGCCGCGGCGCATCGACTGAGATCAACAACGATAACTTCGTCGCTCCAGGACAGTACGGAAGGCGCAGCTCCAATTACCTGCTATTCGACTCTACTCGCGGTCGTCCTCATCAGACGTTGTTTGATGCGGATAATCACCGAAAGCATAGCATGTATGACCACGAGCAAGAAGTCGGCGATAGTTCCGGCCTAGCAGCGACGGGCACGGCGCCGCCCCTGGGAACGTACTATTCGCCCGAATATTATCATGGCGCTCCATTCGATGTAAACCCCGTACAGCCACCTTGGGTATCATCATCCCCAGTCCCGAACCCTATTTCTATGGCGATGCAATACCCTGCTCCTTCACATTCTCCCATGTCTTCTCCCCCTGTATATTGGGATGCCATGAGTGGTAATTGGGTCACCTTTCAATCACCCAGTGTTCTAGAACCATGGACCATGTACACATCCTCGCATTATTATCCGCAGCCATCGCACCCGGTAGCAGAGTATGCCTTCCCTTATGCTGCGTCGTCCCCTCCGCTCCAACCAGGCACTGTTGCCACGCGCCCACCATCGCTGACCCATCCCTCATCTCGCGTTCCCCCCGAGGGCAATCAATTGGACATTAAAAAGATCGAGCTCGGTGTCGATACGCGGACCACGGTAATGGTCAAAAATATTCCGAACAAAATGACCGACAAGGAGCTGATCACGTACATCAACAAAGTTTGTCCTCGGAAAATTGATTTTCTGTACCTGAGGATGGATTTCCAGAACGGTATGACATTTGCGGCTTTAACAGCGTTAGCGGATACTAATAAAGTGGGCGCAGGATGCAACGTTGGCTACGCCTTTGTCAATTTCATATCGGTCCAGGATTTGTTACGTTTTGCAAAGGCCCGCCTGAATGAGAAGTGGTAAGAGATACGTGCCATGTGGTGCACGGCGTTTACTGACCTTATCACCCAGGAACATTTACTCGAGTGAGAAAGTGCTTCAGATGAGCTATGCGAACTATCAGTGCGTTGCGTCCCGCATTCATTGACACCGCTAAGTGCAAGCTCTATGATAGGGGAAAGGAAGCCCTCGTGGAGAAGTTCAAGAATTCATGTATTATGGATGAGCGTGAGGAATGGCGTCCGAAGATTTTTTACTCCGAACCCGGGCCGAATCAGGGACTTCCAGAGGAGTTCCCGAAGCCCACCCATATCCGGAGGAAAGAGCGCAGCTCGTACAACCGTGGGACTCTGTACCCTCCTGGTGTTAGCACCGGCGGAGGTCACTACAGGTATCTCAACGCCGGAAACGTCAGCAACGTTGCCAACGCTAGCTCGCGACAACAACCACGTGAGTCCGGCGAGGACAGACGGCGTCGACGTGGTGCTGAGAGTGTCCCTTTCCCCTCCATGGTTGGGGTTGAGGTTGAGGATACCACGCGAGCTTGAGTCAGCTGAGATCGCGACAGGGTATCTATCTCCCTTCAAAGGCTTTCGCGTCGCTGTTGCAGGTGGCCAGTAACATTTGCTGGGAGCGCAAAGCACGATGAAAATCGTTAGTCTCATATCGTACGTTATCTTTCCGGTCATTCTGATGATTGCTCCATCTCATCCACCCGTTACGTGTTGTACCTGTATCCCCGAGTTATCTTATGCTTTAACCCTATTTGTTGTCTCCCCTGCGCGTCGTTTATTCCATCATTCCATCCCCCTTCTCTCATATCTCGTTGATATCCTTTTCGCTATATTTATGCCAGCTGTTGCCGTTGTTTTCGTTGCATTGTATCTCGCATTGCTTTTATCACATGAGAGTTGTTGATTCATCATGATACTAGTAGTAGTCTCCGTCGTCGTGTATCGTGATTGCCATGTATTTGCAGGACGGGAAATTGCAGTGAATTTGAATGATGATGTTTCACGTACGCTCGAGCAAAGGTTGTGCACACTCCAGACCGCCGCTCCTGGTTAACAATTTGGCGTTATTAATTTTTTCGATCGTCGGCGGTGCTACCTTGGCGCCAGCCCAGCTGCGCAGCCGGAAGCGAGCACCTTCATCATTATTAAAGCCCCTACCGTTGGCTGACATCTCATATCTCACATTTCAACGTTACCTCAGGGGGCCCATCGAGAGAACTATTGTTAGCACGTTGGGTAGGCTGTTCAATATAAATATTAATGCGTAGAAGCGCTTCATCTGAGGCGGCCTTGCAAGTACTTCTAGCCAATAAGAAGTACTCAGTCCTCAAAAGGCAATCATGTAAGGAGGTTGGCGTTGCTGCTTCCGCTCAGTGCTGGACTCAGTTCGCCCTTAACGGTATCCCTGGCAAGTAATGGATTCAGCCCTCCTTAAAGTTGACGAAGAGAAGGCACGCCATGCGAAGCGTGTAAAGCTCAGGGAGCTGAACGCCGCCATGGACGTCCACGGTGAGTCACAGCACTCATTCATACCGGGAGGCATCTAATTGCGAATAACAGTGGAGTTGTCCAAGCTGGACTCTTCCTTGAAGCGTCACACTGGCCTGATCAAGCGCATGCGCCAGTCTCTTGGTACCGATCATCGTGACCAAATTCTTAAGGACATAGACTCGCTGTCATTGGAAAAGTACATCGACGAGATAGCTGGGGTCACCCTAGAAGGAATTTCGAGATGCAAGACGGAGAAGGATGTTTGGAGTGCTGTTGAGGTGGGAAGGAACTTCCGTGGGCGCCGCATGCATTAACCCCATAACAATTCCAGGTCATTTCCGCTCTCCACAGACGCTTCCCCGCAGCGTTTACTCCTACCCTCATTTCATCCTTGTCTACCGCACTTGCAGCCCCTTCTCGTGCAGCCCTCTCTGCCTTGCCTCCCGAACAACGCGAGAAGGAGGATTCTACCCGAGTCTCTCGACAACGTCCCATTCTCCGTATCTGTTCTGAGCTGGCATTGGTCGGAATCATTACCGATGGACAGAAACGAAGCGGTGGTGAATGGATAATGAAAGTACTGAGGGAATTGGTAGGTTTCTTGTTAATTTCTGCTCAGGGACTGACTGGTGTCTGTCAAGTTGTCCAATGATCCAACGTTGTCGTCTCTACCTCTACTTTCCACATTTCTGAAGTCGTACTCGAGACCCTATTTGGGCCTGACGCCTCCCCAGAGCAAGCAGATATCCGCTGAAGCGGAACCTGGAACCTTGTCTTCAGCAACCACGAACGCCACCCAGGGAGAGTTCCCAGCGCTCTTGAACGAGGGCGAGGAACTTGTTCAACAAGAAATTCGCGATCGATTCAAGCGCATGTGCGAAGGTTATTTCGACAGCGTTTCTAAGAAACTCGTCATAGAGCACAAGGTATATTCGGAGGGTTTTTTCTAGAAAAAATTAATCCTCCATTTTTGCAGCGCCTGCAAGATCAAGATCGTAGGAATCATGAAGCATATATCCGCTCTGGGGAGATTTTTGAGGATAGGCAACAAGCGTATGAGAAGATGACGAAAGGCTACGAGAAACTGCTTGCGAGCTGCCAAACGTCGGTTTGAAACCAAATTTCTAGCGGTTATAAGCCATTGATTCTTCTGTTTTCAGGCTCTCGGAACTGCTGTACCTGCCGATGCCATCATTGCCTACGGTATCTCAGAAATCAGATTCCATCCAAATTGGAGCAAATGCTGTCTCGGGTGATGATGATGCATCATCTTGCGACTTCTGGAGGTAAATGGGAGGATGAGGAGGAGCGTCGCTTCTTTGAGGACATCCAGGACCTAAAGGACTTTGTGCCAAAGTCAGTGTTGGGCATTGAGAGCGAAGAGAAAGAAGATAAAGAGGCCACAGAAGAAAGAGAAAGGGCGCTGAAAGAGAAAGCAGACGCTGAAGCGAAGAAACTAGAAGAGGAATTGGAGGGCCTGAAACTGGACGGAGATCAAGCGAACGGAAAAAAGGACAGTACCGCCGAAGTCGAGATGCAAGAGGGGGAACCCGATGGGTGTGTCTATCAGTTAGTTTGAGATTGCAGTGCGACTTATACTGCTTAGTACGATCACTCCGACACCGACATCTCCAGCCAAGGTCCCAAGTCCCCCGTTGTCTCCTCAACTCGCTCCTCAGGGACCATCACAGCTGCTCACTGCTTTGCTGGCACGCCTCCCCGATGCAACAAATCGTGCCATGATTGACCAAGCTGCAATTGATTTCGCGTTTCTGAACTCCAAGGCGGCTAGGAAGAGGCTCATCAAGGTCAGTAAATAGGCTCATTCCCGGTGCGGATCTACTGACAGCTCCATAGTTCTTGGGTGCTGTACCAAAGAATCGTACCGACTTGCTTCCTCATTATGCAAGGTTTGTAGCAACTTTGAACAGATACATGCCGGACATTGGTGCCGAGCTTGTGGCACTGGTGAGCTTTATATCAGCTCGATAATGTCCCATGTCACGGCTGATTTTCCAGCTGGATGAAGAATTCCGCTATCTGCAGCGAAAGAAAAATGTGGTGAAAGAGCTTGCAGAAGTTCGCTTGAAGGTGAGCGAACAATCCACTCACTCAATCCCCCCATGCTAATCAATAGAAAGAACACCACATATTTATCTAACTTGACGAAGTTTTGCGTCGTGCCTTCTCATCTTATTCTCCATATGTTCAAGGTTTGCCTGGACGATTTCTCCGGAACAAACGTCGAAAACATATCTATGCTCCTTGAAGGGTGCGGTCGCTTTTTATTGCGCAGTGACGACACTAGGGAAAGATTTGGTACCATGGTCAGTTTACATCGTATGCAGGCTGACACCCACTAAATGCTCATATTACAGCTTGAGCTCATGAGGCGTAAGCAAAGTATGCAGCACTTCGATCAAAGACAGATCCTTCTACTTGAAAACGCATATTATCAGGCCAGTTTATCTTACTTGGCGGAACAAGTGTACTCACACGAATGATGCAGTGCAACCCACCGGAGCGAGCACCGAGACAGGAGAAGGAGCGCACTCCTTTGGAACTCTTCATCCGCCATCTTATATATGACGTCCTGGCCAAGAAGACCATTGATAAAGTCCTTAAGCTCCTTCGCAAGCTTGATTGGGATGATCCAATCGTCCAGCGTGCTCTGCATAAAGTTTTTACCAAGCCTTGGAAAATAAAGTATAGCAACGTCAATTTGCTGGCCATGCTGACATACGACCTGCAACGTTACCACCCTGCTTTTGCGATATCGGTCGTAGACCAGGTCCTCGAAGACATTCGAAGAGGCTTGGAACAGAACGTCTATAGCACGAATCAACGCCGCGTGGCGACAATAAAATACCTGGGGGAACTCTATATCTACCGGCTGTTGGGGTCGAGCCTAGTGTTCGATACCTTGTGGTCGCTGGTCACGTTCGGACATCGTCAGTACATAGCACGATTTTGCATGGCTCGACTAACTCCTATTCCATAGCTGAAGGACGTCCATTGCCCCGTCAGCCTTGCCCACTGGATATGCCTAATGATTTTTTCCGCGTTCGTCTCGTTTGCGTTCTGCTCGACACGGTTGGCATGTGTTTCGACCGAGGAACTCAGAAGAGGAAACTTGATAATTTCCTCGTTTTCTTCCAGGTAATCTTATTCGCCATCTTATCCGCGATGATACTTACACCATCGTTCTGCAGTACTATGTCTTATCCAAAGAAGATCTACCCATGGATGTTGACTTTATGCTGTCCGATTCAATCGAGGCGAGTGAACCTACTTTAGATAGTACACCTGACCTCAGTTCGCGTACAGGCTATCCGACCCAAGATGTCGATGTATAAGATAATAGAAGAAGCCGCCGCCGCCGTTGATGACATGTTTCAACGCTGCTTTGCAGAACGCTGGCTGTACGATCGTTTACCACTTTTTGTCTTGGACACTCAACTCACGACCTGAAATAAGTGTCGACTGGTGAGGATAGTGGCGAAGATAGCGACGAAGAAGGTGAACGGCCTCAACAAGAAGAGGATGACGATGGTGATACTACTGGTCAGGAATCTTCGGTAAGCGACAGCGCTATCCGTGCAATAACTAAAGTTTGATCATGCCTCCCAGAACGAAGATCGAGCGCCGTCTCCAGACGCTGTTATTGTCTTATCTACACAGGAACGTCTCGGACCAACTGAAGAAGCTGTTGCTGATTTTGAGAAAGAGCTTGCCAAGATCATCACAGACTCCTCTGCTGAGTCTAGAAAGCTCGACAAGAAGACAGCTTGGTGGGATTCTGCCGTCCTCGCCCCCAATTTGCGCAAGAAGCGGGTTGAGGAGGGTGATGTCGATGCTGGTGGCGACAACAATTCGGATGGCAACGCCGTGATGCACTTCACTGTCATCACGAAACGTGGCAGTAAGCCGCAGGTGCGTGCCTTCATCTTAATCACCACTATTTTATCCTCATCGACGATGGTAGAGTCGCCATCTTCTTGTACCGGCTGAATCGGCGCTTGCTGTACACACACGATCCGCGCAACTTCAAGACAAGGTAGAGCAACAACATCTCAAACGTTTAGTCCTGGACTACGAGCAGAGAGAGGAAGCAGAAGAAATGAAAGGTTCGATCCACACGTTTACGAATGTCACAAAAATTAACGCGTAGTTTAGCCCTCGAATCCCGTACCAAGGCTGGTGGGATCAAGATCCGCTATGTCGGATAGCCCTAACTACATCGTCTATCGCATCAAGTCTCATCCATAGCCTAGATCGATGCATCGGCGGCGGCGCTCTTGCGCAACGACGGTTTTTGAACGAGTTTCATACCGCCTCCGTGGCACTCAGCGCTGTCATTCTCGCATGCACTGTGAAGCTGACCTGGCGGTTTCCTTGGCTGTTCGCTCAGCCCGTGGCTACCACCCGTAAGCATCATCTCATGTTGGCTGAAATCACCTAGTAGCCGCATTTCTTGCTACACCCTTTTGTTCTCTGTTTAGTTCCTGTAATCTATCGCCTAACATCCGTTCAGTATGGAATCGATTCCCACGTGTTTCAACGCAATTTTTGTAGTCAAGGTTCGTTCTTAGCTAGATGTCTCGTCTAAGTACGCGGTCCTTGAAAACAATAGAAACCCCAATCATAGCAAAGTAAAACAACAAGTTACTACGGGTATTTTTCATAAACTTTAGATTGGTACCTGCGCAGGTGAGGCTCCTCAACGTCTCTGTTTGGCTTCCTTTTTCGACATATACACGCAGCTAAACACTTGAACTTTTCTTCTGAACCACGGCAGCATATCTGCTTCGATAAGAGGACAACCATCCAACCGCAATGACTCAATTTCGGACCTGCACCCAGGCTGATTCCCATCCACAGTGACGGGCTGATCAGCGTGCAGGCGAGTCTTGACAAGGGAATAAGCACTTCGGGTGAGCAGGTCGTCACAGCTAGAGAGGTCGACATGCTTCAAGGAGGCGCACACGTCTTGATTATTATCGTTTGGATGTGTACCAGAAATGAAGTCAAGTACATCATTGACGACTCCGTGTATCCTTGATATCTGCAGGGTCTCCAATAAAGGCGCGCCAGCGAGGATGATCTTCAGCGAACTGGCGGTAGTGGTGCAACTTCCAACCCGGAGCTCCCTCAAAGCCCGAAGAGGATCGGCGTGCGCAAATGCCAGGAGCACGTCGGATGAACGGCCAATGGAGAACAAGTGCAGGACTTGCAAATTGGGTGCGACGACAACGCGAGTGATCAAAGAGACCAATTGAATGTTGAACAGTTTCATGCATCGGAGGTCGGAAAGTTGCATACAGCTGTCGCCGTCTGACTGCACTGGGACTGGGACTAAATCATAAAGTATGAGGTTCTCCAGTGATGGATTGGCCTTTAAAGCCGGGAGTATCTCCACTAATCCTGCGTCGATGCTCATAGTTTTGAGCCGATGCACCCGACTCCATAGCTGGTTCATCGAACGGGTAAAGGTGTCGACTTTCAAGGTCTCTAGGTGAGAGTCTTCGAAGTCTGGCAAGAATTTCTCGAAACCCTCACACCCTGTGATATCCAGATGCTCGAGACGCGAAATGATTTCTGTCTTGGACAGTTGGTGGAGCAGATTGTGTATTCGGGAGAACAAGGTTCCAGATACTGCGAGAGAACGAAGGGAATACCAAGATAATGGCGTGAGTTCCGAGAGGATGGATGACCATTCCATCTCTGGTATATTATGATGGAAAGAAAGGTCCGATATCTGGGTTCGAGCTCGCTGCACCCATAATTGTATCTTTCTAGCGGGATGGTTCTTCGAAACCACCAGGGTCTGCCAAAGCGAAGGAGTCTTGATAGCTATGCCACGCCAATGTTTGCAGACATGTGTCAACTTGAGAATCTGCGCATGGTCGGCAGCGATTACGAGACCAAAGATCTCCGAGAAGATTTCCACAGGCAACTTGCCGATGTGGTATGCTGTCTTTGCAATGCGCGCTCGCCGTCTTTCTTTAGCAGCCTTTAGGGAATCGATTGCTTGCGACTTCAATGCATCAAGTTCTTGACGACGTTGGACATCGTCTGCTTTGATGCGCTCGAAAGCAAGGTCAATCATTTTGAGGGCCGCCTCGTCCTTGTTAAGCGCATGAAAGAGACGTGCTGAGCGAGCATAGCCTTGCCAACGATCCGGAGCAGTATCCACAACTTTCTTCGCGTCAATGAGAGCGGCCTTATTGTTCCCAAGTTTCTCGTGCACGGCAGCACGAGAATCATAAATGGTGAAGGAGTCACAGCCGAGTGAAATGGCCTTCACTCTAGATAAGTACAAGTTGATTGGACAGGTTTGATGAACATACTTCGTCGAAGAAAGCAAGGGCTTCTGAGTATTTATTTCTCTTGAAGTTAGAGACACCTTGCTGAAAGCTAGCTTTCCAAGACATCAACGACAGGTGGATAGATAAGTCAGACTTAGACGTCATGGAGCGCATCGCGTCGCGTCTGTTTGTGTCATAAATGGCAATTCTTTCTCACCTTCAGCAAAAGCGCGACGCGTCGAGGACTCGAGCCATCCGACGAGGACGAGTACTACATAAGGGTGACTTAAGAGTTCATTCTTAATGTCAGATTCCGATGATGACTTCCCTGATGACTTCGTCTGGGATGATCAAACACTGGCCGTCCTTGACGAGGAGGAGTCCAGGTTCAAGCGTACCGCTCAGCCCAGTACAGAGGACCTGCCACCCCCCGCGAAGCGACGAAGACTAGACACAGGTCATTCGTTGAATTCTAGTGTCTTCAATCATTCTACTCCTGAAGATACCGAACATTTACCGAACATCACTGTGAGCAGTGATGGTACGTACGGGGTTGAACGGCAGGGACCTACCGCATTGGCTCCTCGAGCTGCACTTAATGGCAACATGAGATCGCCTGGAACGAACATCAGGAAGGACGGAGTAATAACTTCAAACAATCCCATTGTCACTGGCCAAATTTCTAATCCTCGTGTATCCTTACAACGACCCAGTCAGTCTCGTAACCCAGCCCCTACAACGCGTCCTGCTCAAGCTCCCTGTGAGCGAGTGGCATCTCAACCTTCACGGAGCCAATCTGTTTCTAGACCTCCTGTCGCGGAGCCGTCTCCTGCCGCTATCTTCGATGCTCAGCTGGCGGATATGCGAAGGCAAACGAACGAGGTTTGATACCCTGTACTCTAATGGGTAACGGATGTAGTAACATTACATTCTGTATGCCTAGCTTCGCAAAGAGAATGAGAGGGTGCAGGAAGAGTTGCGGTGCATGCTTTCTGCTAAACTCGCCAAAGATGGAGAAGTTGCAATACTCAGGAAAAACATTGAGAAGGTACCTCACCATGAATCGGCCACCTCAGGACAACTGAAAGCCTACTTAGACAGCTCAAGATCACGCAGCGCAAATAGGCGAAGCTCAGAGCGGCCAAGGAGGACTCAGAGGCCAAACAAACACAGATGCAAAAAGAAATGAAAGCGGAGGCAGACCGCCTGAAGACGCTGTTTACTTTCAAGGTATGGAAGGCTTTATCTGCTCACTCAGAGACTGAGGATGCACCTTGACAGCAACATGAGATTGAGACATCTACCCGAAAGTCTCCACGGTCTCCGCGTGCCAAAAAAGCCCCAATAGCACCCCTTGCGACGCCTCTACCTTTGCCTTCACAGATGCAAAGGTGGAACCAGGGCGGAGCTGTGGCGGGCCCTTCAAGAGTCCTGCAGGAGAGTCCCACCCGACCTCGCTTTGGCGAAATTGCAAATAATGAGCGTACAAGGAAACCGGTGGTTGAAAACCGAAATTTACCATCCGGATTCCAGGCCTCTGCATCCACTATAACGTCGCGGGTGACGGATTTCAGGAAAGGGAAAGAAAAGGCATCTGACCTGGGGCAGAGAGATCCATTAAAAGTGCAATCAAATAGCGACCCTCCGCCAACTTTTGGTGGCGGGCAGGGTGGCGGGCAGACAAACCCATTTCAAACGGCCCAGGATGATATTTCTGGCGCTATGATCCAAGATGACGGGTTCATGGCCGATTCTATCATGGATATGGACTTCAATGCACAGGACGACGTTGAAATGACCGACGGAGCCCAGGATCCACAGCTAAAGGCCACTGTGGACGAAGAAATTGAAGAGGTGGAACCTCATAGGTGGATTGTGGATGTAAGTTTTCGCCACCCATTGTGCCCTGGCCATAAGTAACAACCAGAATAGTTGCATCGACTTGTCCTAATGCACATCGAACCGACCTGCAGGATGACTACATTCCATGCGTTGTTGGGAGTTTCACTGCCGACTGGCCCCAAATCAGATACATATACTTCTGCATGTTCTCGAATACTTGACGTTCTCGCTAGTGTACCCGCTCAGGATCATCAAGCTTGGGGACTGGCAGCCCAGACGATTTGCCGGGCTCTAACAGAAATGGCAGATCTACTAGCCGCCTCTAACCATGTAAGTGTTTGATATATATTGTTTTTCTGTTCATGAATATCCCCCTCAGATAGTCTCTCTGGCTGCCCTTCTTAGTCAGCTAACTCAAATAACGTACACTCTTCCAACACCTCATCTATATCTCTTGTCGGACAGTACGACAGACGTCGAAGAAGACGCTGTTCCTCGTATTCTCGCCGTGATATGTTCCGTTATTCAGGACCACGTCAGTAAACTAGACAATCACGAAACAGAGAAATCAGAACGAGGTCTACTCGCCAAGGAGTCGATCGCACTGCTAGAAGCCCTGTGTTGGAATACTCCGAGTGACCTGGAAAACAGGTGATGAGCACATGTTTCCTATTCACTCTTGGCTGACGAGTGGTGTAGACTGGCCTTCGTACCTCGTTGCCCTTCGGTGTTATCGATACTTCTGGATTCCTCTCGACCAATGTGGTTTCTTTTTCAAAGTACACGCATGCTTTCTTGGTTCTCAACTCGTGAGCATGACCCTCCCGCGGCAATCAACCGTTTGTTTATAATCACGCTTAGGACCCGTCCTCTCTCAGTCCCTTTTGTCATTTCCTGACACTGAGGGGCAATCACAGGACTTTACTCGACTCCCTCATGTCGAGCGGATGTGTTCTCTCTTGATTGATTCAAGTAGAACGGGTGACGAGGTACGCACGGCAGTACGACTTTTATATGATATCATTATACCACGACAGGCCGATGGGATCAAGCGACACATCCTGACATTTTTTGGCATGCTTTCCGGGGCCCATCCAGGTGCTCACACGATTATCATCGAGTCACAATCTGTGGTACCCTCGATCATTTCTTATTTGTACGGACTAGCAGCACCGGTGTGGCAAGGTGACGAGGCACTGGAGTCTGATCCCCAGGCCGCTTCACGGTAACGGATTTTCTGCCATATACTAGCCGCACTTATATATTTTTTGTTTAGAGTTATTCAACGGATGAACCAAACGACGTTCTTGTTGCACAATTTGGTATTTAAAGCCGATGCTCAACGATTACGAGAACGTCTAGAGCACGCACCACGCCACTACAACGGCCTCGTACATCTGTTTATCGTTACCATGGGACGTCTCAGCTTTGCTGATGCGCCCGAATGGGTCCAAGAGAAAGATAAGCTGGAAATGGAGAGAGTTGCCGGTATGCTGCTAATCATTTTTTGTATTTCTGGCTAATGACGGTACAGGGCTTGCGAGGGAGCTATTGGAGCTATTGGTGGACGCGTCAGAAATGGATGCCATATGGGCTACGTACCAAGAGCCAGACGAAGAGGATGATGATGAGGAAATGGAAGCTCGACGGCTCGCCGCCAACGACATCTAGTGCGTTGTCTAAAGATCTTACGATGTGAGAAGCTGCGTCATATTCACGAAGCCGTCAATGATATCTCTGCATGCGTATCTGCTGGCTCGCCCCATCTTAGGCACCCTATTTTGTACATGTCATATGATGTGCGCAACAGTGTGGCTGTTTGAAAACATTCCAAGTTCCTGAGTTACAAGGACAAGGTGAGGTTAGGATCTGGAACGCGCATTCTATGCTATCCTTGATCATTGGTCAACTGCACGGAATCCCATGTGGGACTGGCCATGGATTCGGACGTCAGAATGCTCGCCTTGTCCTGTAACACAACGCGAACTCTTGCACGTAAGAAATCAAAATATCATTTGCGTGCTCGTGGATCATTAATATTGTCGGGGTGGCGTACCCACCATGCAGTCTCTCTGTATTTTTCCATCCGCATCACTACAAAGTTCTGTCAACATGATCAACATGCATATACATGTGCCCAAGGATCCGGACATGGCAGACAACCTTGTTGAATCTTGCCACCTTACAGTAAACTCTCTATCAGCGCTTGGAAGTGTCATTGTCAAGAACTACGTAAGAGCTTTTCCGAGCTCAGGCGAACCAGACGAAGCACAAGACGTCACGTCCCCACAAGCTGCGCTTCTCGATGGCAATCCAGCTTGCGTTATCTCTTTGAATATTTGTGTCTCGTGGCTCCCGGGTGAAGTGTCAATGTCATGTCTCAGTGACACTCGCTCTCGAGTCACCATGTCAGACCAGGGTCCATAGTATACACCATTCACATTTGAAACGGTGTGCCTATCACTCAAATGTAGTGCCTGTAGCCTGTCTGATTTTCGATACACAAGTTTGTAGGACCAGAGAATGCACGCCAATTGAGGTGCGGTTCACCTTGGAGTTCAGCGTGTGGATACAATCTGAGTCCTGTGTGCTCTGTGTTCCCCCGGATAAAGGAACAGACTCGCGCATTGAAGTCACAGCATGTGTTTGCAACTTTGCAAACAATGAATCGAACTGCCAGTACCATGATGCTATCACGAGCAAGCGATAACAAATCAGATAGTCCTAGCGAGTTACTCTAGGTTCTAGACTCCTAGTAGTTGCACATCCGAGTCGGTCCTTGGCACTTACAAGCAGACATCGGAAGATGAAATCGGAGATTAGATAAGGTGGTTATGCACTCATATAAAGCGACCGGAAAAAATGTTCCCCTCGATCACGTCACTTATGAACGCCTGTCATAAGCGCTCAATCACGTGCACAGCGTATTCTTATCCCCCTCAAGGGTAGAAGGCATCTGCCAGCAGTGAGCAACTTGGCAGTGAATGGTGTAAATGTGCGTTGCAGCGGCACGATTCCACAATGGTCGCCCATAAATTGAAAGATTTAATCTTCAGATCAGTATGCCACCATGGCTCACAACACCGACTCATCCAGCGCGCAGATCTATGCTGAGGCCACATGGCTGCATGGTACCATCGTAGCTGCCATATTTTATGGCGTGGTGGTCGTAATGTCTTACATGTGCTGGCGCTCTCTCTGGTCGCGCATTCGTTTGCATGCCACTGGCTACAGGAAAAACATATTCTTTTTCTGCTATGTCACTCTCCTCTTTGTGTTGGGTACGATGTATATGGCGCTCACCGCGGAGGAGGCGCAACTGTCCTTCATCTACAATCGTCAGTATCCCGGAGGTATATGCAAACTGTGAAGTAGACTGTATCGTATACTTATGTTCTTTCACGCATACAGGTCCTAGTGCATTCGCGAGGATACACTTCTCACCTCCACTTGGTGTTGCCCTCCTGCTTTCGAATTGGTTAGCAGACCTATTGATGGTAAGTATACACTCACATCTCCCATCTCACTATTGATCACATCATAAGATTTGGCGGTGTGTAGTAGTATATAGAGATACCAGATTACACCACGTTATCTTGGGAATTGGAAGCCTTATGTTCATCACGTCTCTCGGTATGTGCTGGACCGACCTCTCTCATTCGCAATCCCTCCTGACCCTTCTCAAGTCACCGGAACTATGTGGCTCGTCATCATGTCAAGCCCAACAAAAGCCACAAGCGGCTGGATGTCCATCCGCTTCCTCTTCCCATACACCTGCGTCGCCCTCGCCATCAACATCATCGTCAGTCTCCTCACCGTCTTGCGCCTGCTACATCACCGCCGCCGACTCTCCAAAATCCTCGGCCCAGGCCACGGCGCGATCTACGCCAGTTTCGCAGCAATAGTCATTGAGTCCGCCTCCATCTACTCAATATGCTCGCTCCTTTACCTCATCCCGTTCGTCGTCCACAACCCGCTCTCAGATGTATTCCTGCAAATACTGGGCGAGGCGCAGGTAAGTTTGCTCATACTACTCGGAACACATTGTGACTTACGTTTGTACTCTAGATCATTGCCTCACTCCTTATTATCTTTCGCGTCGCAGAAGGCAAGGCCTGGACAAAACGTTGCACCACCCTCGACAACTCAACCGTTGAGAGCTCCCTCCAAATGCGGCGGATGCCCCAGACCTTTCCTACGTCTGTTCCACCAGATCAGCTGACTGTCGAGATTAACTTCGACGAAGAAACCAACCCCGATGTATCCGTACAATCGCCAAAGTCACGCCACTTTGCCAGTAAGGCTGATGCCCCAGTCGACAGCGCGGTATAAGACTCGCCGGGCTGTGCGTATGAATCAAAAACTTGGGAGAAAAGGCAGAATGCACGAATTTCTCGAGGACTGGAACATCTGTCCCTGCCTGCCCTCCGTGTTTCTAGTCCTGGTTCAGCGGATGGGCTCGCCGTGGTCCATGCGTTTTCATCAATCAGTCTCGTTTTTGTGTGTTTTTTTTTGTGTTATTGCAATCCGCTCTGCCAGCACCGTATCATTGAATGGACTTTTCCGTTTCACATATCGCAGACCCGAAATGTTTCCGCGGAATTAGCACGCTACTCGTACACAATGTATATTGAATACCTACATTATCTAGCGCTCTTAATTGACCGCTTTCTTGTCATAGGACACGCATGCACACATGGTATCATCGGTATGTAGACCACACGAAGAGTGTTAGAAATGAATTTTGTCAACATTTTGACCAGAGTTCAACGGTGTAGAAGACGAGTTTCCGAATGAAAATGCATCCTTTGTGTAGCGCTCACCCCGAATGATAGACAGGTATAGTGATTGAATGGCCCCAAAATTCGATATACATTTCTTGCATGCATCCGCAAGTCATTGATTAACCAACGTTTGGCGGGAAAGTGCCCAGAGACTTGAACTTTTCAGCAAGTGATTCCCAGACACGGTTTGAGGGCATCAAGACCTCACCTCGTGACAAAACTTCTTGCGCCATTGGAATGCCTTTTTGTCTGCATAACTGGCTGCTTCCAAGATCTGTCCTCTTTTCACGGCGAGAGCACAGGCTTCTGCACGATACTTGACGGTCCAGCGTCGTCTTAGCTTTGCCTGAAGTAGTTCGTAAGACCCAAACGAGGCAACCGGGTGCTCAAGTCGTGCAACGTACGGATAGGGCGGAGTTATTAGAAGCACTCGGTTTACCAGCTTCCTCCCCTGGCCAGCCATCCACCGCCGCGGATTTGACCTCACCACCGCTTTCAAGCCACAGTTGCCAGAGACAGTCATCCCAGTCGAGTGATCGAGATCGGAAAAGAGAGAAACGTTCGGTACACCACGAAGAATAATCCTTGGGAAGAACAACAGGGGACATCGGGGCGAATGGATATATCCTACGGCTATTGTTACCCAGTACGAGAGGTAGCGGGGACGTCGACCGAACAATGGAGTTGTACACATTGTCACTTGATAGGTGCGAAGGTAAACCATCGGGGAACAGGACAACCCGATCGGTGGGCGCCAGGAGACGAGCAACGTTCAAATAGGCATTGGCGGATCCTCCAGAAGAAGACGAGACTTGGAGTACGTGGAACGACAGACCGGATGAGGCACGTGTATCATAGAGGTCCATAAGTTCCGGAAACCTTTTGAGCATGTTAAGACGGTCCGTTGAACCTAACTGTGCAGAGACGGTCACGATGACCAAAGACATGGGTCCTAGAAAACAGTAAGCGATTGCGCTCCACAACCAAAGACTCAGTCCAGTTCACCTTGCCAATTTGTGAGTGTGGTAAGAGTATCGTGTAGCCTCTCTTCCTCGACCCACAGGCAAGCGGTGAGGTCACTGTCCGCCGAGGAATGAGTAGCCAGGGTGAAGGTTTCCAGATGGCCAGGTGGTGGAACATTGGGAAACGCAATGGATATTCGCTGGTGAATCGATGAATTTGAAAGAGGGGAGACACGATACGTTGTGTCTAACACGTCCGAATCTCAGAAAATATGTATTCCAATACCCTTAGCGACGTACTTGAGACATAATCCATGTGCGGGCGGCCTGCTGCAACGGCACCTCGCAAGGCGCTATGCATTTTGAAAGACAGGAAAAGAACGCTCACGCAACAGTACAGAGACAAAAAAAATCGCAACCTTCCTAGGTGCCCATAGCGGAAGCGATGGAGGTCCTCGAGCAGAAATCCAGGGAAGTTAGTTATGAATCGCGCGACGCCAGACAGGGGTCCTGGATGGGAAGAAGCTTCTAATACTGCGCTTTGAAGGCGAGGTGATTGGCTGTTGTTGGCATGAACTGATGATTGGTTCTCAAGGTGGACACTTGCCCCTCTAGCGTGACGGTGATATGAACCAGTAGAAGATAAGTAGCTCTGGAAACTGCCTGAGCCGGAGAGAAGTTGTGGGCCTTTGTTAAGTTGAGGAAGTGAAGTACTAGCGCCGAGTTGGCTCATAGGTTCCATGCTTGTCGCGCCAGTGTAAGTTAATCCCCAACTGATCAAGGTGAGTTGTGTATTAGCAGCTGACTAAGTCTTCCCGGTATTAATTCAACAGTACTACTTGTCGAGTAAGTATCACTAATTACTCATCTTCCTCGACATCACCGAACTCAAACATCCCAGTACGATCGCGCTTTCGCTTCAGCAACTGCACCCTGCAGTTTACTCATAATGTGTGGATATGCACCAAGGTACCTGCAGCCCTTGCGGTCAATTGATGCCAGACCCTCGCGCAGCAGGTCAGCGTTAATGCAAGCCAAAGGATCTCGCATAGCGACGGGGTCATTAGGATCAATGAGACGCAGGTGGAGCGTAGTGCCTTCCTTGTGGTCAATGTTAGCAACAAGTTTGCGATCTTCGCACAGTTGACGGAAGCGCTGAACAGCATCTGCGTGGTACTCGCTTTCAGAAGACACAAGCCTGACGAAGCTGCGCAAAACACCATCAGTTCGATAAACACAAAATGCAGAACTGCACGATTACCTTAGGCGAGCATCTTGCGCTTGACCGGGCAGGGAGCGGAATTTGGGATCGAGAGGACGGATATTTGAAAATGCGACAGTATCTTGGTTTCCATAGTCGATGAATGTCACCTCAGCTTCCTTCTTAACTGCGGATGTACGACGAATCCTGGCACGATACCATGACCCATCCGAAAACTTGGCAGATACCAAATCTCCTGCTTTCGGCACGAAATTTGACGGTGCTGGCTGTGCGACGCGATGGTGTAGAGAAAAGTCGCGCATCAGCTTTTCCAAGGTCGCGATGCCTGACGAACACGATCAAAAATAGCCATTCGGTGATTCTGTGCGAGGCTTACCCTCAGTGTTTAATATTTGCACTGAGAAACCGAAGGCATTTCCTGGCCGGATATCACTGATAATGACGTCCAGATATTCCGACTTTAAGCCTCCAGCGTCATCTTCAGCAGCGGGAGCCTGAGCAGCCTTCTCTGCCTCTTCATCATAGTTCTCCCACAACTTCGAACAGGATCAATCATCAAACAAAAGCGCATCAAAGGTATTTCTTACGTTTCGTTGTGCTTGCTTGGCTTCTGCCTAAAATATAATAGCATCAAAAAAAGGCTTGACATCTAAGAATCCAGGTAACGCTTACTTCAGCTGCGTAAAGTTGTGTCGACCAGGACAAGCTGTCGGCGGAGAAGGAATGTACCGTCGCAAGGCCCTCCTTGACTAGAGAAATCGCGGCATTTTCACTCTTCAACCATAACGTTCCAATGAAACCGCCAGATTTATCGACGGTGTCCACTTCAAATTCCACGTCGCGTTGCATGTACCGGCGAGTTGCAAAGTCTGCAGCTTCTTGACCAAACGGTTCGCTCCTATCGGAAGGATTACGTGCTGTTCGAGGCGCTCGAATACCTGAGAAATAATGAGGCGTGGTTTGGAAATTGTTGTCCGTCAGTCTTACCATTAAGGACCAAGGTGAGCGACTGGTTATCTTTGGGGATCAACAGCCTTGAAAAAGTAATTAAAATTGTTCATCAGAACATAAAGGTAAACCGCACTTGAAGCGAGATCCCGAGGCGACATAGTCGACGACAGCAGATATCTTTCCTTGCCTCTTAAAGCCATTGATGAAAGTGGTGGCACGTGCACCCGACTAGAAGAGAGTTTGGATCTACAAAGAATAGCAACGAAAAGATATAACACACCTCTGAAATGTTGACGGGGGGCTTCGGAGTTGATTGTTCCTTACCAGAGTGGATGCCACGGGACTCCGCAACAGCGCTAAGGTCAAGAGTCAATGATACTACACACACAATAGGGTGTCAATGCCTCACGCTTGTTCTGCAGCCATGAGTTTGTCATAGTCTGGAGAACGATCCTCATCATCACGTCGATGACGGACAACGGAGGCAAGGCCTTTTTCCACCAACTGCTCTGCAACATTACTGGATCGGAAATGTCAGTGGACTTGAACCGCACGATATGTATCTCGCTTACGAGCTTTGGTTTCCGTATCGGACTGTCGCGCATTCACGTTCCTCGTATTCTCCCTCGCGAGGACGAATGAAATCGACCATAACTTTGACATGCTTGCCGATAAGCCTCTTGCGAAGGAATTCGCGAGCTTCCTGTGAATAGTAAGCTTGCTTAGGGTCGGAAAGTCTGAAAACTATCAGAAGATGTCGACGGTCAGAAGACACGCTACTTACTTGGGGCCTTTTGTTGAACTGAGCTGCAACCGGCGCTCCTTGCCGCTCTCCTTGTCAACGACGGATATTTGGTCACCACTCCATACTCGGGTGACGGTTCCGTCAAAGACGCGGGTATTTCCATTAGCAGCGCCGTTGGACTGGGCAGTCGTCGATGCAGATGCAGTTGGCACGTTGGCGTACAAACATGTTCGCTTTTCTTTTGCAGCTTTCTCAGCGGCACGTAAGCGCTCCATACCCCCTCCTGCAGCCAGCATACCAGCGTGCCAATCGACAACGCGAGCGAGCCCAGCAGCGACGAGGTGTTCAGCGACATTGCCAGCGGGATGGAGGACTACAGCGGATATTGCCTAACATACTCTCGGACACAGAAAGCAACGTACCAGTGCCAATAAATATTGATGCTGGTGGAGGTGGCGCATTGTTGGCCCCAGCTTGGAATGGTGTCGCTGTCGAAGTTGGCAACGACAGTATGATTACCCGTACCGGTCGCTGGAGTAGCCTGGACTCCGTGAAGAATTTTGCCTGCAAACCGTATTTCAAAAATGCTACTTTGGCATGTCAATTTACTTACTTCTTCCGCCCAAAGCTCCGAGGGTTCTCCTTGCTTCGAGGATGTCCTGGCACAACGAACACCAGCAAGTGCAATGTTGACCATTTGATGCTCACCATCCGGCATGAAAAGTCGGACTCGGAGAGTAGATCCGTCCCGGACTTGTTCCACGAGTGCTAAAACTGGTGATCAGAATACGTACCTTAGCCGCAAGAAGAAGGCCTACCGTCAAGAGATTTTCCCTTCCACTCCGAAACAAATGCTTGCGAATCAGTTGGCATTGATTGATGCACGGCACGAGCCTACTAATATGTCAGAAGTAACACCAAAGCATGATAGCCGAGAACACGCACCTGAGGACCATGAGAATTCCATAAACCTTTTCCCGCTGTCTTCGCTTCAGCCTCAATGTCACGTTTTCGGATATCGTCCTCCGAAGGGTCCCGCTTCGATTCCTTGATTTTGGCCCAACCGTTCTTCAGCATCTCAGAGGCAACATCCACGCCCCCGATGTCAGCAGTACCAAAGTCACGCGTGACATCATCATTGGAAGGAAAGCTATGTGTGGAAGTAAAAGAAATCTCTTTGCCTACCGCGAATGCACGCAGAAAATCACGAGACTCGAATGCCCATGGCTGGAAACAACTTAATCAATGTTACAAAAGATGCGGTGCTTATGCTTTACCTCGTCTTCTCGAGTCTGGTTTCCCATTCTCGGAGCCACGACATCAGCAAGATGTAGAATTCTGCGAAGTGCAACGTGTCAGACCGTCTTTCCCCACTAGACTTGCTGAGTTGCACACCTCTCCTTTGGATTCTGCCCTTGTGGTCCTGGACGTCCACGCAAAACAAGGGTGTCGCCAGAGATGACGGCTAGGTTTCATACCCTAGGGTTAACAGAATGCGGAGAATGGGACATTTCGCGCACACACATTTTACGATCTATACACAGTAAGTCAAGGACAGGAAACCGAAGAAAAGATTCAGACATACAGCTTTGAGCGACATTCTGTGAGTTTATCCAAGAAACACCTGAGCAAGAGGTAGTAGATGCAGACGACAGTAAGTTATTAGAAATTTAAAGTGCTTCACGCAAGGGTTCAAGCAGATCGACGTCAGATCCGATGGGAACCTATTTCCTTTTCCGTATTAACATACTTAATGCTGTTGCTAAACGACCTCGAGGACCTTGCAGTATGTAACAAAGCCGTGCACGACGTCCGCAGTCAAACGCCTGAATTAGTGGGCTTTGCTTTGCCTACGGCTACGAGGGAAATAATTCAACGCTTAGAATGCCAGATCGTTTTGCTATGCACATATCACCAAACTAGCTGTGTCAATCAACACGTGCATACCGGGTGGGGTCGTACGCCCTGGGCACAGCAACTGCGCACATATGAAGTGCACCGCGGAAACACAACACCATTCCCCATAAGCTATCCCAATACCCTCATTGCTCCGATTATGTCCCCCTCTCGATTTCACGAGCATCTTACCTCTGACCGTGATAGCGATGGCGACTTGCTCTCTCCCCCACAAGCCACGGGCAGCAAAGGCAAACAGCCAGATAGAGTTGACGTCATGGCACAAATTCACACAGCAACTATGACCCCCACACCCCTCAAAGAACTACTAAAAGACCCTGCTGTTATCAACACGCTACACAACGCGGATGGGAAGCAGAAGAGTCATAGACAGTCATCTAGCTCACAGCACCGTGAGCCCAGTTACTCGGCATCGACGTTCATGAGCCTGGTGTTGGCTGAAGAAGAAAAACAAGCACATCACCTTAGATCGACCCTTCGGTCGACAGGGAGCAGGCTTGATCAGGAAATGCGCAGGGCAAATCAGGCCGAATCTAAAGCAGAATTCGCAGAACTCCGAGTACAGGAGCTGACCTCGCGTGTCAGTACTGCTGAAATGGGCAAGCGTTACGCGGAACTCGATGCTGCACGTGCCAACGAAGAGATACGGCGGCATCAAATGCGCATTGAGAGCCTGGAAAGAGAGGTCAAGCAACTTCAGGCTGACATCCGCATCCTAGAGAGGCAAAGAAATGAAGCCGATGAAAGTGCATCACGAGCACGGGATACCGCGAGGAAGTTTCAGATCGAGCTCAGCAAGCAGCAGACAAAGGAGCAAGGAATAGAACAAGGTCGAAGATACGGTTCGAAGAAATGGTTTGTTACTGGGCATAACGAGGGTTGGGATGCTGGGTACTCGGAGGGCTTCGAGGACGGCAGGGATGATGGGTTTGAAGAAGGCAGACAATATGGAATCCGCGAAGTACGAGAGTCAAATCCGGGATTCAAGCAGGGTCACAAAATTGGTCGGAAAGAGGGATTCGAAAGTGGCCGAGATCAAGGTCGGCACGAAGAACGTGAACGTGCGCTTCATGCCTTTGACGAATTCTTTGCTTCAGAAATCGATGAGGATGATTTCACGGTGAGTACTCGCCCATCACATTAGTATTTCGCCGCTGACACGAGCATTTCTGCAAGGCACAAAAAAAGGCGCAAAAATGGACTGAACGCATGCAGCGGTCTTCATCGCCAGCCAAACTCGGACCTGTATGGCTGAAACGTCCATTGTACCGTGATGCTGTGATGTGATCCAGTGAATGTTTATGACGAGAATTCGTGAAGATACCCGCTGCGTATCACGCATACCTGGACTTTACTATATTAGACCTCAATTATGACTTCAGAAGCTCAGCTGCATAACTAGACAACTTGGACATACCTTTAACTATCTGCTGTGTCGGACTGGTGGACATTTTTAGATGCATGTACCCTCAATTTGAAAAAACGAACACACGGTTCGTCACCACAAGCACCGCGCAGTGATTGCGAGGCTCGAATAAAGCGAACATCATTCTGCCATGCTAAAATTGATGACCTTGAGTGAAATACATACCTACTTACAAGCTTTGTTTCCACACCTGCGAAGTCCGGACACTTTCCGTGGGCGCTAGTTTGGCACAGGTTTAAAGCACTCGTGCGTGGGAATAGACTATGATCTGATAAACTTGCTTTATAATTATCAGATCGATCCGCTGATCGTTGCAACTCAAACGGATAGAGCCTTTTGCACCTACGTATACCTGTTTCTGTTTGTTACATCCAGCTTCATTCCTCATCATGAGCTTTGCGAATCCCCTTCCATCGCCTGGTCTGGGGAGTGGCCGTCGCAGGCCGAAGAACCTTCCGAGTTTACCTCTGTCTGCGTTCAGCCCACCAAGCACAGGGACTTCTGACATGTTCCCCTTGCCTCCGACTCCCAGCACGCTCTTTCCAGGCGAAGTAATTGACGCTCATTTGCGGTCTGAGGCACCTCAAAGTGCTGGCACTGATCTGGCTGGCACTGAGGTCGCAGGTGTTGTTTTACTGTTAAACAACCTTGGGATGCCAGAAGGGTAAGCTTTTGACTTTAAGGGAATTCTACATTTCCTTATCTTGATTACTGTACTCAGGCTGCAGTCGTCTCTTTTGCAAAATGTCCGAGTCCTTTCTGTGGCGGCTCCCTTCGAGCTTAGCAGCCCCATTCCATCGGACTATTCGGCTCACTCAGAGTCATCCATTCCCCAGTCTCTTTATACCTCATACACAGCTGCGCACGAGGAACCAGAAGCTAGATCTCAGGCTATTGAGACTTTGAAATGGGCATTCTCAAACAGTCGTCTTATCGATATTGACGTTCAAAGTGATGTCATGTCGAACGTCTCAAAGTATGAAGTGTTTGAAGACCTTCTCATGAAGGCCACAGCAGATCTCTCTAGAGACAAAAAGGTCCCTACAGTCCTCTGTGAGCGGGTTTCGCCCTGATGTGAGTGTTTCGAACTGACCGAATTTCAGCGAATATATTACCACCGCCCCATGATCTGAGCCTGCCGATTGTTAAGCTCCTCACTCATCCAAGTTACCGCAATTATCAAGCACACTCCGCAGCCCTGTCGTTGGTACCGAATCTTTATGTGAAGTTTACGCCCCCCATGTGGAATCAAGCCGTACCAGGTCCCGCAGATCCAACTTCAGAAATGGATCAACATCGTGAATGGAAACGAAAAATCAAGATGTTCAGTAAGTATTCAGAAATTCTTATGCATCGGTGCAGCGCTAACTGATCCCTGGCAGTTGGCCCCGTGCTAGAAGCGTTTGGCTACGAGCGTATTATTTTTGGCACTTCACCTTCCTTTGCTGCACCCTCGTTCCCAAACCCCGCGGACTGGTACGCACTTGTGCGGGAGTCGTTTGCAGAGCTTGCGGTGGAGCAGGACGCGATTGATGCAATCTTTAGTCTAAATGCGAAAAGGATCTATGGACCCTCATAATGCCTTTGAACCTTGCCAGCTACTTCTGTACAAATATCTCTTTGACCAGTTGTCGTAATCGAACGATATCCTGTATATGCTGCGGTGGAATTTTCAAATCAATATCAGATAAGGTCCATTGACTAATAAACGCCCATTACGTATATTCCGTCGAACAACACGGTGACAAGATGTTTGCTCGTCCAGCGGTGTCCATATGAGATGACTCTCGAATTAAAGCTGCAGGGCCTCCTCGCGTCGCGCGAATTGAAGAGTCAGGGTCGTCATCCGTGCGTGCAAAAGGACATCATCTCAGGGGTGCTTCTATGTTTGGAACAAGTGACCGGCACTAAGTTTCCTTTCTAGTTCGCTGTGCTTCGACCGATTTCCGTTCTGTAGGCCCATTCTATCAGGTTTGTTCTATCCACAGTTTAGCTTACCTCTTGCTAAGAAGGGCATACTTAATCATACTTGTAAGAATTATTTCACAGCTAAATTTACTTGGGGACCCACAAACTGACAGCAGGGCAACGGCGAGGTGGTTGCCTGGTCTCACCAGCCAGTCTCTTTAACCGTGACTCTGTCCTTCACCAGTAGAAGAACTCCTCAACGCGAATGGACAGTGACAACGATGCACGAATAGGGTACGGTAGACGTGCATCATCATCGTGAGTGCTCGTGTCTCTTGCTATATCAATGGGACGCCTACCAATCAAACGAGGCTAGTAGCAGTAGAGAATCTTCACCTGCTGCTGTAAGTGGAATCTTGCTATTTATCTTGGTCATTTTGCATGTTTTCCTTCTTTCATTCTACTTTCCGTTGCTGCGCAGTGTCTCACATCTTGTATCCAACCTTGCAGAAGCGGCAGAAACGGTCGTTCACTCCCAACTCCGACGATGAAACCCTCGTAGTCCCTGCACCGATCGAAGATGAAGATAATGCGGATACCCCTTCCCGAGATGGCACACCAGCGCCATTGATTCGCCAAGCAGTTGGTTTCTCATGGCAGCCGTCCGTAATTCCCACCGCAACTGTCAACACGTACCAGGCTGTCTTGCCCTCAAATACGAACGCAATCCAATTTCTCCCAGGACAGGCACCACTTAAGAAAAAGAAAAAGAGAGCCAAACCGGAGTACTCCGCTCAGACAGGCCGGTTCAGGCTCTCCCGGGCCACCGAGCCCACATCAGCACCCACACCAGAACCCTTAACACAGCCCGCACTATATGCTGGCGGGGGTCCTTACTCTTCGATGTATCGGATGAGTAGCGCTGCATCGCCTAGTGCTAGTGTCACAATGTCTAATGCTTCAGTCGCTGATGCTGCCTCTCCAGCTGCGGAAGCTCATTCCCCAGCTGCATCTTCTACAATAGCATCCACCACACGTAATTTCCATAATGCGACACCGGGGGCATATAATAACACCACTGTAGGTCCAAGGCACAGCCGCGCCCCAGGCCAATTTGGCGGACCGGCCACAAATACCAAGAATAAGCGGAGCAAGAGATCAACTGGACAGCATACTGAACGGGACACCGGTACTTTAACTCAGCCGTCAGCTCCAAGTCGCCAACCTCAACCTCCTTCCACTATGTATTACCCACCACACCCAGGAGTGCAATCGCATTACCGCCGTGATTATGAGAGAAATCTACGTTCACGCTCGCCCTCCACAAGTGCGGTATCTTTTCAAGAACCTGCGAGACCGACTTCTTGTAACGTGGTAGTCTCCGCATTACCTCCCCGATCTGACATTTCTGCAGCGGCACACGAACGATCTACGGCACCTTCAGCCTCTGGGGCACCAATGCGACCTCTTCGGATGTTGACCCTCCTCATCGAGGACGTTAGAAGTGGAGTTCCTGATCACCAACTTGCAGAGATCAAAGTGGTTCTTCGGCCAGGCGAAGAATCAGACGGTGGTTTTTGGGCAAATGCCAAAGAAGTCTGCGAGACTTTGCAGGCTGGACCGTCGCGGATAGACGGTAGGTTACACTGCCGACTAGCGATTCGCCATTGTGAGCTTTGTTTCACAGGTCCTGCGAGGGTATACACGCTTCGCGGAAAATATCGCCAGTTTTTCATGCGTGTAGACGCTGACAACGTCCTCGAAGCAGAATCGTGCAATCTTGGCGTGAGCAAAGAGCGCACGCTTGAAGTCGTAGTCGAGGCTGTACGTATGGTTTGACACGCTGATTGCCAAGAAAAGTTGCTGATTTCACTTCTTAGCCTGTCCCAAAAGGCCGTTTGCCTCCCCCTCCCCGAGTTCCTCGTGAACTACAACCAACGTCCAGCTCTGACTCCGATACGGCTCTATCACTCTCTCGACAGCAAAGCTCCAGGCAAGCAATGCATTCGGTAGTCACACGCGATACGCGTATCGATCTATTGTCACAAAGTGATTACCGTCCCCAAAAGAAAAAACGTCCCTCCCAAAGCCATTCGTCGCCTCAAAATAAAGCGTCACGAAGCTCAGTCCAGATGACTCCTTCTCCTAGCCACACACCACGCCGAGCGAAACGGTCAAGACATGGAGACCAGGGAAACTCCTCTTCATCCGATGAAGAAGAAGTACGAGAAATATCGCCCCCCATCCCTGGGCGTCATGCGGAGACAGCAGATGAGAGGGACGATGCAATTGCTAATTTCATTCGATCGGACATAGAGAGCGACAAGGAATGGCCTCGATGCATGTCAATCATCTCTCATGGAGGCCCGAAGCGTGTTTCTGACATGCTGTGGTCCTATAATTACGTTGAAAACACAGTCAAGCAACACGAAGACAGAAAAACGCCGTCACACTGGGATGGTGCGCCAAACTCCAGGGTTGAGAGGGTAAGTCTACGGTTCGTAACGTTATCCAGTGCAGTGTTGATTTATCCTGTTACGCAGCGACATGTTTGGCGTGCTCTGAATCTTACTCCTGAGTGGGGATATGAATGTCGAACTGTTGTCAGTCTTGTTAGCCATTACGGGAAGTACGGGCGGAGGTATCAGGACCCGCATGTCATCAACGAGATTGAGAGTACGGCTGCTCCTACAGAGAAGACTTGGAAACAGTTCGTCAAGCTGCTATACTCCATTGATGCACAGTATCTGTCCGGTCGATTGATAAATATGTGAACGCTTCAGCTCTTGTATGTAGTACCGTGGCACTACGTCACCTCTTCATCATGGCATCGGTGATGCTCTCGCTCATTAACCTCTCAACATTCCCTCGTATACTCGTATTAGCTATAATTATCCTCACCTAATGCAGATATATGTTTCTTGGATACTACCCTGTAGGACGTTCTAAACAACACTGTCCATCAAAATGCATACAGCTATAATATGTCTACTTAGTGTCCTGACGTCCATCATGGTGTGAACGGCAGCCACGTCTTTCCCCTGCGCAATGATATCGCGATCTGACGCGATTCTCTTGTATTCTCCGCCCTGCTGCTCCGCTAGTAAAAATGCGACGGAGAGCTGGGTGCGGACTGATCTCCTTCATTCTCCGTATCATCTGCAAAGTCAGGCTGCTTGTGGAGATAACGATTCCAAGAGACAACGATTCCAAGGACGGACAAACATGAATACCCGCCGAGTGCGTCTGGCTCCGAGAACTAAATCAGTTTGTCTTCCGTGGTGATCAGAGGTCACGAAGCCCGGCTACTTTGACGTCATTCATGAAATGTGCTTGTCCAGACCTCCGTCTGCCTTCAGTGATATGGAATGCGGTACTAGGGAGCGAGCCGGTGGTGCGCGAACGTTCAAGGGAGTTTGAAGCCAGCTCTCCAGCCTGTGAGTAGCTTCCGCAGATCAAATTCAGGCTACAACCAAGCTGTTACATCAGTAAAATACCACGTTACTTAAGCTGCCTTAAACAGACTTAACTCGCACTTAAGTGACTTTGCAGAAGTTGACACACTTTGCCAAAATTTCAATTTCAACATGTTCAGAAAAAAGTGGTTGGGTTATGTTAACATACATATTTTATTATAGTTTGCACTAAAAAAATCAAGATATGCCAAGTGAATGTTGCAGGAGAGAGCAAACAGTTTTCAGCCAAGTCAGCCAAGTTGATTAAGTAACGTGGTATTTTACTGATGTAAGACGATACCAATGCGATGTACGTTGGATTGGTGTTAGTTTATGGTTGTATTGGTGATTGCTCATACTTCCAATAGTTCTCGCTGCAATCGTCAGACTTCATAGGTTGCGTACTGCAGCTGGTAAGTAGTTCCAAATCTCAAGCTTATTCCTTCATGAAGGGGAAAAGTAAGTCGAGAGTACAAGGGTGCATGCAGTATTGTTCGCTTTGCCACCTTTGTGCAGCTCAACCACCATATACATACCCCCTCACCCCTTCCTCCAAAGGCAATGCATGGGGACACATGTCGGAGCGTTGGAATGTATCCATTACTACTGTCAAAAAAATCTACATGACGGGCGAAAAAAAAACTCGAGACACTGACTCTCGTGATCGACGGGCTTTTACTCATCCGGCACCTCAATCTCCCCCGAGTTGATACCATCGATGATGTCGTGTGGGGGTTGGCCATCGACTGTGCAACCAACACTCTGGGCAGTGCCGAGAATCTCCTTCGCGCCGCCAGCCATGTCCTTTGATAGTGACTTGGACTTCATTGTTCGGGCGATCTCGAAAATCTCGTCAAGAGTGACGTTGCCCGAGTGCTTGATGTTCTTCTCCTTCTTCCGGTCACGGGGAGGCTCTAGCACAAGCGATATGAGAGGGGAATGAAATACAGGTATAACTGCGCACCCTTGAGCGCCCGGATGACGAGGGAGGAAGCAGAAGGAACGACGGAGACTGCTGCTTGCCGATTCTGGATCGTAAGCTGGACAGTCACGCGTAGACCCTTCCATGCAGAGGTAGCTTTGGCAATATCTTCTCCGACCTTTTTGGGTGACTATTTCGAGCTTTAGCTTTTTGTAATTATTTGCGACCAGACTGCAGACACACACCAGACCGAGAGGACCGATTTTTGGGGCAAGTGCTGACGATGCACCAACTTCACCCCCTGTTGCCCGGAGGTAGATAATTTTGATTTCGTTGGGGTCCTAACATGATGGTTAAAACTGTATTACGGGTGGAAAGTAAGAGAGCGGACGGACGAGCTTGGGGGCCATGGCGAAGGTGAGGAGGTCGATCGCTTTTCCCTGGGATGACTAGAGATTAAAGTTCAAACCTCGAAGTAACTGTACAGTACCTCAGCTTAGTCACCGCTGTTCCCACGCTTGTGCCGCTCTCTTCACGACCGCATATTTTACGCACAGTATCATTCTCCTCAGCCAAATATTGACATGTTAAACACGGGAGGACCTTCAACGGTATGGATGTGACAACAATTTAAGTGACTCATATTGGGAGAGCAGGCATGCACCGGAAGACAGGCTGGAAGGAGTCAGACCTTAACTTCCTCTAGATGGTGACGCCTTTCCAGCGCGTTCTAGTTGCGACGCGGCGCACACTTATGTCGAGAAATTTACGGTGGCGCTCAGCCAAAACACCAAGCGAGAGCACGTGACCACGATCAATTCCCTTTTCGAGGCGGGATTCGCTGACCTCGCTGGCACATGACCAGTTTGTGTGACAGGCGTGAGTTTTGGTTGAAAAAAACAGAGCGTTTCAACAAATGCGCTGGCAGGACGGAACAAACGCGAGTGGGGTGCGGGCATGATTAGCGACGGCGAGTGGTAAGGTAGAGTATCAGTAGTATGCTACTAAGTAGTAGGCAGTGAGTGTGGAATGTACAGAGTCAGCCAAAGCAGTGAAACATCGTAGCGAAGCAGTGAAAGCACTGAAAGGCAATGATAGTATGTAGTAAAAACGGGACCGGTATCACTTGTTGCGAGAGATACGGTCCCCTCGTGCAGCGCGTGCCTTGTTCACAGCCTTCAGAAGTTGCGTGTGCCCTAGCTCGGCCTCTGGATAGGCTGCGAGGAAGCGTGCCTCGTTCGACTCGTACCTGGAGCCGAAACAGAGGGTTAGCAGTGCCGGCAGTGTAGATACCAGTGCAGGGACTTACTGATTAATGAACTCTAGCGCGATTGTTGCACGTTGGTGGTACTTTGATGCAAACCGTCTATTTGCACCTTGGTACCAGTGCCTTGGCCAGTCCTTCAGTGGCGTTGTCAGTCCTCGGTCTCGATCGCCAACAAGCCAGTGTTCGACAATCTCCTTCCAGGAGTTGTGCTTCGGGCTGGTGGTTCCGTTGGGACGAGAGACTGGGACCCGAGGGATCACAAGGCCAGGTGTTGGGAGTTTCTGGGTACTTGAAGCCCGAGTGATGCTGATGGGCAGCGTGGTGCAGAGTTGTTGTGACGAGGTGCAGATGGATGGCTCGGTGGTAGGGAGAGTGTGGCTGACGACGGGCCTGGGTAAAACCGGCTGTTCGGCTCTCGCACATATGTCTCTGACAGGTGGAGTTGGTGTGCGGGAGGCACACTCAGAGACGTTGGTGAAGCGGGGGCCTGAATCGAGACGCTGGAGAGCGATTACTGTGGTGCAGGCAGCCTGTGCTACAACACTCGTTAGGGAGCGCATGTCATTGCGAAGGGAGTTGACATCTGCTGAAACGGATGCGTGCACCATGCGAAGCTCTTCTGTCGATGCTGGTCTGGCGAGAGCATGTTCGCCAGCAAGGGAGGCATCAGCACCGCGGGAGATGGGGGCAAGGGCATCACTGTAGTCAGTCTCATATGCATGTAGTTCGTCGAGGAGGTAGCGAACGAGTGTATCACGCTGAAAATAGACACAATGAGAAAAAAATGCTGCATCAGTCAAGTGTCAGTCATAAGAACATGAGACATACCTGCTCGCCATCAGCCCATCCCCCCCACCAACGAACTTTAGCGAGTGTCCACCGCTGGCCCACTGGAGCAAACATGAACCAATATTGCGCACCTCCCCGACGAAAGCAGTGAGTTGAGAAGTTACCACGGATGCCAGCGCCAGCGGTTGACTCATTGATCCATTTTTGTACCGTATCGTGAGAGATTGGCTGTCCAGGATGCACAACACCATTTGCACTCATCGCAGGAAAAATGAAGTCGTTCGGCTGGAGAGTTCGCCCGTAGTGAAATGATTCAAGCCACTTGATCCAAACTAACATCCAGAAGAAATTGTCGCAGGCTGGCATGTTGGGGCGTGGATAAATCTTGTAGTGATTTGCTGCCAGTGGTGAGGTCATTTAGTCATCCGGCTTCGATTTAATGTGAGCAACTCACATCTCAGATCTGCTTCCCATTGGCCCTTGTCCACCTTCTTTTGCCATCCTTTCCGGTGAGCGAGAAAGATCTCGAAGTATGATGTGCATTTACTCAGCGTGAGTGTCTCGTTTGCAAGGTACACGCCGAGCACCCCATCCAAAATAGTGGTATCAAGTGAGATATCCTTTCTTTGCAACTTTACAAGCTCAAAACACCTGCGGGCAAGTTAGATCGCGCACGTGCTGCGGAAAAGCTAATCAGATCTCACCTTGTCCATAACGTCCATCCGTTCGATGTGAACGTGACTTGTTCAAGATGGCGAGTAAGTTTTGTCCTCATTTCCAAGTCCAGGTGCATATCCGAAGGCTGAGCACCACTCATCACCTTCTGAATCATCTGTAGTGCAATCTCGAGTGGACACACAGCCTGGTGCCATCGGAATGCCCGATCCATGTAGTCCTTCGTCATTGCCATTGAGTGAGTGCGATCTCCTCCCTCGGCACTTGCCTTATGCTTGATGGATGACAGCACATCATAAATGTCTGCAGAATCAGCAGGGTTTCCTTCCCAGCGCTGCTTCGCCTCATTGAAGTGCCATTTGCCACGATAGGTATCACCATCTCTAAAATGTAAGTCAGTGCTCGTATGCTCTAATTTGTGTACGATAATACTCACGATAGCTCCCACAGCTTCTTAAATGCCGAACGGATGCTCTCGACAGTAGTTTTGCTGAGGTTCTCGTGGAACCCTTTCAGGGACATGAAGAGCGCCAGTGCTTTGTCAGAGCATCTGTTCGGGATGCTCTCAAATGCATATTTGAAGGCCGGGTCCTCATACACGTCATTGTCGGCATGTATTTCGGCAGTTGCAGGCAACAGAACGAGTGAGTTTTCAGACGTGTCACCCCTCCAAGTCTCGCTGACAGCAGAACAGCTCGGGGTTTCGAAATGGCTTGCCAACCATTCCCGTCCACGCCGAACATGCCCGGCATAGTTCGTCCTTGTGTTATTTGCCTGAAGGTGAGTTTTTATTCCATGTTCCTTACACTTTTGGACGTCTGCTAAAGCTGTCTTCGCAGCAGCTGATCTTGTCTTTCGCCCAGCTTTCTTCTGAGCAGTGTCTGGCAGCTGGGGGGCTTTCGCGGAATCCTTCTTGAGTCGTGCCATACTTTGTGAACACGAACGAGTGAGTGTGGCACAAAGGTAGTTCAAAATTTCGGGACGGAGATCATTGTCAGGGGCCTCTAACTAGTTAATGACAATTTCACATTTCACATTTCACACTATTTAGATTAGGAAACGACAATTGATTGCACTAGGCACTAATATACTGCTGCACTACTTGGGGAGCCATATGATCCAGTATTGTTGCCGGAAGACGCATGTACGAGGGAGAGAATTTCCCTTGAGCTGAGTTGCCTAGAGTGTTGTGTGCCAACCACCGACCATCGACTTTGATATTATAAATAGCGATATCATGCCGCAATGCCATCAACGTTCCACGAGCAATTATTTTGAACACCGGCCGGCGGTCTGTGTGGTCCGCATGCTGACGGGGCAACTAAAACACGAGTTAGAGTCTATAAAAATTGAACCACATGTGCCGCCTACCTTGCATATGGTGCGGAGACATGCACCCTCCCACACACTCCCGTGCATCTTGTCAATGATGGCATCATCGTCCCAGCCCAACTGCAGCCTGCAGAAGTCTGCAAGGTCTGCAAGATGTGGCTGGGAGGACGACACGTCCAGTAGCACATTCTCCACGGCTGAAAAAGATGTCGGAGGATGGACATATTTGTCGATCACTGCACGACGTGGAAAATCGCATGGGATACAATCTGCGGACAGCCTTATACCGACGCTTGAGGTCATGGTAGGGGTCATTGGTGAGCATAGTGCGTAGTTCATCGACGAGGTCCTCCGCAACGCTCAGAGAACTCCTCCGGCGGCATAGACAGGAATGCGCAGAGCATATTCTCGCCAATTCTGCTGCACATAGCAACCTTGTGAGCAATCTCAATTCCACAACCAGGCACCCCTCTATCATAGTCTCCGCCCACCAGGAGGGCAATGAGCAGCCGATCTCCTCGGGTCAAGGAGGCACCATGCTCGAGACCATCCTCCGTATACACTTGAACATTGAGATAGTCCTTGTCATTCTTCGCACTGCGACAAATCAATGGCAAAAGCATGAGAAAAACATGATGGCATACGTTCTAATTATGCACACGCTCCGAAGATCAGAACATCACTGTCCTCGGTCATCACGGCGTTGATAACACCGTGGGTGTTCATGGCAGCCAATTCGGCTTTGGCTTCACTCGGGGCCTGGGGAGTGGTGAGACAACAGTCTCATTTGAGGTGAGCAAAACTTACCTTGGTCCACTGAAAGCCAAACAACTCCAGCATGCGCTGGAAGTCATGGGTGAGCCAGTGGGGGCTGTCTGATTGTTCGACCCTTGTCTGGCAGGTGGCTCAGGCTATCGAAGACAAAGACCACATGCAGGGGAAGCTTTAGTAGTGCGCCCAGCCGAAAAATCAGTCGAACCCCATATCCATAAATCCTTGTTCACTGGTGCATAGTATATTCTTCTTTGGTTTATTTGACAGATACAGTACTTTTACCTTTCAAACTCCCTATTACGTTGCCTTAAGCGGCTCGGACCGATTTACTCTCACATATCCCCATACATATCACGGACGATCGACCGCATGTCCTGCGTACATTTCTAGCGAACCACGAGGTAGCTCGGACATCCCAAGCGATGATTATCTCCATTATTTACCTAGTAGCCGATTTTTTACTTAAGGGATGTTCTCCGGGATCTTCACAGTCGCAGCATACTGCAGATCGTAAGCGCTCAGCTTTGCCTGGGCAATCTACACAAACTCAGTCCTCTCGCGATCCCAATGCTT